TCAACTGTCTAACCTGATCAGCCAACCATGACAATTGTGTCACAGACACAAACCACAGAATATGCTTACAGACTAGGCAGACATAATTATGAAGCAAGTTGGCATATCTTATCTGATGTAATTAGTGGCCACATTTCACAGACATGATTAGTTCAATAAATAGCCTAATTTAGCCCTGTCCCTAATATTATTGGATTGAACCAAAGCAACCTCAGACCTAAAATTTACACCTAAGTGAAATAATAGCAAATGAAAGAACAGCAATTGAGTAATTACTGTTCTTTTGGTAATATTCACACATATTCACAACCTAAAATATACACATAGTATTTTTCATTTTTAGTTACAACATTCCTTTTGAGTAACCATCATTTATTAGCAGATGTATTTACATTCTAAACAATGTATTCATTTGATTTGATATGCTGGCTATATCACTGCAATGAATTAAAAGCCACTGTAGGAAGCAATGTTTTACTTGTGCTGGGGAAATGCTTTTTAAATTTCATTTGATGTATATCATTTATACGAGTGCATCCAAGACCACATTAAATGCTCACAATAAAATGCACTACATAGCATTGAACAAAAATAGGCATGTGTTTATCAGTGGGCAACTTGGTAGACGTGGCCCACAAATCTCAACGATTTCATCTGGCATACCAAGCACTTCTAAGATCAGGGATAGGTCTCGTTATAAATGTCAGATTCTGTAATTACAACACCAGATGTTTATTCTAAGACCTGTGGGTTAGAATAACTTTGCTACAGAAAGCAGGAATTTAGCTTGCTATATTAACAAGACAAGTACAAATGACAGGGATTGCTCCAGATGGGTTTAATCACCTCATTAACTGGACTGAACTGCTTCATTAGCAGATTCACAGCTGACCTAACAATACAAGCTATTCCTGCTTTAGACAGGATGGTATTTACATGCTCACAATGTTACTACACCATCACCATTTTTGGTAAATTGACAACAGCATGCATGTATAAATAAACAGCACATACACAACACATGGTTTGAAAGAGAAGAGCACATTAAAACTCCTTCAAATTTGAAGCATTAGATACCTAAACACCCCCATACCTCAGCAGCACATTTGTATACATTCATTGTCCTGTTGATCCAACTCTAACAATTATTGCAACATCCCACTATATGCTGTTCCATAGAGCCATCATCATTCAAACCAGGCAAACCATATATGGCTGCCATACATTCTAGCGTGTCACCAAAATATAAATCTCTCTGGATTTTAATGATACTGCCTGTCCAGCCTCAAGAATTTTTGGATTTCCAAAACCCCGGCAAAGGCAAATCACATGCAAGCTCTGTATCAAATCCAAGTTCAAATTTCTGACAAATTGTTTCCCTGGGAGATAAACACAAAATTTACGGAGACTTCAACATTTTTGTCTCTAGTGTAATAGATGAATGGCACATCTCCCTTACATCCCAGAGACAAAATGTACCCACAAGAGTCCATCAACTACAAACTGTAGTCAGTGAGCAAAAGGAGAGACATTCTGAACACATGATTGCAGTATTATCTGCTATAGGTAACAGCTGGCACCCTGATATACTGCACAGCACTTTGGAACTTTGGTCTTATTTTGTTGATTACAATTCTATGCATATTTTTTATGATTCTGAGTCATGTTTTGCCAGCACTGAAATGAATGAGATGCTTTGAGAGGCTTACCTATCAAAGTTAGAATCAATGGAAATTTAACTCCAGCCACATATCCTTGGCTGTGTATGTATATTTGGAACATTGTCAGCATAAGAAAAAAACACCAACAGCACGTCAAGGCTACTAAATGAATCTCATGTAATTAATCTCATACTTTGTAATATTCAATTAAGGTCAAAGGGTTAGATTCTTCACTACAGTATGATAAGAATTCCTAAAGTCACGCCCAAGCAATAAATGCCATGTGATCACTGAGCTCTGTTAAGGATGTCATAAATGGATAATATTGAGCCCTTCAAGTCTGGTGATTTACTGTCAATACCAAGTGCTATCATCAGTGCAGGTCAGATAGTCAATACTAAGCAATGAATGGCATGACCTATAGGCCTACCTCTCCAAAGCCTGAGGTTGCACAAGAATGCTCAAAGACATTTTGGTGCTACTTATATTTCAAATACCTAGCAGCTGGATCGTGCTTGGGTTCAAAGAATTTTTAACAAGTCGTGGAAAAGTATTTTCATTATAAAATTGAAATCAGCCATCTCTGATAAATGACAAGACAGATGGTTCATTTCAGAGATTGACTCGTCTGGGAATGTATTCTGTATCAAGTATGCCTGTCTAGCAGTTGTCAAGGAGCAACTGCATGCTGCTCACACTCAGATTTTTGCTTTACAGCATATATAAAAATCCTTCATGTTTAAAATCATTGATGTTTAAACATTTGCTGTATCATAGCCGTACGTCTATTCACCAGCATAACTCTAGTCTTAGCCTCACATGTTATTGGTTCAACGTGCACTTTCTGAAAGTTACTTAGGGTTACCACTGTTAATGAAATGCATTTTTGCAAGTACTCTACAGATGACTGCCACACTAGGGGAGTACTATGATAGACTCTGCATTAACCTGAAACATGCAAATCAGCAGACATTAGACCCGACTTGACTGTTGTTATCCAACCAAGCATTCTTAACAACTCATTGGGCACTATCAAATAATCCAGAGGTAGCTTTCACCTGCAGTGCCAATGCATTCAGAAGAATTGTAATAATATAACCTCAGGCTAGTAACTGAATCCTTTTGCAATCAAAGAATAATTATCCAAGATCAGAATAACTATTTATTTCAGTAACAAGGATTGTCCCTGTAATAGTGCAGACAGCCTTTTGAAGGATAAAACCAGTTACATAATTTTGTTACTGACTGAAACAGTTGAAATGATGGTATAACCAACTGACATGGCACCAAAATTTCAAACAGTATTCAAAAATTCAGTGAGATTAAGCATGAAGGGAGTAAGGCAGGTACTTGTCACAAATCTAACTTCAGATGCAACTTCTTTGATGATAGGAAATAAAGTTTTGTATTCACTTTGAATGATGTTATTTTGCAGTATTAAATGGATGTTAGTTGCCTTCGTCAAGTTGCTTCTGCAATAGACCTTGTGCGTTAAGGCGGAGTCAGAGGGCAATGGTTTTGTATTGCCTTGATATACATGAGTCAACCTATTGTTCATCCATTGTTAGTAGATTAATATAACAATTAAAGAATATTCTCTGAAACACCTGCAATTTATTCAAGTAAGCCTACATGATATACATGTCTGTTGGCCTACTTTGGCACTACAAGATTGTGAGTGCAATATAAGCCTGGATAGGACTTGTTTAAGATTAAATTAACTGTTAACAGTTACAGCCCCAATCTGGTATAATCATTTAATCCTCTAGTGATTTGTGTTAATCCCATTGTGGATAGATTCTCTTTTATACATGTATTGTTGATACTGCATGTGGTTCTATGTTACTTCTAGTACATAATACATGTACTTTAACTTAAGTACTGGTATACTTGTGTTAAAGGACAATAACCTCTAAGTAGATTAAGTGAACTGTTAACAGTTATAATTGAGCCTATTGTGATAATCCTTTAATCCTCTCATGGTGTCCCTGAATGATCTGTTCATCCCATTTTGGCCACACATAGTTTCAAGATTTTGTGCAAATATTGCTCTGAGAATCTTTGGAGTACAATGAGGAAAACCATGTACGCTAGTTCATGATGAACATACTGGAAGTGGAACATGTACCTTCACTTCAGCATGTGCGAATTGGTAACCAAGTTCTCAAACAATGACAAGATACATAAACCCTCAATTTACAGCTCAAGTCTCAAAGCATGAATAAAAATACCGTGCTACATTCATCAAATGAAAGGAAAAACAGAGAAAAATACATGTTCATGAAATACAGTCTAATGTGTTTCAACCTTTTATTCATTTTAAACACAAAAGAATAAAGTAACAAACAGTTACGAATTTGACCAGGGCCCAATTGCATGGTTCTACTTCCTGTAAGTAAAGAAATCCACTAAAATAGGTAAGCAAGGAATGTTGTTTATGTACAGCTGCTTAATCAGGTGGATTAGTTGGAAGACAACCGATAGGAACAGAGGAGCTGCAGTCCTCAAATTTCTTTTGTCTGCTTGCATGTTTTATCGGCTTGGATGTGCATACAACATCCAGTAGCTTAGGATTCTGTGCTTACAGTTAAACGTTAAACACAAACTCTGCCTTAGCACTGTAAGCACACAAAGCCTTACATACCAAGAGGGGGAAGACCTCTGTTTCCCTTCTTTTGTTTTTCTTTGTTTGTGTTGAAGTCTCAAACTCCATAACGTTTCCCTTATGGGATAGATAGATTTCTCAAGACTTCCTTGTGGAGTCTATTGTCCCTATTGTGCTTACTGCCTTATAAGGAACCATGTGTGTGAACAAAATACACATATCTTGTTATTATGACAGTTTACATGTATGACAAAGACTACTAAAAGCCAACAAGTTACACATTTGAGGAAAGGGTGGGGTTTATGAAGGGATAGGTGGGGACTGACTTACCTGCAAAGTCCAGATCTACTGTTTAGGTTAAAAAGGGGAGGGTCATATGGTAACTAGCACAAGATTATGAGTAGGTGTGGCTTGGAGTAGCACAGATGAATAGACCGATTCATCAAGGCCCCCCTATTATGAGTAGCCATGAGTTAGCCACGCCCCTTAGACAACCCTGTAAAATTTTGTATGTTAAGTTTTGTTTGTCTCAGATTGTACGCGTTCCGCGTCCATATGTACCGGTATATCATGTAATTGGACAATATTTCACAAGCTGCATTGACGCAATTCTACCGCGATAGGTAAATTGTTACAGACACTTGACAAATGTTCAACAAAGACAATGCACCCTTAATTTATTTAATAAAACAGTCCAGGAGGGCTATGTAATGTGTAGTATTGCAATGTCCTACCTGCAATTCCTTGATCTTCTTCTGTAGCTGTGCAACCAGGCTCTGTTCATCCTCCAGTCTGCTGTTCAGCTGACTCAGGTCATAATCACGCCTAAACAAACACAAATAGCACAAAGAGGTGATTAGTCTCAATTAAGTCAGACAAAGCTAAGAAATTGTGAAAGGCCAGTTAAATGCCACTATTATATCATCATACTGTTATTCACAAGGTTACAGAAATTTGAAAAGTACTCTACGCCTTATGGTGCCACAGACAGTTTCCTGAGGCAACTATTTACACATCTTAATTCATAGAACAGTACTCAAACATCCTTATTTCTGAACATAATTCACACACAGGTCAAAGACAAAGGTCAAGGTCTTGTGATGTCAATTTGCTCCAGAAAGCTGTTATTATTGTTATTTATGCATATGACTAGGCTAATATTAAGTTACCGGAAACATTAGGGAGGAGCTACACTGGTCTTATGGAAGTATACAAGCTCTATAAAAAACCACCCCTCTTCTAAGTAGATAGTTACTTCACTTGGTATGTGAACAAACTTCTCTGAAGTTATACCCTCCATCACGCAAGGCCTCAAATCAATTTCAGATTGGATTTTAGTCTTCAGTAATAATGAGTACGAACAGTGAGAATATTCTTCAGTAATAACACGCATACATACTTCTTGATAGTTTCCTCCATTTCACGCTTAGCATGCTCCAATTCCTCCACTGTCTCCTGGGTCATCTTGAGGTCACCTTCCAGTTTCCTCTTGACCTTCTCAACGTCAGCCCTGGCCTTCTTCTCATGCTCCAAGCTGTCCTCAAGCTGCAACACAGATCAACAACATCATTAGAACATGAAGAATTGATCGGCAGAAGCACCACATACAAAAATGTCTTTGTTCTACAAAAAACAAGTGTCGTTGTTTTAAACTAAATATGAATCGTTATCAGCCTCAAATGGAGTAGGAATGCATGAGGTCTAATATGTACCTTTTCCCCACCTTCTAAATGCCATTTTTATTCTCTTTTTTTTTAAAGAAAATTTTAAGTGATTCCACTTTACTGAACCCCCCCCCCCCCCAAACAGCTATAAAAATAAAGTAACATCCACTGAAGAGCCATTTTAATGAAAATCACTTTGATGACCCTACTTTGCTCTCATTAGCTTGGAGATACCTTCTTATAGTTTTGCTGCTAATACGTTTGCTTAATAATATACGCGTCAAGGTACCACTAAGAAGACACGTTATCGTATTTTCTTCGCACGATGGGAGACATTGGTCATTAGGGAGACATAAATGTCACAGCCCCCCTTTAGAGGCACAATTTTATTGTCGCAACTAGGTTATATTTGTTGCTCATGGTCTAATTAGTAAACATACTGAAATTCAAGTCTATGGGGATGTCTCCCAAATGTCCAATCCAGGGTAATAGTTATTTGTATTGACATTATAAAGTGGACTCTTGTTAACACTAACTCAACCGGACCTAGCCGAAATGTATATCAGAATTTTGTATTAAGTGGAGTGTCTTTCCCATTCATTGTGCACATAAATGCACAGTCGTGACTAAGGCTTTGTTTGCTAAAACCAGAATTTGTATTAACAGCATTTGTATTAACAAGAGTCGACTGTAAACGGCAACATATACTTCAAGTTCAAGGTGATGATGAATTATGTTATAGTATTGATTGAACTGACCTCATCAACAGTAGACTCCAGCTTGGCCTTGACCTTAGTCAGGTGGTTGCACTTGTCCTCTTCAGCTTGAAGTTGTTCAAGAGTTTTCTGTGAGGTCAAGTTCAGACAGCTTGTTATTTTATCCGTCCTTTGTTAGTCCTCCCACTCCATTCCCTGTAATCTTCACCCACACTGATGTGGCCCCCCCCCCCCAATTAATCCCTCTTGGTCTGTCCCCTATTTAATCCGTGCTTTTGATCATTCTTCTACTTCTGTCTCTTTGATCCACACCCACATTGGTCTGTCCCCATATTTAATACCTCCTTTGTGTTTCTCCTCCCAACCAGGCATGCTTGTGAGTCCCTACATGTTTGTTTCTTGTACCTCTGTCATTTTGAATCTGAAGCAGAACTTGTTAAGTTTGAAACGTCAGGCCGCTTTAATTTTTCAGAATTGTCTTTTCTTTGCAACTTTGTGGTCACATTCAAAATTGGTCTGGTAAAACCTGCAATTGTTGGGTTAGGTCTTAAACTGCTAGTCCCTGTACTGTCTCAAGACTGCCCTCCCTATTACTTGCCTATGTACCGCCCCAAACCACCCATGCATGCTATGGTGTATATAGCTTCATCAGGGAATAAAAACAACGTAACACAATGCAGTACAGGTGATAATGATTTACAAAATAAGGCTTATCACAAGTTATATAATGTATTCCACAACAATCCCTGAATGTCTCCTATGGCCCGTTTACCTGGTTAGTCTCTTCCAGTGAAGCCTTCTCTTTGCTCAGCTTAGCGATGACTTCATCCTGAGCAGCCAGGTCCTCATTCAGCATCTTGATCTGACTGTCCTTGGCTTTCTTCTCATCCTCGACCTAAAGAGCGGGGGTAAATATGCAAATGAGGTGGGGGACCCCGCCCACTAAGTGGATGGGAATCAGTGGAGCTATGTGCTAATGAATATGCAAATATGGTCACAAGTCCAGGTCACAAGTCCAGGTCCCACCCTCCAATACTTTAGGACCTATGCCTTAAGGAATATGCTAATTAGGTACGTAGTTCTTACCCACAAGTTGGATTGCAAAGGTAGGGCATATACACAAATCCATTGTCAGCATACACTTCAGAGTGTCCAACTATTCAGGTCATCGCAATGTACCCGCCTGATCAAATCCGTAGAAATCCATATAAGGGATTTTCCTGACCATTTCTAGAATGATTCTGAAATTGGTTTCGCACCGTAACAAAAATTTCATTGACCAGAATGAAGGGACACTAGCTGTGCTGCAGAAAATATGGTCTAATAACAGTAAAAAGATCCACTTAGATATCACCCCAAAATGCAGCTTCTTGGAAAGAATATACACCAAATGGACTGAAAGACTTGGCTATCTCTGGCTGCTGCACTGATACACTTATCATCTTGCTTGCTATGGCCGAGTTACCATGGTGATCAGAACCATACAGAATGCTGGGTAAAAATGATGAACAGGAGTCACTGGCCAAATAATGGGGCTTGTTTGCATCAGCAAGATGGATGATATACATGATAGATCAAACAATGAATGGTGGAAACAAGGTAAACATACAGAGTTTATGGAAGAGAACTCAAATGTAAGTCATGAACAAAACGAATAGACAGAACTAAATCAAAATACATTTTAAAGAAATGAAAACACCAGAAAATGACTGAAAAAAATCTTCCACAGGCACAAACAGATAACAGATGATTTACATAAAATGAAGAAAAGACATGAATGGGTGTTCAAAGACATTGAAAATTTGACTTAGATGAAATAGTTTGGTCTAAACTTTTTCTTTTTTAGTACCAGAAAACAAATGGCCCGATAAGTAACATTCCAAGATCATAAGTACAAGAGAAGAGTTTACAAAAAGAACTCTGGAATATAATGTCATTTTAACCTATTAAGAATGCACAATGAATGTAGATTTTCTTGATTCCTAATTAACCCTGTCTCTCCAGTGTATACATAGCCACAATATTTTCCAGGTACATTGTGAAATTTTTGATTATGAAATATAACAATGTTCATATCTGACATTATTTTACAGCAATATATTTTAAGATGTTGGAAAAAATTATTGACTATTTTAGTAAGTCAGATGCAAACACCATAAATAGTCAGGCACTTTCTGTAAAGCAACAGTAATATCATGCCAATATTAAACAGCTTTCATTTCGATAAGCTCTGTGTTATCTTGCATGATTTGCGCTCAATGTTTTCTTCAAGTATGTTTTCATGCCACCTTTTACAGCAGTTAGTTTCCTTTATTTTGGTTATAGGGATAGATTGAGCATTGTGGTTTGGATAAAAACATTTTAAGCTTCAAGCAAAGCTAGGTTGATGTAGATTGTTAGAAGGATAGTTGGGGTATAGGTGAAGCTTTGTCTGATGGACATTTCATGTTAACAGAAAGCTAAAAGGTTTACAGATGCTCAGTTTTCCTCAACTTGGTTATTCATTCTGGGTAACGGGGCTCTACTGTTGGTCTTGTTTAGGATACGCGCAGCTATTGTTTGGTATTGTAACTTGACTTAAGCGAAACTACTGCTGCACTTTTTGCAGGTATTGTTTGGGAATTAACATATCAATTTTTTACACTTCAGTTGCTTTATTTATTTGTTAAGTCTTGGCTTCTTCCTTAAACAAGGATTAGTTCATAACCCTAAAAATTTTGCTATCAACTTACTATCATAACCAGTTTTTTAATCAAACAAACTAATCAATGCTTTTTAAGTCTTTTTGAAAAATGTATAAATTCTCAGGATTACAAGTTATCAGTCTGTATTGAAAGAGTTCAGGTTTTTTTTAACCTGGTTTACATCAGGTTGACAGGGACTTCAACCGTAACAGAATTATGGTTTGTAAGTTATTTAAACCTGGTAGTGTCACTGATTGGTGTATTTGGCAAAAGGTTATGGGGTCATCAGGATACTTGTCAACTTGCAATGTTAGAATGGAAATTGTGTCAGCAAGTGTTTGGTGAAAACAATATGAATGTATACCACACATGACGGAAGGGGACAGTCAGGAGACAAGACATGCAATGATGCTAGGTGGATATGTAAATATGAGACTGGTTCTCATTATCCCCACCTCAGCAAAACTTTGCTTTACTTTCAGCAAAATCAGTTCCTTGAAAGAATACTATTCCTTTTGCGCTGTCAAATTTCAACACATTTGTCGCCAAATAGGCGACCGAATAATTTTTTTTAATTTAAAAAAAAAAATCTATTTCCAGAAGTAATATTCCGTAGGGAAACTGTTTTTCAAATTTGAAATTATTCTAATAGCCAATCTCATCAGACTATAATGCAACAACCTTACATGTTCCAACCATAAAGTGTTTTTAGTTTGTTTTTAAATTTACATATCCACTGCAAACACACACTCACACTCAGATGAAAAGATGGAAAGATGGGGAAAAATGGATGTGATGGAAAGAAGCACCACCATGAGGTCATTTCCTGTTCAGCCCATCATTCAGCCTGATTCAGCCAAATCACCACGGCAACTGGGGAGCATCAATGCCATGCATGGCTAGGCTACAATGACCCATGTTCGCAGTCACAGACATATCCTTTTTTAAATGTTCTTTAGATAAATATTTTGTTTTAAAAGTTTTTTTAATCAACATTTTAAATCAGAGCAACTAAATTTGTTATTTTTCTGTGTATCACTGTCATTATCTGCAACACAATAAAAACATATTTTTCAAAATGAATGAAACAGATTCAAGTGTGAGGTTTGTTTTTTAAATAAATTCTAAAATCAATTCAATTTACTATCCATAGTTTGTAATTATAGGATAATTTAAAAACTATAAAATTTGCCACTGAGAAAGGAACAGATGATTTCTTTGTAGCTATGAGGATTTTCATTTTGCATTTCATTCCTCTTTTCATTCAATGCCATAGTAACCTTGCCCAGATATTACAAAAAGCAAGGAGATTTCAAAGATTGTTTAGCATCCCCACACAATGATCAATTCCAACCTCATGTCTGTGGCAGGTAGATGCAAATTGAAGTTGGGTTTGACCTTTCACTGATTCAATTTTACAAGCACTTGCTCAGTGCTGCTCACATGCTGTCTGTAACATACACAAATGTCTATGACTGTTTTGCAAAGATGAAATATGTTGCTCTGATCTTGTCTGTGACTGTTAATGAACACGAGGACACAGCAGCCCCACCTAGCAGGATACACACGGCAAGATGGTTCAAGTGCATCAGTACCTTAGCCAAGGTGATCTCCAAGTCCTCAATGTCCTTCTTGAGTTCCCCGCACTCCGTCTCCAGCTTGCGCTTGGATGCGCTGACATCTGCGTTTGAATCTTCTTCATCCTCCAGACGGGCTTGAAGCTCCTGAAGGTGGTAGAGAGATTGGATGGGGTGGACAAAATAGGAGAGAAGGTTACAAAGTAAAACAAGAAGGGCAAAAAATTAAAGGTAATTCTGTGCCAGAAATATACACAGTTTAGATTTCATCACATTTGTGCGGTTGAGGACGTCAACAGAAAGCGGCTGAGCAATTGACAAGTTTATTTCTTGCCACGGTAAGGAGTTTAAGACTTGCGATGGCTCTTGTGAATGGTACTTACAGCAAGTTGAGTTTCCATGTCAACGCGTTGGCTCATGACCTTGGACAGCTTCTCCTCAATGTCAGCAGCATTATCTTGTTCCTGTTAAATGATCACAAGGAAATATGTAGGTCCTTTAAAGGGGCATTAAGGCCTGAAATACCCGAAAATTTCATGTTTTGGATTTTTTACTTATCTTATTTCAAAGATCTGGTTGAAAGGAAACTAACCTTATGTCTCCCCATTCCTGCAAAAAGCTGAAAAAAACCCTGATTGTTTACATCGGCATTTTGTGGCATACGCATACATATTTCAAGCCGTGTCTATTCAATGTACCGTACTGTGTGTGTCACATAATACACACAGCACTGATACATGTTGTTTCTAACACGTCTGCAGAAGCGAACCACTGTGCGGCAGGATTCATGACTAGCACCGAACAGATCGATTTTTAAGGATGGCTGTTTGGACATTTAAATCCCACTTTTAAATGTTCTTTCCAATAAATATCATTTTGTTTAAAATGCGTTTTGTAGCCCAATTGGGCACGTTCTTGGCTGTAATGTCCCTTTAACCTCGCCCTTTCAATTCCTAACTTTGCAGGTTCATTCCTGAACTATAATCCTCTACAATACCTTCTGTGACTACCTCCTACAATCGAGCTTAGAATTATCAGATTCTGAAGTCCTTAAAGAGCCAAAGGAATTAGTTCCTTTGACATCAAGACCTTCCTCCTTTCCTTCTGTTTAGCTTTGTAAAGTGAAGACTCTTTTCCTTCCTGAGTTTAACTCTTCTATTTTCAGTTCTTCTCTCCTACTACACTGTAGCAGGCCTGCTTGTACAATGTCCATTTTGCTTCAATTGGGCTTTTGTAGCCTCATTTGTTTCTTTCTTATACTCCATCCCACCTTTACAACTAATATCTTACCTGCTGCAGCTGCATGAACATGTCATTCTTCTCTTTCATGAGCTCCGAATTCTTATCTTCCAGTAGTTTTCTCTCTTTCTCCTCCTTCAGGGCCTTATCCTTGGCCTTCTGCAGTTCTTCATCCATGGCTTTCATCTCATCCTCGGCACGGGCCACGTTCAGCAGCGGCTTGACCTTGGTGTACAGGCGCCACCAACCCCAATTACGCAGGACCAGGTACTTGCGGATGTTACGCTGAAGGACAGCTAGACCAACTCTGAGGAGAGAAAGCATGAGAAACATGATGAGGTCCAACACATCACCCTGAGATGCCTTGTTCATCACCAGTCAATTTCAAGTCATCAAATCTCAAGTATGACCAAGGTATTTCCTTTTCATCCCATGATACCTCAGTAATGCACTTGAGTCTATCACAAATCTTTCACTGGTAACATCACAAGTCCTTCACAAGGCAATTCACAAGTCCAGTCACAAGGAACAGACGACCACTAATAAAGGTATGTCTTTGTCAAAGTTCATTTGAATAGCTTGTGACTTGATATGAGGGTAGATAATACATGCGACTGACTTGCGATGGACTTGTGGGGACTTGTGAGGACTTATGATGGACTCGACTTCAAGGATGCGGTACCTGTGACTTAACACGTGATTTGACTTGTGATTTGACAGGTGATACTGTCTTATGATAAAGTCAATTACAATTATGTCAGAAGGTTGTGGGTTTGATTTACTGCAATTTGTTGCGTATTGCTTTAATGGCTTTAAAAATTTCAACTCTACCTGTGTTATTTCTTTAGAAGAGCTTTGATTTACACAGACAGTTACACAGGGCAGTGTTTGTGATGAACTTGATAACATGATCTGACATAGTGTACTGTGTATTTGGGACAAGCATGCATGCTGATCTTTATTCACAGATGTTCAGCTGTGAAAACTCAGTCAAGGCTATTCATTCACGTTGTCTATTAGTGGTGTTTAATATCTCATCCATAATCAATGGATGACATCAGACAGTTACATAAAGGACAGATCCATCCGCCTGACAACAGTGAGAAAAATTAATGTACACTCATGTATCATTGTTGTTTACATCTAAAAAGATAAAGCAATATATTTTAATACAAGTGAATTTTTTTCTCATCAGACCTCAAAAAATAAAAAGATTTACACTGGGGGTACCGGAGTGGTTATAAGATGCTAAATTGTTGCACTTACCTCTGGTCCAAGATTTTCTTGTAGATTCTTCGCATGAGGTAGCCACGACAGACAGCTTGTAGGAGGGAGAGGATTCTGGACAGGCGGGTATCACGCATGTCCTCAAGCTGACCAAGAACACCAGCACGGAAAAACACCTGTAGACAGGACAAATGAAGACAAAAGGGAGCCATAAGAGCTGAAAAAAAGAATGCAAGTTAGATACTTGTTCCTTACTTGGATAACTGCCTTTACTTGGATAATTGGCTTAAAGCAACAATTCAGCAAAAACTACCCAATTAAGTCAACTTGCAGTTGAGGGCTCCTCATGCACCTTGCATACCATGATACTAGACAAGCAAAACCATGGAATTAAACAGATATTTCTTTCCCTTGATAAGAACCCAATTATTTTCAACTGACCTTGGTGTGACCCATGCGGTACTCGTTGGCTTCCAGATCCAAAGACTTGAGCAGTAGATCACAAGCCTTGCGGCTATCCATGAAACCTTGGGGTACAGAGCTAGGAGCCAAGATCATGTATCTGTGACAAAAACAAGACCAAAAAGCAGAATTAGTAAGATTTTTGAATGCCTTTAATTCAAGCAAAATGTACATGAACATGTTGAATGAACCCTGCCTATAGGACAGCAAGATGGAAGTAGCTTTCATGTTAGTAATGCACTGCATTTCCAGCTGGAACAGGTAATTTTGAGCATATATTTATACTTGTAAGCCAAGGTTCCCCCCATGGAGAAGCCTGACATCCCTAACTGTCAAAATAGGAACAATGTCACCCAATTTGACATGCATCACTGGACCTAGATTCTTACACCAACCTCTGTTTGAAGGCAGAAAAAGGCATCCTGATGGGCCATTCACTGCACATGAGATTCTGAAGATTGTGTAATGCATCATAAGACCTACGTTCTCAGACTCACCTCTGCTTGAAGTCAGAGAAAGGCATCCTGTTGGGGAATCCCTTGCGGCAGATACGGATGCCTTCCAGCACACCGTTACAGGCCAGTTGGTGAAGTACCAGGCGGGCATCAATGACACCTGGCTTCTTGTTCTCATTGGGGATGATGCAGCGTACAAAGTGAGGCTTGGTGTTCATTAGGGTTGCCAGCAGACGGTTCAGTTGTTCCTGTGAGGAAGTGGTGGCAGGAGTGGGATAAATGTTGGAATGGGTCCACAGGTGGAGTGTAGGTGGTTCAAGAGTGGCAACAGACCAACCAAGCTCATACTGCATGATATGTAGCCTTGAGCTTGACTTTCTACTGATTTCACAATAAGAACAACAGTTCTCTTGGTTTTGGCTACATGTGATGTAAATTATAATGTTGTTCCTTTTGTCCGTTGGGCATGTTATGTTCAAATTCTCTTAACCAGGAAGCTTCAATAGTAATGCAGTTGACATTGGCTTAGTCTGCGTCTTGCCTTTATGAAATTGAACAGCAAGTATGAATGAATGCCATTCTCTCGGCAAAAATGTATAAGTTCAACAACAGCATAGTGTAAAACATCATCTTTGTGAAACAGATCAGTCCTTAACTATAGTTGCACTTGTAACTGGCAACACAGAAAAACATTCCATGTCAGGATCATCAAATGCTTGCATTTTGCTAGGGTTGTCAATAAAGCCAGCCTCAGGTCGACCTTGCAATGACACAGATCAGACGGCGACTGACTTTTCAGGATGAAGCTGCGCCTGAGCTACAACCGTCAGGAACAACTCAGTCGCCGATTGTTTGTGACCTGAGTGCAACTGCAACGATATTGAGATGATCAGCATCAGTCGGCGCTAAATAAAAAAATCAACACTTGCAAGAGTAGAAAAATTTCAACTTCTGCGACGTGTTCTGCGACAATCACACGATTTCTCAGTTTTGTGACCTGAGCAAAGTTGTTTTGCTTGACAGTTCCGTTGTGGCGCAAGCAGTGGGTCGACGTGAAGCCAGCTTATGAGGAATGAATGAATTTTGCTGCCTCATCTCCTTAGAAGCAAGTCCAAAATGCAGCTAAATTATTATTTCATTGGGGCATAACAGTCCTGAGTATACACAGGCTGATAGCCCACCATACACGTTAACACACTGTTTTTTTTAGAAAGCTCTTTTCTGAATGAAAATTCCATTTTGAGATATAAACTGTCTTGTTCAACTGTTCCACAAAAATCTTGTTTTACAACAAAACTCCCTCAAAGGCACTACAAATCTATGAATGACAAATGATTTTTTGAAAAATGAAGAACACATGAAAGAATCAAATTAGGTTTTGCCCTTCACTGATGTATAAACACTGTATACTCAGTGTGTTGCCTCCAAAGTGAACGTTGAAAAAAATCACTCGGGTGGGACTCGAGTGATTTTTTCCAACTTTCACTGGGAGCTAACACACTGAGTGTACAGTGTTTATACGCCGGTGAAGGGCAAAAACCTATTTTGATTTACACCCCGACGCAACATTCCATCTCATGGACACGAACGAATACTGAAAGATATCTGAAGCTGATTCCTTGAAGGCTAAAGCTCAGGAAAAAAATCCGATATTTTTAAAAGGATGGCATGGAGTGATCATCACAAATTCTGCAATGAAGCTCGACAGTTTAGGGGCATTTTTGCAACAGTCCGCAATTCCATGCAAAGCGTTTTTATGCATTTGGTACTGCTTCATCATGCATTTTTTTAAAAGCATTTTAATTAGACATTAGTTGACTAGCATTGAGGTTTCTGATCAAGCTAAAGTTTTTTATGCTGATTAACACTGGCCAGAACATAAGGTTGGGTTTTCATGTATTTTTTCTCAAGTTTTGTGCAGCAAAACCAACCCTACAATTTATTTTTTTAAATGACCACAAACATCAACCATTAGATGAACTTCAATTAAAAGCAAAAGTATGAAACATTACACAACAAATGAAAAAGGCGAAGGTTCAGTGCAATGAAATATTAACATGTGTAGTGAATGCTATGGAAACACTCATGGATAGGGAAAACATCCCAACAATGTAACATTTCTTCACTCCAAAAATGTGGGGAAAAATCGTACTATGTGCAGTAATGCATGAGGTATAATTTTTTTCTTTTTATTTTTGTTTGGGGAGGGGGTCCACTGATACAGTGAGATTTTAAATTCTAAGTCTCATTTCTATATAATAAAAACCTTCTTTTTCGAATCAAATTAGTAAATTTGTTAATAGATGGAGAAAACAAATTATGAAATTTGCCAGAGACATATTATTTCTTTGTTTCACCGAGTAGTTTAATTTGAGAAAAACAGCTAACTTGAAAAGTCCTTGAGAAAGAGCATGTTTAATTGGTATTATCTATTTCTAGAAGTATAGCCACAGTGGACAAGCACAAAATGCATGCATGATTCAAAATCAAACAAAGGAGCAAGCACTGCCCTTTAAAAAAAAACAAATATAAAGCAAATTTGGTAGCATGCAAGAGAGAGATAGAGAGAGGAGCCAATGCAGCTCATGCAAACCCTGTGGGAACCGCTAATTGTCTTGATAGCCTGCTTCCTGCCCGCTCCTCCTCCTGCATATACAGAATAAGGAAGATGGTACAACAAGCAAGACACCAGAGTCAGCTTTAGCCATTCATTGGTAGTAGTGCAGCCTAGCAGGTTTGGGGTGTGGGGAGGGGGAGTTATCTCTCAGAGCTGAAGCAGCAACTTTTAGCTTAGTGAAATTGATAAACAAAAATAATCGTAAAATTCTTTTGAAGCCTAGAGCAAGCAATCACTTTCCCCAAATAGCATGCTCCTAGTTGCATGGTGTACTGCATTCTACTGTTACATTTTGGACAGTGTAACTGTTTTCAAACACAAAATATGATACACATTTCCAAAAAAATTATACCAGGCAAAAAATTCTGCTAAACAGCTCTGTGAAAATACCTCCCATGTAAGGGTGAGTGCCCCATTGTTCCAAAAGTCAGATGTAGCCTTTAGACCCTTGATACAAACAGTTATGAACCTAAAAAGATTTGCCGCATTGCTTCAAAATGGGTACTTTTCTGAAATTCTCTTATCAAACGAAATATTATTGATGATCTTATTTGCTGCAAATAGGATTGTTTGCGAATGCGAATGTCTGAGGCTTGACATCTGAAATCTGGTTGGGGATAGCTTCAGGCAACCAGAGAGAGCGAGAGACAGAGATGCAGCGAGTTGATGCACTAATCAAGAAGCCAGTGAGGGAAGGTAGATTTGCAGGCCACGTGCTGAGTGCTGACCAGTCCAAACATTATATGACTGTCAGGAATACCATACCCTGTGAAGAGCAGATACGGTCTGGAAAGAACCGCCCTTCTTACGGCCACCTCCGGCTATTGGGGGTCAAAATTAACACAAGAAAGAAGGGGAAAAACGCAAAAAAAAATACATTGTGATGTTAACATAGATAATAAAACTCAGGTACAGACAAATGATCATTCTTGCTAGCCAGTCTTAACTCCAACAGTGTCCGGGAGATATAAAATAGGTTTAAACAGCAGGTCGATGCTAAAATGTAGACAGATTTTTTCTCCAGACACTTGGCCTCCATAATTTCAATAGGTGGGGGGGGGGGGGGGGGGGGGTGGGGGGGGGGCTCGTACCATACTTGTAATGGGTGCGCTGTTCAAATCCGACGATCATCAACACTATATCACAGACTAATGTACAAATACCCTCCGAAACCAGCTGGCTCTGACCTAAGTTTGTGCACAGGCAGATATTATTATCAGCATAATTGTCAAAAAAACATTTTGGGTGTCAGACTGGGGGGGAGTTCACATTATTTTTAAAACATTGAGTCAGAACCCCCCTCTGGATCCGCGCCTGGTGATTCCCAATGAAATAGTCTTTAGAAACAAACCTCCAACAAACAGGAAACCAATCAACTCAAGTGAGGTTGTTGAACCAGTCAAGGTTTCAAGGTTTGTCCAGAGGACTAAACACAATTCAAGGTTGAGTCATTTTCGGAGACATGGTTGGCAGTGAGGCCTATAGACAATGTCATCTACTGATGTAATGCCTGTCGGTTGAGTTATACAGCCAGTGTGTTTCAACATCCCGCAAAGTGCAACATCAATTTGTTTTACAGACTGGTTTGACCAGCATCACCTGATCTAAACACACGCAATTTTAGAAATGAACTTGACATGGCCTATGGGTGCAGACAAGAGTTTAGAAAGGTGACCATTGCAGAGCTCCCAACATTCAGATTTCAGAAGGGGTACTTCTCATCAAGCTGGTGGTCATTGTGCAGCATGTCACAATGCCTGTGCAATGGATCTCTCACATAGGTTGCAGAGTTCACCAGGAAATGTTTTAACCACTTGGTGCCAGGATAATTGTTGCCAAAGATTTCAATTTTCGCCAAAGGCAACATTTTCCAGCCAACTTCTGATCTACAGCCGAATGCCACAATTACTGATTCGCAAGAGTCATTTCAACAGTATTTGTATCGGATATTTCTTGACAAAACCTCATATGTTTCGACACCCCAGGGTGTGCACTGGAGCGTAAATTGTGTGTGTATACAAAAGACATGAGGGATTAGCGTGTTTAGACGTCATTCGGAGGTGAGTCGAGGCAATATTGACATTTGAACCCATCAGTTGTGCCTACTATTGAGTTAAGTCCAAATGTTGCTGGTGTTTTTTTTTGGAGGGGGGAGAATTAATTTGAAGTGTTACCTGTGGCAATTTCAGCAAAGAGGGTGTGAAGAAGCACCATGGTTGATTTGCGGAAGAGTTCCACAACGGCCTCATTCAGGGGATCCTTGTTCTTGTCCAGCCAGAAATCCACGTTGTAGCCCACCTAACACATGGATCAATGAATTGGTGTGACTTCAGTGATTCAAGGCCATGAAAACAGGTTTCTTTTTAATGATAATCGCTATCAATCTGTGCCTTCCCAAGTTCACTCTCCAAATGATAAACTTTCTTAGATGCTTATGTTACAAGGAAACATCAAATGAAATGCCATGTAACTTAGAGTGTCAGTCAGCCCCATCCTTTTAATTCTATACCAAACATTTTCTTCTTCCTATTCAAGCAAACCATTTTCCAGTTTTATGCCAACACATTTCTAACGGTACTTCAGAAAAAGAATTGAGGTGACACTTTATCAACTGAATGAACTATCTATCTATCTATCCACTCGGTTCACAAGTACCCCCTCACCGGCAAAGAAAGTACTGTTGGGGGTGACCGAACGACGCCATCTTGCCTGACTGCAATATGTTGCCGCGAAGTGACCGCTGCGTGTACTGATTTTTAGATTACCTGGATTTTCAGTGTTATTTTTTTTTTGGGGGGGGGGGGATACTCACAGTGCCGGCATAGTGGTGGATTTCAAAGTGGTACTCGGCTCCGCTCTTCTTCTTGCTACCAACACCGGGTGTGCCAAAGACAGCAGGCTTGTCAGCGTTGTTCTTGATCAGTTTTTCCAAGAAGGTCTTGTCAGTGGCCTTGGGGAACATGCATTCCTCCTCCAAGACCATGAAGACACCCATGGGCTGGCAAAGGGATAAGGAAGGCAGATGAGCGACAAAGGCAGGAGTTGATTTCTTCTTCATAAATATGTCACCATCTTCAATTGTTATACACACCTCTTCATAAATATGTCACCATCTTCAATTGTTATACACACATCTTTCTGAATTAGGTAGAAAATTTGACCACTTTGTAAACTTAAGAATTAACAGCAATATGATTTTTTTTTTAACAAACCTAACTTTTTAAATTTGGATGCAATACAGAGTTTTGAATACAGAGTTGGTTATCTTTAAATTAGATGGAATTAAAACAGCAATATTTGTGCTGAGTCAATATGTGGGCTTGTAGTCTTCAGCAGGTGCCAATTTCAGATTGAAAAGGAATAAACCAAGATAGACCACAACTTTGAACATTGTGGGTTCTACAAACATACTCAGTGAACATGGTAAATTAGCCGTTTGTTATAATGATCTGTATTAATACCAGAGTCTTATATAGCGCACGTATCTACCAACAATTGGGTACCCAAGGGGCTGGAAATTATGTCTATTATTAAAGACAGGTAAATGAAGTCTATGAGAAATACGAGACCCATTACCTTGATAAGGGTTGATAAGGGTTTACAAGGTGCTGTGGCGCATTTTGCAGCCACTGCCAGAAACACCGGGGCAAACCCTTCTCTTAGCGATAAGTTACTGGGTTCTTTAACGTGCATTACACAACACATGGGACCTACGGCTTTACGTCCCATCCGAAGGACGAAGCAATAATGGTAAAGTGCCTTGCTTAAGAGCACAAGCACCATGTTCCCACGGTCAGGATTCGAACCCATGTACCACGGCACACGAGTCGAACACCGTAACCACTGGACCACAGCACCCCTGTGCAATTTATTTACTCTATATTTGAGCTGATGTATGGGCTGGTCATCTATAATAGATGCCATTTTGAGCTGATATACATGTATTTGGTTCACAATGCGCAAAGACAAATTAGGCGAGTGTAATTTGTGCCATATGCTTACAGAACCAGTGTATGAATACCATGTATCCCATATACTGGCTCTTGTGAATAGGCACTACAGAGCCAACAACTGATCCTGCACAGAATTCCTATAGTTGAATGGTCAGTATTACAGTGTCCTGCAGCATCAATGGCCATATACTCACTCCTTCAATGAGAGTGATGGTGTCCTGCAGGTCTAGACCAAAGTCAATGAAATCCCACTGGATGCCTTCACGCTTGTACTCCTCCTGCTCAAGGACAAACATGTGGTGGTTGAAGAACTGCTGCAGCTTCTCATTTGTCAGGTTGATGCAGATCTGCTCAAAGGAGTTGAACTGTTCAGACAACGAAAAAAGCTGTGTTACCTCACAATAATGAAACTGTGAATACCTGGAATCTCACTCAAGTGGGTAAAGGAATTATACAGTAATACACAGGCCAAACTTAAACCTGAAGGGGTTGTTCCCTTCCAAAACAAAATCTACCTGCCCTCCTCCCCCCAAAAAAGAAACAAAGAAATTGTCTGAACTTCACTCTTCAAAAGTTTCATTCAACAATTTGTTCAAGTTTACCCACCTCGAAGATCTCAAATCCGGCAATGTCCAAGACACCAATGAAGTACTGTTTAGTTGCCTTGGTATCCAGAGTTTTGTTGACACGGTGAACAAGGGAGCGGAACATACGGTCGTAGATGGCCTTGCACAAGGCACCTACAGAGTAGGCCACCTGAAAATAAGAATGCATTGAGAAAATGGCACTCAGTAATAGTCACACATGCCTTGGAGGATCAGGACAAATTCTATAAAGACTTCAGAAATGATTTGCCGTGAATGTTAATTAGAGTTAAAGGGAATATACCACATTTGCAATCATCGAAAAATAAAACTACCAAGTTTTTACAAAATACCTTACTAGGATGTTGGTAAATGACAGTCTAAAGCATCCTGTAAAATAATGGCACCTGGTGTCAAGTCATTTTCAAGAAAATTGTATTTTTGTATACATTTCCAACGGTGGTCGGCTGACCACCGTTGGAAAAACCTAACTGTTTTTGAACGGGTACAGGCCAGCTAGAGTGGTTCCCTTACCTTACAATTTTCTGACATCTATAAATTGATCCATTTTATCTTTAGTGGAGTCAGGGAACCAGACTACTTAAACATTATTGTTTTTCTTGGTTTTTCAAGCATTTTCGAACACAAAACTTCAAACATGTCAGTTAAACAATATTTGATCTATTATACTAACCCCTCAAATAGTTCATTTCTGAAAATTACAGCAAAAGCCAATGATGTACATTCCCTTTAATGTAATACCAGGTACGTTAGTCCTTAAAAGGAGACTGTGGAAATGCTGAGGAGGAATAAGGGAGGGGTTATGGAAAGGACTGAAGATGATCCAAAGGAAGAATTCATGAGTAATTGACTGGCAGGTACGAGAGACTAATTTGACATCATTGCTTTGATCTCTGAATAAAGAATTTAGCAATGATTAGCCTACTGATCACACAAGATATTATATTGAACACTTTGATCCTTAATTGCAAGAATTCAATGATCTGCAACTGACCTGTTCCTTGGTACGTCCCTGCTGCACATACTCACTGCCGACCTTGATGCGTGGTCGCAAGAGATTCTTGACCAAGTCAGCCGAGTTTACACCCAGCAGATAGGCAACCTTGTCAGCAGCTGCAGGATCAAATTGGATTGTTCAAGTGTGTCAATAAAACCAGGATGGGAATCCACATATATTTAGAATCATTGAAAAGTTGAAACGCTACACCCCTTCGCCACCACCATTCTGCTCTCTTCAGTTCAGTAACACAGTTAAATATCTTACTGTCAGTGGATTCAATTTCAGCCTGCTCCTCCCTTGGCCTCTGCTTCCATTTGATGTTGCCAAAGTGCATGATGCCAGCCGTCAACTGATACAGACTTAACTTCTCATCCTCCTCAAAACCCAAGACGTTCAGGGCATCCTGAGACAAGACAAAGAGAAGACAAACCCCAGGGATAGGGTTAGCACATATGATGCTAAGTAAGAAACCACCTGCTCATCAACTGTCTTAACTTCATCCACCTTTCTTATAAAAACATCAACATTGTGGCTATATACAACAGTATTACAGGTATGTCAGAGAGTTAAAAATCAACAAGAATTTTATATATTTTTTAATGAAAGAAGTATAAAGCAAACGCAAGATACTTTTCCCAGGCATGCTTTTAAAAAACAACCAGCACAGTGAGAGACATGTGAGGTTTCTTACGTCAGTGATCTTCATCTCCTCCTTGTCATCAACGTTGTCAATCTCGGTCTTTCCCTGGCTGCTAAATCTGTAGTCAGTGGGCTTTCCAGTTAGCAAGAGTTTCTCTGTATGGAAAGAGAAATGGATATTAACAACGAAAGTGCTACTGATCACCAGGCTGAGCTCCCAAGAACCATAACTGTTGAGATGACGTGTGTTGCAGACTTTTCAACTTATTGTTGGTAAGTGGGCATTGAAACATGGATGTTGGGGGTACATGAGGACAGGTGCCCTCCTGGAAAATAGGATGAATTGAAAATAGAAATAAAAGTTGCATATGCTCTAATTTTTAAAATAGTTTCAAAGGGAGGCCTCTAAAACCATCCCCCCCCAAAAAAAATGAAGGAATTCATGCCTTCAGTGCATGTGATGGATGATTGCACCCTGTACTGCTCCTTGGATACAAATCCTGGTGACAGCCATGAATTGAACTTCTAGATTCTTGGATCTGTAACACCTTTGACAATAGAATTTTATGTGCTAACACTTGACTGCTTTGTGAAAGTAGCACCTCAAAACTTGGATTGTTCCTATTCCACTCAAAATACACCTGTTGGATGCCAGGTGCATTCAATCTTGATTTTAAACAAAATGAAAGTTTTTATCCAGCTGATTGTGTGCACAGACAGACAAATAATGTTCAATTTTCAATTTGGAACAGCACTCCAGCAGTACTGCCGCTTGAATGTTAAGAGCTACATTGTCTTATAAATAAAGGAATCAGTGACTTACCATTGAGACCTGCAATTTGCCCGGATTGGAGTTGGTAGAAGATGTGGTAGCATCTCTCTAGCGGCTGCTGATAGATCACACGAGACTTCTCCAGTAAATCTGCCAATAGGAGAAACATACATCGTGGTGAGGGTTGAAGAGCTCAAAGTGTGTCTGCCAATATTTTGAAATCATGGTTTATCCAGACGATGTCTGGTGTCAATGGTTTAGACACTTCTGACATTATAGTCTTAGGTAAAAATTCTCTCTACGGTAACAAAGTCGAGCTCTAGTGCTGGTATGGCACACAGTGCACACAACCAATTCAAACTATTAAGACTTTGTTTACACATTACTTCAGTAAAATCTCAGGATCAACACTTGGCTCCCATGAAAAGACCATAAAGGGTCCTCAACAATTAACACACACAGTTGTCCTTTTTTATTCACCATGGTCTACAATATTCATATGAAATGAAGGACACTCACAAGTCTCAATGTCTGCTCCCGCAAGCTTGCCAGTGGTACCAAAGTGGATTCGGATGAATTTACCCTGTACTCATACACAGAAAATCAATCAAATTACTACCCAAGTAACAAAACAAAACAAAATCTGACTGTTGCCAACTTTCACCACTTTATAAATTGTACAATATGAATACTGAATCACTTCAAACTTTAAACAAACCAGAAAATCTTTTGCAGAATTTGATCAAAGGTATTGTAGGTGTCTTTTTGTGGTTACTGACATTATAATATGCACACACTTTTTTGGTGTCAATCCAACAAAAATTTGCTGTCAAAATGTAAAAGTAAAATATCACCAATCACACAAGTTATATTTTTGAAATTAAAAGTTTTGTTCTCAATGACAAAACCAAGTGGAAATAAATTGTTTGTGGTCACTACATGCAGTTACAAAATCTTTCAGTTGACTGTTGAGATGCAACTACATACATGTACATTAAAACAGGTTTAGCTTCTTTTCTAGAAACTAAATTTTACACCTGCATTATATAGTTTTTGGTTATTTTTCCTTTCAAAGAACGACACAATATTTTGGCATAATTGTTATAAAAATTAATCTAACACAATCTGTTACCACAGCACAAACGAAGGCAGCACCCAGCCACCCGCGTTGTTCATTACTTACAAAACGCGAGGAGTTGTCGTTACGGATGGTCTTGGCATTTCCAAAAGCCTCCAGAGGTGGGTTGGCCTGGATGACTTGATCCTCCAAGTTACCCTAATAGTACATTGTAGGTTGTTTTGGGGATGATGAATATTCATTTTATGCAAATATAGGTTAGCACAACGTGGAAAATGACAGGAAGATGAAGAAATAAGAATGTAAAATGTTACATTGTACTTCACATGGTGAGCAACAAAGAGAAGCAAGAGTTTAGTCAAATAATATTGTTTTGACATTAACAATGACAAATTGTAAACAAGACAAAAATGAAGGGGAAAAAGTTGAAATGATACAACTGACATTTTACCTCATTTCCCAGAGGGAAGTTGGAGTAATGTCGGACATCATATCATGACCTCTGACCTCATGTCAATTCCATTGTTTTCATCCAATGAGCAATAATGTAGTGTGAATTGTTTGTTACAACAAATCCTTAACAATTAATACCCAACCTTTCCTTTTTTTTTTAGTATTTCAAACTTCATATAACGCACATCAATGTAACAATAGTTATTAGAATGTTTGATGTAAGACTCCAATTATGCATTGAATGACCTTAAGGTTGAATGAATTCATCACATTCATTCAAAATTGGAGCACATTAATTTTTATAAATTTCCTCAAATTTGTTGACGTCCAATTAAATAGTAACCACACGATAGTTTGATGTCTTTAAAACTTGGAACACACAGCTTTCTTTCGTACAAAGATTTCTGAAATAATTTAGCCATAAATGCAAAATGCAATACCTGGTCAAGAACAAAACTTACTTTGTGAAGATCTACACGAAACACACGCCATATACATGTCACATCTCAGACGGAAAGCAATAACAGATTGAGATTGACAACAGTTACTAATTGAGTCATAAACGTTGCAAGGAACTGCGCATGGTGATGAGGCTTGTTCAGTGGTCGTGGGTGCCAGATTATGAGTACAAATACAACTTGTGAATACATGTAGTTACTTTTTTTTGCCAATCTAGAGTTATACTAGATATAATAAATATATTTGGTTTTGATGGTTTTTAACTTTGATTTATGCTCCTTTTAAATACTTATGAAAACTACAATCCAACTTTGAAATAAAAAAATGGAAAAACACTGAAAAGTAATCGATCAAAATGGCCACAATTTGATTCCCAGACTGAATGAATTTATAAGGTGTATTGAATCAGGAATTCTAACCCCTACTGATGTGCCCTATATAGGTTTGTTGCAAAAGACAACCCCCCCCCCTATTTGAGCAAACTAACAACCAGAACGTACCAACATCACCATAAGGCGCACACTGAGAACGAGACAAGAAGGCACCTTGCATGACTCCTGACCCATCAACAAATACAACACAACAAGAGAGTAAGAAAACGGAAGGACGGGTCAGCGATCACGCAAGGCTTTTTTACCAGGCTTCAATTATTGCCGACGAGATAGTGGGTCACAGATTTGGGCGGAGCAAGGATTTGATTTTTGGCATCATGGCAGAAGGGCATTATGCATGATTTTGTTGCTGTTGCAGGAAATGCAGAAAGGAAAGAAAGTCCGAAGGGTTAAGAAAATTATACATGGATTTGGGTGATTGTAGTGCATATTTTATAGTTATTAAGTATAATTATTAAAGTTTATTTTTATCAACGGCTACATTTTCAATCACCTCTCTGATCTTTTGCAGGGTATATAAGATGCAAGCTGGAGTAATGTTAGATGCTAAATCTACTTGCAATGTTTAGTAAATAACAACGTCTGATTCAACCACAGTGACTTTGTACCAAATTCAGCAGAGAAAAAGCAATAGCACTCGGCACTCCCAAAATCAATGTCTGAAACAATTAAATGAATGATGTGAAATGAACTTGCCCACACCATGATTCCCACCCGTGGTTATGTTGTAACTACTAATTGGAAGGAAAACAATTCCAAGAGAACTCTTTTCAAACCCAACAAGAACTTTAGACAACATTAATATCCACTTCACACAAATAAAATGACATATTTTGACCAGTCAAAAACTCATCATTTTGATAAGATTAATTCAGGTTAGTTTCAAAACCTGTTCTTAAACAAATTTCATGAAAAAATAATGATTTTGTCAAAGACCATGGAGTTATGATAAGTTATATCAAGTCAATAAGAAAATGGACATGTGTTATGGAACTCAACAATCATAATTTTCTTTTTCAAACAATCAAAATCTCTATTAACAAACTTATTTTTGAACAAACTTGATACAAAATATTAATTTCATCCCATGATAGTGTGAAAGGCATGATATCATTTAATCAATATTTTTAGTATATAAGTGAGTTTTGTTAGAAATGTTCAGCATGCACAATTCCAGTTAAAAAAATTAGACACTACTACAGTCTTTGTTTACATCTTGATTCCATGGCAAACGATTCTTCGTTCTTTCTTCTTCTTTTTTTCTTCTTTTTTTTTTTGGGGGGGGGGGGGGCATTTTTTTAGCTAATTGATTATAATTATTTTCACTTTGTTTCTTTGTCTGCATATCGAGCAAATTCACATACTGTATGTGCAGAGCTTGCAGTTTGTCTGCGAATAGGGAAATGTATATCGTGCAAGGAAAAATTTAAAGAAAAGAAAATGAAGGTATGGGAGGCTGGCGTAGGAGGTGGGGTTGAAGGCCAGGCAGCCCAGGGAGTGCAGTACTCCTCTCATACTACCGCCCTACCACTGTGACCTAGCATCTCGCAGCTTGTTCTGAAGCAAATACCTTCTTCCCTTCCTCAGAGCCTCCTTTGCCCGCATGAGAACTAGCAATGTTGGCAAAATACTGGATGACTTTTTTGGTGTTTTCCGTCTTTCCGGCACCAGACTCTCCGCTGTAAAGATGAGCAGTATCATAAAAAATTACAATTAAAATCTGTGTTTTTCATCAAAAAAGGGATTATTCACAACCAAACTGTGTCAAATATCAGCAGAGAGTCCACTGCAATACAGTCAAAAAAATTATTCCAAATTTTAGGATGCAATTTAACAATTTAATATATATCACACTTTTTATTATGTTGTTGATTATGTTTGGTTAAAAAAAGATGAACTGTGTTTGGAAACCTCTCTTAGTCACAACACCCACAGGGAAAAGCACACTACACTATTTACATTCAATAAAAAATCATGTAAAAACTCAGTGACACATGTTTTAATTTGATGGTGCAGAAGTTTAAATGGTCACAGTAAAAAATCATGTTCAAGAGTGAATTCTTTAAAATTCCATATCCAAGACAGTAAATGTCCATATCCAAGACAGTAATGTTCTTCAGATCATTTTTATGTGATTTGAGGAAGGCTGATGCTAAAGAAAAGTTGCATGTACTTGAAAGAGTCTAGAAATTAGAAGAAACAAACAGAAACATCATTTGTTAGTCAACAACAAATATAACAGCAATGTTAAAAGTCACTTCTCATTACTACCTACAAACACTCAAACAATTGTTGATTCTTATTTTTCTATTTGAAGTGAGTACCATGTAAAAATTAAGTTTAAAAGGACAGTGTAATAGGGGAATTAATGTAAGATTGTCCAAATGGAGAGCATACATGTGTATCTAGAAGGGCATGTATTTGGCAGAAGGGGAATCTTCCCTCTCCCTCAACATTTAGACTATGTCAGGTAATTACTGTTTTATTGCTACAAAAGATTGGGGACATCCTTCATTTAAACACGTAGGCCTATAAATGACAATACTAACTGAGGCAAGATGGTAAGTGATAGCAGTTTCTTTTTTAAATACAAATCATGAAAGCAAAACAACATGCAAATGATATTTTCACCAAAACACACCAAACGCACTCCGACGGTCGTTAGCTTTACTTACGTGATCAACATGGACTGATTTTCATGATCTACAAGGAAAAGTTAAGGGTAAACAATTAGAGTTGGTAGTGTAATGAAACATGTTATTGTGGTCAAATTGTTGGGCCAAAGTGAGACCTAAGCAAGTGTAGTTTTATTCATTTATTTTATTTGTTGCTTTTTAATGACATTTGATCTAATGCCATAGTCCATGCGTTATATGCTCTGAGCAGTTGTCTAGTGTAGTTTTGTTTTTGTCGTGTATTCGTTTTTTTGGGGTCAGTTTTGTCTGGTACTTCTTAATATTTTAATGTTTATAATGGTATTTTTATGGGATAACTATTTTTTTCCAGTCAAGTCATGTTCGATGGGATAACTATTTTTTCCCAGTCAAATCATGTTTGATTCAGCCCTAAGCTGCGAGCCATGATTTGATTCAATACACCATTTAATGATATACAAATAATGAATGTTTGTGAGTGCAATGGTAAGAATAATTTCATGAAGTGACAGATGAAATGTTCCATTCCACGAGGTGAAGCCGAGTGGAATGGAACATTTCATCTGTCACCGAATGAAATTATTCTTCCCATTGCACGAACGTGAAACATTCATTATTTGTTTTATATAACACCTGAATAAATCCTTGCCATCTGATTGGTTGACTTTTAATAGCCAATGTTATCAGGTTAAAAACTGTTTAAAAGTTTGACAAGTTCATCATATTTTATTAATGCAAACTGTTCAACAGGTTGAGAACAATCATATTTAATTCATCTCGATTTAAAACAGCGCCACTACCAGCAGCAGTGACACCGTGCAATGGAAGTTCTATTCACCGTGCAATAGAACTTCCATTGCACTGTGCGCTGCGCACCACGTGCGCGCCGTGCGTTGGTACGAATAATTCAATGGCATGTGATCAACGATCCACCAATCAGATGACGGGGATTTATTGAGGTGTTGTATAAAATGAAATGAAATGAATAATTCACAAGTGGCAGGCCATCAGTCAGTCATTTAGTCAGTCAGGCAGTCGGTCAAAGTAGACAGGGAGGACTGCTGGCTGGCCCTCTGGGAGCAACAAAGTCCTTTTTTGAGCCATAAAAATGACAGTCGGTCAGTCAGTCAGTCAGTCAGGTACAGAGAGTCTAGGATCAGCAACAATTTCATTAATGATGAAAATCTCTACAAAACAACCTCCAAAATCCCAAGTTGTATTTTACATTCAAGTACACCAAAAACCCAAGTTTCTGGTTGAGCAAGAATGACAAACATATTCCCATACCTCCCATAAAATAGAATGCATAATGCAGATGTTTTATTAAAAAGCGCAACATAGCGCTTTCCTTATACTGGTATTTGAATTCCAATCTTTTACAAATGCAATAGTGCATACTTCTTCCCAAAAAATCACATGCTGCATGTTATTTGCTTGGGAAAAACAACCTACATGCAGTAGTCACAATAAGAAGGGTTTTTTTTAGTCCATGAGTCAGTTGTCAATTATGTGTGACATATTTTGGCATGGCAGACAGTTTTAATGGGCTTGACATTTCTAAGCACAGCATGACAGTATAACAACTCACTACAAAAATGGAATTCCAACAAAAATTCCTCAAGAAAATAACAGTTCCATGAATAGCTACAGCTTACAGTTTTAGAAGCACCAACAAGTGCATAACAATAGTGGAATTGGTAAACACATATGCATCAGGCAAACCCTCAAAATGTCTGCAACTCCAACTACAGTGATGCAAACGACCCTTCAACAGAGAACAGATTAAATGGGATGTAGTGCTGTCATCCCCCCCCAAAAAAAACCCAGTATAATAATAATAAATACACCACTTTTTAAATTAAACGTTTTTATCTCAAACTAATTTACCCAACTTATTATGGCTGTGCAGTACCTAAATGTATCCCAAGAGCTAAATGCGCATGTAGTTCTGACCATTAATTTACTGTACTGACTACTGAGACTAAATTAAGAGCTGGGCGAATAAAATTGTGGCTACATTGAGGGCTTCTGCGACATTTGGTTAAAGAGGCTCATTAAAGAGTTTAGGTCTGGGGCTATCATACCTTGCAACATGTCATGGTAGGCATTATCAGCCACTGAGTAGACATGGGGTGGCATCTCATTCCTCCTCTTTCCCTTGTACAGCATCACCACCTTGTCAGTGTAGATAGGCAGGCGACGGTAGGGGTTGATGGCCACACAGAACAGCCCAGAGTAGGTCTAAGATTTCAATCACAGGCAAAGAAATTATTGGAGACCAGTCCAAATTCAATCCAGTTTAAATCAAACTTCAATTTAGAGACAACTTAAACTCTAGCACAATCAGAGTTTGCTCTCAAGCAAACAAAACAGTGGAATATCACTTCATAAGATAAGCCTCTCAAATCAACCCCTGTTTATTATCTGCTGAATTGCATGCAAGGTGGAATCCCTAATCCCAAACTGTCAGACAGAAACAAGCTACTACTACTGGATTGATCAAATTAATCAAATTAACATGCACTCAAAATACCAACAACAAAAAATGGAGAACAAATCTTACTGAGAAAGGAACTTACAATTCTGGATCGGGACAACCGAAAAAAAATGTAAGGGATGTCCAAGGGTTGAAAGAATTGATTGTATTTCATTGTGATTTCAGGGGCCTAGGTTATCTGTTTCTACTTGACATTGGTTCATTTTGACTTCATAAAAATGATTCCATCGGGTCTTAATACCTTCTTGCCATCTGACTTCCATAATTGTATATACTTTGTTAAACTTCTAGTCTGTTAATAATTAAGAAAGCTGCATTAAAAAAATTTGTACAAGTTTGCATAAATCATGAGATTTGGTTTTGACAAATATCTCCCCAATATCAGTTGGAATAACAAACATTTTTTTTCTCTACTGGATGTTCATTTTTGGGTGCAAGAGTTACTTTTCCAGACTCTGTTTGTTTTGCAAACTGACATATTACACACGTTAAAAAGTTAGCAGACCGGTATTGAATAAAATGGGCAAGATAACTTTGTAAACAAAAAATGTGTTTTTAGTTTGATAGGCCCTATCTTGTTGTTGTTTTTTACATTTTATTTGCTATTTGACAAAGTATGGATTTCATGATGTGCATGGAATTTAAATTGGGAAACTCTGGGTGAAACAAAATATCAGGAGGTAATTTAAGCAGGTGTAGGCACATGCTGTAAATCTGGAATTTCCAATTTTTTTTTTTAAGTTCCTTCAAATAAGCACTGACAAGAACATGAATATCGATGTTGGAATTGTCCTATTCTGTCAATGCACTGTGAAAAACACTTTTTATGCATTAGAAAGTTGTCAGAATAACCTATATTTTGTCACTTGGTTTTGAGTATGAATGTTTGACTGTTTGTAAGTTTATATTTGCCAACATTTAAGCAGAAAAAGTATCATTTTGATGCTAGCCAATGTGCAATGTTTGATTCAATGACAGTGAGTGTATGAGCCAGCAACCCCTTATTGTTTACTGAAATTAATTATTTTTGCAAAATTGTTTTCTCTTGCAATTTGCTTTTTTTCTGTCCAATCCTGTCCACTTTTTGAAGAACTGGCTGTCAAGATATTTGTAGACCTATATTTTAATTGTCAATTCATGTAATATCAATGACATAAACCATAAGAGGATCGATCAAGTCAAATGAGCAAACCCAGTAGCATTGAGACACCCATCAACCCCTTGAGGAATTCCTCACATATCCGTCAAGGCATACCCATGCCAAGCCCTGACCATATAAAGCATTGCTGGCTGGGCACTCACTGTAGTATATAGGCCATTCACTATCCAGTGCTAGTCAAGTCCAATGCAGCTGATGGAGGTTATTAAATGGCATGGAACCAACAGGAGTTCTGCCGAGTTCCCCCGAACTCTGCCCATCACTAACATTAAACACACATAGTGCCAACTTCAGTTTATCCAGCATATTTGGTATGTGCTGAATTTTGAATCAAAAGAATTTATAGTTTCAAAGCAATAAAGTGCATGCAGTTCTCATTTCTCAGAAAAATCTTAGGTGACAGTTTTGGGGTCAGATCGCGTGCATGACTTTTATGGCCTGTTTACAAATATAGCTGTCAGAATGTGGGATAATCAGCACAGAACTTGGGAATTTACAACATAGTTTTATCTAAGTTGGGAACATTTTAAATAGTTGTAACATCCACAAAGTGAGTGATGTTTTGCGAAGGGCCTAGGTCTTGCTCAGGTCACATAAAGTCTACAACTACTGAGTATTACAAAGTAAACAGTTCTTTAATAATCTGAATGTAGAAAGAACCACAACCTTATCCCTAGTTTTGTCCTCTTAATGCAAGCAAATAGGTAGGTTTTTTTTCAATATGAATAGAATCGCATAGGATTCACATGGCAAACCAAATACTGCAAACCCAGTTGCGTAAACCAAATGTATAACTTTCGTGCCATGTTGGTTTCTTGGCCAGGGCATTGCTGAAAGCCTTCCCTTCTTTCAAAGAAAAAAGAGCGATGAACTTTTAAGAAATAGACATCAATATGTGATATGGTTTGCCCGTTGTTTCAATCTGCATATTAATGTTGCACTGAAACTTGATTACGCCTTAATTTTCTGCTCTAACTTTGTCAAATGTAACACCAAATTATTTCTGCAATCTAACACAAGCGTATCAAGTTCTGAATATTTTTGCATGATACATGTACCTAACTGAATTGCATGTAACTTGTAGGGCCAGTCAACACTGAAGATTGTATGGCTCAATTTATTCATGAAAAAGCCCTGTTGATTTTAGAATATATTCCCACTTGAAGAAAAAAAAATACAACTTTTTTTTAGGAATGGGACAATGAAATTAAAGAGCTTCATACGAAAATGTAGGTTTTTCTGAGCAGTGAATTATAAAAAAAAGGAGCCACCTGAATTTTGCTTGATGTTAGAACCAACAATACAAATATTGTACTAAGCATTGTGACAGTTAAATGACCTTCCCTATAGTTTATCTCGAAGTAGAAGGCCTAGTTAAAAAGGTTACACAGTTATCCTGTCAGCTAAATCTTGAAATACCTTGTCTAACTTTGATTGCTGAATCAGTTAAACCTTATGGTGCAACTCATTTCAACAGCTTAAAGGATATAATTGAATAAATTATTAAAATTGTCCAAAAATATTATTTTGTCTGTTTTGTCACCCCGAACACAAATTGGAGTGAATCTGTGCAACAAATTTCCTAATGTATTTAAAAGTTAGCAACAAAGAACACATACTTGACTTATCTCCTATGAGCATGTTAAGTTCTGACCAAATTGCCCTTTAAGTAAATTTACTTTTGATTACGAGCCTGATACTTAAAAAGTTAAGTGGGTGTTATCCCCACACCGTGGAGATCTATGTGTTTGCATTGTAAAGTCAGACCAAATAGAGTTGAGACAACACTTGCATTTTGTATGTCAGCCAGAACATGGGGTCAATTGGCATTGTTTACATTAACTTGAAATACTTAGATGATGGTAAATTTCCCTTGAAATGTGTGTGTAATAACATTAATTGGCACAGGTATACTTTCACTTATTTTTTGAAAGCATTTATCAAAATACTTTTAGGTAACACATTTTTAATTAAACTTAAAGTAACATTCCCTCAAAAGTTATTTTAACTATCAAACTAAGGACATTTATCCCATTCTGTACAACTAATTGTCTGCCAATAGCAATGTGTGGGACTTTAATGTCAATGCATCATATTTATAAAGAAATTGTTGGACTTTTGATTTTTGTAGGAATACAAACTTTTTTAACGAATAATCAGAGATAGAAAAGTCCCCCAGGAATCAACGAATGACCAATTTGTCAACCAGAACCATCAGGCTTGTAGTATTTCAAATACATGTCATCTTTGGGATGGACCTTCCTTACATTTGCCCATTAAGAAATGGTCCAATTCACTTTTGTTTCATATGCACATAGCTGATTATGGGAATACCCATTCCAGTATTTTTTTAAAATCTTACGCCTTTGACACATTTCCTTCTCCATTGGCCAGGTGATAACAAAGAGGCATCATGGTTACTTCACACTTTGGTGACGGTTATAAAAAGCCTCATTTGTGAACAATCAATTCTATGCTGCTTTGAAAATATCTGGTGCCATTCCAAGTAGTACAGTGACAACTGTGAATTGACTCTCCATTATGGACGGTGATGAAACCTTTCCATCCTAATCCATTCTCCCAACAGATCAATGAATCATGCTTAATATTTCCTCATCTGTCCAAATATTATGGCTACCCATTTATTAATGAGGTCCCGTTTGGGAGTGATGTCCAGGTTTTGTTTGTTATCATGGCAAAGGTCATGAGACCATGATGGGTTTTCCTGCTGCTCAGGTGTCCACGATGAATTCCTAAACGGTCATCTTAATAAAGAACATGATTGATACATGTATTAAATGTTAAAAATGGCTTTCCTTAGGAATACCTTTAAAAATCTGACAAAGTCTAGCTGTTTCAATGTGTAGCCTGTAGTACTGAAATAATCTAGTTTTTAAGTTATAAATGTAAACATCTTAATGGTTGAAATTTGTGTAGTTACACAAATCAGGATATTTTTAACAATATGCTACATGTAATATCATATTTGGTATTTTTCACAACTTTTCCTTGCATTTAAATTTCTGGTATTGTGAATGAAGTTTTACAATTAAATGTGACATTAAAAAATTGAGTAACCAACAACTTTTTATATTCATACAGATTTAATCATGAATTAATTTTAAATTGCATAATAGGGCCTACTTAAATTATTAATTTTGTTATTTAATTTAAAATAAAACTTGAAATTTATCAACTGTTCTGTTTAGGAAAGCAATGTTGACTGATTGAAAGTACTGTCTCAGAGAACTACATGTAATTAAACATTAAATGATTAAGAACACATACTCATGGCCATTTCTGTTCAAATTTTTAGCAGACAAGAATTCCATTTCCATATCTGTTTACCCTAAATGTGATGGCACTCTCTACACACCAATTCAATTACACCCAAAACAAAATTATAAAAAGTCAGTGGCCTCTAAATTGGCAATATGACAGGTGAACTCTGGTGTGACCTATTTTTGCACTGTCAGAGCCTCTGATGGGTTTACTATGTAGCTTGTAACATCTTTGGTCACATAACCTTCTGCTATCGGATGCTCTTTAAAACCTTTAGCTTCCTCAGTGTGTGGACTGATAACATGCGCAGCTATTGCAATCTCAATGCAATCTGAGGCATCACCCTATATGGTCAGGCATGCCTGCACACAGTACAGATGGAATGCACAGTGTTTCATGTTTGACTCTCTGGTGCCATACTCAACACGAGACACAGCTAATATTCTACATCATGTCTGTACTGTGCCCCATAGGCCTACCATGTACATGTACATGTATAGGTTAGGTAATGGAACAGCTGAGGGAAGTCCAAAAAAGTAGATAAAATGTAGGTTTAGCTTTTCATGCAGCTATGATAAAAGCATTACTGTACCTGACTATTTCACTTTTGCTATTCAAATAAAAATCTATTTTTACTACAGGAACTGACTAGAGTACCACCTCAACCGTTCTCTTCTCACTCAGTTTCAATTCATTCATATTAAAAGCCCTAAAATTGACAGACCCTAAATTATCCACTCAACAAAAGAAAAGAATAAATTTAACTGATCTTATTTAAAGGATACATAGCAAAATAAATGTGTTATAAAAATGTTCCTGAAATAAGTGAATACAAAAAAACTACATCTGGAGACCATTCACGTAATTGAAGTTGGTGGAACTGAGCCTTTTTTCTCGCGCAACTTCACAAAATAGTTGGGGGTTGTTTATTCAGGCCTAAATTTTAATAAGGTCACCAGGGGGTATTGTGCACAATATTCCTCTCTCGAATTACAGAGTTACAGTATTCACTCTCTAATGAACAATTCATGTGGAGATATGCTGAATGCCTTGATATCAAATAGCACCCACACGGCCACTGGTCTGGTCAATTATTTCACAAACTAAATAGCATGACAACCAAAAAAAATGTATTTGTTCATGTGTAAATGGAATGCCAAAAATTGTAAATATATAAAGAAATAAAAACCCAATCAACCTATTTATATCTTCTCTTAAATAACAATTAAGGGCATATTTCTCAAGGACTAAAATGTATTGGGGTTGTTTTAAATTTGTATGAGTACCCTACAGGCTTTGTTGCTTTAAGGCAAATTTATTTTAAGGCCTATTTATCAGTAACTATGCTCTTAAATAACAAGGGAATATTTCTCATGGACTAAAATGTATTGGGTTGTTTTTAATGTATCTTGAGTACCCTGTAGGCTTTGTTATTTTAAGGCAAATTTGTAAGATATTGAAATTATAACTGGTGCAAGTTAGATTTATTCCTCGATTCAGTGTTTAATTAACCCAATAATACAGTTTTAATTGAATATAATAACTTTAATTTGTTTTAATTTACATGTACACGTATGTAACAAATTTTGTAAGTTGCTTTACCTTACATTCAGTTTTGGAAAGGTTTTTTTTTTACCTGAGTGCACATGTAGCAATTCCTTTTTTTGTGCTAGATGCATTAGGTTCCCAAAATGTATGCAAGGTTTAGCCTCTTTCAACTCACCATACATGTCAGACTTAAAAATGCAAATCTTTAGGCCCCCTATGCACTAGTATCTGAAGCATGTAATTCAAATGGATTAACGGAAATGTAGACCAGATTATAAAGTTGTACCGGTATTTCCCGCCCGTGCTCTTCAACAATTTATTCAGTTTTTTCCCTATTTTAATTAATTATTCAACTTGTATATGTCAGTGATGTAGTGCCTTGATGCTGGGCCTTGGCCTTAAGGCTGCCTTAAGGCTGGATTTTAGGGCCTTGGCCTTGGCCTCGAGGCTTGAGGGCAAAAGCCTTGGCCTTGGCCTTGGCCTTGGCCTTGAGGGTTCAGGGCCTTGCAATTTTGAGTCAAGGCTCTTCAAGGCCCATAGATTTTTGCATTTTCCAGATAAATCTGTTCGAAGTTTTGCTGTTACCATTTTAATCATATTACCATGGAGGAGGGAAGCACCCTATAGATTTGTGTGTTGGGCACACTTCCACTTTTGTAGCATCACATTTTGTTACCATTGTAGTAGATTTGCTGCAAAAATATTCCGTACACTTGTGGGGCTAATGAGATGATCACTTTAATTGCATATAACTATGGAATAGATCTGATTGGTTGTATATGTCTCCCTGATAAGTGCTAAAGATTTGCATGTATCTGTTTTAGATAATGCTGATATTTCTGACCATGTTGGGCCAGCAAATAAAAATTTCCCAAATCAGTTTCTTGGATCCCCCTTTTGTTACACTTGGGAGAATTGTGTGTCAATATAGAAGTAAATCATTATTTTGTTTAGTTAAACCATATTGAAGACCTGAACTTATACTTTAATAGATACAGTGCAGTCATAAAACGGTGTAGGCCTATTCGAGCATGTTGATTGCAATTAAAGAAATGTTGTTCTTCGTAACGAGCAATTCGTGATGATAAGGGTGGATCCAGGGGGGGCCAAAAGGGGCCATGCCCCCCCTTAAAAAAAAACGAAACCATTTTTTTTTATGTGACGTCGTAATAAAGGCAGGCAATGAGTACACCACCATCTTCTCCTCAAAAAACATCGGTTAAAATGGTCAGAAATTGCCTCAAATCGCACCACAGAGCATCTCGAATCCAAATTTTTTTTCGGGGCCCTTAAGCGGGCCCCGAAGCCCAAGCCGTAATTTTTTGACCCACTTTTTTTTTGGGGGGGGGACCAAAATTTCTTTGCCCCCCCCCCAAAATTGTGTTCTGGATCCGCCCTTGCGTGATGATGTGTCACTCATTTGACTATACATGTAATTAGTTCTATATCAGTGGTCATTTCATAAAACAGGGCCTTGGCCTTGGCCTTGGCCTTGAGGGTTAAGCCTTGGCCTTGGCCTCGAGGCTTGAGGGTCAAAGCCTTGGCCTTGGCCTTGGCCTTGAGGGTCAAAGCCTTGGCCTTGGCCTTGGCCTTGAGGGTCAAAGCCTTTGCTCCAACACTGGTATATGTACATGGCCTACATGTATTCCCACCAGAAAAATCACTTTTTCCTTTTTTGGATGCCTGCAACCTTCTTTAAAAAAAAATAGGCTTTTGTTTTGGAGACAGGCTGCTTAGAGTGAATGAACCTTTCTTTGTGTATGCATAGTGCTCCACAAAAAGGGCATTATGTCACTTGTAACAAATGTGAAATTGAGTTACATATCCATGGTTGGAAAGCCCACAGTGTCATTTTTATGAACTCCATAGCCGTTCTGGAGATATGACGTATTTGCATATTAATTACTTCCTTGGAGTTCAAATTACACAACTGAGAAAACAGGCTTTGAAATAGCTGGCTTTGTTGTAAAACAACAGGACGACACACAAAAATGGTTGTTTTTTCCACTTTGTTCATCAAAATCAACATTTCTGTGAATGAAACCTGAAACTGTAGGTATTAAAGATGTCATTCATGACAAAAAATGAAAATCACATTTCGACGAAATTTTCACCCTCTCAATGTTGAGCTTGCCATTACACAATAATGCCCAGCGCGACTTCATACCCTATTTTTGTGAAGCCAGTCACATATTGCAGGGTTTGACTGGATGGCAAGTGTATGACTTACTGATTCTAATTAAATGTAATTTTACCACAACATTATTGAGGCATTATGCTACAACGGGCAGATGCAAGCAACCTGACTAAGTATCCTGCCTCCTAATTCTTCTGCTTTTATTGTGAACTTTTACTCATCATCAGTATGTGCTTTAAAATAGCACAATTTTCATGTGCCAATTTCCTTTATAAATATTAATAAATACCTTGGAGAGTTGATGGTTTCTGATTGGTCGAGACTCGATCACGTGGCCGGGCATTAACGGTGATAATGACCGGCTTCAAAGAACAAGCGAATAAATGGCCCCTGAACCAGCATTGATCCAGCCCCATGGAAGGCAATGATTGGCCAAATTTACAACAGTCATACGGCAGCTTGTAACAATACAGCACTGCACATGTGCTCAACCACCTTCGCGTGAGACTGACGCGCGCGTACGCAACACAGTTGCTATGGGTGCGCGCGCGTAAGGAAGTTTTGAAACGACATCGTACAGCGGCAGTGCACTATACTGAGGATGTTACGACGAAAGCGTAGATCTACGATTTATTTTCTGTAAATACTTCGCCCATCGACATATTTATCTTTCCTAAACCAAGCATCTTTGTAATTCAGGACACAAGGAATGTGTAAACAAAATTCAGCTTCCGCCATAAGGTAAAAATATGAAAACATTGTTGTAATTTGTTTGGCTACGGCAGCAGAAGTTGTACGCGTCCATTAACAGCGGTCACCCCCAAACCCAGTCATTATCACGCAGTGAAAACCAGCTCCTCACACTGTTATTCCCTTAATAATAGGCATTTACATAGTGTACATGTATCTAGTGCGCCATGTCTGCCAGATTTGGAACTGATCCTGGCACAATTGCGGGTGATATGCAATATTGCAATGTTGGCATTTACATGTACCGGTACTGTACACAACAGTCTACTAACATAGAAATTCAACACAAGTTAAGAAGTTGGGAGGAGGTAGGTTTTTAACTGAGTTTTGAATTGTGCATGCAGCTTTCTTTTCTGAGTTAGGAGGGAGTGTGTTGGGCCAGATCTGGAGAACGATCGACTTAAGATTTACACACGCTAATAGAAATTGGACATCAACAATAATGATGGGCAGCAGAAGCTGCAGGCAAGGAACAATTCGTTACTTTTAAAAAAGTGTCTTTTTTCCCCTTCCCACCCTTTGGACCCCATACTAAGGAGACATATTATGTACTTTTCCTCCAGTTTTCAGAAATATTCCAATGTTGTTGATGCTGATCTAGTACACAAACACAGCACATTGTAGGCTATGACTGAGTATGACTGTCAAAACATACATTTGAATTCAACCAATCAAATCACAGAGGGCATACTGTAATCTATCACTGTCATCCATACAATGTGTTTGAATTCAACCAATCTAATACTTACATAGATGAGACCTGAGAAGTAACGAGAGCGCAGGTTGTGAAGTACGCTGGCCTCATTCAAGAAGGTCAGACCAGCCATGTCTTCAACCTTCTCAAACTTCGGTGGATTCATCTGTTGGGTGTCATCTTTCTTGAGGGTCACTTGCTGCAAAGGAACAATGGGAAAGCAAAATGTTTACCAGTCAGGACCATTTTTTCTTTATTTGTTATTTACCCCGTTTAGACTGATTAGTGTTTTCTCTTATCTCTCAGGTCTCAACTTTAAATTGAGAGGAGACAAGATTGAGAAGCAGGTAAACACCCAGAGAACAATCAGTCTTGGCAGATGGAATAAGTCAGGAATTGGAGACCACATCCACATATATAGAAGTACTGGAAAGACTCAATCAAGGGTTGATATGAACTATTTCAGAGGAACGTAAAATGAACTAAACTAACATGTAATCATCAAGAAATTTCATCCCAATTATAAATAATGCACTAGTTGGTAATTGCCCAACTGAAATATTTTATACCATCTATTTTCATTCTGTGAATAAATGACCAGTAAAGACATAAAAGACTTCTTCATTTTCTGTCTTTTACTGGAGCTTGGAATTAGGTGTTATTAAGGAATTCACTATAGTTCAAATGTACTGGCCGGTAACTTTTTATACCACAAATGCTTTCATTTGTGAGAAAATGTTTATAGAAACAATTTTTATCTCAAATTGTTCATAAGTCAATTATTTAAATTTTATCTAAAATGAAAGAGCAAATGGATCTTGTTAAGAAAAATTGAACCTTTTTGTTAGGTAGATGCCTGTGTATCCCTTTCAATAATTATCCAAGCCTGTTATTAAACTGAGCCTGGTTTCATGTAGTCACATATACATGCATATGTAGACACCACAATTAATCTTGTAATCCACAAGGGCTGAGACCTTGGACAAATATTTACTTTGTAACATAAAGAGGGGGTTCAACTTAATAAAGTGTGGCTCTTATTAAAGGGACTGTTTGAGTAACAGTCACTGGAAGACGATCAATTCTGGCAAGTATGGGTTTGTTCTCTCTTGCCATTTTAAAGCAACAATGATGTGACATTTTGCGTCCACTCTGAAATTATGTACGCCCATCCTTTCATGTTAAAAAGGGTCCATGAAGTGAATTTTTCTTAACAACACATTTTGTGCAACTTTCTACTCCTCTTTATTGTATGTAAAATATTTGACATCCCTTTTTGGTTAATTTGATTGAAATAATGAAAAGTGCACTTCTTTAAACATTAAAAATTGTCCATGCTTTTCCAGACAACTGAGGGTGCTGTTGCTGTGATGTCCATTCAGGAAGACACTGTTCAGTTTAGGGGTTTTCTGTTCAAATTATGAACCCAACAATTGGCTTACCGGTATTGAAAATATTTGTGAGAAAATTAAGGTTGCTCATTGGCTTACTGCCATGTACTGACACAACAATGAATCACCAAAGAAAATAACATTTACGACAGCGAAATATCAAAAATTCTAGCAACTTTTTGTGCTGAAATAGCTGTAACATTTAGGTTTCTGCCTGGAATGATACCACAGTTTTGTTCATGAATATGGAAATTCACATTAGCATAAAAGCAAAAAAGCCACCAAAAAAAGTTCAAAATGCCACAATGAAAATTGAAAATAAGGTTAAATTTGACACAAAGATGCATTTTCAAGGATAGCATGTAACAAGAGCCCCTTACTAACTATTCAAATGAACCACAAATGACTTTCCGAAGCTTTCAATAAGATTTATTAACTTTATTCCAGACCTAACATCATATTTAAACGTAACTGTTTTTACTACATTTCTTGTTCTATCACCTTCCCATGATTTCCATGATTTGTAAGATAGCCAGCATATTTTTTGACATGGCCAATGATATCAAAACTTCAAGAAAAACATGCCAAATTCAGCCAAAATAAGTTTAATCTGCCTTATATAATTTGGCCTCCCTTAATAAAAGCTTTAACGTACAGGGATGAGATTGTCAATTTTGAAAAGTCTGAAACTTGATGAAATGTCTGAAACTTAATGTCTTTCTCTCAGATTCAAAAGTCTGATATCTGACAAAGTCTGAAAAATCTCATGCCTGAAGGTATCCCCAGCTTTCCCTTAGCTTGGAATACCCAGCTAGCTCTAGGCTCATGACATGGGAGATTCGCCAGTAGAATCTCTCATGTCGTGAGCTATAGAGCGTCAGGCGCGGATCCAGAGGGGGGGGGGGGGGGGGGGGGGGGTTTGGAGGTCAAACCCCCCCCCCCCAGCTCTGTCCAAAAAAAAATTCTCATACAAATTCCTAACAAATAAGTAGAACCCCCCCCCCCCCATGTATATTCAAAATCCTTGATGACTTTCCAAACCTTCTTTGCTGGTTCTTCCTTCCAGGGACAATGAGGGAGGAGTGACTTCAACCGGAATTAAAACTTCGTTAACAATATAACAACATTCCTACAACTTTACAAGTACAACGAAATTTGGCTTGAAAAGGTGGCCGATTTACCTTTCCTGTGACCGTCTTGAGGGTGACTTGCTCCCCCTTGGTGCTGATCACCTCGGCAGCAATATAACCATCCTTTTGGTCAGGCACCCAACAGTTCTTTTTGGTGTCGAACTGGGTGCCGGCCGCCTCCAACTGATCCTTGCGGCTAACGGACAAGAATGATTCCGGATCGTCCGACATCTTGGCAAGCGGTTGCTAGCTGAGCGCTTTGCTTGAGTTGAAGTTGAACTTTGAAGAGCTTTTGTTGCTTTTCGGACGCGATTCACAAACGTAGTGTGTCCTAAATTCAAGGCTTCGTCTTTTTTGGAGTTCTCGTTGTTTGAGGAACGTCGGAGCAAGAGAAATTAAGCCAGACTGGAAAGAATTCCAAACAGAAAATCGAGGTTAAAACAGACAAGAAGGAGCCTTTTCCCTTGCTCGCATGGCTAGTGAACGAGCGCTAGCAGACGACGCGTGATTAATAAACTTCTCCAGCAGTTGTTTGCGCATGCGCTGTGGGCGCAGCTCAAGTCGTGTTTTCATTGGCCAGCAGCTGCATGTTTTCATGGGTCACCGTGTAACTTTTGTTTTTTGTTTGTTTAAATCGTCGTCCTTCAGCAAAAGATATTACTTATTTTTTTCTCCAAGGGATAGATTGGGAGAAGAGCCAATAAAGCCACTTAATTATCTACTTGGCCGATCTTGTTTTTTGTGTCAATTTTCCTTGTTAAATTTAGTGCACGTGTCAATAAGGAGTGGATTTCCTGGACTCCCACACTCCGTCCGCGCCGCCGGGGGCGCGGCCGAGGGGCCGAGTGAACTACATGCATAATGCAATGCAACATAAAATGCAAGTTAGGGTGACGTTCACTTTTACGGAAAACTAGTTTCCAACCTCATTATGATGAAAATTATGACTATTTACAAGTTACAATCTGTCAAGTTTAGTTTATTTTAATTGTCGGTATACATTGGCTCAGCATTGGGGGAGGACAAGAAGAAAACTAGACATTTAATGGGTAACGGAGAGACAAAGAACGGTATCTTTTATCAAACTGCAACTGTGCACGTAATTATTAAGTATAGTTTCTTTTTTGAAACGCAAACAAATCTTGGTTCAGTTTGTGAAGGTGTGTTGTTAATGCTTACTCCTCCAGTGTACCCGACCAGCTTTCCTTAAAAAAAAAAAACTCCCGCTTGAACAAAAAATCTCTCTAATCTGATTAGCCAACATGATTATCGCATATTACAAGGTATTATAAACGCAGCTGTTAGCGCTCATTACAAGTCCAACTAGTGAAGAAAATAACAAAGGGGCCGCATTCGGTTATCCAAACAAGGACGTGAGAATTTCATCTGAAACGTAAACAGTCGATCAATCTTTTTCAGGCGAATGGGGAGTTTCCGTTTAGTTGTAACTCAAACACAAAGGTTATGTTTCTAGTCCAACATCATTATTGCACAAAGAAGGTGCAAATTCATTACATACATGAATGAAAATAAAGTTTTAAAAAAATATTAAGGTTTTAGGGAAGTAACTTTCTAGAAATGATATTTACCACAAATTAAGTCATCTCATAATTATTTTGTATTATTGTTTGCACAAGAAGAACGAAGCGAGTTTCGATGTGTTGCTTTCACATGGATATTAGTATGTGATTCCACGGCTATAGTGCAATTACTTACAATTCTCTTGGGGGAAAAAACGCATCACTCATGTGTCGTATTCTTTTTTCAGTCACAATCATTCCACAATCAGTTTCATATAGTTTACAATTAAATCATTTTTATTCCTCATTTTGGTTCGTTTTAATAGACCGTATAACGTCATGTGCAGTGGTGAGTTCAGAATGTACAAACAAAAAAGTATCATTACTATTTAAAGTACTCAAAGAGGTACACGTATTCCTTAAAGTGAAAATACGATGTTAATCTGTACTTACCTTTCAGCGGGCAGCAGAAAGCTAGTGCTGAAGGCAATCCGGTGAAGCCGTCTCAACCACAGAGAACCGACTGCGACCAGAAAGTAGAGCCAGTTTACCGTCCCGCCGTTAATTGTATGCGTCCTGTATCCGTTATCTAAGCGGTCATCCAATTGGTCTTCTTCTGAACCCGCCCTCCCTGATTACTTCCAGCCTATCAGAACGCTGCATAACCGGCTACTTAACATGAAATTTGCATAATATAAGACAGCGGTAAGAAGGGGGTGACGTCAAAACCGCATCCCGAGGTATGCTTGAGGAATGCGCGACATGATAGGCATTCTCCTCCTCGGGAGACGAGGAGGTAAAGTGTTATTCTGTTCATTGCCATGAATGATGTCTTGAGCTGTGAAGTAAGCAAGCAAGGGTTTTAATTTGCAATTTGTGGCTGCCATAAAGATTCACTTTGCTCCGTGAGATGTACATGTTTAACCGTTGTTAAGCGAGGATTGAAGTTGCAGTTGGGAGAATTTGATAGAGCCTGTGATGGACTCGATTGAGCAATCTGAAAAATCTCCTTATGTCTTTCAGGAAATCAGGAATCATATTGAATTACAGTTTTGTTGTAAAAGGAAAGGGCAAAGATTGCAATTGATTATGTTGAGTGATATGGAAAAAAACATTGCTTTTACTGTACATGACGTATGCATTACCGTATTGCATTTCATGGAAATGACAACTACTCTTGGTAAATTATTATTTCTGAATCAAAAAGGTCATTTATTAACTGTCCTTTTGTTCTGAGAGTTTCCGGAAGACGCCTAGTGAAATTCTCCCAACCCACGAATATCCAGGTCCGTCTGATGACATGGGCGCTCCATCCATAAAAGGCAAGCGGAGTTGGGTTTGACCTCTCACCACTCTGTGAGCGTGCAGCAGCGATATATCGTACGATATCATCTACGGCCGGCGGGATGGAGAATTAGACACTTCATTTCACGTGTGGAAGTTAAGGTAATCTTACAAAACTTGCCCCGGTGCAGGTATGAAACGACTGTAATTCGAGACGAACCTCCTCGACAGACCAGAACCACACCAGGAATTAATTACTTCATTGACTTATTTTTATTCAGTAATTTTCACAAATAATTCATGCCAGGATGCATGGCGGGTATATTATGTTACACAGTTACCTCTGCTTTAAATGATTTACAAACATCCCACAAATTAATAAATTAAAACAAACTAATTTGCAACAATATTATTATCTAACTTTCTAAGTGTATAAAAGGAAAATATCCAATATAGTTCGTGTGCGCGTGCGACATCCACAATGATAGTAAAACGATATAGAGGGCGCACTTTCACTTTAATAGCAACGAAATGGTTTGGTCAACTTTCAACCAATCACATACAGTACACATGCACATGTATTGCATGCTGACTTCTGTATGCAAATTTCGCACGTAAAATGGCGGCATTTACACCGTTCTTGCGAAGTGCACTTGACATTTTTCAACGATCGTTTTCCCTCCAAAACTGAAGGTAATGCTGCTGGACAAAGTTTTATATTCTGTAGTCGTTACGTCCCTAGGGCCTAGGGCCTATCCCAGGTTGGACTCAGTCGTAATGCAATGAAGACGTCGTCCAACCTGGGCTAGCTTAGCCCCATAAATGTGGCCAATTTACTGGACTAGGGCCTACCTGAGTACCTCCGTAAATAAAGGCCACCCTTCCACCATGTTATGTACAAAAACACGTCGAACTTTGTCAAATTTTGATTTTCACATTTAGGCTTAGTTTGTAGTTTATTTTTTGCTTTAGAACTAGCATAGCCTGGGCTCTAGGCTAATCAGAAAGTGCTGTCTTTTTCAGATGTCTATTTTTCGTGAAATTTCCAGATTCGTTTGCACACGTTTGCGTATCAAAATTTCAACATGAAATTTCACAAAAATTAGACATCTGAAAAAGGCAGCACTTTCTGATTAGCCCATACAGAGGGTGAGTAGGCCTATGCTTCTAAAGCAAAAATAAATTACAAACTAAGCCTAAATGTAAAAATCAAAATTTGACAAAGTTCGACCTGTTTTTGGGCATGGTGGAAGTGTGGCCTTTATTTACGGAGGTAGTCCAGTAAATTGGCCATATTTATGGGGCTAAGGCCTGCTGTGCCGTGGTGGTGGTCATGGTGGTGTGCTGTGGTTGTGGAGGTGGACGCGGATTAGCCTTGATCATGTTGATTTGATTTGATACTTCCCAGACCCATTGTAATAAAACTGAATGGTTCTTGTGTCTGGAGTGCTGAATGGTAACACATAACAACTGGTGAAAACGTGGCGGAATGATTCCCATATGAATTATGATATCTGGCCATCACTAATGTTTCCCTTCAGCATATTCAGTCAGTGACCTAGTCCAGGTTGGACGACGTCTTCATTGCATTGCGACTGACGTCCAGGGTAGGCCTATATAATATATTGTACCATAGCGAAAAAAATTATAACACATTTTTTTCATATTTTTACCTGACTGAGGAAGCTGAAATTTCGCTTACATATTCCTTGTGTCCAGAATTGTATTTAGAAAAGGCAACTATGTCCGCGGGCGGCGTGTTTACCGAAAATAAACTGCAAGTATACGCTTTCGTTGAAAACATTTTCAGTACGAACTCCCCGCGTGAAGACGTACACGCGTGTGCTGTTTGCAGCCGCTTGCATGCTGCCGTGGTGGCAGCGTGTGCAAGGTGTGCATGCACGCGTGTGCGTAATCTTCACACAGGGAGTTCGTACTGAAAATATTTTCAACGAAAGCGTGGGATTGCAGTTTATTTTTCTAAACCCAGCACATGTACAATTCAGGACACAAAGCATATGTGAGCGAAATTTGAGCTTCCTCCATCAGGTAAAAATATGAAAAAAATGTGTTATAATTTTGTTCGCTATGGCAGGAGAGATTCATACCCTGTACTCCGTTGCGTGTACACAACGGAGTCCAACCTGGGTTATCAGTGACAGTCATCAGACATCAGTATCAGCCATCAGAAAGTGATAATCCTAAAAAGTCAAATTTAGCATGGAAAATATTGAAGTATAAATTGAGAAAACACATTTTTCAGACCAGTCTCATATGGTTTGTGCACAGGGTGAAAAGTGATGGCCAGATATGGGTTACTTTCCAATGCACCTAGCCTATAAATGAAATGTAGGCTAGTGGCTATTGTTACGGAAGCTGTAATGTGCTTTTCATCGGGGACGTCTCTATAGTCCGAAGTACCATTGGTCCGAAGTACCATTGGTCCGACGTCCCATTGGTCCGAAGTCCCATTAGTCTGAAGTCCCATTGGTCCGAAGTCCCATTGGTCCGAAGTCCCATTGGTCCGAAGTCCCATTCGGACTATCGAGACTCTACCCTTTTCATCTGCTATCGTTACGACAGCGCCATTGCAAAAATACCGTCACAACCCTAGTTGGCCTAGGCCCTAGTATAATATTTATAACTGCCCTACCAACAGTGCTTCGGAAGCTCGAAAAATGCTTGACTACCATACCGAAAGTCCCGGGATCAAATCAGAATCGGTTAACTTGTTAGGCCCATGCCAAACCTTTTTTTTTTTTTAAAGGGCCCAACAATTAATGGTTCCATTATATTTTTATAATTTTAATTAAATCCTACTTTTTGTTGGAGTAGATTTCATTTTCTTTTTAATGCGACAGTTCTGGATCATTTTTTTTTTACAAAAGGCTGTACACCCGACAATGTTTAGAGTTTTCGTGTTCGAGTGACGCCATTTCGTATTCAAATTCCTCGTCTTCAAGTTAAAACCAAATAGGCCTAACTGTTAACGCTGCACTACCTGGTACATGTACAAATTTATCATTCACGATGCGCTCAGTGGGTAACGTTTGAGCGATTTCCACAATTTCTTTTCCCCGACAATTGCCCTTCAAATTGGTAGAAAAATATCTCGAAAAAAAAGTTTGTTTACAGTCGAATGAATTTTTATTATATCAAGTGATCCGGAACTGTCGATGATGTTGAGTGGAAAAAATGCAGGACTGGTTCATGGTTATGTATACACTTCGTACGAACAAATCCCAGAAATTCCCAAATGCACATGTATCTAAAAACTGTCTTTAAACATGAACCATAATTATCTGTATTCACATAGGCCCTATCCAACTACATGTTTGTTGGAATGTTATTTTATTGTTATGTTTTAGTACATTTAAAATGATTCACTTTATACTTCACATTTCAAATAAAATTAGAAAATCACATCCAACATTAGGGGCCTAATATTCTGTTGTAAACTTAGGACTACATCAATCAGGTCTGTAAACTGAACATTTATGAATAAGGCGCTGCCCGCTGAGATGTTTTCTAAAACTGTATGCTCTGTCAAGGCGCTGAAGTGAAGATGAACAATTAAATTGTGCCATGTTACCCAGTTAGGGCCCACCATTATAGGGGACAGTCCCACTCCCAAAATCTTGGCTTTGTCTCCAACTACTGCTTCAGACTCCAGCTTTATGATTTTAGTCTCCTGAATTGACAGAATGCAGTATTTTCTACAAAGTGTACATTGGATTTAGCCAACGCAGTGACAATGAGTTGCTGTCATTGAGTTCTGATCAGTCGTCTGTAACTAGCTTGGGGCATGTGGGCTTGTGTCTGGGCTACAGCATTGGAATACAGGCAGCAAACTCTCCATAACTGAGATGTTTTGGTTTGTTATTACTCATGGGTATAGTCATGAAGAGCTACAACAATTTATGGTATTTTTGTATGGGACCCAATGTGTTGATCAAGCAAAGAACTAAAGTCCCCCTACCTCTTACCTCTCTGCTTCAGTTAAACTGTACCATGCATTAAATTTGGGTGTTTTTTAGTTTTTTATTTTATTTTTATTTAAACTTCAACAGCATGATGTCAAACCTGCGTCAACTCTCCTCCTTCACTGGTAACCACAGTCAACATGATCCCGAATGGACGATCCCTGGCTCCCGACCCACATCTCTTTTCTGTCTGGCTTGTGCATTGGAGACCTTTGAGGATCCTAACTCGGAGGTACCTGTGGTCAAGAAGAAGTACCTCCTAGGAGAGCTGTCGAAGGCCATCAACTCACATGAGAAGCTTCTGTTGGATCTCTTGGCAGGAGACAACCGTGTGGCGTGGCATCTGGCACAGACAGTTTACAGTGAGTGCAGTCTATTAATATTGATCGGAACGTTTTGTAGATTATTTACAAAGGGCGAAGAGAAATACCCCCTGTGCGATTATTGGAGGGAAAAACATTCATTTCTTGGTTTCATTGGAAAAAGTTGTTTCACACTAAAGTTGTATTTGCTGAAAAACAAAAACAATCAGTGGTAGTAGAGAAAATTAAGGGTGCATTTGTTTAGCTCTCCCGGGTCGACACGGGTCAGCCCTGTGCCGTTTGATTAGCTCTGACGTCATTCTCGGGGCTCACCCTGGTAGGCCACCACAGACCCTGCTCGTGGAGCAGAGTCACTGGTGGAAGTATGTCACGCATACGTTTTTCATTCCCTAGAAACGGACAAATATGGCGGACAGTGAAAATCTCAAGTGGACTTAAAAGTTGACTTTATTTGAAGTCTACAGGTAATCGTTTATTGAGTTCATTGCGACTTTTGAGGTTATAATTTCAATCCAACTTTTTTGAGTTTTGCAATTGACTAAAAAGCAGTCAATCTCTAACAAAGACCCAATCCGAAATGGGCGTTTTGTCAGTGGCTGTGGCCATGGCTAAGGGCATCACGTGAGGATTGTGATGGCCTGCGGTTGAGCGCTGGATTAGCCCGGTTGTCGTGGCTGACCCGTCTGCCCTTACCCGTGTCGACCTGGGTGAGCTAAACCAACGCACCCATAGTATATTCCTTTGCCCCAATTTTGTGTTAAATCTGACATCCAAACTGTTATAGAAGAACCTGGCTTGCTGAATATATTAAAATCTATCATTCACTTTGTTATTGGTATTCTTTCTTGTCCACAGACATTCTAGATGTACCTGATGAAACCCTCTTAGCTCTGGTAATTGAAGGTAAGTATTTTCAGTTTCATATTTACTTGAAAGACAACTGGAATAATATCTACTGTGAAATGTAAATGCAGAGTTGAGTCAAGCCTCAACGAACCTGTTTTTGATGAGTTAAAACAAAGCCTCAAAATTAGAAATCGATTTAACCTGTACTTCAGTTCCTGTGTAAAGCTGATTTATTTTACAGATGATTCAGTCAACAACAAATTAAAAGTCTGTTGAAATTTATTTTGAATGAATTATGATCCTAGAATTTAGAAAAAATCTAAATAATTCAATGTGAAAGCACAGTAATGTGTGACGAAGACATGTGCAACATAAATGTCAATACATACATTTAGAAGCCCATCTATGTGATTACATAGAGAGACTTGTCACTCACTACAATCACTTCTACACAGTGAGTGGCAATTTATGTAATATCAACTAGCATACGTTTTGTATACATAGAATAAGGGCAATTTGATTCAAAGCATGTGCTACATTACAACTGCTACATTGTTGGAGCTTTCATCACTTGTATAATAAACTCAAGAGATAAATGTATGCGTAAACAAATACCGGTAGTTGGCTGACGGCTTCATCTGTGCAACATCTGTGAAAACGTTTGGTTAATGAGCCCAACCATTCATACAGAGCTGTTTGACCATTTGACTTCAGCATTTCCTATGATCAACAATTGCCCCAACTACTAGAGAACTCTGCTGCTTTGCAGAAAATTCAACCCAGCAAATTTGTTCAGCCATATATTGCAAGGAACTAGCAAAGGAGTTAGAATAACCATGAAGCAAGTTTCTGGCAAAACACACCAAAGTTATCTGCTGGCACTTTGAAATATAGCATTGATAAAGGTCATATATTATCCAATCTTTTTATGTACAGTTTTGGTGCAGCTGTGTTGCACTTTCAAGTCTGAGGAACTTGTGTGCTACCTTGTGCATCAAATATCAGTACAGGTTAGTACTAGATTTTATGATCCATCTGTAAAAATTACACACTATTATTAGGCCAAAAATAAATAAATAAATGAATAAACTTTGTGTATCTGGTATTTTTGTCCCAAATAGGGAAGGTTTGGTGTGTAGGTTTTTTGGCTTTTTTTTTTTTTTCATTCATACGTACGTATGTACACAACATGTATGTTTGGAGGACAACTTAAAAATCAGAAATTAAAATGATAGCCAAAAAAAATCCAAGAATTGAAGCCTTCCCACTCCCCCTTTTTTTGTTAATGGAGGGGTGTTTGTTTTTTGGTATTTTTTTTACTGTTTTGTATGTTATTGTAATTAATCCAAACAATTTGTGTTGATACATGAAATATTGCATGAGGACTGCACCAATACTTTGCATATGAATCAATGTGCCAGCAAACCCATGGGTTCATGCTGAGTTGACGCAGGAGTCACGGTGACCGCCCAGGCTTGCTGAGGGATGGAGGCCTATGGCGAGGAATCTAGTCATCTACAGCTGACAGCTGATGTAGGATAGGTCAACCAGCTAGGCTTAATTGACATGGGGGTTGAGACAAGGGGTGATACTGAGATGAACCTTCCCAACCCCTCCCTTTGCCCCAGGACTCTAAAGACTTTCTTCAAGGTCATTGTGATATGTGGCAATATATTAGGCCCCACCTTGCAAGATTTTGGCCAGGAAATGTACAGTTCATTGACTTATGCAAAGTATCCTCCACCAACCACCTTTGGAAAAGTTCCATTAGTGCAGAATTGTGAAGTTAAATTGTGACTTCCATCCCCATCCCATAGCTGGGGATTGACCATGGAAGTGTGCATTTGGTTCATACAAAATGTTTTGCATTTGAATTGTGAAGATCAGCATTTATATGGGTGCCATGCTGGCACCCTTGGGCATTAAAAAAACAATATGCAAATTAGCTTACCCCATTATTTGAAATATCACTTTTCCACGGGAATTCATCCAAATCATCTACCAAACAATGTGTTGAAACCATTTTATTTGATGGGTCCCTAATTTCATTGAAGACATTGCTATAGTGTGCTATAATGATAACTTATACCGGTGTATATTTTATTAATTAAAAGCTAAATAGCGTTGGCCATTTTTGGAAATACCACTTTTATAGATACGTTCACAAAAGTTTGTCCAAACCAGGCATCTAGATCAAGGTTTCCAGTGTCATTAAAGCCATTCACATAATAATGGACGTATAGCAATGTCTTTTCATTATCTGTGTGATGAAAATAAGTTGCCAACAGCTCAACACACATTGTAAGTATGGACAATTTGCTTGCAACATCATCTAAAATTCAATTTTCGTCTTTATCTCCATGAGAAAGAAATTCATCAATATGTCCTGAACTCCTGATAAGCCATCAAGGTGCCTTTCATTTTCAGTGTCACATACCTTCAATAAAGCCATCAATGAGTTCTGCATGATGAAAAAAAGTTGACAACTTCCAAAACTTACAAATACTTTGTCGGTCGTACACATTCATTCTTTAATTTACAATACAAAATAAAATCTACTTGGACTGGGAATTAAATTAAGCACAGGTGACCAAAATATAGGCTCTTTGTCTTCTGCAGGTGATGGTTCAAGCCATGAGCTCAGCTTGCAATACACAAAGGTTATTTAGATTTCATTCAGAAGAGTCCTGTACTGAAATAAGACTGAAAATGATCAGCATGAGGGCTGAGTATGTACAACAGTTTTTAGATAGAACCAACACCTAGGTATGCACCCTTAATTCCTGTCTTCCCTTCTCACCAATGAATCTTCCATGGGTCAACTTAAGACTTCAATTAGTCCGAGTTAGACACTAATCAGACGTCAATTGAAATGACATGGGTCCTGACAACTCACACCACCGTCCAAATGTATGAACTGAAATGTTCCAGATGGAACACCAATTGAGAGTTAATGCAGAGGTCCAATTAGAAAGGCATTCTGAGTACTGCTGACTGAGAATCTGTATGCCCGTTACTACGCATGAAAGATTTCATACCACGTGTTGACCTCCTCTGACATGTTGGTCCGTCATCTCATGAATAATTCATGAGTTATGCACGGCGCACCAGGCAAGCTCAGCTTCTTGTCATACCATATTAAGACATGTCTTCTGACTGCAGCACACAATGGCAAGGTCCCATTTATATTAATAATCTTGATGTAGTTTATGTAGGGCTGTCGGACCCTGAGATTGTCACCTTGTTGATAGCATGGTTAAATACCTCTAGGTGCCTTTGGTCTTGCATATGACATCTTTTGAGAGGTGCTTACTGGGAGATTCCATTTATAGACCTGCACTTCTGATGCTTCTATACACACACATAGATTTTCCTGGATATGAATACTGGGCTGTAAAATCAATTGGATTAAAGATTGATATGGTTAAATTAATAAATAAAAAATATTAAAACAAAATTTCCACTCCACATTTTGAAATAAAAACTTGAAAAGGAAGGAGTGTGAACATATTATAGCTTGATTTGTTATGCTATACAGTAATCCTTGTCAAGTAAGTATGTGAATACAAATGAATTCACAATCGACGCATGGTGCTCATTCATCACAATGTGTGCAGTTTACATTAAACATGTACCATAAATTTGTGATATTTCACTTTTAAACTAATATGAAATGAAGCCTATCTGTTAGCAGTTTTGTTTTAATCAATAACAATAACTTCTAACGAAATGTACAAAATTGAAAATTCCAGTGATAAATTCTTCCTACTTTTCAAAAGACCGCACAAAAAAGGGTAACTATGCTCAATGTGCTTTTATAATTACAAGTAACATTCCATCTATTAGCAGTTTTAATTTAAACAAAAATGAAAAAAAAACTAATTAAAACAAAACATACAAAAAACTAATTGAAATAAAACATACAAAACAAAGCAATTGAAAAGAAATCTTTCTCTCATAAATTCTATGCTACGTGTATGTTATTAGTCACAATGCTTGATGCTAATTAAAACCTGGAAGGATATCCCTTGACCATAGGGCTGTCCTGAGTATACCGAATATTTGAATATTTAATCATCAACCTAACATTCAAATAGTTTTTGCTGGTTTAAATATTCGGGGAAAAAATAAAGTGTACGCACATACACACACAACTATGATATTATTTTAATCGTAACATTGTGGCACTTTATTGTCAGGTGCTTTTTTTTTTGTCGACTGTAAGTTTTTTGTCAAGGATGGTTTATTGTTCCTACCCTTTTAGCATGTTAAAGCCCTTGAACTTATAACATACTTAGGCCTACTGCAAAAGACTTCAGCGACCCCTTAATATGGATGCAGCACACAACTTTTAACCGATGCAGCATGCTGTTGCAGCCGGCAAATGTAAAACTTGATCAGCGAGTTTTGAATATTTGAATATTCGGTCAAATGCAGATTTGAAAAAAACGATTGCTAATTTATTCGGAAATGGGCAGCCCTACTTGACCTTGAGGACAATACTTTCCTCTCTGCCATGCTTACTTCCTAAATTAACCATCCAGACTGTGTTGTGCAATATAAATCGGAACCTATAAGTTAGATTTGTGCTGATCCTCTTGAATTTTTTATTGTTGTACAGGGTGTGCCCCCCCCCCAAAAAAAACCCCTGAACCCTCCAAGTGCCCTCTTTTTTCAACAGCTTTTAAGAAAATATATCGCAAATATCAATAAATATTTGGAGAGTATAGTTCGTTAGCTTTCCAACAACGAAAGAAATCTTTCCAATCGGGTAAATATTTATTTAGTTATGGCCAATTGAAAACCTGTTGCATTTTTATTTTATCTGCGGTGACTGATATTTGAATGCAACACGGGCCGAAACTGGCATCCATGAAAGAGACTTCCAAGTAGAGGGCAGAGGCAAAGCAGCACAGTAAACATCTAAGAAGTGAACCAAACAGTCCTTTACAGGACCATCATTTCTTCCAAAAGGAGAAATGAACGCTGTTGCCAAAAATGAAAAATAAAAAAGAACCGAATAAAGAAAGAAAGATTAACAAATTAAAGAAAGCGAAACTACCCTCACTCCAAATCCATTACATTTCTAATAAACAGTTAAAGACTGTGGACAAAATAAAAAATCTGCACTTTTTTAATTGGCCATAACTCAATAAACATTTACCCGATTGGAAAGATGTTTTTGTTGTTGAAGAGCTAATGAACTAGAAACTCTCCAAATATGTATCAATCTTTTAGAGCTGTGAAAAAGATGGCACTTTCAGGGTTTTTTTTTGGGGGGGGACACCCTGTATTTTGCTGATTTTAACAATTAAGTAGATTTAAGATACGAACCAATAACAAAGGTGAGTCTAGTCATGAACCTGAAAAAAAGTACAAAGGATAATTGGACAGTCCCTGTTTGCTTTTTTGAGTTTAAGAAGAAGGATAATAGAGTTGTAGGAATGATTTAAAGTGAGTACACGTAAAGAAGAAAAATGGCATGTCTGACTTCAATCCAACCATGACTCATTAAGTATTCCTCCCTGTTTGCCTAGACTGAAATGTCCATCAATCTCTATATGCCTTGGAGACATTACAGATGAATGCTCTAGAGGAATAGTTTATAGCAGGAGATATTTCTGTTTGTTGAAGTCCCTGGGCAGATGTCAGAAATATTACTGTGTTTTGGGATTTGGTCAGGAACTATTAATCTTACCAGTTGGGATGAGCTGTTATAGTCGATGAACTTTGGAAAGTGTAACAGCTAGAGAGCAACATTAGCACACCAAATATACATACAATGAAAAATCCCAAAGGAGCTGGAAAGGTTTTTTTTCTTCTGTGTCACACAGGATCCATGAATGTTAAATGAGCCTTGAACCTAACCAAAAATGAAAGTGTGATGGAATAATTAGTCTACCTTGGCACATATAATACCCTTAACATTTGAAATGGATTGGTGCTTTCACTGTTTGTTTGTGGTTGATATATAACGTTTCATACTCCAGTATGGTTTTACTGCCGAAAGCTTTGAACCATATATGAAAAATATGAATTTTTTTGGTGAAATTTGTGACTCTAATGTATTTTGTGCATGAAGAAAAATTGTGAAACCCCTCCGATCTTTTGAACGCCTGATTTTCTTCTCAGACTGCTATTAGTTTACCACATTGAAATATGATAGAACTGATCTGCAAGCATGCAGACATCCAAAGGGCAAAGTGCACGTTTATTAATACCAAAATGTAAAAAGGTTGACTGTTTCGAAGTCAAGTATTCTCCAATGTTATCATGTCTGCATCCATTCACATAGCCGCCTCATAAAAATGTCCCAAGATATTTGCCTACATCTTCAGCTGCTGGATCAGTATCAAATTCCTGTCTCTAAACATTCCTTGCTGCTTGGCCCATAGTTCGGCCATCCTCCACGATCCCTGCCGGGGCCTGCCTTCATATTTGCCGTCTATTCAAGATGCAATGCACCGATACCAGGACCCTCTTAGATAAAATAGCTGGCATATCTGCAAGGCTTGCAAGGCGCTGTGGCCCATGCCTACAAAAGTCTTGTTTGTATTCACAACAGGAGAGAGACACAGCAATTATCTTCCACATGATCAAAAGGATCTTGGATAAATAAATCAAAGGGAAATTGTTTGTATTTTTGGATACTGAAAGATATTGAGATTGAAGATTCCTGAGTGCATTTTGAGTTTTAGTACTAGTTGTAAGCAGATAACAGTAAGGAGACAAATGATAACTTCATCGTACCAGATGCAATTATTTCCAGTTCATATATATATTGGACATTAAAGATGCAGTGTAACATTAGGCAGCAACAATAGGATCTTTTCATACTAACTTCTGAAGAGATTATTTCCAGAATAAGATGTATCCATTTTGGGGGAAAAAAGGGGATTTTTTTTTTTGGTATGGTTATGAGTACTTACAGAACATGTACAATATAACAGCTATTTCTAAACTACATTTGTTGCTTTATTGTATTCTTAAATTGTGATTTATTATATTGTATATATGAGCTGTCAAAACTGACTTTTGGGCAACCAAACAAAATCTCCAGCTAGAAAATTTTAAAATAAATTTCAGACCAGTTTGTACTACACCATTCACGACACACGTCCCCTTGTTGACATAAATGGAAATACATGTACTTTTATTTCTTAAAGGGAGTATAGTGTCATGAAGCAGGGGATGTCATTTAACCCTTTTCCAGTATGGAGAGATTTCAGAATGATGGTTGTACACTAATTTGCAGGTGCAGCAAGCTCACAGCTTGAGTGCCAGTCTGCCTGCCTTGATCCTCCTAGGCCAGCTACTGGACTCAATCCCAAGCCTGATGGAGACACTCAACCATCAGCAAGGTATTGGTAAGGAGTGACCGTTCTCACTGATCCTATGGTATTTGTCTGGAGGCTATCACAAATGAGTGAAATACATGTACGCTCAAGTTCAGATTGCACCAAAGGTTAGGGAATTAGTATTTTAGGGCCATAGGCCTATAGGCAGGCGTAAAAAGGGCTCGGTATATAACGCAAAACTCCTCCATGAAAATATAACATTCTAAAAAGTGTACCCCAAAAGAATTCTGCTAGGAAGGGATTTTTGTGTCAATATGTTGCTATTGGATGATTCCAGAAGAGTTTATGTGGATGCGTATGTGATGTTTTGAGTAGTTTGACTATTAAATTATTCTATTAGCAAATATTTCTGTATTACTAATAACAAAAAAAGTTGCTATGGGAATACTTTATTATATGCTGATTAACATTCTGATTTGATTTCTTGTAACATTCTGATTTGATGGAGGAATGTGGGGTAGAGGGCAGGGGCAATGATACTCAATATCCAGCCCCCCCCCCCCCCCCCCACACACACAAGTGTGTAAACAGCTGCAATCGTGGACGTCCTATTGTCCCTGTTTTGTTTGTGCTGAACTTTTTAGGAAGACCTCCCATATGTTTTGTACACGATCATCAATCGTAGAACTTTGGTCAATCGTGGACCCTATTGTTCTCTATAATTGTTCAACGTTCATTTGAATATGTAAACAAGTAAACACACCCAAATTACTAAAGAATGTTTCCCACACATTTTTTAGAAACTTCCAGTATCTTGTCTAAGGATTTGGTGATTAAAATGAAATGTCAGAGTTTTGTTTTAATTTTGGTGAGGGTACACTGCTAAAAAGAGCTTTTGTTTCTGTCTAATAAATGTTTTTGCAGAGTCGTTGATTGGAATCTTGCTGCCTGGCCTTTCTTACCCAGACGAGAAAGTCAAATCAACCTGTGCATTTATACTAGCACATGTTGTCAGGCAACCAACAGAGGGCAGTCGACAGGTTTCCTTGGCAGAGATTGGCAAGCTAGCCGGCAGTGTTCTCTCTCTGTTGGCCACTGCACAGAGTAAAGATCTGAGAATCAATGCTATGGGTATGTTTGTGATTATTCATCATAGATTTACAGTCAATTTTCCCCATTTCCACTTCGCCCCATCACTTCCCATATTGCCACTTCGGCCCATTGCCACTTCGTCTAATTCCCATTTATAGTTTGCTTTAATTTCTGCCAAACAAATTTTATGAATTTTCAAATCTTGTTTGAAATCAATTTGTTCCAAAAATGCTGTGCAAACCCTACAATGATGTCTCAAAACGTTTGTTGAGTTTTAATTGAATAAAATTATTCGGCCAATATGGATGTAACATATGCAACACGGAAAAAGCAATTGAACTATTAATGTTTTTAGGAAAACAAGCAAATTATATTGAAAGTGCTTTTAGTTTAAAGCTATAGTCCATCATTTGCAGCTATCCGAAAAGTAACTGGCGTAATTATTGTTGAAAAACATACTTGGATGAAAGATAGTAAGGGGACTAAACTCCCTGTGAAATTATTCTTTCTGGCAAGCTGTCATTTTGAAGTAATCAACAAAAGAAGGCCTTTCCAATGGTGCGTCTTAAGACGCATTGTTGGAAATTTCCGTTAGTAGTTCGTTTTTTTATTTGACGAAGCGCGCGCAAGCGTTGACAAGATGCACACGCGCGCGCAGTTGCTATAATTCGTCGGATCAGTGCGCGAACAAAATGCACAAATTACAAATGATGGACTATATCTTTAAAAAGGTATATTTTAGGCTGGAAATGTACTAAAAATAGAAAAAGTCAAACTTGCGATGGGGTGAATTGCGATAGGGCGAAGTGGTGATAGGGTGAAGTGGTTAGGAGCGAAGTGACACAGGGTGAACTGGAAATGAGGCGAAGTGACCGACACCCACTCATCAAGGTTGAACAATAAGGTTGAACCTGTGACATCTTACACACAGTACTAAAGATTGCAGGCTCAATCCTGTCGATTTCTTGGTCCAACTGTATACTAATGGATAATCCTATTATTTGTCAGTTGTGTTGCTTCTAGTTACATCGCAGCTGAAACAGAATGGCAATGAAATGCGATGAACCCTTTTCTTATCTTTTTGGTGCCGACAGGGTTGTTGAAAAGATTACTGGAATATGAGCAACCAACTAAGACATTGATGCAGTACCAGGGGAAAACAAGTCTTCCATCTGTCATTAAGAAGGTTAGAATTGATTTCTTGTTGAGGTAAGCATTGAAATTTAACAGTTAGTAAGCACTTAATAAAGGCGTTTTGTGATATTGATTACTTATATGTATACAAAAACTTCATGAATGTTACACTTATATCTGTTGTTTATATCTGTTGTTTGTAGTGATACTATAATACATGTACTTTTGTGTGTGTTTTTTTCTATTGCTATTCGTGTGTCTATTTCAACCGGGGGTTTTGTTGTGTAACAGGATTTTCCTGCAAATTGCTGTGGACATTTCTTTGGAACTGCCCATGCTCATCAGTCCCATCCTGATTTTGCAGATGCTGATGAGCAGAGACGACACATTGCAGGTTAGTGGTGTGCAGTGCGTCGCTCAGATTCTACTTCACCAGCAGACAGTACAGCCATCTCATCATTGTCAGTATGCTGAGGAATTACTCAACAGTGACGTGGCAGAGTTTCTCTATGAGACCCTGGCTACTACCGATGGCTTACTGCTGAGGTATGGAGTGTGTGTATGCACAGTACATGGTGCTTTGTGAACACTCATGAGAGCTGTGTGTACAGGGACCGATTTCACGAAACGCTAAGACGCGTTTTAGGGTAACTTGTCTTAACCTTAATCCTAGGATCGATTTCACCAAACTTAAGACGCGTTCAAGACACCCTAACTTCCTTAGCAACGCGGCTGAACTTAACTCATCTTGACTTAAGATCGGTCTGAGGGTCATCTTATCTCATTAATGCGTGCGTTAATTTGCATATTGTATGGAAATAATTGCTGTTAAAGACTAGTAGTAACAGTTTGGAAGAAGAAAACTGCTGTAGAAACAGATCTGAACAGATATCTGATACGTGCCGAGTTTTAATATAAATAGCGTATTTGCAAAATTGTAGCCTACACCAACACTTAGTCGACATAGAGTGATAAAACGGGGAGCAAGAATGACTCTATCGTATTTTGTGTAGAACTATACCTTTCGTGTGAAATTTATTGAGTAGAGATTTTTTTTCAGGCGAAAGTTCGTGTTCTATGCACACGCGCAGGAAATTGGTTTTTGCGCACTTCTTTTTAACGACTGTTTCATCAAGCGGTAAAAACAAACTTGAAACAGCTTTCACACTGGTAGTTTTGATGTGTCTTGTTTAAGATGGGTTTAGTGAAATCAGTCTTGGGGCGCATCTTAACTAGGATCGATCTTAGAGCAAGTACTCGTCTTAAGTCCTAAGATGAGTTGCAAAATAAGACGAGTTTCGTGAAATCAGCCCCAGGACACTTGCTGGTTTTCTGACCCTTGGTTTCATCTCCAGCCGCAATTTGTTTTTTTATGCTCATGGCTTAAAAGGAATGTGACTTTATAATTATGAGTCATTCTGCTTCTGGAACGTATTTCCTATTATATGAGCCCTAAGGTTTGAGTATTTCATGTTGGTTAAAAAACAAACCAATTTTCCAGATGTTCTATGTTCTTGCATAAACCTGTAGCTTCTCTGCGTGGGAAACTGTAGCATCTCTGTGTAGGCCTATGTGTCTGGCATACAGTGGTAATGGTCTTCAGAAGTCTGCCTAACAGTCTCTGTGTCATCTTTTATTGAGTAGTTGTGCAGACAGGCCATTGACCAGGTCTTTCAGCGTTGCATTAGAAAATCCGTTTTGATAAGGATGAAGATGACAAACATGTATTCAACAACATTTTTGGTAATGGAAAGCAGGGCAGTTTATGCACTGATGTTGATGAACCATTGTTATAATCCCCCCTCCAAACCCTAACCCTCATTTCGTTCCCCACAAAAATTGATTTTAGAACACTTCACGACCTCCTTTAAAAAAATCAAAGAAAATGATGGTACTGAATTGAATTTTACCAGGGGTAGGCCTAATTGATGTGAAAAACAATACTCCTGTTTTTTAGAGTATGTTGTCCGGTTTTCATGAAGGGACTCTCATTTCAAAACTCATTTTCAATCTGTTCTCTCAAATTTGACATGCCTCTTCCTTTGTGAAAACTTGTACAATGTGATATCTCATTTTAAAAGAGAAGTGGCTGGCAAAAATAGTTCCTATTTCTCTCAAGTCTTGAAATGAAATAATGTTAGTAGGTCATTTTTTTAATAATCCTCCCTCCATACCTTCCAATTTACCATTCTTCAGCATCTTCTGGATATAATTCCCACAGGGATCATATTTTTTTTGTGAAATTTGGACAGTGGCACAGTAATACTCTTCTGTTTGTATTTCTCACTTGATTTGGACTTGTTATCACTGTTTGCCATTTCTCACCAGGTCTACATTCTGCTGTTTGCTTCTCTTTACTGAGATTGAGAGTTTCTTCAACAAGTGCCACACTGTCTATGGCATTGAGTCTATGGTCAGGGCAGTGCAGCAGAGCACTAAACTCAACAACACTGAAGCATTGAATCACGGGTAACTAACTTAACCATTGGTCATTGTTAATGGTGATTCCTTTCAGTTATGACATCAGGTTTCCTGAATGGCAGTGGCTCAGAAGCCTGAAGAAAGCTTTAGGGAGAAGGCAATGGAGAAACAGTCAATTTTAAATTGAAGACTTGTGAGATGTTGGTGGCAGCAAACACACCGGTCCTTTTCAATTGTAATGTCATTTTCAAGCTAAAGTGTACGTGTTCTACATAACCCCCGAGGACTGACACACAAAGGGAGAACAACAGATCCTTTCAGTCCTCGGGAATTGGGTCTTTTGTTGGAAACGGTCCTCTATCATACGGTTGTGTGCTACAAAACCCCTGAGTATCGACACATAAAGGGAGAACAACGGTCCTCTATTGTACAGATGTGTGTTTAGTCTATGGGAGAGTGTAATAACAGGGACAAAGGGAAACACAAAGCATTGTCCTCGAGAGTATAGTAAAACACAACTGTATGCGCATGCTCAATATGACGCAAACAATGGAAAAAGGACCGGTGTGTTTGTTGCCACCAACGTCTCCAAAGTCTCCCATTAGAGATGAGAGGAAACCCACAGAATCAGGCAGGGACAGCAAACCTCACCTACTTGTTACTCTGAGCGGGACTTGAGCTAGGGTCACACAATTGAAAAGTGAGGGACTGCACCAACCTCGTGCCCTACTTACTTCAGTGTGGGACAATTGTTTGTTCTGCATAACATGTCTTATTATAAAGTTCTGTGCTGGTAATCCTTGTCATATTTTGATCCCTGTTTATAGTCTTTGGAAACCTTGGGCAATATCATCGGTTCAAACTTACAGCAGAACAAGGTTCAGAAAGGTTTTGTATATAGTGAATGAAAGAAATAACTGAATAGCTTTTTTATTTTTTTTTATTACAGATTGCAACTCCTGTCAGAAATCTTCAAAAAGTGAGTAATCTTATCAGGATTGTGTGTAAAAATGTGTAGGCAAAATGAATGGGAAATGGAAGAGATGCCTGTTGTTTGATGATGCAAATTTATTATGATCATGCAAATGTACTCGGCACTTTTTTAAGGTTATCAGGCTATGTAAATTTCTCTTCTGTAGCCAAATAACTTGTAAGTTGTCAGTTGTTAGTTGTAAGTTAACAATTTTTCTTTGCACTTTCATTTTTTTTCAGGCTTTAATTCTATCAATTATATCTTTCCCCTGTCTCCTAGTTGCACAGCCTAGTAAAACCAGGATATGATTGAAATCATTTTTTTTTCTGCCAAGTTATCAAGTCTTAAATCATAAATCATATCACATGTTGGATATAGTCCATCACAAGTCAATCGTAAGTCCAAGTCAATCTCAATTCACAGTCAGGACACAAGAACAGATAAGTTAATGAAATAAAAACAAAAGGTAAAGCACAGGAATGCATTTCTAACTCATCGTTTGATTAGCTGGTATCTTGACTTGGGACTTGTGCTTGACTTGTGATGACTTGATTGTCCCTGTGTTTTCTTCTGTCTCCAGACATCCTGAAGGCATTCACCTGATGAACAATGACACCACCCTGACCCAGCTCTGCTCCACCCTGACAGACTGTATGACACACACACAGATAACTACGGTCATACATGCAACCCAGACATTGGCAAATTTACTCAGGTATTCTACCAGCCAAACCTTGTACTTTAATTCATATCTTTGATTAGTCTATAGCACCCATGTATACAGTTCCTTTGGGCTGCAATTAGTTAACAGAACATTTGGTCCAATGATCTGCAGATCTGATGAGTCGTACCACAAGCTGATAGCAGATTTGGTCAAGAATAAAAGTCAAATTATGTGATATGTTGTATTGAAAGTCATAATGTAGTTGTGTTGCAGTATAAGTACGGATTGTAGTATAATTTAGGGGCGAGCGGGGGGGGGGGGCACTTGCCCCCCAGATTTTCCAAGGCCAACAAAAGTGCCCCTCTCGCAGTTATAAATGTTCCCCCTCGAGATGAAAACAAAACCGCCCCTCAAATGCACACGTATGAAAGCATATGATAGCGCTACAAATAACATTGTCTTCTCTCTTGTAAAAACTGCCCCTCAAAAAAACTGCCCCTTTTTTTGAGCAAGTGCCCTTTTTTACCCCTAAGCCGAGAGGCTCGAGGGGTATTGTCATCGCCTAGGGCGTCCGTCCGTCCGGATGTGTGTGTGTCCGTTCTGACCATACCACCCTTGTGGGGTGATGTTCCTTTCAGGACACATCACCCCACTTTTTTCACAATAGAAAAACATCACCCCAGAAGGGAATCTTTAGAAAAAGGGATAATGGGAACACAATGCTATCACCCCACAATTCCGTCTGGCTGGAACGTCCGTCCGTCCGTCCGTCCGGGCAGCTTAGTTTCCGGATGATAACTTGAGTTAGAAATGTTGTTTGGGGTTGTAACTTCGGTAGGGGGTTGCCCTTGGGAGTAGGCAAGTTGGGATTGGTTTTGAGGTCAAAAGGTCAAAGGTCAAGGTCACCGTGGTGAGTTAAATGTAAATGGTTTCCGGATGATAACTTGAGTTAGAAATGCGATTTTGGTGTCTAACTTTAGAAGAGGGTTCCCCTTGGGAGAAGGCAAGTTGGGATTGGTTTTGGGGTCAAAAGGTCAAAGGTCAAGGTCAGCATGGTGAGATAAAGGTAAATGGTTTCCGGATGATAACTTGAGTTAGAAATGAGATTTTGGTGTCTAACTTTGGTAGGGGGTTGCCCTTGGGAGTAGGCAAGTTGGGTTTGGTTTTGGGGTCAAAAGGTCAAAGGTCAAGGTCACCGTGGTGAATTAAATGTAAATGGTTTCCGGATGATAACTTGAGTTAGAAATGAGATTTTGGTGTCTAACTTTGGTAGAGGGTTGCCCTTGGGAGAAGGCAAGTTGGGAACCCAACTTGCGATGCGATTTTGGTGTCTAACTTTGGAAGAGGGTTCCCCTTGGGAGAAGGCAAGTTGGGATTGGTTTTGGGGTCAAAAGGTCAAAGGTCAAGGTCACCGTGGTGAGTTCAATGTAAATGGTTCCGAATGATAACTTGAGTTAGAAATGAAATGTTGGTGTCTAACTTCGGTAGGGGGTTTCCCATTGGTACAGGCATGTTGGGACTGGTTCTGGGGTCAAAGGTCAAGGTCACCACGTTGAGTTAAAGGTTAATGGTTTCCGGATGATAACTTGACTCTGGCTGAGGGGTTTCAACAGCAACGCTGTTATTTTTGGTGTTTCCCCCCAGTTTGAAAGGCGTTCCGCCACCCTGTTCAGGGGTTTGTTTCTTGCTTCACTGTTGTAAGGAACATCAAATCATGTGATAGGAGACTCCAATGTCAGGCATTTGGATTCAGTTTGGACATAAGAAGGCTTCTGAAGATATTTGGGCCTCTCATGAAGCCAGGATCAGAAGACAAAGGTTGGCAAATCCTATCAGTCACCACTGTCTTTTGACAGACTTTCTTTCTTTGGTTGCATGTTACAAACTGTGCTGGGATTGGTAGTCAAACATCCTCCAGGTTCTGAATGTTATTCTCCGTCTATGAATTTTGTTTTAGAGGAGACCAGCTGCCCAGGCCAATTCCCTTGCAGCCTCTCATCAACAGCCTTCAAGCCCTCCTGGACTCTCTACACAGACTTCCTAAACCATTGGTTGGCAGTAATCACCACGGTCATCGTAAACACTCACATCATAGACACACAAGGCAGGAGGGACTGAGTAGAACGCATAGTAAATACGAAACCTTACTCAGCAATGGCCTTAATGCCATGCACAGAGCATTCAGGTAAGGGCTCAGTATTTTTTGAAGGAATGAGAGTCATGAAGGGTGGCAATCTTAGTTGTCACTCATGTTCTTAAATGAAACAATTCTGCCATACTACTGGAATTTGCTGTAATCCAAGAGTTTAATTCATGTACTTACTTTTTCCCAAAGGCTAGCAGCAGCTTGCCTGACTGATTCATCTACAACGGAGAGCCAGTTCACTGCACCAAACTCCCAGACGTCAGGTACCAAGACCAGAGAAGCTAAAGTGAGCTGCCTGATACAGTTCCTCTTACAAGCACTGGAAGGAACGTGTATACCACTTGTGATGGTAGGCTAAAGTCAACTGCAATTCAAAGACAGCTTCCCAAAAAAATGAGTCTTACTTTCAAGTTTGGCAGGCAAACCATTTAAGCAAAAATGCCACGTTCTATTTGTTCACACCTGGAAACCCCCCCCAAAAAAAAAAATGGTTGAAATCTCTTTTTTAGTTTGACAAATTTCACATATTCCTATGATTAATGGACACTAATGTGAAAAGTTAAGATAATGACATGTGTCAGACATTTTGGATGTCAACTTTGTTTTCAACATATTTGTATGTAACTTTTTGATGAAGAAAAATTTAAGATAAATTGTTTTTGCCTTAGATTTTAAGGCACACTATCATGTCAAGAAAAAACCAAAATGTCAACAGCCCTTTTGGTTAAAGAAAATGGTTGACGTAAGCAAGGGGATCATCTCTTCAAAGTTTTACATATCTATATGATTTTTTAAACTCTCCATTACTGCAGAGTTGTCTCTACATATTTAGTGTTGATGTAAAAAAAAAAACAGTCAAGACTGGCCCATTTTGAAATGTTGCCTTGCCTTTTTTTTTTGGGGGGGGGGATGTTTTTCTTGTATCTCTGACGTCATAATGACCCCAGATAATTGGTTTATTTATGGCAGGTGAATATGGACATTATTTCCATCCCTGACGTCTTCACAGATCTGTTCAGTATGCTGTCTGTTGCTATGGAATTTGGCCTGAGTGACGTCCAACAATTTAGTGTCAAGTTGGGTAAGATAGCGTTTGAAGTTCAGAGACAAATATACAAAATCAAGGGTCTCCGATTATTAAATAATCTTCAATATGTCAAAATCCTTTTTGTTTTTTATTATTGAGGATTGCTGAAATGTTTAAAAGAAACGTTTGCCAAGAAATTGTACAGTTAAGCAGTGTAATATATCAGATACAACTTCTTTAATGTTACCTGACATAGTTTTCTTGTAAAGACTGGAGGTCCTGCTACAAGTTGATAGTTGGATTGTATCTCACCTACTAGGGACTCGGTGATGTATCAATGAAGTTGCAACTTTAGGCACAATAATTTGGAGACGACATAAGTTTGACAAATGTTGACTTTTGTTTTGTACCTGACAGTTTCATCGTCATTTATCCAACTTGCTCTGACAATCAAGAACAAGTTCCCAACCCAAGACAGGTAGGCATGAGCTGAGGGATTCAGACGTGTGTGTCCTATTTGGGTTGAGTGTTTCGTTAACATCTCTACACCATTTCAATTGTAGTCTTGGCCAAGAACTCCATATTTATGGGTAAGAAAAATGATCTCCAAGAAATTCTCTGAGGAGAAAGGTTTGGGAAAACAAGTACTTTTTCTCCTCGTTCAAAATGCCTTCATTAACAACAAAGTAACATTAACGAAACAGACCTCCTCCAATCTGAAAAGGAAAAGAGAAACATGCATCTTGCCTTTTGTTAATTAAAGGTACAGTCCATCATTTGTAATATGTGCATTTTGTTCGTTTGAAGCAAGAAAAGTGCCTGAAATCTAAAGAAGGGTGCTGAACAACTAACCAGATGAAGTTTCAGCTCAGCTTCAGCTGTATATTTCGAGAAAAACAACATTCTAGGATCTCGATTTCAAATCAAAAGTTGCTGAATCATGTTTTGAATTGGACCTGAATTCAGCGTCCGAGACACATTCTCACTGAGCAGATTGCAGCTACGCGATGGCGCGCACTGATCCGACGAATTATAGCAATTTAACTGCAAGCGTGTGCGCCGTGTCAACGCTTGCGAAACAGAAATTTTTCAACAATGCGTCTTTAGACGCATCGTTGGAAAGGCCTTCTTTCGTTGATTTCTTCAAAATGACAGCTTGCCAGAGAGAATAATTTCACAGGGAGTTTAGTACCCTTACTATCTTTCAACCAAGTATGTTTTTCAACAATAATTACGCCAGTTACTTTTCGGATAGTTGCAAATGATGGACTGTAGCTTTAAGCGTATTTTTAAGTTCTTTTGGGCCAAGATTTCCTTTTTTTACTCCTGTCAGAAAGAACGATATGTCCATGAGAGGTTGAGTATAGAGGAAATAGTTTAATTGTCAACATACATCCATGCTTGAATTGATCTTTTATACTTTTCAGGCAACTCCAAGATGCTATCAACTCTTTCTTGAGCCAGCTGTGTATCTCCATTCAAGATCCTTGTTGTTCCCTGGATGAGAAGCACAGACTGAGTGATACATTACAGAAAGCCCTGCCACAGATACATGGTAGACAACGTACAGCATTGCCTTGCTGTACTGTGGCACAGTTCCAACACTGTGATGTTAACATTTCCAATATCAGCATTCAATCTTTGCAACTCAACTTTCACCTTCACAATATGCACGTAATGACACGTTCGCCTACTTTCACAGTGTTGACATTTTCCCCTTTTTGATGTGAATGATTCACCATATCAAAAGTGATGTTAATCGTGAATCACGGTTAATTTCAGTGTTCCATCTTGCTTTTTTTTCAATTTTAAACATGTATTTCACAGTTTGAATATTAACTTGATATTTATGTTCATCTATGCTTCTTCATGATGGATCTGATTTTTAGTATATTTTGAAGATTTATTTCATTTTTCTCTATCTCATTCTTGGGGTGGTTTCTTTTAGGTCTGTGAATTTGTTGGAAAAAGTCATGAATTTAAATTCTATCAATATTAGTAATTGGAAGGTAGAGGCGTCTGCTTTCTTGAAGGCGAAATGTTGATTTGGCAAAGGTTGAACGTTGGTATTGGAAATGTTAATATTGTAGTGTCATAACTAGGTTACTGTATAGACTCTGTATATGATGCTTTGTCACAACTTGAGAGACCCTCATTGGGGTTGGGGGGACACTGCATTCACGCTTTGGTTTGTATGCGAATGACGTAAAGTACACACAATAATGTTATTGTGAATGTGCACAATCCTGTGGTGTCTTTGCGTGAGGGTTAGAGTCACTGTCAGCAATGCATACATAAGTCCCTCCCAGTGGTCTCCCCCAAGTTTCCTTTTGCTAGCTCCAGTATTGATTATCATACAATCACAGGTGTGGACTAGATTTATTCAGAATGGTAATCAAGAGAAACATCACAAGTCGTCAGGGTTAAGATGTTCAAATGAACTGTGATAAAGACATTACTTTGTTGTAGTCCATCACCAGTGTAACTTGGGACCTGACTTGTGCTGGACCTTTCCTAGTCATCAATATTCAGAGCCTAGTCACTTAAGTGATGTTTTTTTTTTTCATTTCAGGTAGTGCGAGTGAGATGCTTCATCTGTTGTATGAGCTTCCCCCATCTAGCAGTAGCTCCAGCAGCTTACAGGCTCAAGATGACATGGATAGAAGCCTTCAGATCAAGCAAGAGGCCTGCCTCGCTCTGCTCTACTATGCCTTCCTCTACAATGACAAGTATGCAGTCTGTGTAGACTATGTCACACTTATTTGGAAACTGATATGTAATGCTAACTTTCACTAGGGAAAAGCAAACCATTATTTTTTTTTATATTTAGCGTATATCACTTGAAATATGTTTGAGTTTCAAAATGTGGATATGATAATGTACAGTTTGGGGAAGAATATGTTGAAGAAGCTTGGTTAGCTGTCAGCCTGTTGATAAGTGACCATGAATGTGGTCTACCAAACAGATAGTTCCCATCCATACCTAATGTTTATCTGTCTTTTCTTTGCATTATTGTTGCATTGATATCATAAAGCATTGCCCCACCTCAAAAAAGAGGTATTTTTAATTGTCTCATAGTTCTCTATCAGAACTGTCTGTTGGTTATTGGTCTGGTTTGCTGTGTCTGTGTTTGATTTCTATGATGGCAAACCACTCCCCACAAAATTTCGAATCAGTTATTCTGGGCAGACCCGTACATATACTAGCTTGAAATGTCTGTCTCTGCAGGATTGTCCCAGGAAGTGCAGTCAGTGAAGCAATACTGTCTTTCCTTGCCAACCATCCTAACATGAAGAGACTAACAACCAGCACATCCAAGCATCTCCTGTTTCTATTGGCAATGTGCCATGGCAACATATGCAATCAACCATTGCACACAGGTACAAAAATAAAAAAATCATATATTAATCATATCAACAGCGGTATATCAAGATTTTTGATGATATCATAGACCTTATTGATGTGATCCATTTAACATCCAACACAAACCGTCGTTTCAAACAATATAAAAAAATTGTTAAGTCCGGACCTTGATTGTTGCATCTCTGAGTCAATTACTTTCTTAGAAAGCACTTATTATAAACTTATTATAATATTGAAAGGTTTGGGAATGTCTGATTAACAGAATGCTCAACATATTGCCCCCAATTTTTTTTTTAATATTTATACAAATTTACAGCTTTTAAGTTTAAATATTAATTATGTTCAATTCCAATTTATATTCAATAATCTGCTTGTCTTTTTGGTTGTTTTTTAATAAGATAGTTTAAAATAATTATTGGGAATGTTATACACAGAGAATGATTTTCTTTACTCCACAGGAGTGCAGTCATTCATAAAGGTTGTACAGGAAGCAGATCTGTGCAGTGTTTACACCCATCATCCTGCCATTATTAACTGGTGCTTTGGGCCTGCCAGTATACAATCTCAATTCACATGCAGAATTGTAAGTCAAAGCAGCTCAGTACATGCCACATATGTTGTGCAGTGTGATAGACACTATTTGTTAAATTTTGTAAATAAACTATTCATAAGATGTAATTACGTCAGAGTGATATAAATTCAATATTGGGCTTTGCCCTTCACCGACGTATAAATTAAACACTGTAGGCCTATACCCAGTGTTGCACCAAGTGATTGTAAGAGAAAACTTTCACAAACTACTCGGGTGGGACTCGAACCCACGACCTCCCTATGCTAGTGCAGATGTCTTACAACTCGACCACCTGCTGGCTGGTTCAAATCTGATATTTTTCTCACAATGACCAGGGATAACACTGAGTATATAGTATACAAATATTGAGTGGATCAGCGTGGAATGGGAGGAATATTATCGCAAGGTAAAATCTGGACTTTTCCATTTCACGAGGCGAAACAATTTAAAGCCAATCAATATTTGTTTTATATAACCGACATATAGATCCTTGTCATTTGATATATTTGAACTTTTATTTCAGTACAAAATTGGTGAAAAATGTATTTCTCTCTTCCAAACCACCCCTTCACAAAAATGTTTGAACCCAACGCTGTAGCGCTGGTTCTTTGGAACAATACGCGCAACGCTGAACGCGCACACCAGCATGCATTTGCACATGAATGCCGCGTCATGAAACAAGCATGATCCTAACTGTTGAATAGTATTTCCCATTCCCCATGGGCGGATAGTACTTTTTGAGCCCCGGCGTGAATGGCAGTAATAACGAATGACACGTGATGTGAGTTCCACCAATCAAATGACAAGGATCTGTATGTCGATAATATAATATTTAATAAATACGCTGGTGAAGGCCAAAACCCAGTGTTGAATTCATAGATAAAGTTTGCATTTAAAACTATCTTTAAAGTGTAATAATTTAATTTTATAGTTTCAATTTCATACTCATTGTTTGCAGAAATGTCAGATGTTTGTTTTAATTGTTTAATGAAACAGCTGGAGCAGTGGTTGATGCACAGTTCATCTGGTGACAGTTTGGAAACATCCAATCCATGGGAACAAGGAGGCAAAACAGACACGCTATCAAACCTACTCAAGAGAAATTCTAGCTGCCTAGAAATGTTACTGGTAGGTCTGTCAATATGAAAATCATGCCTGAATGAACCCTGAAACTTTAGGCCTTAAAGATGTCATTCGTGATAAAAAATGAAAATCACATTTTGACGAAATTTTCACACTCTCAATGTTGAGCGGGCCATTACAGGATAATGCACAGCGCGACTTAATACCCTTTTCTTGTGGAGTTTCCGGGTCACAAATGTGGAATTTAGGGAAGGAATTTGAAATATGGGAACAACTTAGGAAACTTCCAACAAAACCTGGCCACGTTGTGCTAAATTATTTTCTGGCTGAGATGTCTGAGAGCTTAGTGACTCTGTATGCAAACAGAAGATGGTGCTTTGTGACAACTTGCAAGAGCCCTAATGGGAGGGACACACAGTGTGCGCAGGTATTGTACAAAGTATGCACAACTATCTAAATGTGCCCAAATGAGTGTGTGAGTGCCAGGCGCATGGCAGCAATGCGTTCTGTCTGAACTCTCTCTTTGTTGAGGGGGTACTTGTGCAGTCTATTTTGCAGGACATGATGCTATTTTGCAGGACATCATGAACAGTGGTGGTGACAAGCTTGTCCAGGAAGCCCTATCAGTCTTGGAGAGTGTCTTACCTCACACGGCATCCTCTGTAGATGATGAGGACTGTACAGACAGGATGCTGAGGGTGATGAGGAGCAGACTACCAGATATCCTGCATCGGATCTTCATGTCTGATGACCATACCCCATCAGGTGAGCTGCAATGCGTCATTATTGCTCAGGTGTTCAAGAGTCAAGACCAAAACCAACATTGGAATAGCTTAATATTTTTGGAGAAGGGATTTTTTCATTGAATACTTACAATAGTCCTGTTTTCACATGAAAAAAAGTTCTGCAGAGGTTTCTTTATTGTCATTTTATTATTATTTTGTCACTCTTTTATGAGTATTGTGGGAGGGTTAGGGTAAAGGGTTAGGGTAAAGACTTCAGCAAAGAACGTTCCTAAACAGCGATGAAACGACAATCCTTTGTTTTGGAGGTTTGTTGCCCTGTTTGTGCCCTGCGTTTGTAGTATTCTGAGTTTGTGAGTTAATTGGTGGAAAATAGTGGACGTGTTTGATTCTATTTTGTTATGAATCTGATTCCAGATGTGCACATTCTTGCCTTGCTACGTATAAGTTGCACACTCCATGAGAAATGCCCACAGACTGAACTGGATCCAGTTGATGTCAAACTCATGTATCATGGTAAAACCTGCAGAAATCAAGTCTTGAAATTGGGAATTTGGTTATTATCCATTTTCTAAAAATTATTTAATAGCCTGAAGACCTGATACAAACTTCCAACTAGATTACCTGTTTTTCTTTCTGATTAACATGATAACAAACATTTTAAATATAAAATGAAATATTTAACAAGAATTGCCTGTAAGAATTTGGACGATTCCTATCCCATACCTCACATTCTGCTAATAATTGCAGCAATTTTATTCCATATAACAGGCATGCAACTTTTCCTCCGATCTGCTAATTTCCTCATTTTGTACTTCTCATGAATGCCATTACAAATTGAAAAACACTGTACAAAGTCTTGTGTGGTTTGGAGATTCCTCGTTTTTTCTAAATTGCCAGTTGCATGCCTGATATAATCCTTTTGATTTGTCTGATTTGCCAGTGACCAATCTGATCAGTAAATCCAGCAGCAGCAACCCCGACATCCTACAGGCCTGTCTCAACTATCTGACATGCCTACTCATCAAGACATCATCTCAGGATCAAACTACAGGTACTTGCACTTAGCAATTGGTACAAGACCTTCTGAGGTTTTACTCATCAGTTTGAAAATTGAGACAATGAAGATATTTATAAAATGATTCTTTCAGAACAAGATGCATTGCAGCCGTAGTCCCTAATATCTGCTCACATGTTGAATTCAGATCTCAAATAATGGGTACGTTCTGTTAGCTGATCCTGGCTGACTTGGGTTACTCCTGTCCTGTTTGCTTAGGTCTGACGTCGTTTTCGTGGCTCGCCACAGACCCTGCTTGCAGAGCAGGGGGAGTGGTGGAATTAGGTCACATACCCGCGTCGTTCTTTTTAAGAAGCTAATAAATATGTCTCAACTCAAGTTAAAGTCTCATCAACATTCGACACGTAGAAAATAATTGCGCTGATTATCTACAAGATACAACTTTGCTTCAAGTTGGTTTGCAAGGCATTAGATCTTACCTCACACCTTGTCATTATGGCAGTTATCATCCATGAACCAGAAATGTACAAATGCTTGACCCGTTTTCAGTTTATGATTTTAAATAAAATGGTGCTAAACATGTCAGTGACACAAATTGACTCCAGTAAGAATTCGACTTGACTCGACTCAAGTCACAGAATTCAATGACCTAGGACAGCACTAATTTCTCCCCCACTGTCCTTATCCTTTTATCTTATCCCCATTTGCCTGACTTGTATTTATATCTTCCATAGTCATATCCATCGTATCATCTTACGTCTCCACTCTCCAGCTCTTGAAGAGCTTGCTCTGCTCCAACCTTACCCTCCCACCTTCACACCAAACTGTGCTCCTACTCAAACCTCATCATCCTCATCTTCACTTATCTGCTGTGTCATATCCATCCTAGTAGCCAACGTCTCTACCTTTCAACTTCCAGAAGGTTCTCTGTCTACCAAAAGCTCCTACCAAATTCACACCGAACAGAGTTCCTATCTTTTCAGCATTTTCCTCTGTGACCTTTAGATCTACCTTTAGTCCTCACAAGTCAATCACTTCACAACTCATCCAGTCGCAAGTCAAGTCTCAAGCTGTTCAAATGAAACGTGACACAGGCATTCTGTTTCTAATCTTTATCCTGTGTCCCAACTTGTGTAGTTACATGTATGGCCTTACGGCTACCCGGAACAAAGGGTAGCAGTAGGAATAATGACACCTCCCAAGTTGATCTTTAGAAATCTCAGTACCCCATCAGGTTTGGACACCCCCATCCCCATCAGGTTTGAACATCCCCACCCCCATCAAGTTTGAACATCCCCAGGCCCCCCCCCCCCCCAATCAGGTTTGGACATCCCCACCCCCACCAGATTCGGAGTGCTTGATATCTACCAACAATCCTCAACTGTCCCTCCTATGAGCTCTGTGCACTAATAGTAGATGGCGGGACACACTGTGTGTGCACACACTCTTGTTTTACTATACTCCCGAGGACAATGCTTTGTGTTTCCCTTTGTCCCTGTAATATAACACTCTCCCAGAGGACCATTTCCAACAAAAGACCCAACGCCCGAGGACTGAAAGGATCTGTTGTTCTCCCTTTGTGTGTCTGTCTTCGGGGGGTTATGTAGAACAAATACACTTTGTATTGCATACGTATGGCACAAAGTACGTATATGCAAACACATGCACAGACACATGGCATCTTTGTGTGATTGTCAGGCGCCGTCATGTCCCTCCCAGTTGAGGGGGTACTTGTGCACGGAGTATAAACTCCACTCTCAGTGCTATATGCTAACAACATTCCTCTTTGTCGTCATTTCTCACCCTGTGTAGTTGCATCCATCCTACTATCCAACCTACCCACCCTCCAGCTCCTAGAGAGCTTGCTATCAGCCAGCACTCCCTCTCATCTTCATACTCATCAGTGCTCTAGCCTCAGTATTCTGGCTCAGATTATCACCAGCCAAGCCAAATCTAACATCAAGGTAATCCTAATGCTTGGAAACTTCCTTCAAGGAGATATTCCTTACTTCCAGGCCTTTTATATTTAATTACAAATGAGAGAATATATGGTGGGCATTTCTGTTTGGAATTAGGATAATCCTATGGATATCATTGAGTGAATTCATAGGACACTAGTAAGTCATGAAACGTCTAATGGTATAACTGGTTAGCAAACCAGGCCCATCTTATTTAGTTCTATTTAAAGTGAAATTCACAATGTTAGTACAAAACATTTTCCAATGCATAATTACAGGTTTCGTACACTATTGGACTGGACCTCTCCTTTGCAGTGGATATTTTGCGTCAAAATAAACACATCCTGCGAAAAGGTACATGTACATGGTGTATTTAGCATTTGATATGTGTTTGTAAAGGAAACAATATGTGAGGCGACCTCAGAAAAAAGTGGACCTTTACAGTACTATCACTGCATCGCCTTCCTGATTTTTTGGACAAATCGTGTGGAGAAGAGACCAGTCTGCTAGCTGCGTGCCGCTACAACAACTACAGCGCAGACCAGAATAACGATACTGTGGCTTGGGCTTGCTACTTCACATATTTTTAAGAGATTGCATAAAAATCATGGAATAAAAGTGTTTGTAATGAAAGAAATAATTGGCACATTTCATATTCAAGAATATACAACTTTAAAGGCATTTTTCTCATTAATTTACTTTTTTGACATGTTGATAAATGCACTATTTAAACAGCCATAACTTGTCAACAGAATGTCCAATTGAAGTGCAACAAACAGTATTGTAAGGGTAATTTTATTCTCTGTACTAATACCCACAAACCTTAATTTCTGTCTCATTTTGCCAGAACGCCTCACGTATTTGACAAGTCATTAAACACTGCACTTCAATGGGAATCTTAGTAGTTACAGCATTCTTTCTTTGTACAATTAAGTGAGCACTGTAATATGAAGAAAAGATAAACTTACAATCCGAGGATACTGTGAACTATAGTTATAATAAAGATATTAACACCAGCTACATCTGATCTCCAAAGGAGTGATGTTTGAAGCTTCTTCAGACCCATCCAAATGTTGGGTCTCGGACCAGATCATTGTTATGGTTCAGAATTCATTTCTTGTCTCCTGATGTGAACTGATCTGTATTCCATGTTGATCAGTGTGTGGACTACAGCTCTGGACTGTCTTATTTAACACCAAGTTTGAGTCTTCAGTCTTGAGAATAAACAAGTCATCAGCACCCAGGGCCCTGTTAGACGATGAGGATGCAGGACTGGACATCCAGGCTAGGGACCTCAAGACTATCTATGTCTGGCTACAGAATAGTATCGTTCAGGTAAAGATTACTTAAAAGACTGGGCATTCAGGCTAAGAACTGTCAGAGTAGGTGTCTGGCTAGAATAGTGATCAACGTACATGCTTATACATATGACTGGGCATCCAGGCTAGGAAGAATGTCCAAATAGTTCAGCTGAAGACCACTGCATGAACAGTGGTGTAGTACAGGTTTGGCCCATGTAGACCTGGACATCCCAGGCTAGGGACAAAGAGAGTGCATATGTCTGGCTACAGACCACTTAGGATCCTCTGCTGAGATGTCTTTGAATACATCAGGGATTAGCACTGATTATTGTAACAAGTCAGACCTTTTTCTCTTGTTTACATTTGAAGGCTGACCCACTACTTTGCCATGCAGCAGTGACATGCATGAAAAGCTTGATTGCTTACGTCTTGGAGAGAAGCCAACCACTCGGTACGTCTGCCACACAAGAGATGATTTAGGATTCAAAATCTAACTGTCCACTCCCTCTGAAGATTAAAGAAAATCCACTCCCAGCCAAAGTTTGCATATATACAGATAGCCTTGCTAGCTGTAGTCTAAAATTAAAACTGTTTAGGGGGAGGGAATTCAAGTTTTTGCCAGTCCAGTAGACAATGTGTGGTTCAAGGAGACACTGCTTGTCATGTAGCTGACAATCTACATAGCAGACTACCAACTTCCATCTTGCTCCCTTATTAAAGATACAGTCATGTGTATACATATTTTGACAGCCCACCACCTCCTTGGTCAACCCTGGAACCATCAGCTCATGACATACTGTCTGGAATCCAGTCTAGACTCCAACCACATCCCAACCCATGTCATCCAGCTTATAACAATGGTAAGTTGTAAGCTTTGTCCTCACTATGATTTGAAATGAACTCAAATTCTGGGGAGAATTTGATTTCAAGATTAGAAGTGGAAATTTAACGTGTTTGTATAGAATGTGTGTGAGTTTGTTTATGGTGTAAATTTAATCGAGGGCACGCAGGTGCAACATCATTGATGAATTGAGGACAAGAACCAAATCGAGGATGACCTCGATTAGAAAACGTGTACAAAAGCAATGAAAGCTGTTGCAAAAAGTATAAACAAAGGAAAAGGGAAGAGGAACAATAGAAAATCCTTGATTTACACCATAAACACGTGCGTGTGTGTGGAGGGGAGGGTGATTGCTCCATTTGCTTTGGTTTACCACAGTATAAAGTTTTGTTTGTTTACATGTATCTTTTTGCTATCCCTAGTTTCTGCAGCATGGTAACAAAGAGGGAGTAGTCAGTATCCATCATCTGGAGGGTGTGGCTAATTATCTGAAATCATTGGATGTATCTCAATGTATGAGCCAACAGGCTGTATCTGATGCGTTACTGCTGGCTCATCAGGTAATTACACACATGTAGGACAAATATCTAACCATTCCACAACCATTTCCATTAGATCCATTGCATTGTAGCCATTCTTAGGTGTGAGCTTTTGTTGTACTGGGACTAGTCTTGGCCCAAGACGCTGGTGATCGACAGCGGATCGTGTCTAGTGCGCCCTCTAACGACAATAAATAGACCAGCGCACCTGCTCGCACTAACGTCTTGGGAATTTCGTAGTAGCGGTCTACCTTTTCTGTATATTCTCCCTAGGATTTCCTTTGGAACTAATCAGCGATCGCGAAATGGTTTATAGTCAGTCGCCCATGCCGCGCGACAGTTGTAAATATAAGCGCTACATGCGGAAATTCCACTTTGAAGTGTAGTGATCAAGCATTGCTAATTAGATATGCATCTCAGTGATACCCACGCGCTACTACTGGTATCAAATAGGAAGCCGCCATTTTGTTCAACGATATTAATGTTTACACCAACTGTCTAATTTACATAAAATGGCCACGCCCCCTTTCCTGCGAAATTCCGAAGATGTTAGTAAGAGAAAGTCAGAACAGTTGTACGTGGGCCCTCTACAACAATAACTAAAATCACTATCGCTCACTGGCATCTTGGCCAAAGACTATACTGGGATATGCATGTTTACACACCATTAAAGTTTGAATTTATTTCTATGACAATTAAATTCGGTTGTAGACATTGCAACGCATTTGTATTAGACAGTTTTTATGCTTATTAAATACGCACTAGAGTTTTAATTTATTTCTGTGATTAACACAAGTTTTTATGTGTTTGTGTGGCACCGCACATGCAGGATAATTGATGTAGGAAGTCCACCATCATGTTGGAAAGTGGCCTCTTCCAGGCAAAGGCCAAGAGGCGTGGGTCGTCTTTCAGTAATACAAGATTGTCAGATTACTTCTGAAAAACAAATCTGTATGAAGAAAGCAATTACATAGTTTTCATTCTATCAAACCCCAAAAGTCTGAGAGTGAATTGTTCACAATACTGAGAGGCTATTCTGGCATGCTATGCTTTGCTTGCAGATGATAGTGCAACCTGATGTCAAGTTAACTCACAAGATGGTCCAAGGTCTCTGTGCATTCCTGCAACAGGTCACCAATGCTGCCAAGTACCAGTCACTGGATAGGCAGAATGATTTCATGTATCCTTTGAAGCTTCTTACTTTGGTACAGTAGAACATTGCTGTAGCAAATACAAGGTACAGCCATTTTTTTATTAGTTTTTTTAGTCTACAAAGGCTCAGTATTATTGCACATTAAATTCTGGAGCTAATTTTGGTATAATGGTGTTCATTATACAGTAGTGGTGTTCTACTGTATTAATTTTTGTCCCGAATTTATTCCCGATATGAACTTTTATGCAAAACTGCTGAATATAAACGCAAGCAATATTACAGCTACTGAACAGCATGGTTGCGTTTCACCTTGCATCTACTCATACACAGTCAATACAGGTGTGTGCACATTGATTCAGTACACAATGAGCCATGCAGATGTGTCATAAGCTCAAGAGGATATAATGCTGATTACAGTTCTAAGGATGTGGGAGGGATGTAATGCTGCAGGATTGCTATGCTACATGACCACTATTCTTGAATTGTTAAAGTTCTTAGAGGTTATTTACTTGGTAAGATGATCACATCTATGGGATTAAAGTAATCCCACTTTAAAAAAGAATTCCATCCAAGAACTATTCTTTAATCCTTTCCTGGCATCAGTCATGTGGACAGTGTGGTACTTCAGCATCCAAGGTCGTACATCGTGGACCCTAAGATGAGTCTTCACGCTCAACAAATGCCATCTTGTGCCAAAGATCTCCTGGAGAAACTAGCCAAGTATCAGGAATGAGTAGGACTCACTCTATTGGTTGGCCCTAGAGTTGTTGGATCCAGGTCCTATGAGGAGATTTCAGGAACCGCTTTCACACTAGAATAACTCCAACATGGCTTCTATACGAGTTCAGTGCTAGCGCTCTACACGGATAAAATCCCAGCCAGTGTTGAGAGGTTCAAAACCAGTTAGAAAATCCAAAATCTACAGCTGACCTGTGTACAACCCAGAGTAAGTGTGAATGGTATGCCTTGCTGATGCGTATTCGCTGGGACCGAGTTCTGCTCCAGGCGGACCCATGTTGATTTCAACACGTGTAGATCAGACAATAGTGGGAAAAGGCCTATATAAAATTGTCACTTTCACCGTTAAAGTCAAGACTTAAGTTAACCCCCTTACAATCTGCTCTAAATTTGGTTATGTGGATGTCACTTTGGGTCATTTAGTCAAATGAAAGATGTATAATTCATTCCATTACAATGTTAGAAAATACCTTTTGTAAAATGCATTTCATGATCTTAAAACTGACTTTTGGCTTCGAAAAAGTTTTGTTAGACAAATTGTTTGATTTTTATAACAATACAAAAGCCTTAATTAAGTGTTACCAATGTTGGCCTTTTATCTAAAAAAAAACCCTGAAAACTCAAAAATGTTAAATCAAGACAAATGCCAAGTGATGCTTGCAAACAGTTTGACATTATTAAAGGTAGGAGGTGACAAAAGATGAGAAAACATTCTCAAAAGTCTTGAAGATATTTTTTGGGGGGGGAGGGGAAGCTTACACCATACAAAATAATCCCAATATATTAGTACTAATCATCAAGTGCAAGTTGGCAAAGATACCGAGTGTTAAAACTGTTGCCACAAACTCCGATGAAGAGAATCACAAAGAGAAACAAGAATTCATTGAATTATCTTTAATATTTGACAACATCCATATGGGTTGCATAGTTCAATTATAGATGGACATTAGCACAGTGCCATGAAAAAAAAAAGAACTACCTTTGACATGTTAAATATTACACTGTTAAAGCGTAAAATCATATAAAGGTATGAAAAAACATTTAAGTTACTGTAAATGTTAGACAGACTACTTCCACTATAAATAATTAGCACTAGTGATAAGCAAATTCATCACGCCTGTTTCCTGATGTGATGATCTCCCTGGGTTAGATATTACGAAATGCTTACATACACGTAAGCATATGTGTGAACCCAACCAATTATGGCAGCTAATCAGGGCAGGTTTCTACATGGACATTCTGAGTTCTCAGTAGATGCATTCGAGTAGCTCACCCGGATTGACTCGGGTAAAGGCAGACAAGTTAGCCACGACAGCCGGGCTAACCGAACGCTAAACTGCATGGAGCCCTTTACATATGAATTATTTAAAGGTTGCCACACTGGCGCTTCCAAGTAGAAAATATGTGCAAAGTGAGGATCAGATGAGAATTAAAGCCTGTTCATACTTCAAAACAATTGTCATGTTTCCTTATGTTGACTACGGAAATGTAAAGTGGTACTGCACGCCATTAAAATAACCCTCAGTCATGAGAATGTTTTGTTTGAAAAGGTTGTACTTTTACAAAGGTCATTTAAAATACATGTATTGATCATGCACCACATGTCTGTGACTATTTTTTGTGGGATATAGGTAACTCAAGTTAAATAACACAACAAGGGGAAACAATCTTGCTGACAGAAGATGTTTTACAGTAAAAACAAATGAAGTCCAAGTAACATGTCATAATACTTGAGTGCTACATCATAGATTAACTTGATAACTGTTGGCCGAGTGTACCTGTCTTCCAGCATTCACAAACTCATACTACAGAGTAACTAGACAATGTATGTACTCAAGATATGGTAGGTTGTTTCACACCATCACATTGTGTAGTACATTAAGAGTGAAATGTTCAAGTTAACTTATGTTATTTATATTACAGTGAACTAAGTAAATTTATAGCGGGGTACCTACGAAATCAAAGAGAAGTTCTTAGTTTGAAATAAGTGCAAAATGTTGATATTTTACAATCTAGACCCAAACGACACTGGGAAATTCATGCATACGACATGAATTCTTCCTGGCAAAGTGAGTAATTTGGGGAATGGGCTTGGATGTTGTAACTGCAAAAGTTTAAATGTTTAACATTTGTATATAGTATAATTAAACCTGACCTTATATAGCTTAACAAACATGACAGTAGTTTGAAAAGCAGTCAACCACTACGATTGGAATGTTGGAGAATACTGGGTTGTGACCCAAAGCCCTTGGTCACGTCTTGATATGAAACGACAGTGATTCAGTTTAATAACCAAGGGTTTGCCCCTTCACTGACCAACAGTTTGTGGTGTACGCTCACTTGTTAGGGAAACCAACCCACTATTACCTGTCTCACTGTCTCACTGCAGACAGCTTGTCCAATTGACTACCAAGTTTGCTTGGCTGAGCTAGTCAATGCAAATCTGTTACTGTAGCAGGTACAACAATTCATGGCATTACATTAGTGAAAGGCAAACATTGCAATCTATGACTTGATGATATCTGAAATATGGAAACTACAAATCAATGCAACATGGATGGGTAATCTACTGAAAATGATTAATATGAACGCTGCTGGAACTAAAGCCATTCAACACTGAAACCAACAATGCTGAATTTGTAGGTATGATTCATCAAATCTGCTAGATTCAGCAAGGTACCTAAACAAACCATTGATGTCCTCAACAGTTAGTTACATTTCACATAGTTTTTGTTTCATCCCAATATTTCAACTCCAGAATATTGTCCTTTTCAAAAATAGTGGAAACCCATGCACAATTTTGTCATCAAGAAACATGATTTTGTTGACTTGAAGTGCTATTTTCACAACCACAGAACTCCACTCATCATAATATGTCCCAGGTGACATAAAATCCCTTCAAAAACAATTCCTACTTCTACATGAAAACAGATGGAATGATTTGACAAGGTGATTTCTATCGGTACTCTGTCAATTTCCTGTACAGCAATTCTTAATGCCTTGAAAGATCAGTTTTCATATCACCGCAATGATCCTATGGAGGCATAATAGAGAGATAACTCTATAGGTCACCTCCTTAGTTAACATTGCCCTCACTGATTATACAGATTTCCTATTGGGTAATGAGCAATGGCTGTAAGTTCTTTGCTCAAGGACAAGCAAGCAGTTGCCTATATTGGTTTCACACTCCAAACCAATGAACTAATCAGATAGTGTTTACTATAAACTGCCATGATCATGGACACAAGCTCAATGGTGCCTTTATTCTGGGGACAAACTCTGAACCAATTCCGCCCTACCCTACCCTACTGGATGATCAGTCATTGCTGTAAAGTGCCATGCTGAAGGACACAAAAGCACCAAGGTGCCCATACATGTATAGGAACTCATACTCTGAATACTATGAAGTGTAGGTCTGGTACACTACATGACTGAGAGTGTCATGACCTAGCGGTTAAGAGCACCGCACCGGACTCTTGCTCTGGTGTTTCAGAGGCAGCAGAATGTGGGTTCCAGCCCGGGTCTGGACACTTGTGCCCTTAAGCAAGGCACTTAACCATGATTGCTTCGTCCTTCGGATGGGACGTGAAGCCGTAGGTCCCATGTGTTGTGTAATGCAATGCACGTAAAAGAACCCAGTAACACTTATCACTAAGAGAAGGGGTTTGCCCCGGTGTTCCTGGCCTCCTGTTAAAACTCCCCTGCAGAGTTCTTATGAGAAGAACCAACCAAGTACCAAGTAAAGTTTTCACTTCAACTTGAAAGGCACAATAATAATTTGCAGTCAGTCATCCACATAATTGGGGCCAAGCAATCTTTGCTTCACCCATATGAATAGCTGCATCTCCTATGTACAGAAGTGTCCATTCATAAATATGTACTTACATTATTTGTACATGCAATGTGTACATACAAAAAGAATTCACAACAGCCATCTATAAAGTATTGTGGCTTATGAACTCAAAAAACCCGAACAATTGCGGCAGTTTTTCGACCAAAAATATATATCAAACATGCTCCCCTGGTCATTTAAAGAATACAAAGAATCATTTCTGACATTATTTTGCTGCTTTTAGTACAAATATAACTGTAAATGTGTACATATTTGGCTTGTTGTTTATGTACAAAATGCAAGAATATACAGCATCATTTTAAAATGAAAATAACAATGGAAAGATTTGAGACCTCTATTTGTTCAATACAAGACATCATTTCAAATTAATAAAATAATCTGTTGTTGAGAAATTTTCTCACAGAAATTGTTGGTTACAATCAAAAAGGAAACTTTGATGCCAAAAAAAAATAACCAGTCTATAAACCAGGGCATTCGTCCTTGCAACAAAAATGAAAATGCTGACCTCTACAATAATAGGCATTAAATAATTTTTTTATCTCTGATATCGACAAATAGGTTTTTCAGATTGCAACATAATAAGATATAACAAAGTGCATTAAATGTTTTTGTCTTTGGAAATAATACATGTGTAAGCAGTTGTTTGATTGGTCCAAACCTTAGGGAAGACTCGTGGCTGTCCAATCATCATAGCAGTTTGACAGAACCTTCAGGTAGCGCATTGTTGCATATTCTGTAGTACCTCAGATCATTGATCAGTCTTGCCAGATTTTGCATGAAGGACGGAAGATCCTGGAGTATAAAACAAACATTCATTTCAAATGAATTGCATGTTAGAACCATTTGCACATCATCAGTCAAACCGGCTCAGTTTATATAACTGACATACAGATCCTTGTCATTTGATTGGTGGAACTCGCATCACGTGACATTCATTATTGCTCCAATTTAAGCCGGGGCTCAAAAAGTCCCATTCGCCCATGGTGAATGTGATTTACTATTCAACAGTTAGATCATCCTTGTTCCATGGCGCGATGTGTGTGTGCAAATGCATGCTGGTGTACGTGTTGAGCATTGCACGTAGCACGTATTGTTCCCAAGAGCCAGCAGCTACAGAGTTGGGTTCAAACACTTCATGAAGGGGTGGTTTGGAAGAAATACATTTTCTCACCAATTTTGTACTGAAACAGAAATTCATTTTAACTGTAAATCAACAGATCAGTTTCTTTGTTCATTCAATTGTGATAGATTGTGCAAGTTTCTGTCTGGAAATACCAACATATATCTCGATGGGTAAGGCACTGGAATGCCAGTTAACGCTAACTCCCTAGGCCTTGTTGCTAGGATGTAGCCTCAATCCTGCAAAATCCTCCAATTGGCCTCATGGAAAAATAGCATATAGCTTCAATCCTGCAAATTCCTCCATTATTTCTTGAATATGGTCCATAGAGAGGTGACCACTGCTTGAATCCTGTGGCAGTGACTGTCAATATGTTGAGGCTTGGTCTGTGACATCCTGGAGCAGTACGGAGGATTTCCAGCATAATCCAGGCCTATATTTATGCATGGCTGAGCAAAAACAACACAAGGTCCAGCCCAAGACCTTGACAAAGTGCATCCTACAAAAACAGTAATGCACTTTTGCCATGTAATCTCAATCCTCCAAATTCCTCCATTTTGGCAAAAAGGATTTTGAAGGATTCAGGGCGGGAAGGATTCAGGGCGGTTAGGGTTAGGGTTAACAGGTCTCCTGTTCATATCCCAGCACAGATCAAACTCCTGTTTTACTTCCTTCATTTCTTGAATATTCCTTACTGAATGGACAAGGTCAGCTCCAGCCAAGACATTGCAAACACAACCCCCCTCCTCTCACCTGCTCTTTTTTGTAATTGCACTCCAGTGTCTGTCTCTGGTTCCCATCCAACCCGTCAAAGCTCTGCAGGAATTGCAAGAGAAATGTGCCAAAGAAGTTGTGGAAGTCCACGGCGGCCATGTTGTAAACGGTGACCACAATCTCCTCCTGTAGCAGGTCATGTGACTTGTGCAGCATGACTTGCAGGAAAACATTCAGGAAAGAGTACAGCATCAGGTCCCGAAAGATTTTCTGAGGGTTAGGATCAACAAGGAAAAACAAGGGTTACAATGTGAGATATAACAACCATTATGCAAGACCCGTTCACAATCTCATGTTCACTGGCCATTAAAATGAGTTTTCTGAGTCACTGGACTAAATAAGTGTCTTGCCTCTTTGAATCTTGCTGAAAAGATTCAGAGAGAATTTGTCATCATATAATCTGATTTTGTTGATGCATGTAGTAAGAATAAAACCAATTGACATGGAATATCAAAATATGCATGTTGGATTCTGTAGGAGTCTAATGGTGCACCTGTGTAGGATGGGGTAGGTTTTAAACCTGAAACAAATGTACATATGTACTCTAGACAATTGAGCTTACCTTATGGTACAGCTTGAATTTAGCATTGAGAGTTTCTAGTGATTCTAGATTCTGCCTGAAGACGTCAATATCTGGCTGCAAAAATGACTGACCAAATGCCTGAAATAAAACAACAAAAGGCAAAAATGGATATTGAGTAAATGTTTAGCAGAATTGGAAAATAATATGATCGCAATATTGTGTGGAACGCAAAACATCTTAGAGGCTCTGTCTCAAGAACACAAGGGACATTGTTTAGACGATGAACTTTTTATACTGGAAAATATGTGACCTGTGGCACTAACAAAGATTACTGTCACTACGTGCCGTGCCTATTAACCCATTTTCAACAATTGGAAGTCTGTCTAGTCAAATAGTATTCATAGCCAGAGTTGTAACGAGTCACTAATTTTTGTGACTCGAGTCGAGTAGAGTCATTTTAAAGAAGTGACTCGAGTCGAGTCATTAGGTCAAGAAGGTCGAGTCGAGTCACAGTGTGTAGTCGAGTCAAGTCGAGTCGAGTCAAGTATTTAGCTCGAGTCAATTCGAGTCACAAATATTTGAACACTATACAATAAATAAACACAAGAGAGAAAGTCATTTTGGGGCTTTTTTAATTTTACATTCGGGCTACTGCATGTGGTGACACCACATTTGACTCTTAATAAAAATAAAACGGGGGTGCCAGCTGATCGCCATTCAACTAATGGGGACACTGATCAAATCACGTATGATGTACATTATTCGCGAACATTCTAACGTGACGTGAACGAAAACCGGCGCCAGCGTAAGTCATTGCAAATATTTTTCGCAAAGATTTGCTTTTATTTTTGGGACTCGAGTCTTATTAGCCTTCCTCGATTCGAGTCGAGTCATTCTGATGAGGGACTCGAGTCGAGTCATTTGCTCGCAGTGACTCGAGTTGAGTCATTTGCCCTTAGGGACTCGAGTCGATTCGAGTCACCAAAAATTGTGACTGGAGTCGGACTCGAGTCGAGTCATTGACTCGAGTCATTACAACTCTGTTCATAGCTAAATGTTATGTGGGTAGTGTTGGAAAAAACTAATAATAAATAAAACCAAAACAGGGTGGTACAATTTTCAGCAGGGCTACACGACTCGGGTGAGATTTCTCCAGATTTTCTAGATTTCCTGATTTTTGGTGAGACGTCTTCTGGAATTCCAGCGTTTTCTGTTTTCATAAATTCAAAACAGTTTCCAAACTCCCATCCGAATGTTTTGTGGATTTTTCATTTTCCTCAAATCTCACCCCTGAAGATTTTATCCAGTACCGGGTAAGTTTTGAAAGTAGCCCACCCTTTCAAAATCCCCGATGGAATACAGTCAGATTGAGATACAATATTCAAACTATGGACCGCCACATCAACCCCCCTCACCTGCATGATTGCCACAAACTGCTGCTCATTCTCCACTGTCTCAGTACCCGACTGCAGACTAGTCAACACAGTCAATACAGTAAGATTGAGATGCAATATCCAAACTATGGACCGCCACATCAACCCCCCTCACCTGCATGATTGCCACAAACTGCTGCTCATTCTCCACTGTCTCAGTACCCGACTGCAGACTAGTCAACACAGTCAATACAGTAAGATTGAGATGCAATATCCAAACTATGGACCGCCACATCAACCCCCCTCACCTGCATGATTGCCACAAACTGCTGCTCATTCTCCACTGTCTCAGTACCCGACTGCAGACTAGTCAACACAGTCAATACAGTAAGATTGAGATGCAATATCCAAACTATGGACCGCCACATCAACCCCCCTCACCTGCATGATTGCCACAAACTGCTGCTCATTCTCCACTGTCTCAGTACCCGACTGCAGACTAGTCAACACAGTCAATACAGTAAGATTGAGATGCAATATCCAAACTATGGACCGCCACATCAACCCCCCTCACCTGCATGATTGCCACAAACTGCTGCTCATTCTCCACTGTCTCAGTACCCGACTGCAGACTAGTCAACACAGTCAATACAGTAAGATTGAGATGCAATATCCAAACTATGGACCGCCACATCAACCCCCCTCACCTGCATGATTGCCACAAACTGCTGCTCATTCTCCACTGTCTCAGTACCCGACTGCAGACTAGTCAACACAGTCAATACAGTAAGATTGAGATGCAATATCCAAACTATGGACCGCCACATCAACCCCCCCCCACCTGCATGATTGCCACAAACTGCTGCTCATTCTCCACTGTCTCAGTACCCGACTGCAGACTAGTCAACACAGTCAATACAGTAAGATTGAGATGCAATATCCAAACTATGGACCGCCACATCAACCCCCCTCAACTGCATGATTGCCACAAACTGCTGCTCATTCTCCACTGTCTCAGTACCCGACTGCAGACTAGTCAACACAGTCAATACAGTAAGATTGAGATGCAATATCCAAACTATGGACCGCCACATCAACCCCCCTCACCTGCATGATTGCCACAAACTGCTGCTCATTCTCCACTGTCTCAGTACCCGACTGCAGACTAGTCAACACAGTCAATACAGTAAGATTGAGATGCAATATCCAAACTATGGACCGCCACATCAACCCCCCTCACCTGCATGATTGCCACAAACTGCTGCTCATTCTCCACTGTCTCAGTACCCGACTGCAGACTAGTCAACACAGTCAATACAGTAAGATTGAGATGCAATATCCAAACTATGGACCGCCACATCAACCCCCCTCACCTGCATGATTGCCACAAACTGCTGCTCATTCTCCACTGTCTCAGTACCCGACTGCAGACTAGTCAACACAGTCAATACAGTAAGATTGAGATGCAATATCCAAACTATGGACCGCCACATCAACCCCCCTCACCTGCATGATTGCCACAAACTGCTGCTCATTCTCCACTGTCTCAGTACCCGACTGCAGACTAGTCAACACAGTCAATACAGTAAGATTGAGATGCAATATCCAAACTATGGACCGCCACATCAACCCCCCTCACCTGCATGATTGCCACAAACTGCTGCTCATTCTCCACTGTCTCAGTACCCGACTGCAGACTAGTCAACACAGTCAATACAGTAAGATTGAGATGCAATATCCAAACTATGGACCGCCACATCAACCCCCCTCACCTGCATGATTGCCACAAACTGCTGCTCATTCTCCACTGTCTCAGTACCCGACTGCAGACTAGTCAACACAGTCAATACAGTAAGATTGAGATGCAATATCCAAACTATGGACCGCCACATCAACCCCCCTCACCTGCATGATTGCCACAAACTGCTGCTCATTCTCCACTGTCTCAGTACCCGACTGCAGACTAGTCAACACAGTCAATACAGTAAGATTGAGATGCAATATCCAAACTATGGACCGCCACATCAACCCCCCTCACCTGCATGATTGCCACAAACTGCTGCTCATTCTCCACTGTCTCAGTACCCGACTGCAGACTAGTCAACACAGTCAATACAGTAAGATTGAGATACAATATCCAAACTATGGACCGCCACATCAACCCCCCCTCACCTGCATGATTGCCACAAACTGCTGCTCATTCTCCACTGTCTCAGTACCCGACTGCAGACTAGTCAACACAGTCAATACAGTAAGATTGAGATACAATATTCAAACTATGGACCGCCACATCAACCCCCCTCACCTGCATGATTGCCACAAACTGCTGCTCATTCTCCACTGTCTCAGTACCCGACTGCAGACTAGTCAACACAGTCAATACAGTAAGATTGAGATGCAATATCTAAACTATGGACTGCCACATCAACCCCCCTCACCTGCATGATTGCCACAAACTGCTGCTCATTCTCCACTGTCTCAGTACCCGACTGCAGACTAGTCAACACAGTCAATACAGTAAGATTGAGATGCAATATCCAAACTATGGACTGCCACATCAACCCCCCTCACCTGCATGATTGCCACAAACTGCTGCTCATTCTCCACTGTCTCAGTACCCGACTGCAGACTAGTCAACACAGTCAATACAGTAAGATTGAGATGCAATATCCAAACTATGGACCGCCACATCAACCCCCCTCACCTGCATGATTGCCACAAACTGCTGCTCATTCTCCACTGTCTCAGTACCTGACTGCAGACTAGTCAACACAGTCAATACAGTAAGATTGAGATACAATATCCAAACTATGGACCGCCACATCAACCCCCCTCACCTGCATGATTGCCACAAACTGCTGCTCATTCTCCACTGTCTCAGTACCCGACTGCAGACTAGTCAACACAGTCAATACAGTCAGATTGAGATACAATATCCAAACTATGGACCGCCACATCAACCCCCCTCACCTGCATGATTGCCACAAACTGCTGCTCATTCTCCACTGTCTCAGCACCCGACTGCAGTTTAGTCAACACAGTTGTTGAGAAGAAATAACGCCACTTGCTCTGTAGCAGCTCAAACAACAGCTTGTATAAGGCTGGCTTGATGTCCGGGGAGGCTCTCTGCAAGCAACAATTCCAGATTTTAGTTCATCCAAAATACAGACCAACACCAGACTTGGAAAACTAAAGGGAGTTTTGAAAACCAAGCCTCATCTGCCCTTCAGGCTTTTCTCTGGTGTCAAAATAATTGAGAAACCTGTAGAACCAATTGGAAATACTAAACACGTTGAGCATGCATCATACAGGATTTGACTTTATCAGGATGGACCTGCAGTCAGCTGCATTCTCGTAAGTCATGTTCTATAAGATCTTTGGAGTTGTCATGTTGGCCGTGATACAGATTATCAGATATGCATTCGTCTGGTGCAAAAGTCATTGGTTCAATTTTTCACAAGTTGGCCTGATTTATCTCTTGAACAAGCTGTAGGGCCTATGTTCACAGTAGGAATGTTCGGGGTAACAATAGACCCCACAAGACCCCAGCGATAACCAGACTAACCTGTGCAATGATTGGGTAGATGTGATCCATACAGATACTGATGATAGTGGGTAAGAAAGCCTTGAATGCCGACCCTGGCTCCTGGACGATAATCTCTAGAATCTGAAGAAACCTGAAACGACACACATATTTACAGGGCTTGAAGGGGCTTATTTCTATATGGAATCTGAAATAACTTTTTTAAATCAGTGTTTAAATTATACATTAAATAAAAAAAGTTGAAAGGGCACTTGTTCCTTAAATAAATTCAAGTAGTTTTGGAAAGAATATTGCAACCTGACGCCACTTTTTTCTTCGTGTATCATCTCAATGAAGTTCATTCATTGCAAAAATGATGATAAGACATGAATCTGGGACTGAGAAACACTTCCAATTTCGAGTTCGTATGTTTTTACACACATTTACATGAGGGCCACCGTACGCGATAGAAATATCCCGCCAACACACCTGGCAAACGCATGCTGTTTTATCTTTCCTTGACGTTGTGATAAACTCAAACTCCTTTCAATACTCGTCACTAAGAACTGTCCCTTTTTTGTTGTCTTGGAAGTCATGATGGTGTCACATAAATTTTAAAAAATGTTTCGTGAATACTACGAACATGATGAAAACTTTGGACTCACATGGCAATCCTTTGGGCGCCATCTTAAGAAAAGCGAGTGTATGACACACACACGCTGGTTCCAAGCCGTTAACACACATGTATAATACTAACTGGCTGGTACCCGGCGACTACATCGATGTCAGAATCACTCGGCTACGGCTTGATATTACACACATGTCTATGGTAGCGGCTGCAGCCACGTCCCATAAGACTCATGTGCAATTTCAAGCCGTAGTCGATAATTCAGACACGGCTTATATCTAACCGATTTTTCAGCGTTTCGGTTCAAAAATCAGTTATTAATTGAAAATGTAAATGATTTTGAGGAAATTCGTAATAAAGGGCATTCAATTTGTAATTGGGAATACAGCTTGTATTTTCGTAATGATCACGCCAAATTGGGAAAGGTTGGCAGGTATGCACAATGTACAAAAGGCTTCTATGCACATAATTGTCAACAACAAACCTACTTTTCAACGACGCCTCTTCCTTTGTTTCCTTCTTCCAGAATCGTTACTGTTAGCCGCTCTCTGTAATACAGGCAAAATATTTGAGGATTTTGAGGATTACGTTGAAAGCTATACTTCCTATTCCACATAATGTTGGTGCTTAACCATTTCAGATTTAACAGTGGTTCAACAGGGGATCTACTTAATGGTTGGAATTCGGGCAAATGACATCATGGTGCTGGCAAACTTTGGTATGGGGACACTTCCCCAAACCACAGTGCTTTACTAGGCTGCCTAATGTATCGGCAGTACAGTCAAAAACAGATATAATGAATACCACTATGAATAACACTAGGTTATACTGAACTGTCTATGTTCTCTCATCCTATGTTCAAATTTACAGAACATATCTGTACATCTGAAAAAGCACTCGTATAGTCCCAGTGTTTTGTCTTGCCCAGAATGCTGCTCAACTACACTTGGATTACAAGTATATAAATCCTGTTGGCAATTCTGTCTGGTACACTCGTTTCCATCAAGCGAATACTCAAAACTTGAATTCTTCTTTTCTATGTAGGTATTTTTCTTTTTCTTGTAAGGTTTTGATGCCTGTATGAGGTGCATGTGTGTGGTGTTGTAGCCAGTTTGCACATAATGATACCACATGGTATGGATCACATTGGCTATATTCTTCACCTGGCAATGCATGTACATAGCTGGAATTTTCTTTCATTTACAAGCAGTCAATGAGTCAAGTCCATCACAGGCTTTGATTCTCCATTGAATACAAGGGAAAGTACATGACATCTTATCGAGCAACCAGATTCCAGCAGCTAACATTGCTGTAACCAAAGACCTCTATAGCAATAATCTTGTCTTGGATCCCATCGTGTTTGACTTTCTACTGCATTGTCAAAGGGAATCGAGTCAAATGATGACCATATCTACTATTCCCACCTTGTGAATAACTCCAGAAAGATGGTGATAGTGTGTTGGATGGCTGGTATGCCCATCTGAACACGAAGACTCTGGAATGTAGCCAGGTAGAAACCCATCATATCATTGATGACATCTGGACATTGAAAAGTCGAAAATAAATATCAATTCTTGAATGAGATGAGAGCATTTATGATCTGATGACTGACACACCACCAAGATAATGTGATCTTCCCAGTGATATCATCAATATTGCTCCATCTTGCCAAGGGGAATATGTTCATTATGAGAGATGTCCTATTGTCCCTCTTTAACTTTTTAGGAAGACTCTCATAGGTTTTGTACACGACCCTAATCGCGGACGTATGCTGGGAATCGTGGACGATATTGTTCTCTTTTGTTCTCTGGAATTTTTCGTCCACGGTTTGAATAGATGAACATGCCCACCCACTCTTGTTTTACTATACTCTCAAGGACAATGCTTTGTGTTTCCTTTTGTCCCTATAACACTCTCCTATAGACTAAGCACACAAACTTACTACAGAGGACCATTTCCAACAAAAGACCGTACTCCCGAGGACTGAAAGGATCTGTTGTTCTCCCTTTGTGTGTCAGTCCTCGGGGGGTTATGTAGAACATGTACGCACCAACATTTACGGTGTAAATCAATGATTTTCTATTGTTCCTCATCATCAATCTTTTGTATATACTCTGAACTTTTTTGCAACAGCTCCCATTGGTTTTGTACACATTTTCTAATCGAGGCCGTCCTTGATTTGACTCCTGTCCTCAATTACACAATGATGTTTCACATGTGTGTCCTGGATTGACACCATAAACAAGCCCAAGTTCATACACTTACAAATTGATTTCCCTGTGTGCAAGACATTACAGAATCTAGGCCAGCGATTTCTGATTTCTGTGCAAGGAACAAATCCTCAGCATGCATTATCTGCCAACTAATCCTAGCACGTAGGTACCTCACTTAACCAAACATTTGGCACTGTCACACATGTGGGCAAACATCACACAGACCAAATAGAAGCCGAGCGCATCTTTGTACCTGATTGCTGAATGTAGAGTGGAAACAGATAGAGAGTGACATCAATCGAGTCTTGTAGGGAGTTATGACAGACTTGCTTGGTCTTGGATACCTCCCCAGCAATGGACTCCACCTGGTCCGATAGTAACTGTAATGTTCTTCTGATCGTTGGCTTGGCTGTGATAAAAAAAAAAACAATTATAAGTTCATTATCAAAAAAGAAAGGTGATTATGAATTCATTATCAAAACGGAAAAGTGATGAACGAATTTACCAAGGTACTTCAGAATCAATGCTCAAGTGTAACACAGTGGGTTTGTTGTAGTAAACTTTATTATTAAGTCACAACAGCACACCAATGGACACCTTGTGAAAAACCCTTCAGTCCATGTTAAACACTACTATATCTGTGGGAAGTGTGCACAGCGTAACTGCAGATACTGATACAGATAAACTAATGTCACAGCAAGCAAATAAAATATAACTGGGGTTAAAACCTTGTGCCGACACTACGCTACACTGCATTGTATCTGCAACCACATGGGACTGTATCAATGGGAAAAACCACACGGCAACATCTCTCTATCTCCCAGGTAAAAACATAATAGTGTTGGAAGGGTCAAGAGGTTACTTTTGTTACAAATAAAATGGGACATGGATTGATGATACCTCTTTCTTGCAAGCTCTTATCCTTGGCAAGTTGTGACATGTTCTTGAGTGAACGGAACTCTTTGGTCAGTCTCTGGATGAACTCTGCATGGTGCTGGGAGCGTAGCGCCCACTGCTGATCCGTCTCTGGTATGTTAGGCCAGGGCAGGATCAGGATGTTGGACAACGCTCGGCAGACTAGAAGCTGGACCTAGACAACGGAATCAAGACAAAAGAAATGTAGCTTGCCCAAGGACATTGCAAGTACCCAGCAGTCTGCAATCTTAACTGTACTATGTCTACTTTATTCACAGACACTTCCTTGACTGAAAGCATGCAGAATGGGCCAAAGATCTTGGAAAGTCAACTTAATTCTTTCTAACTCTTTTTTCAAATGATCCACAAAAGGAACTGACTTGGTGCATTATAAGTTGGGTTTTTTTCAGTTGAACAAAGAAATTGACTGGAGTGGGGTTTGAACCTTCCATCTCTGGTATTCCAGATATAAACTTATTATATAATTCACCTAGACAGACTCCCTTTGTGGTTCATTTGAAAATTTGTAATAAAAAGCTGTATCCTCTCTGAGTGATCCCCGTTTGTATTGCCCATGTCTGCATTGTGACTTTGGGCGTGATCTCTGGCTGTATGGCATACATGGGTTTATGGCTTCTGACTAGCCCCCCTTGAACAAGGAGATTAAAGAATTGGGGAACCACCAACATAGGGTTGCATAGCTCAGTTTGTAGAGCACCGGAATGGTAAACCGGAGGTCACAGGTTCAAACCCCGCTCCAGACATTTTTTTTGTTCAACTTAAAAAAAAAAATCAAAAACCTTCTAATTCTTCTCAAAAAGCACACTTCTCTTACAGAGTTTGTCATTTGACATGTCACTTGTCTCATATTCTACTCTGTAGCAGGACAATCTCAAGGAGTAAGCTACTGGAGGCATTTACCTCATCCTGTAGCCCTGATAACGACCCGCCACTGACATCTTTGAATAAAATCTGCACAGATGCTAGCTCAATGAGAAACGGTGGTCTGACAGTCGTGGCCATGGACAGGAATAGGTGGGCAGCTGAGACAAGAATCTTCTCTGGAACCTTGGAGAAATGTGGAATCGATGGAATCAGGTTGCATTGAAAAACAATTCGATTATCAATCCCTACAACAACTGTACTTCATTTGACACTGCACAGACTGGTATTTGCCTATTTCATGTGTACCTGTGGAAAAGCAAAAAAATTCTGTATCTTTCCTCACAGTATACAAATTTCACAAATATTTGCCACGGAAAATTCCTTTTTTTTCATCACATGAATATTTCCCAGTGACTAAATCATTCACATGACACAGCACTTTCTGCTGCAACACTGAAACAGCCTATTATAAGAAACAGGCCAACTGTAAGGCGGCATCCAAATCAGCTGTCTAGAGCTAGGTCTCGGTCCGCGCCCATTGTAAATACGCGGGGACGCGCTGACAATAGACGTAGCTGTAGCTCTGGAAGCCTGTTTCGGACACGGCCTAACACACATTGTTCCAGCAAAAACTGCTGTTTTTGATGTTTGCATTCAAGTCTGTGCTTGGAATCCTATATGTCAGAGTTCACAGTGCTACCCTATGACCCTATAGCAATACCTGTTTGGCTAGTAGCGGTGTGACAGCATTGATGATGCTGGTGACAAGCGGCACAAATTTATCATGATGTCTGCTATTCCTCTGTGCCTCGCTGTAGAATTGTGATATCCAGTGTGTGAATGCCTGCAGGGCTGCTAGTGACTGGGCATGGCTGTAACATGGTGCACAATAAAATTCCACGATGAACAACTCAACATTTGATCTCAACAAGAAGTTACATGGCCTTTTCCAAACAAGGGCAGCAAAGGGTTTTTCCTATAACTTGTTTGAGATATTGCTCAACGGTTCAAAAGTCATAAAATTACAGACCACAAACAAGTGAAGTATGCAAAGTCATCGTACCAAAAAGACCTCAAAAAAGAAATCAGATGGAAAAAAGCATCCATAGATTTGATCAAGGACACGATGTCCCATGAAAGATTACAACTCACTTATCTTCTTAAGGGTCACATCAATGTCACATCATTTGTAAAGGGGACAATTACCACATTTTAATGTACATAATAATTCTGTGCACGTATTTTCAGCTGGTCATCACTGCTATCCAAAATGCCAGCCCCCCCCCCCCCCCGAAACAGAACCACTAGATCCCAAAATTAAATTGTAGATGGCACCCCTTCAAAATGATGTAACTATACTCAATTACGCGGAACGATAAAGCATGTTTGATTGGCCAGTGCAATAAGCTGAAGGCAAACGATTTCTGGGCAGCTTGACTGTTACCATAATTTCAATCCATGAGGTGTTAGACAAGACATAAGTTTTCCCCAAAGATAAGAATGGATTGACAGCAATACTCACACATCAATAAAGTCTGACTTGAGTACTGTGGGGATGGCTGTCTTGACTTTGTACAGCTTCATCTTAGTACCATACACAGTCACTTGACAAAATCTATTCAAAAAAAGAAAATCCATTGTTAACAGACAAGCAATTTCAAAATGGGACAAATTGTTCAAACTTAATGTCTGTCAAGATTTCAAATGTTTGCGAGATATTCCTAATCTACTATGCAAACATGCAATAATGATATCAATTACAAATTTTCCTTTGACAAAAATGTCCAGTACAAATGTATACCTTTAATTCAATGTCTTACATGTGTGTGTGTGAGAGATTATCTTCTACTCACCAAACCTAATGAAATTATGGGCCACATACATTTAGCAGGACTTGAGAAAGGTATAGTCCAGCTAATTTTCCTTTACACGGGGCCCAACACGCATACCCTTTAAGTTAAATTACAAGTAATCAGATTGCAAGTGTTATCTGATTGTAAGATTCAAGGAGGCTACTTGACAAAAACCCAAGGTTTTAACATGTTTAGGATCTAGACATCAATGCCGAATGCAGCTAAAAAATGACACAACCTGCACCTACTTGTCAATCAATGACAGGGCATCATCAAATCTCTCCGACAACCTCTCAGCAATGAAGTGATCAGACAGTCTTCCTAATGACTGGAATAGCGAGCACAGATCACGCAGTGTGCAGTGTAGTCTACGACATTCATGCTCTGCTGTGATGTTCAATCGTCGACCTGAAAGAGAAAATATAACATATGACCTCTGCAATCTATTTCATTTACCCATATGACATGAACTTGCTTTACATCAAGAAACTACTGAACTCATGAAAATGCCCAACAGTTGAAAGCCATTCAGTCCTTCCATAAAAATAGAAATTCACATGGGAAAATATTGAAGAACCAACCTTTCAGTATTTCAACCAAAGTGCACAAGTTACTATGGCTAATACATGTACATCAACACAAAATAAAAACTGAATGAAATTTTTGTCTATCTTGCAAAAGGTTTGGGATATAAGAAACTACTTTCTCTGAAGCAATCATACCCTCCTGTGTTTCCGTTACAAACTGGGCGAGTCCCATGTAGACGTCTAAATACTCCTGAAAAGGTGGGTACTGGGGGGAAAAACAGCAAAGTTATAATTCTCTGAATAGTTTTGCTTGCTTGTCATTTTTCAAACTCAACGACGCATATAATGTCCTGCTATTGGGTCGAGGGAGCCTAGCTAGTCGTTATAGGGACCACATGTTGTGGGAAGGCTACTAACATCCTACGACTCGGTCCAACTTTACCTTACAATATAAACATTCCTCATAAAGCAGTGCCTGCTACAGTGCATATGTGACCCATTCAAGCACAAGACAAAGTCACAATCAGGATAATATCAGAGTGTAACTGTATTATTTCTACAGCTGTGCATTTTGAAACCTATTTAATCCAACCATATCCAACAACTAGAACAAACAGTATGTTAAGTACTGCTTAAACAAAAACCTCACAGAAATTGCGCACTGTTTGATATTGTTGGATACAAAAAGTGTTTCTGAGCACCAAGATGATAACCTACTACACAGTTGGGTAAATCATATGTGCATTGATAATTTGATCACTTTGTATAAATTCTGAACTATTGGGAACAATTACGAACACTAAACAAAACTTTCTTGAAAGCAAGGTTCAGGAGCTACAAATCTCTATAACGACTACCAGAGAACCTGACCCAGCAACTCCTCATCAATAACACACCCCACCTACATGTAGCCAACTCACCAATACTCTAAATGCTTCCGTTGGTAGAAGCTCAGCGACCTTGGCAATGACTTCCAGACACTGCCGCAGAAAATTCTGCCACTCTGTCTCCGACTTGCAAAATAAACAAAAACTGGCATCATTTTATGCTTCAATTTGACACATTGGCCATGGGAACTAATGGTATGGTTGCATACGAACATTAACACATCCAGATGGAATGGTAGGAGAAAATAGCATCTCAATAGCCAGGATTTCATCCTACAAGATAATGATGATTACTAACTCCATTCATATTGTCCTCTCTTCACAACCTGCCTGTTTGGAAGAGCACTACACTTTGATTCAAAGTAAAACTGTAAATCAAACTTACACAACTAGGAAAGACATACTTACAAATAAAACTCATTTCAAAGCCTCATGAATAAAGTAAAGTATAAGTGCAGAAAGTCACATTTACAAAAATATCCTTGTACGTATTTTGGTATAAGATTTATTTATTTATGTTCTATAGTCGGTCTTTTTAAAATTCTTTATCTACGGCCATGCCTGACTCACATCATCATTGAGTATCTCATCATCTATTTCCTCAAGCTGTGATTGGTTGCAGCGGAATTGCAGCTTGTGAAGAACCTCAGTGATCAGTGACACCAATGCATCTTTGTATCTGCATAATGAAGCACAAGCAACAAAAATACAGCTATTCCAATTTGGGTCCATGGCTAAAAACAACCCAGCAAGTCATTGCCTCAAAATCCTGATAAAAAAGCAGTATCTTGCAAGTAATACCGATGTGATTAATTCAAAATCTTTCCACATGCATCCAGTTATGCTGCTTTAGAAATGATTATATACTATTCCATTTGAGCAAAAACAAACAACGAATGTTTTTCTTGACGTTATTTTGGCTGCAGTCTTTGAATAGATGCTAATCATCATTCAAGTGTTCACACAGAGTCTTATCTTGGCAAGCATGTTGTGTACGCATGAAATTAAACTGATTTGAGCCAGGCCTGGAATGTTGATGCTTAATGTAGTGTTCCTGGATTCATTTTCATATTTAACAGCTACGTTATATATTGATAACCGTACTATCAAATCGGAATGTCATACATTCCTGAAATAATATTTTGGGCAAAACTATGAATTCAACAGAAAGATGTAGGTTTAACAATTTGGAATTTGTAACTTTTGCAGTAAATTTCTATTTGCATACCAGCTTCACTTTTTGTACTAATAACAACATATTTTGGTGATAGTTGGCATCTATGAGAGTGGATTCCTGAGAGAAGCAGCACAGGGAAGCTATTCATGGTTTGTGTTTCTGTACGGACACAAGATGAACAACCAAGTCACCACCAGTCAACAGTCACCTCAAATGCCACAGAATCCAAGCTAAGCTTGATTATTAATCAGAAGAATTCTTGATATAATTCACAGAGAATTTCACTTATTGTTGTTATGGACTGGTGGGGACAAGGTCATCCTTGAACAATTTACGGATGGTTTTCAGCCCAGAGGAAATAATATTTTCACTATCCAAAATTAAAGAAGTGTGTCAGTTCATGAAAACAAAACAAAATTGGTGGGAGGTGTGCATTCAGGCATGTGCACAGACATTCATTGAATTAACTGAAATGACTGTTTGGACAATGATGAACTAGCCAAATCAGCTTTGAGCCATTAAATGCTCTTACAGGAAAAAAGGACTGAACACATCTGTGTTCATCTAGGCAAATATGATAAATGAGGGTACATGTGGGATGTCTCACTATAAGTCCTATACAGAGAAAATGACTAAGGAATAACTTCATCTATGAGAATCTGAAAGGATTTGGCAGTATGAAGGTAAATTTGGATTTTGGACTTTCGAAAGATTATAACAGGATGACCATTGGTATAATAAAAGCATCTTCTATTGGAATGTCACCTGTCCACAAGGTTACTGGTGTTTGGACATCTTGAGGTATTGGTCTTGTCAAGAAGGTAGTCAATGAAGATGGTCCAGATATCCAGACAACTGAAGTAACCTTCATGACAGGGCTGCAGAAGAAAAACAGGTCAGGGAATAAAGATAAGATATTGCAAACACAACTTTGGACTCTGTTGTACTGCAAGCCACAATTCTGAGACGTAGCTTCGGTAACACAAAATCCCAGTGCATTTTTGCTGGAAGCTTCCTTAATCCTGCAAAATCCCCCAAATCCTCTTAATATTTTTGAAGGATCTGGGAGAGTTAAGGTAAAATATTATCTTGTTGTGAGATGGTTCTTAAAGTACAATTGCCCAGACAAGAAGCCCATACACATTTGTCAGTAAACCTTACCTGGGGCACATACCAGACTAAGATGAACCTGGCAAATTGAGAGCTAGATTTACAAGCTGTGCATGGGAATATCTCGGTATGTTCCTAGTGGTTACAGGATTGATGGACTAATTTGTGCACAATGTACTTCTTCAGTGACTACCCCTCTGTAATTTATGCAATATCCTATACATATTTGATTTGAACTGATTTGAAATTCTGAGAGCAAGACCTTAATTTGCCTCCTCACCTGCTGGAATGTGTACTTAAAAAGTAGTGTAAGAAACTCCAGGACAGGGAAGTGTGAATTGGATTCAAAGCGCCTCAGATGAATGCTGACAAACAGTCGAAGGAACTCGGTGAACTTCTCCACGTATCTGAACACAAATAGCAAAGGTTTAGAAACAACAAGGAAAGAAGGGAAAAGATAACCACCATTTACTTTCAGAAAATGTCTTAGTTATCTTTTCAAAATAAAAATCAATCTGTGCACATGATCACTGTACATTTGGTAGTGTCAAAGTAATTGCAGGATCAATGTTCCAGTTTTGGGGTTTTTTCCCGCCATCACGGGTTGGTTAATTTGGACAATGGTTTAGAAAATGCTTCCATCATTCCTGGGACACTACTGAGTGTACAGTGATGATCTTGACGTTGATAAAATAACATATCAAAGTCACATGAAATATAGAAATTTAGACGGCATTAGGCCAGCATTTTTTTATTCATTGGATTACGAACAGAGCATGAAATTTGGCCAGGTCGGAGGGATGGAATAAAATTTAAAAAATAACATTTTAAAGTTGTTTAAATTTTTTAAGTTTTCCATTTTTTTGGAAAAAAATGTAACTCCTTTGCTTTTGTGTTATCAATTTACTCAAATTTATCAGTTATCTCTCAAAACCAAGCAGAATCTGTTGGTGGGGCATTACAAAACAGATATTGACTGCTTTAACTCATGGTGTAGTAAAACTAGCCTCCCTCAGTGATCCATGGAACATTCTATTTCTCTCAGCTTTGCCTCAAGAAAACAGAACGTTCCATAGATCAACCCAAAGAGCTAGATTTATCACAACACTTGAAGAAGTCAATATTTGTCTACTATTGGCTCCTGGGATAGAGTTAGACTAACCTCTCATCCAGCTCTGACATCTTATTGCCTACAGACTGCTCAGTAGTATCCTTAGTCACTCGCTGCAACAGTTGGAAGGCTTGCTGGAACATCTTCAAGAGGTATTCTTCAAAGTCTGTAGGCACACAGTTCTTGGCCATGATCTCATTGATGCAGGTCATAGCCAGCACACCCAGAGATGAGCTGCCACTACTACTGAAACTGCTGTTGTTCAAGTCCTTTTGAGAGGATGGTGAGGTACTACCCTGTTGTACTGATTGGATGTCACAACCAAAGTTCGCAAAGTGGAAGATGGTAGTCAGGAGGTTTGGGGTGATGCTTCCTGATAGAGGGATCCAGGAGAAGAGATGAGACAGGCAGTGTAGGCACAGCAGGCTGACCTGTAAGGTGGTGACGTATAGACAAGTTGTGAACAATTTAGCCTTTCAGAAAGACATCCAATGTTGATAAACTTTTTAAAGTTGCTCTACCCAAGCTCTTCAACTTGTTCCATTTTTTTTTCCTCCTTACTAATTTTCAATTTGTGTGTTTTATTTACACAGAAATAGCTACTTAATATTTCTATTTTGGACGTTCTGAAGCCTCTGAAATCAACAGGTCATGCAGATTTCTGAAACACAAGTTGAGGTAAAGGTACATACTTAAACAAATTTGACACTGACTTCTTGGCAAAGGCCCTAACCAAGTCAAGAATGGATGACCATCGATACTGACCTGCTCACTGTCATGGTCCAGTGGAGGAAGAGGCAGGACGTTCTGTTTGCTGACTGGTGTGGCTTTGAACATGCTGCGAATGATACTGCTCCCTGCGGTTGTAAAATCACAACAAAAACAAAAAATGTACACATTAAACTCCACGCAGAGCTAGGCAATGTACATATGATCAATTTCACAAAACGTGTTACATCTGGGCGATGTTTTTAATGAGTAAAACTTGAAGACCATCACTGTTTCTACAATGACCTTTGTGCATGATTTCATACGTGTACACGTTTATGTAAAAAGTGGTTGAATGAACTATACCAGCCATTTAAATAAACAGTTTTATTTCTTGGGTTTAGGTGGCAAATCCCAAATTTCTCTCAGATGATAACATGATTAATCAGTAACATTGTCATTTACAATTGTTACGCTGCAACTTATGCCGTTTACACTGACGGCCTAATTGACATCATTATTTCATACCAAGTTGTACTCAGGCCAGTAACTCAGGTGTAACACTCATGAAGTTTGTTTGCCAGGCTCCACACACACAAAATTCTGCAAGCAAAGTTACCTGTTGTACAGGTTTCATGGACTCAGCTACTGTTCCTATTGAAACCGTCCATTGGAGGTACTGTAAGGTTGATTGCAAAATGTTCTAAACATAAAACCAGGCCACTCTTGAAAATGTTGCTGTTGTTTATGTACTCTGTATTATCAGTTTTGGGTTGTTCTCAGACAAATAAGGCTAAAATGTCTCTACATAGGAAGCAATGAGCAATGTTCTTTGTACATACCTGATTGGAGAGGTGAGGAGCCATATGCAATGTGACTTGGACTACTATCATTGGAGTCTCCATGTGTAGGGGAGGGTGGTGGAGTTGCAGTCGTCACTAATTGCCGATGCTTGTCTAATATTGTCTCTAAAATACCTGCAAATACAAACATGGATTTGAAGGTTATTAGAAGGTCCAGGTTGAAACTCAGTTAAACTGCCCAGCTTCAATGCGTTTGTGACACCAAGGTAAGTTTTTGCGTTGCAAATTGGCAATTTTGCTACAAATGTTTGTAGGTTTTGGGAGTGGGGGTTAGAGGTTAAAGAGCCCAAACTTGTTTGATCAGAAAACAGCCACATCATGCCGTTCATGAACAGATGGTATGCATACTAACGTGTTACAATACTGAGGATGGTGGGGATCTGATCTAGGAGTAGTCTCTGTAACTGCTCCTTCCTGGCCATGCTTAGGTCTTCCCTCGGTGAAGCTAGCTCCTCAGACGTAGTTTGCAGCATTCTCAGGCCTAGAGTCACCATCTGCGGTTGATGGATAAGCTGTCAGAAGAAGAAAAGGGATTAACTTCCAAGACTAAAAAGGATTAGCCTATTAGTCCTATATACACAGAAGCCCGGAAACGGAAAGAGATTTTGCACAGTAGTAAACGTTTACACATGAGGGGAAAACTCTGCAGAATTATGTGAATATATGCAAATTAACCAATTAACACACGTACCGGTACTACATTGTAAAAAAATTATATAGTACTTATAACCTATAAATCCATAACGTTATTAAGTGCTCAGGCAGTCTTGGAGGATTTTCTCGGCTTAGGAAAAACTTAAAGTCGCATGCACGAGGTCGAGTATGATACATTGTCCATAACACACGCATAGTGCTAGTCATGTTCATGACGTGTGGCAGGCTCAGGATGCCCAGCTATGGCATGCTGGTTGCTAATTTGCTATGTATATCTGCATTCTTTTCAACCGATTATACAAGTGCGCACGAACGCCCATAGGTTTGTGTTTTTTTGTGACTTTCAGAAACGTGTTAATGTCAGCAAGTCAAATTTATTCGAGTCAAGTCAAGTCACAAGTCATATTTTTTCAAGTCAAGTCAAGTCAAGTCTCAAGTCATTTTTTTCCCAAGTCAAGTCAAGTCTCAAGTCAAAAAATAGCGACTCGAGTCCGACTTGAGTCCGAGTCAGTGACTTGAGTCAACAACACTGTTAAACAGTGTCAGCCAGTCAATCCCGCTATGTAGGCTGGGAATTCTTAACAGTCACTTGTTTGATCATGACAGAAATGACTACTTGGCACAGAATGTTGGTTGCTTCATTGGAGGGTTAATGTAGAACAAACAACATGTCCAAATTTTGTGACAGCTCACAATTTTTTTTTCTTGCAGTTTTGTACTCTGCCAGTTGTATCTACACTCTTCCTGCCTAGCCTAGCCATACATGTTTGCTGGTGGTGCACCATGTTGCACAATGCATATCTATGCAAAGGTTACCAGCTATGGAGCACTGGGGGCAATCTAGAAACATACTGCACATGATGGTGACTGCTGCATGACTATGCAGTACGTAGGTATACATGTACATGGGGATTGAGGCGCATAGAAATACTTTAGAATGTGCCATTACTGGGAGATGCTGGGAGTGGGGAATATAAAATCAAGGGGATCCTGAGACAGCAGCAAACTAGCAAGATGGTCAGTGATCACCCATGCATGTCAATATGAACTCAGAGGGGTCGGCATCTTTAATTTCAGGCATGCAACTGGTATTCAGGAAAACCGAGGAAATTCCAAACCACACAACACTTTGTATATATTGCTTTTCAATTTGGAATGGCATTCACGAGAAGTAAACGACAAGGAAAGCAGCAATCACTTCTCTATCGAGAAGCCAAACTTGATAGTTCCCCATGCCATTTTCCTGAGTGCACTCTGTAATTCACTGACTCTCCTAGTAAAATATAATTGTTAAGCCAAATTATTTTCCTCGATATCCTACTTTTCAATAAATAGGTGTATGCTTATGCGTACAACAGAATGGTCAATAACAGTTACAGATAGCTAAACTTACACTTATCAGTTCGAATGTGAAGCCTCCCTAATACTAGGAATTTCCTGTGACACAACTGCCAGTTTTCACATTTATATGCATCTCCCTTACCATTTATTGCAACAAGTGTGATAAGACTGAAGTTTAACACTGGGTGTTTTGCCAAAACCTCTTGGACAGCATTGAGTATACATTACTTATAACTTAATATCAGTGAAAGGCCAAACCCCCATTTTAAGATGATATCACAGCTATATAGTGCTACATACAGCAATTAACACCCAATGCCTACCTGGATAATATTTGAAAAGAAATCTGGGTAGAAGTGTGGCCAGTCTAGTCTCCCGATGCAGACAATGACTTTGATGAGCTTGTTGCAGATGAACGTTGGTACCAGCTTATGGTGAGACAATAGGAACTTGGATAAGCTTGATCGGATTTCCATTTTATCCTGGGCTTCAACTCCAAGCCATTGTCTGTTGATCAAGTTCTGAGGATCAATCAGAATCAGAACAACAAGTTTACAAAAACTCTTCAAAGCTTTCATGCATCTGCAGCCATTTTCCAAGACTTTAGTGGCCAATTCTGCCGAGTTTGTAATCCGGTCAATCACAAATTAAATTGGGAGTCAACTCACTGACAACTAGGGATGAACAATAAGTGGCTTAGTCACACTTGAGTGGAATAGATTGCCACTTGGGGCTCCATGACTTGTGATTTTTTACTTTTAGACTGCGTGAAAGAGTGGGAAAATGTTACGTGCGCATTGCACTCAGGGCGCATCACTCAAATGGTTCAAGTTGTTATAAAGCATGCACTGAATGGATGCCGCAATAGCAGAAGGTGATACTTCGTACAACAACCAAGTTGCAATCTGGAAATATGTGAATACCTTTTTGATTTTCCTTGTTTATCATATTAAACATGACTTCAAGAGGTAAAGGATATTTAAATTGAAAAGATCGGGCAATATTTTGCCCTTCCACCATCTCAAAGTAATTTCACCTGTATAAATGTACTCCTGCTTTGATCAAGAGTATACTCTTGCCAATCGTGCACTCAGAAGTGTGCTCGCTCAAAGCCATGATAACTTGATTTTACTCTGCATTTCTTTTTCAAGGCTCCTGTTAACTTCATCTATGATTTTATTAATGTTATGAACATACCTCAAAGACACTGAGCGCATACATCATGACATACTCATTCTGAGTATGTGCCAAGAAGTAAAAGCAGTGTCTCCATGAACCACTCTGTGCACTGAAATTGTTGAGCAACTCCTCTGTACACAATATAAAATAAAAATAGATATCCAATATTAAGTCAAAATTTACTAGTGTTGCAAATTATTTCACTCAATTTCAACTGAAACCTGACAGCAGGTGCCCTGAATGAGGAATTTCTAATTTTGGTACCAACATTTGAAATTTGTAAAGCAACACAACAGCAAGTAATGCCCCCTTGTTAATTCAAAGTTCTAGCATAGAACATTTTGGAAAATGCCAACATTTATCTACAGATTTAGAAGGTGAAACCACTGCAACAGTCATAATAGTTTACAAAACAAATGATTCTACCACAAAAGGATACACAATTCCTAATTTGTAAATTTGAACAAATAAGTTTGCATATTCTAACACTCCCCCCCCCCCCCCCATTTTCTCTCGTATTCACACGATTCACAGGGGTTGAGTTTTTGAGTTTAAAAAAATAAGAATTTCCGGGAAATTCCCCAGAAAACTGAACAGACAAAATCTTGACAAAATCTTGACAGACAAAATACGAACAGTACTAACACAATAAATCTGATTTGCCTGCAAGGTGTGCGTACAACCATGCTACAGACACAGTAATGGCTTCTCATTATGGTCAACAGGGGGAAACAGGTAGGATATGGCACATTATATATCAGGCTTCCAGCAGTAAACCTAAATCGGCATATTATATGCTTTCGTAAAAAAAAGTATCCGGATGTCTGCAATATTATGTCAGTAAAAGTACCCGGATGAGGACAATATTATTTAATATTCTCCTCCTCTGGGCATATAAACAAATTTTGTTGGTGCCCACACAATCAAGAGCATAGATTACTCATGGTTGTTAACCAGTGAATAGAATTTTCTGCATACAAACCTATTTCTCGTTTTCGTTGGTTAGTTGCCCCCGGGGAAAAGAATTCATTCATCAAGCCCTCCAAAGCTTGCAGGGATGATTCACTGGAGGCCTGAGGTGGCAACAAATTCAAGTCAGAAATTGAAACAAAAAATGAAAAGAATGAAGTATGTCAATGGGAATTTGAGTACAACTTGAAATCCTCTCTCTAATGGTACATGCATAGCAGAGGGTAAGTTAGACAAAAAAGGTTGCATGGAATAAATTATCTAGCACAATCGATCTCTTGTATGTGGCCTAAACACAGTGGTTTTTGTTTTTGTTTTGTATAGTCGTTAATAGTTTTCAGAACAAATTTTGACACACTTTTCACTTCATACATTGCTGTCACAAAAACTGACTGCTCATCATGTGCCATTTCACACAGCAACATGTGCTAAATGCTTTTCCTCCTCAGTCACTCTCCATAGCCACATCTCTTCTTTTCATACCATTCATTGTCTTTTTTATTTAACTTATCCTCATCGCAACTATTCAATTTGTCTCAGTTTTTAGTGTCCCGTCTCGTGTTTTGTTTTGTCTTGTCTTTAGTTTCCCTTTGACTGTTTTCGGGTTTATTCCCATTGTCTGTGTAAACTGTCCTGTATTGTCCGTTTATGTGTTGGGCTGTTCTCTACAAGCCTCGGTTTATATGAACAGCCCCATACACTTCACCATCATTTAATGTATTTACTGTCGTTGTAGTCGAACTCCATATTCTCGCGGCATCCCTATTATCGCGGCATGGGAAATTTCTCCTTTTGCATTGCCTAAACTCCTTCAAGTGGAGATTTTCATCCAGTTCACCAGGCATTAAGGACTTTCTGCCGAGTTGTACAAAAAGGACGATTAAAAAAATTGTGTCTTTCGAGACTTTTAACGATTTTAATTAAATATTAGCATTTTCCAAAACTTGCGAATTTTCCCTCACCGTGTCTGCTAAAAGGTACCATCTATATTTTAACATAAATCTTTAATGGTGCTCTGTCCATGAAAGTTCAATTGTCTGGTTCCCATTCTACAGCTGCAAACACATAAGGAAGTCAAAGGACGAAATTTTCCACTGTTTCCTGAACAGCACAGCCTGCACATATCGCATACACGGCTATGCAATATGTGCAGGCTGCGCTGTTCAGGAAACAGTCGCCGGTGTACCCGTGCACACACGATATGCCCGACTGTGAATGCGGGCGTGCGCTTGGCCGGCGCGTCGTACGTCATCAGTTTGACCTCACAATTTGAATGAATCGTACACAACAACAACATTCAAGATGGAGGTTACTGGCACGACAGCTCGGCGAGGCTCGGTTTCCGAATCGAAGGTGAAATTTCTCTTTTCTTCTCTAAGGTATGTGAACCTAACCACCACCATTTGTATTTCCAATTCCCACTGAAGCCTACAGGGGCGCATAAGGTAGTTTGAAGACAGTTTCGGGGGTAAAATCTGAAGATTTTGATTGGGGGTACGAGTGAAAATGGTCAAAAAAAATTAGTAGTAACCGCAATAGGGCCATCGATCTCGGACTCTACTATTGCCCGACCATGTCCAAATGTTACAAAAGCGATCTGTAGAGTCCTAGTTACTCGGACTAGATAATTGGGAGTCCACCTCCGTTCGCACACTCCGAGCATGTCTATTTTCATAGGCATCGTCCACAGAATAAACCACACCACGGTCAGATTTGTTTATATCAATTTGAAAAGGAAGAGTTATACAACACAAAATACAAGACAATTCGGGAAGGTTAGTGGGCAATCTCTATTCCAAACGAGAAACATGTAAATTACATTGTAATATTGTTGATGTACCCTAACGTGGCGCGGCCCCTAACGTGGGGCACTTTGATTTTTTGCCTGTAGCGCCTAGCTAGAGCAAAAGTTTTAACTGAAATTTCACAGAAAGTGAAATTTCATCAAGTTCTAAACACTCCCGTTCATAAATCGCAAGTTTATTTACCCGCTACAAAGTAAGAAGAAAAATTTATTTTGGGCGTGATTTTCCGATTTTATTTTCAAGTGCAAAGTGAACCCTTTGAAAATGCCCCGAAAAATAAGGTAATAATTTTCTGACAAACATCTGGCTGGGTATGTAAGTAGAGATAATAATGATTTATCAGAATTTATCAAGTTGACAGAAATTCTTAAATGTTAATTTTGAATTTTCTGAGATTTATTTAAGTGCGCCACGTTAGGGAACACTTCGCAAATTTGTGCCCAATTTCCGGACGTCACCGTTTTTAATTTTGGCTTAAATTTTATGAAACCGAAATTGTTCACAGGGGTTAAATAGCAAGCATTAATAAGGGAAAAGTACCAGAATTTCACTGCATGAATTTGAGGTTTGTCAACAAAGAGGTTTGGCAACACTACACGAGGAAAGTTGGGTAAGCTTCGAAGTGCGCCACGTTAGGGAACACGACTATACGGAGTCCCATCCTACTACATACATGACATAGGCCTACATGCATTGCTGTTATTTATTTATTAAATTTATAGTACAATTTAGTTTAGGCCCTACCTTCTTTTTATTTGAAAATTTAGTTTGACTGACTTGTGGAAGGTATGGAAATTAATGTTGCCTTTGAATTTAATTAGTATTCTTGGCAAACCCCACCCCTCCACCTACGCCCACCTTTGCTGCGCCCTTCCCGCAATTGCGTACATTGTACACTGCACATTTTATACATAGCGCTTGATAGCATTACGGTCCAGCATGTCCAGTTCCGTGTGAAATCTTACCATCTTCCGGCGTCGTTTAAGAACTATTCTCCGTCTGTCTACGAGTTAAACGTCCTCAGATAAGCTAAATTAGTCTTCAACTACCACTTGCGATTTTAATACCAAAATTTGACAGTTTTAGGGCAAAATTTCAGCTCATTTTTCGTTTGATTTGGCTCTTGACTTCGATACCAACGTGTGGATACAGCGCATTGCGCATGATCGTTCAGGTTCAGACCGCCCTCCGCCGGCCGGCTGCGCATTATTTTGTGGTGTCACTACGTCACGTGCCTTTGTGGGTCAAAAAGGGCTTGTGATTGGTCAGGAGTAGCAGAGGAACCTTTGACCAAATATGGAAAAGAAAAGTAACTCAGGTTATGTCAGTGCTTTTCCTTTAATTTTTCTCGTTACACATCTAATCTGAACAATTATCGATAACGATTGCAGTTGTTTCTGCTGGTTTACTATAGTCATAGTCTAGTCAGCCTCAGTCCGCTATGGGATCCACTGTACCGACTCGACCAGCTGAAGAAGGCCAGGACGCAGCGCAACCTGATACCGCCGCGCTGACATGGGGATTCGCGAGGGCCAGGGGGGCCGGGGGGGGGGGGGGGGGGCAAGGGGGAGAAGAAAAAAAACAGAGAAGAAAAGAAAAAGAGGTATGAAGTCATATTGCTATTGGTTAATGTTATGTTATGTTATGTTTTATTCCACAAATAGGAACCAACCCCATGACCCTGGGGAAGGGTTACAACAGTGAAATTAAACATTAAATTATTTGGCAGGTGGGTTAACAAAGAATATGCTTTGAAATTACGTCATGCTTTGCCTCTCTTTAAGATTTGTATATTGGAAAATAAATTTAGCCACACATATAATAGTGTGTTTATCTGCCAACGACATGAGAAAAATGAATTTATCATTTTTTGTTAAACCATTAAAGCCAGGCTCCATTTTACAAATGTCAGTGAGAAAGTTAGTTCGAAGATCATTATATAAAGGACATTCTAAAAGAAAATGCATTTCTGTTTCAACATCAAGTAGACAATGTGGACATAACCTTTCATGTAGAGCTAAACCAGTGTATCTACCAACTTCAATCATCAACTTGTGAGATGAACATCTAAATTGAGAAAAACAAGATCTATAACCAGAATCCAATAAGTAGCATAAATATGGCTCAAACACATATAATTGTTTAAACATACGGTAAGTACGAAGTTTGTTTTTCTGGTTACTATCTTTTCTAAGGTCACAATGCAGTCTGTCATTCCACTGTTTAATAAAGCTGTCTTGCAACAGATTAGTAAGAGTACTCAATACAGACCTTTTATTACTACCGCAAGTACTTGTTATTGGAACATTCCAATGGACTGTGTCGAAACACTTACGTAACACGGCGAATTCCTAACGCTGAGTCTTCACAAAACAAATTGTATAAAATAGAACTCTCGGGTTTTTCAGACAAGTGAAACCAATATCTAAGAGTATTAACACTGTGCTCAATATATAAGGGGAATCGACCTACTTCTGCTAACACAGCATCATTCGAAGTTCGTTTGTTAACGTTTCAAAGGCAGCAGATGTTTGGAATCTCCACATTGACTGATTCATCTGGTGCCACTGTGATCTCTCCGATTGACAAGGCCAATGAGCTGAATGAACAGTTTAGTTCAGTTTTCACAAACGAAAACCTGGACAGTTTCCCTATATTACCAGACTTGGACATACCCGACATGCCAGAAATTCAAACACATCCAATTGGGGTAGAGAAATTACTGAAAGATCTGAAACCAAGCAAAGCACCAGGACCTGATGCCATACCTCCTAGAATCTTGAAAGAGTGCGCCTCTGCTTTTGCACCAGTTTATTCTAAGATCTTCCAAAAAACATTGGATACTGGATGTTTACCTAAAGCTTGGCTTGAAGCAAACGTCACGCCACTTTACAAGAAAGGTGATAGGAAAAATCCTGGTAATTACAGACCTGTGTCGTTGACGTCTATTCCATGTAAGATACTAGAACATATTTTATATCATCACATAATGATTCATCTCGACAAACATCAAGTACTGACGGATGCCCAACATGGTTTTCGCAGAGGTCGCTCTTGTGACACCCAGTTAGCTGCTGTGACCCACGACTTGGCTGGAATTCTTAACAATAAGAGTCAAGCTGACTTAATTGTAATGGACTTTAAGAAAGCATTTGACTCGGTGCCTCACCAACGTCTTTTGAGGAAACTCCACAACATCGGCATCAGGAACAATGCTCTGAAATGGATTGACTCATTTCTCACTCAACGTCACCAGCAAGTTGTTTTGGAGGGCACTTCTTCAAACAAGTCGAAGGTCATTTCTGGGGTTCCACAGGGGACAGTGCTGGGTCCTCTCCTGTTTTTAGTATACATTAACGATCTGCCACAGAACATCAAATCGCATGTGAGACTCTTTGCAGATGACTGTGTCATGTACCGGGAAATAAAAACTGCAGCAGACCCTTGAATTCTTCAACAGGACATCAACACACTTGAAAAATGGGGAAAAGATTGGCACATGTCATTCAATGCCTCCAAGTGTCACACCATGAAGATCACCCACAAGAAGAACTCAGTCGACTCCAGTTATCACATGGGTAATACCAAACTACTAGAGGTTAAACACCATCCCTACCTGGGGGTTGAACTCAGTAATGATCTCAAGTGGTCCACTCACATTGATCAGATCATCTCTAAAGCCAATCGTATGCTCGGGCTACTCAAGAGAAACATCCACCACTGCAACAGTAATACCAAGTCCATTGCGTATCAGACACTAGTCAGACCAAGGCTAGAATATTGTTCCGCCATTTGGGATCCTCATCATGCGTCGGATAAAAAGAAATTGGAAAGCATTCAACACAGAGCAGCTAGATTTGTTATGCAAGACTACAGCAGGGAGTCAAGCATCTCAGCAATGATGAATAAACTCAAATGGGACACTCTTCAAGATCGACGGACCAAAGTTCGATTAGTCACACTCTACAAAGAAACCCATGGGCTTACACCGAGTAATATGGAAGATTATCTGAACATCGTCAACTCATCAAGGGGGGTTTCTACTAGACAGACCGGACCTTTCTCATATAGAGTCATCACCACAAATAAGGACTGCTTTCGTTACTCAATGTACCCAAAGACCATCCTAGAATGGAATCAACTTCACCCTAACATCCGCTCTTCACCTGACATTAAGACTTTCAAACTGGCACTGGACAACATCAACATTCAAGACCTGGCTTCCAAAACCCAATCAAGAATTTAGTTGCTGCACACCTGACCCTGACCAACGTACGTCGACAACCTTCTAGGTGTTTGTACGTTTATGGAACAGAAACAGAAAAAAAAAATTAAAACCATTTCAATTGAAAAACCTCAGCTCGCCTACAAGCTCCTTTCCATATAATTTCAGAACCATAAGAAATAATAGGTTTAAACAAGATGTCGAATACTTTCAACAATAATTTAGGAGCTAAATCATAACCAACACTCTTACGATATAAACCTGCAACCTTGAAGGCCTTATTAACCAGATTATTGATGGAGAATTTAAACGATCCGGATGTTTGGAAAATAATGCCCAAGTATGATTGCAAATCAACAACATTGACACACTCACCATTAAAATAAAAATCTGTCTTAGAATCACTTTTTTGGTACAGATCACTATTAAAGATCATAACATTAGTTTTATCAGTATTAACCGTTAATCTCCATTTGTTACAATAAACTTCCAATCTTTTAAGAAGTAGTTGAAAGCCATCGTATGTATCAGATAAAATAATCATGTCATCCGCGTAAAGTAAAGTACTAATATTACGGGAACCCACATTGACACCATGGAATGGAGCCCTACTAAGGTCAGTATCAATATCATTTAAAAACAAAGAAAACAACAATGGACTTAAAACAGCACCTTGTTGAACACCAACATTACAAGGGAAAACGGGAGTAACCCCACACTTTAGTTTTACGCGACCCTTCACAGAGCTGTACATGCTACGTAAAATATTAATTGCTTTAGAACTAATACCAGAATTAATTAATTTAAACCAAAGTAAAGATCGATCTACACAATCAAAGGCTTTTTTAAAGTCAACAAAACACACGTATAATTTTTCTTTTTTCAATCGAAATTTTTGAATCAGGGTATTAAGAACGAAAACATTATCAAGAGTACTGTGCCCTGCTTTAAAACCAGTCTGGTTATCCAATAAAATAGCGTCTGCCCACTGGGTAAGTCGGTTTCTAAAAACAATTTGAAATAATTTACCGACAGAACTAAGTAAAGTAATACCCCTGTAATTACATGGGTCTCTCTTAGATCCTTTTTTGTGGATCGGACCTTCAGACCAGGAGGCCAGTACTTTTTCCAATTTCCAAATAAGATTAAATAATTTAGTAAGTGGGTTACATAAAAATAAACTAGCTGAAGATATCATTTCAGCTTTTATACCATCGATACCAGGTTGCCTGTTACTCTTCATCAACTTAATTGCCTTTTTCACTTCACTCTCTGAAATAACCGAGTCAAAAACATCATTTTGAACAATCCCACTATTGTTCAGAATAAAATCCTTAGCACGAGAATAAAACACATTATCAAAGTGATCACAATTTGACGAGGGGTTACTTAAATCAGAAAAATAATTAAACCAACTCTCTGTACTTATCTCGTCAACTTGATTCAAATCATTTAAATTAGAACCAGTCATCTTCTTGAGACCATTCCAAAAGGCTTTACTATCTTTATGAATAGATTCTAAGTTATTAATTTGCAACTTTTTAAATAAACGTTTCTTTTGTTTCAAAATACATTTATAATGTTTTCTTTGAGTACAATACAATCCCCGCAAATAACAATTTCTAGGATTACGTGACAAAGCTTGACAAGTAGTTTTGAACTGCTTCCTTAAACGGTAACAGTCCCCATCAAACCAGGCAAACTTCTTCCTCCGTCGTTGACGGTGATGAATTCTACGAGGAAACCTAAAACGAGGCACTTTGGGGAGAATTTTGTTGGCAACAGAATAAATAATATCATTAAATTTCTCAACAGCATTATCAACATTACAATTTTCAGTCATCAAATAATTGTTAAGTTTCTGTTGAATATCTTCACTTTCAAACTCATAAACATATGCATTTACATACTCTCTAGACCATTTATAAATAATAATACACATATAAGAAAAATGGGCGTCTGCAGGCTAGGCCAGGAGTGTCAATGGGGTTACGAACGTGGGCAAAATGTCCTCCCGGCCGCCCATCGAAGAAATGATAAATGGAGAATATGCTAGAGAAAGTACAAGGTGTTTTTTTTGGGGGAGGGGTGTGCTTTTCCCCCTCCCCCGAACACATTTCTGGCGACGCCAATGACCGCTGAGCTGCTGAGGAAGGATGCTGATGCTGGACCGGGATGCGTGGTCACGGGCGACAATCCGAGGCTCCCTGTATCCCGAGAAGCTTCGGCGTCGGCTGAAGACGACATCTCGCATCGCATATGAAGAGACTCCGTTTCAATTATGAACTTGCAAAAATGAAATCCAATCATGCTCCAGTCCACTCATAACGTAAAAAAGAACAATTGATAAAATTTATTTAAAAACATGTTCCTGATATTAACCTATAATAAGTATTTTATCAAACATAAACACAATCAGCCAAAAAGATAACAATTACCACAAACAACTGGCTTTGGTGTACCAACGGAGATGGAATGGTGGGCTTCACCTCCGGACAAAGAAGGGGCGAGAAATAATAATAATATTTTATTCGGCAACTTGATTCACATACACACAATTACAATAAATACACAAAATTGGATATGTAAACAAAATGATACAGACACTGAATAAGAAACGAAGTAAACACTATACACACGGAATACAGAACGTGGACAGTGCAGGGCTGCCATGGAGATAAACAAATGTGAAAAAAAAACACTGTCGCCAATAGGGCATGTCCCTCCAACCATGCACAATGACAGGCACATAACGCAGACAAGCACAAAACAATTAGAAACAATAAAATTGCACAAGGGAGAAAAGGGCGAAGAAAAAAGGCAGGGCAGACGAGGCAAGGAAGTGGATAGGGAGGAAGACGGGGAAAGGCGAGGAGGGGGGAGGGGGGGGGGAGGGGGGGGGCTTGAAAAACCCAAACAAACAGACAAACAACCCACCAGCCCAACACCCCAACAAACAAACAAAACAGGAAGGGGAGGGTTTAACATGGGCCAATGGGTAGGGGAGGGGTAATACAGGAAATGGGAAGCGAAACAACAAAACCAATTGTGGAGGAGAGGGCTGGGGAAAGGAGAATTGTGGAATAGGGCAAATGCAATACATACAAATGAAAATACATAGCAAGCCCAAATTTTAAGGACGAGGCTCATCTCGCCTGCTACGGTGGGTTGATATCTCGATTCTGATCGGGATAGATAACTAGATTATGATTGAAAAACATGCGAGAACTTTAACTATCGGGCAGCAAATGAATGGAAAACTGTTATGAAGAAACGTGGCGATAATTATACCTAGTCGATGGAATATCCCCTTGCACAGCAAGGGTCTACGTATGTTATGTGAGCAGATTCGATAATTTTAATAATAATGCCGACTTGGACTGTGTCTTATAGTCTCGAGATTCTGACAGTTCAGCGGGCGTTTTCTACGTCTTCGGTAAGCCATTGTACTTGTATTACAACATTTAAAACATTGCATTCAAATTAACCAATCAAAAGTCCACGTTTCTGATCAAAATGACGTCACAGTTTCTAAAATAGACTCCGATTGGCTGGCGCTCGAGGTCGCATGTACAATTTGAAACTCGTTCGATCTTGGCATAATACGTGAATGTGTGATACTCAGGCAAAATATACCTGTGGCGCGATCCGATCCGGGGCTCAGTTGGACAACTAGCCCATAGTGCTATAGCTTCAACAAACGCTCGGCTACATAAAATCATTTGCAATTTAATCAGTATTTTCGATACTCCATGACAAATAAATCAATGAAAAATGTAGATTTTTTTAAATCGATGAAGTTAATGACGACTGTTTTAACCACGCCCATTTAGCTAGGTAGGTGTGCATGTGCAAACGGGCGCCATACTGTGCCGTATGAGCATGGAGGTAGGAAAGAAAGGAGATTTATAAACAAAAAGTGTCCATTGGACTTGTGGCGATGGCACAACAGATCATTAAAACAGAAACATGTATTTTTGATACTACTTCACATCGAGAAAGGAAAAACTACTTCTGGAATAATAAAGCGGCGCGTGGGTATGCTACATTATTTACTAGACTAGAGACCCTGCCCACCTTTTTGGGGACATTTCCTCCTTCTGGATACCGTCGACCAACCACTACACAAAATGGCGTCCACCTTGTTCGAGGAAGATGTCGTACAGCGCTGTCATCGTAGTACGATGCAACTGGGCCTGGTTGTACGGAATTACGACGGCTACAGCAGCATGGATGATTCAGAAGATGACGAGGAAAGGATCAAGAGGGGTTATGTCAGGGTGGCCTGGTACCCCAAGGGAAGAGAAAATGTCTTGCCGGAGAAAAAGGTACACACGCCTTGCACAATATCAATGTCAATGTTAGCTGGAGTTACCCAGCCCTGAGTTTTATCATTGGGTTGTCATCTAGGGCTGGAGCGCATTTTTCTCAAAACTTGTAGTATTTGCAAAAAAAAATTGGAAAATGTTCAATTTTGTCCCCGTTACACACTAATTGCAACTGCAACTCACCCCAAACTTGCCTGGAATAACCATTACACAGGTCCTTGAAGTAAAAAACGATCCACGATGAAGATTCAGCCTACAATTGCAGTGAAAACAGGAGGAATAACCGCTAACTTGACAACCTTGCTGGATTGACCAGGACCGCTATTGGTTTGTGCACAAAAAAAATTGTGTACAATGAATGGCGGTCGATTAACAGGCACAGAGAGCGATCGCTGTCAACTACTCGTTTTTGCCGGCTGCGCTAGCTGTTGGCGCGTGACGTCACGCGGAAGCGTAACACCCGATGACTGTTTCATGCACTAATATAAGGTTTACCACTCGCATCACAGCTTTGGTACTGGAACCGCAACCAATAGTGCATGAAACAGTCATCGGGTGTTACGCTTCCGCGTGACGTCATGCGCCAACAGCCAGCGCAGCCGGCTAAAACGAGTAGTTGACAGCGATCGCTCTCTGTGCCTGTTAATCGACCGCCATTCATTGTACACAATTTTTTTTGTGCACAAACCAATAGCGGTCCTGGCCAATCCAGCAAGGTTGTCAAGTTAGCGGTTATTCCTCCTGTTTTCACTGCAATTGTAGGCTGAATCTTCATCGTGGATCGTTTTTTACTTCAAGGACCTGTGTAATGGTTATTCCAGGCAAGTTTGGGGTGAGTTGCAGTTGCAATTAGTGTGTAACGGGGACAAAATTGAACATTTTCCAATTTTTTTTTGCAAATACTACAAGTTTTGAGAAAAATGCGCTCCAGCCCTAGATGACAACCCAATGATAAAACTCAGGGCTGGGTAACTCCAGCTATGTCAATGTCATGATGATGATCGCCATGATTGCCAATTTGCCATGCCATGTGTGTGGTTATGGTGGCGATCGTGTAGTTACGGACCCCTCTGCTCTTTCATGTACTCCCTTTAGTTTTGATCAGTGTTACTGTTAAGAAAGAGTACCGTACAAGTACGTTACTTTTTTACAAAGTCTGCGGTACAACTTACATGTAAGTAGGCTACATCACATTTTTTCAATAAATTTCCAAAATCCAAGCGCCAAAAAGTTATGCAGCTATCAAATTGATAGATGCATTACTTTCGATGGTTCTTTCATCTATTTTCCCTCCTCGACTCTCAATTTCTACCCTCCTCCAATCCTCTTTGGTACAACTATAGAATGCAGGGCCACTTTACTCTACATCCGCGCCTCCGTACGGCTCCGTGGAGGCGTGGAACCGCAGTCGACCTACCTCCGAAAATCGATCGTGGAGTCGTGGAGCCGCAGAGAATTGCGCCCTCTATCGGTGCGCGTCTCTGCGACTCCGCGACTCCGCGCCTCCGCCACTCCAGTGCCCCGCGTCTCCGCGATTCTGCGACTCCAAGACTCCGCGCCTCCGCCACTCCAGACAGTGCCCCGTCGCCCTCCTCCCTTCCTAATTGCGCGCCCATTTAAAGCGATTCTGCGACTCCAAGACTCCGCGCCTCCGCCACTCCAGACAGTGCCCCGTCGCCCTCCTCCCTTCCTAATTTGCGCGCCCATTTAAAATGGATATGGATGCTTCGTTCTCAAAAAAATTCCGCCGAGAATTGCGCCCTCTATCGGCGCGAGTCTCTGCGACTCCGCGACTCCGCGCCTCCGCCACTGCCGCCACTCCAGTGCCCCGCGTCTCCGCGATTCTGCGACTCCAAGACTCCGCGCCTCCGCCACTCCAGACAGTGCCCCCAACACATTTACAAGCACGCCCTCCCTTCCGATCCTTCATGAGAAGCTTAGAAGACAAGTGCAGTGCATTCCTTCGCTGTACTTAGCACTTTTTTGCAGGTTTGCATATTACCATGATTACTCCTATTCCATCCACGCCTCCAGGCAAAATAAAAAACCTTGCTTCGGCGTGGCCCTGCATTCTATAGTTGCTCCTCCTCTTTAATTACCAGTTAGGCTACTTACTCCACCGGGATTCTAACCCGCAATCTTGTTATTTAATCACACCAGCCTTATCCGCTACACTAGTCGAACGATCATTGCCAGTAAGGGACTAGTATTTGATGTATTTGAAGTATAAGGTTAATGAATATTTAATACACTAAATATTCATGACAAATTGACGTATGTCATAGATAGAGGGCAGGGTTTTGATTTTTTTTGAGGGAAATTTGGAGGTTAAATGACGATGACAGCGCGGCGACACAACACGCAACCCGAAAATAAAGATGGCGATCACCGCGCGATGTACCGTGAGCATGCATGGCGCGCTGAATCGCAAGGTACAAACCGCGCAGGAAAATCGTGATTTCTACCTCAAGAAACTGTTCAAAATTGCAAAACGGGTGTCATTAGAGTTGAGAACAGTCTGCTTTTGATAATAAAGGTGATTTTTTTAGCAATAAAAACCAGGTCCTTTTACTGTGCCAAACTTATGAAATCATAATTATTTTACTTTTTAGCAACAAGCTGACAAGTAGCTACTGTAAAAAAAATAACTTTTCGATTCGCTACTGCCATAAATATTCATTCTGTGGACGGATCCATTAATTTTGTGAAGGGGAGTTTCACCCTCTTTTGGGAGATTACATCGGTTTTTGTATACATTCTTTACGAGAAAAAATATATTTTGGAAATTACGAACTTATTCTGAACATGGGAAAGGTTTCAGACTCCATAAAAAGTATTTTTTTTTAATTCTGATACGGTGAAAAAACTGAAAATGCTGGTGAATTTTGCCGAGGAAAGCCCACCCTTCACAGCAATTGGTTTGGTCCAAACGTACTACGTCACGCTGGAACATGGCGCAGCAGGGCCAGATACTGACCACGTTGGATGCAAAGAGCACGCATTTTGTTGAGAAAATTGCACGGCGCGTATGATTTTTTCAAAGCGTATCGGCCCGATATCCTATTGTATGCCTTGCTTGAACACTGCAAATAATGAAGATGAATGCGGTGACTTGTCAACATGGTAAGTTCAATCATCCTTGCGTTTTATTTTTGCCCTTTCATTGCAAGCATTAGCATTCCTAGCGCTATCAACAAATACTAGCCGAACTCTTCCGAACCGACATTTGGGTTCGGTTCGGAAGGCCAAGTTCGGCTATTTTTAGTTCGGTTCGGCGGTTCAGCTGCAGCACTAGTTTTACTCAACATTCGGCCATTGTGGTAAAATGTTGCTTTTGGATGTTGCATTGTACCATACCATTTTTGTTCTCCTGGATGATGGAATTCTCAGTTATTCTAGTCAGCTGGTGGGAGTACCCCATACCTGGATGAGACATTGTTTTTGGAGAAAACAATATTGATGTATTGATTATCTGCCCACAGGTGAGCCTGTATGATCGCTCTTTGATGCCAGGTGATGCAGTCAGATGTAACCAGGAAGGATCACAACGAGGCATTGTGCGGTCTGTTCATGTGTCCTGTCATCTTCAGGTCATACGTACCAAGCAAATGATCTATGATGTATGCAGCCAGTATCTGGAGAATGTAATGGTCAGTGATTATAATAGGGTTATCAGTGCCTGGCTTGAATTTCTGATTTAAATTTACTAGCCTACATATACATGGCAACTAGGATTTCAAACCAGATTGTTTTCAACCAGACCAGAGCATAAATAAGAGGAAAAAAGTGAACTTTTTATTATAGGCCATCAGCCTGGTGTTTGGTCAGTATCAAATCAGGGCATAAATGGTTATAGTGCGCATGCTTAAGGTATACCGCCCCTAGAGTGGTAACAAGCATTTTGATGGACATTTTGAAAAAAAGGGTGATAACATCCAAAAAGCTGCCACCGTTGCAATGCTATGACATATTTTCCAATTCTTGAGGTGTATACCTTGCCAAAAATCGCTATGACGATTATTCCCCTCATTTGATACCAGGGGCCAACATTTTGGACCGAGGCTGATGGCCTATTAGGAAAGAAGTTTTATTAAATCGATGATATCCACACCCAAGATACCTGAAGAAAATTGAGTTGAATTAAATTTTAAAAAAGGACTAACAATTTGTTCCTTCTTGAATAATACCATTTTCTGATTGGAATCTTACACATAACACTACACAATTAGAATAAAACAATGTTTGTTACTCAACAATCAAGACTGGTTCTGTAGACTCCCAGTCTATGTATATGTTAATATCAGTACCTAGTTTGTTATGATAAGCTTTTGTTCTCTCAGATGTACACACCTGGCTGCCATGTTGTCCTGGGATCCTGGATCGGAGTAGTCAGGAACATCCATGTTAAGTTAGTCGTCCGTTTGAAAAATGGAGCCAGGTGAGGGTTATTCTGTACTAGGCCCGCTAGTGCCGTGATATACCACATGTGAAAAATGGTGTTGTTCATGTCACACTAATCTAATGCCACAGCACAGTTAATTCATCACGATATGCAACACATGAGCTAGGTACATACAACTTGGTATATAAAGTGGTATCAAGGTTCTTACCATGGAGTTTTTATGTGGTTTTTATGTTGTATTCATGTTTTTCATGCTGAGCTCCAGCTTCAGGTGGATTTGTAATGTGAACATTTTGTGATGTTGTGAATGTTGTTCAACTGTACTGTTTTCTGTTTGATTTCTTCATTCAGATGTATCCTCTCTGAAGACAGTGCCTGTAGGTTGACTGATATCCATGACACAGATGAAGAAGTAAGGCCAATCTTAATAATTTTACCCCCAAATGAAGCCTCTTTGTTTGACATGAGACTTGGCCCTGAAACAATCTGGACCTCATGTCAGGCTATCCTGACTGGTGGCATTCATATAACATGTGGCTGAAGGAGAAATTGCTGTTAAATTACTATCCCTTGACATTGGCCTTTTCGACTTAAGCCATGTTTGCATTGGAATTAATTTTGTAGTCACCGCGAGTGATTGTTAACATTCCATTGTGGTTGTTCTACTGTACGTCTGCACTTGGATTACTTTCAGCCCGTGGAAAGTCATTTGTTATACTAACAATGTAATATTTCTGCAACCCAGTTGGCCCTGTAAAACTTACCGCTGCTGATCGTAAAACTTACAATCGACAGTCAACACTTGACAGGTGGGAAGTTAAATAATAATAATAATAATAAAATACATTCTTAAGTATAAAACCTCAAGGCACTGTACATCATTAAAAACAAGATACCTCATACAAAGACACATTAAAATACATTAACCAAAAACCAAAAATGTTTACCAGCTGTCCACACTGGGCTTAATTTGGTTAAGTAGACAACAGTCTATGTACAGTTGACAACAGTCTCCAGGCCTTGAATTTAGTAATTTTTAGGGCAAGGCCATTTTTGCCTTGAATGAAGCAAAATGATAGAGGGCACCAAGGCCAGTAGGGAGGGCACTAAGGCCAAATAATATCTGCAGAAGGGGCACAGAGGCCAGCTAAAAAAAATGTGAATATTATATCAGCGATCGTGTAGTCTGGTAGTGTAGGGCCCCTATATCAAACCATTGCCTTCATTTGATTATGCAGGCTGGAGTGATGCATTAGTGATAGAACATGTTGGAAAGGCCAGGGTGGGGGTGGCGTGGGAACTGAACTTCTGTCTTCAATTATCTTTATTTCTGGGGATCATAAAAATGGAGTTGTGAAGAAAATGAAAATATTCTTTGATTACTTCTATGCACCAATGACTATTCAGATGTTAGTACTGCGCATCCTGGAGTGGACTATTGTACATTCCTGGTGCATATGAATATTGACCATGAATATCAGTAAGGTGTAACTGAGCAGTACAATGAATCTTGTGCCTTTGTCGTAGGCTTCTGTGTTCAGCTGTGACAGCTTCTTTCCTGGCCAGGTCTTACGAGGTCCAGCCATGACCTTCAAGAACGCTACATGGCTCAGTGGACAGCAGCCAATACTCAGCAGCAAAGCCAACTTCACTGTCACTGTGGAAGAGGTCACACACTTTTAATGTCAATTTTGAAAACCCCCTTAATGCTTCATCTATTTGAATAAAAAAAAAAAAAAAACACCAAGTGAAAACATTATCGGACTTGGTTTAATTGGTGTGATAACTGCCAAACTACACAGGGCTCAAATTTCAGAATAATATTGGCTTCCTTTTTAGTCTCACAGGTATTAAGCAGGGTTCAGGGAATTGCTTACTGGGAAAATAGCTTGTTAAATCTATGAGTGACTATTTGGAGGGACATGTTCTGTAATGTTTTGTATGAACATTCCACACAACAATTGTCTGGCAAGACTACCTTTAGGCATAAATACAGGTAAATAAAGGGTGTGAAATAAAAGAGGAACGGAGCATAAACATATGACAAATAATACATTATCAAGGCAGCAATATGGTGGCATGTGCAGAAGCTGAAGGATTTTATTGCCATGCCAGGACAGAAACATGAAAGGACAAACAAGAAACAAAGACAACAACAAGAAACTACTGAGTGTATAAGGAAGTGAAATGTGCCTGCCTAACTAGGAGGGAAAAGAAGGGAAAAAACACAGCAGACGAAGAAAGGAAACCAGCACGGTAGCGAGAGAATAGCTATGTTATATAAGGGAAATCAAATCCGCTTTGATTCCCTTGTTACCTTAGCTCATTCATATCTTGTTAGCTAGCCTCGCCTTCTTTTTTCCTGTAGGTGAATGTTGTTAAGCTGGATGTCCACTGGCAAACCAGGGGACTGTGTAGATACCCAGCGGGGGACTGCACTGATTCCAATCAACTCCAACCACCTCCAAGAAAAATAACAGGGGATATTCTATCAAGGTATATAGGAAGTGACTGTTAAATAATTCAGGTTTCTGTTATTAAACTTAACTCCCTCTGAAACAGTTTTTTGCTTAGGACCTTCCTGAATCCCCCAAAATCCACCATTTTGCAGAAAAACAATGGCAAAGCCTTCAAAGGCCGACACATTCTTTCTCAAGTAAAAGTGGCTGCACTTTACCTTCGTCCATTCTCAAAACCTCTTGGGATTTGAAGATTTGAGAGGGTAAGGTAATAATTTTCCTATTTTTTAAATTTTTTTATTGTGAAACATGTTTGTCAGCCGATTTTTCAGAGATGTTTGACCATTTCTTGAGCTGTTTACAAGCAGCCTTTTCTTATAGGAATAGTGACTGGGGAAAAACTGCTTAATATATTGGTTAATTAACTGGCCACAATAATTTAATCAAATCTATTCCTGTGTTGGATTTAAGATTCAACTTTTTGAGGAATCAAGACTCTGAAGTTAGTGTTTCTTGTTGCCTTAAGCCAATTTTAAGCAACTTGTGGATGATGCCACAGTAAACTCTCGTTACTATAAAGTTCGATACCTCGAAACTATTTTTCACGAAGTATACCCCATTCACGTCAAGAGAATAGGATTTCATGTACATAAATACCCCCGTACCTCGAAATACCCGCACCGGTACCTCCGTTTACCTCGAACATTTGTGCGTCCAGTCAATAGAAAACTCCACCAAAACAGTCACAAAAAAGCGTAAACAACATTACGAAAATGTTTAGCTCCAAGTTTTGTTCTGCCAATCCATAGCAAACGCTGCCAGAGTAGTCGCACAGAAGCATAAACAACAACGCAAGACTTGTCATGATTCATTACTGCCCAACGGACGTGGTCTTTTTTGCGTGATTATGCAGCTTGCATGTAGACATCCAGCCCATAACTGCAACAGATCCTGGCTGTAGTACATTTGTGTGCATTCATTTACATACACATACTTGTAGAGTACATGACTGAAGAAAAACCGGAATATTGTTTGCCTCTTTGGATACCCCTAATTTATCATCCATTCCCTTGAGGTTCGACTTAACGGGAGTTTACTGGATTTAGAAAATTGAATACTTAAATTGTTGAAAATAGTACTGCTAGGGATTTCTTTTGTATACTGTATACATTTCTGTAATTTCTATTTAATCTCTATATTTTTTCCCTAGAATAAGGCCGCTGTCTTATTTCATTGCCGCAAGTATACAGATAGGTGACAAAGTCATGTACAGAGTTCAGCCTGGAGACCTAGCTTATCCCAAACCAGTGTCTCGCGGCACCTTGGATTGTTACGTCCAACCATCCCAGGGGGAAGGTGGTGGTGAATCAGGTACTGCTAAAGATGCTGATTGCAGCTTGGAGGCTCCCATGCCACAAGGAAACACAAATGAGGAATTGAGACAAACATCTCAACCCACCACGATGAACAGTGGTGGAAACGCTAATGTGGAATTAGGTGCTAGTGCTGAAACTGGATTTCTAGAGAACAATGAACAGTGCATGAGTGGCTTATTAACTACACAAAGTAGCAATAAGCTAGCTGAAAATGATACCAAGCCATCATCAGGTCAGTGTGAGGAAGGAGATACATTAGCGTCTGAGGGCAAAGCTGCTGCCTCGGAAGAAACCAAGCAGATTGATGTCCCAGAAGGAGGTGCAACCAAACTGTCATTGGGAGCTTGTGCAACAGTTTCAGAAACAGCGACAGAGATTGTTTCATCTGCCCTTCAGGAAATGTTGGACTTTGGTAATGAATTTGTTTCAAATCATTCAAATTTGTCCAAGAGAGCCAAGAAAGGTGACTTTGAGAAGTGGAAGCCTTCCAAAAATGCAAGTGAGGACAAGGATGAGCTGCTGGCCAGAGCTGAGGAGCTGAAAGTGGGTTTGTCGCGGGATGTTGACCTCCTTGGGGAGCTACATCGAGAGCTCTGTGATGCCTCAGACAGTGTCACAGACATCGCCAAGAACTTCCGGACGTTACTGCAGCGTGCTACAAATGAGTCTGCAGGAATAATCAGTGGTCAGGTCTCATCTCTCCTGGAGTCACAGGGGAAACTTCGGCAACAGATCCTGATGACAGAGGGTCTTCTAGTCGACAGTAAGAGAAGCCTTAAAGAGCTTGATGATATTGAGATGGAGACTCGTGGTGCTACTGCATCTGGGAAAACAGCTGGCAGTAAAAGCCTCAGGAAGGTCAGGGCACAGGCTGCTAAGAGCAGGAGCAGGAGAAGACTGGATGATGACAGAGATTCCAATCAGTCCTCAGATAATGCTGAGGATGATGAAGTAGATTCTTCAGAAGGGCTGGATGACAGTGATGAGACAGACTCAAATGCTTCATCTAAAGGAGAGAGCCGAAGACACAAGGTTGTATCCAGCCTTCTTCACAGACACACCAAGAAGCAGCATATACGCCTTGCTTCCAAACGCCGGCCTCCTCCTAAGCCCTTAGAGTTAAAGGAACGAGTGTGTGTTGAGGTCACCCACACTAGGACCTTAGTTGATGTTATGTGGCAGGTAAGATGGGCTATATGCAGTGTCCTTTTACCATTTAAAATGACAAGAAATTGCTACCAAGTTTGAAGAGTTAAGTGACAATTTCTGTTGTACATCCGCACTAAAGCGCACTTTTTGTTGAACACTGGTGAATATTTACAAAGGATGTGTGTACATTTATCTGACAATCAGATTCTTGCTGGAAGCTCACTTGGAGTCGGCACCAAATCACAGTTCCCTGGCATGTTTTTCGTCAAGTGAAACATCACTGCTGTGTTGTGATTGTCTGTGTTTTGGTAATGTGTTTGGATGTTTTTGGTGATTTTGTTCCACACAGGATGGTACATTACAGAAAGGAGTAGTGTCAACAGACCTTTTTCCTGACCATCAGCTGGATGAACTGGAATTTTTTCCTGGAGACTTTGTCACCAAGAACAATGGTAGGGTTTATATTATGGCAGAGTATTAAATAAGGGAATAAATGTGTGCTATGTTTAAGACTGGTTGGAGTCTGGAATGCTGATAATTACCATCGGCTTCGCCTCGGGTAATTATCAGCATTCCAGACTCCAACCAGTCTTAAACATAGTGTTTAATACCGACCAAGCACATATTTATTCCCATTCATAAATACTTTTTCAGTCAAAAAATCAAGAAAAAATTCGGACCAAAAGTCAAACCAAGTCAAAAATTAAAAACTTCCAACGATTTTATTATCTGTTTTGCAAAACACCCCTCTAGCTATATAGTGGAGTGTCCAGTGCGCGAGTAAGACGTAAACAACTCCTTTTTTTGAGATAGGCGCGCACTGTGAGTGCGTTGTGAATTTAGGACTATGAAATACTGACTCACTGGTAGTATTGCGCATGCCTATGTGAGGATTGTGAACTTTCCATCAATAAAACGGCAAAAAGCTCTGGATTTCATAGGAGTCCAAATTTCATGTGACACTGGAAAAGTGTTTAATACCAGCCAGCCCTGTCTTTATCATCCGTTTAAGACCAGCCACGTGACGGGCTCCTGACCAATGGGAATGGGTAAACTGTCTTAGGTATTTATGAATATTACATCAAAACAGGTTTTAGGGCATTGAGCACCTTGTATTGTGGAAAGATTTGTACTTACAGATGCATCAGTGGCAGATTAACAGATTTGACATTTTATGGATGCTATCTTGATTCAAAACATTCCATTTTAAAGCAGAATTAAAGCAGCATAAATTGCAGTATTTTTGGAACAGTAAAAAGGGAGACGGGCTAAGAAATGTTAAAAGAGTGAAGCAGTGCAAAGGGACAAGTTTTTGTAGAATGCCATGGTTCAGTGGTTACGGTGTTTGAGTCATGTACGAAGGTGTGTGGGTTCGAATCCTGCTGGGAACATGGTGTTTGTGCCCTTGGGCAAGACACTTAACTACAATTGCCTCTCTCCACCCAGGAGTATGAATGGGTACCTGTGAGGGTCGAGGACCGATTGAGCGCTGATATCGGCTGCCACGTGGTCCCATGGCCTGATGAACGGGATAATAATTGTAAAGTGCTTTGAGATTGTTGATACGATGATGGAAAGCGCTATATAAGCACAATTATTATTATTATTTACTTTTTTTGAAAAAGAGTCATTTTCAGAATTTGGAGCATATTTGAAACATTTTTGTTGAAGTTGGCTTGAGTAAGAAATGTTCGTACTAAATTGTAATACTTTATGGGCTCTGTGTAACCTGAATTGTATCTAAGGACCATGTACAATTGTACACAAGTTCCCTCCCCATTGCATTGCCCAGGTGCATTTGTGTCACCTGCAGATATGGGTTTATGCACTTACTAGTTCCCTGAACCGCATATATGCTTGTGAAGTAGTGAGAGCACATCATGCATACATCACAGACTCTAGTGAGTTGTGGACACTCACTGCAATCTACTGTTCATGCAGCAAGTCCATAGGAATAGGACTGAAGATTAGTTGCTTGTTATTACCCTGGAAGCTGTTATCTTATTCAAACTTGCCTGTAAATGGGAGTTGACTCTAAGCCTTCTATGACTTCTTGGTTTTTAGAGGATCTTGAGAATGTCTATGGTTTGGTCTGCAAGACAGATCATAAGGAGAGAACCTGTTTAGTCCAGTGGATCATGAGGCCTAATCAACAGTGCAATACGTAAGTAAATACCAATTGAAGAATTTCTTTTTTTTATCACTTGCTTTATTTCAACCTTTCTCTATTGTATTCATATATGGCAAAACCCAGTTAATAAAAACAATGAAGTGGTCAAAAAACACAAACTGATCCACACAACAAGGAAGGATCACCATTTTTGTTAAAAGTGTAGAACTAGATAAAATATTCCAACAATTGCGCTGGAGTCAATTTCTTTGTTCAACTTTATAATTATGTGTGCATCAAGTCAGTTTCATTTGATGGTTTACTTGCGTATTAGAATCTTAAAAGTGATGCTTATTGATTGATTCAGACCCAAACCAATCCACATGGAGGAGGTGAGTGTCTACGAGCTGACACCTCACCCGGACTTCACCTTCAATGTGGGGGACGTGATTGTCAGAATAGCTGACAGCAGACACGGTATCACAGCCCTGAAGAAAGCAAAGCCTGATCCCAAAGCAACCCATCCAGCCCCCCAAATGGACGACTTGGACACCCAGGTGGGCAGCAATACATCCCATATGAGCCAAGCTGGTAGCCACACTGATGAACTGAATACCCAATTGAGCAACCAGTCGTCTTATGTGAATCAAGTTGGTACCCATGCAGTGGAGTCAGGTACCCATGCAGTGGAGTCAGGTACCCAAGTGGGAGACTCTGATACCCAGATGGGTAATAACATCAATCCAGTGGGTAATCCTGGCTCCAACACTGACCTTTGTGGTACCCAGGTAAACAGTTCAGACACACAGATTAGTATACCCAGTGATCACATGAGGACCAATGACACCACAATGGATAACCAAGATGTCCCACTCGGTAATGCAACAAAAAGAACGGATGTAATTATTAGAATGAACAAAGATAACCAGCTAACAGAAACAAAACAGTCCCGCACCAACAATCAATCAAGTCAAAGATCTGGTCCATCTGATGAAGAACAGCTGTGCTCAACTCAATCAGACCACTTGGATGAAGGCTGTGCTAGGAGCCAAGGAACAGCCAATCACGCTAATGCTGCAGATATGGCAACCGTCAATCGCATGAACCTGGCCAATCTGCAGACAATCCATGCTGAGATGTCTGACGATGCTCTAGTCCTTGAAGACAAGTCGGCATCCAAGATTGAGCATTGCCAGGAGACTGAGGCGGTATCCTGTGCTGGGCAGGTAGTGTAGAGTAATCATTGTGACACATATATAAGGCACACCTTTCCTTGAAGCCATTCATTGGGGCAGATGTAAATGTTACTAAAATAGAAAGCATGTTATAGGTTGAGTATAAACCTCTGGCATTTTTCTCAAAGTTTCTTTAAGTTTAAACGGATAACGCAATGTGCAATACAGATACATGAACGTGTAACGCATTGCTTTTTCGAACAACTGATCTTTATGCACCACGCAGTGTGCACTGCTCTCAACATATGGCAGACACTTAGATTTTGGGCGTTCAAAGTTATTATTGTTAAGTTGCTAAAATTGAGATATAAAATCCTTTGTAAAATCCTATGAATTTGCATCAAACTGCATCAACTTTGAATTATGTTATTGGCACTTTCTGGCATGTTATTGGTTTGTTTTATCATGCCATAATTAGCTTGTTCTTGTAATAGAAGATTCTAAGAGATGAATTATGTGTTTGCTAGGTACGATGGATAAACACCAATGGAGAGATCCATGTTGCATGGGTTGATGGCTCAGAGTGCAGTGTACTACCGCAGGATCTGTACAAATTAGAGGAAGTATGAACAATCAAGCATCAAATCAACTTCAAACTCTCAATTTTTCTGCATTACATGCGATCACCAAGCACTCCTTATGAGACATAAAATAGATATTAAGCTGTTTTGCATCTTTTTATTCTAATTTCCTATCATTATTCTTATTGTTGCCATTCATACTGACAAGTAACAGAAGGAGCTCTCCAACACAATAACATTCCTTCCTTTGTTTCTGACTTCAGAGTTACATGTCTGTAGTGAATGGATACTTGGTAGGCATGTACGGTAGTGTAACATGACTCTGGTTGTTTTCTTTCTCAATGAAAGGACAGTGATTCTGATTGGTCAGATACCAACCACGAAGATGAGGACTGGAAAGATGAGAACCAATCAGATGATTCCTGGTATTCCTCCTCGAGCAGCTGGGAGACGGCAAGTGATGCCTCTGGTTCTGCTGAAGAGAAAAAAGCCACCAGGTATCTTGTCCTTACCATAGAGACCGTTACCACCTTGTTATTTGCTAGAATGTCTTGACCGTGTGAGCTAGTTCATTAACGTGTGATTCTATGGATAGTTATACAGATTGTGGCTTCCAGCCAATCCAGGATTGTGTTTCTTGTGTCTGTATACAAGATTTTTTTGTCTTTGATAAATACAAAATATTTTATAGTAGGATTGTGTAAACAAGTCTGTGTAGGCATGAAGGGTGTATAGTTGAAAACAATTCAAAATAGCTCCTGTTGAATATTTTTGACTTCAAAATTTTTGAAAGTTAGATATGAAAGTGATTGCTTTACATTATTCTTCAAGTTATATCTTGTCAGACAGCCTGTGCCTATTTTTAAAGAAACATTGAATTGGAAGTATTCTATTTTTACATCGTCAACTGTCATATCAAATGTAATAGACCAGAATGTGTGTAATGGACCAGAATCATCATCTTAAACATCATGATAAAAATATTGCAGATTTAATTATGCCAGCGAGAACAACCTTTACAGGATTCATAGGCATTAATCAGATCTTATTGCGATCTTGTTCCAGTCGGAAAAATCCCAGCTCATTACCAACAAGCCCAGACAAGGAAGCCACCACTCCGACAGAGTCCAGGGGGCCTACGGACTTCCAGGAGGCAACATTCGAGCAGACCTTCTCAGCCCTGAGCTTGGTGGAGGACAAGATGAGACGGATCAACTCCTGCGCCAACTCCATCCTGGAGAAGCGGACAGATCTGCTACAACGGGACCTCAACAGTAACTCAAGAAAAGAGGCAGGAGCTTCTGTTGCAGGCCTAAAGGAGGAGGAGTTAGCTACTACCAGCACTAGGAATGATGAGAGTAAAGTGACTAATGAGAGTGCTGATACCAGAGATCGAGGCACTCAAATAGAGACTCAGGTATTACTTGAACCAGATGTTAGTAATCTTGATGACGTCTCAGAAAGTAACATAGCAGAAGCAGGCTCCCCTGACTCATCAATAGTCCTGGAGAAAGCAGTGGCAGCAGAGACTGCAGAGACAGCAAGCACCTCTGAGGTTGAAGAGAGTAAAGGCGAACAAAACCATGACAACAACGAATCTTGCCAAATGTCAGCTACAGAGGGTGCTGCTCAGACAGTGACAGGACAAGCGTGTGATAGTGAGTAATTTTTGCAGTTTTCCTGTGAGTACACATAACACCATTAAAGGTCAGTCTCTTTGCCTTACCGTAAAAACAATTTTTCATCATGGAACTGTCCATTATTACACCAATTACAAACAAAAAAGCATTTTTCCCTCGCATTGATAAAATAAAATGGAATTTCTGGCATAATTCTAGAGCGAGCTTGCAGAAAATGAAAAAACTATTTCAATGAGGGCAGCAAACAGAAATAGCCTATTGGATGACGTCATGCTACGTCTCTCACTGGCGCGCACCCCGTGTTTCTTCACCACGCTAGCCCCGCTATAGTGTGGCTCAGATATTGCTGCGCTGTATCCTTAGCCACACATCCCGCAAGAGGGAAAGCTGAGATAACATAGAATACACCCAATACTTTCAAAAGGCAATAAACTCTACAGTTTCGTGTGCATGAAAAGTTGAAAATTTGTGAAGAGTCGGCCAATTTTTACCGGCGGGACGTGTGGCTACGAATACAGCGCTAATCATTGTCTGGTTCCGGACCTGTCACTCACCATCCTCGGCTGCTCCCAACCTGTGGCTGTAGGGACGCCGCACTGGGTAGGCCTAGCTAATCTATGGTTTGCACAGTATGATGCCACTGTCGTTATTGTTCTAAACATCCGTAGTGTTTTTTTAGCAAGTATAAACATGCCTATATATTGCGCTGTCAAAATATATGATAGAGACAAAAAAACGTAGAAAAAAAGGTATTAGGCCTACTAGTAAGTACTAATAAGGACAAAAACATGTTACTCAAAGAAATGGACTCCTTAAGCGAACGTTTTCGCAGAACAAACATTTCGAAAATCAATGACAAATCTGTAAATTTTCAATGTTGAGCTGAGTTCTCTAAATTTGTAGAAACAGTCACTGAGAAAACACAATAAAGGAAAGTGCGCTTCACCAGGCAACTCCAGTGCCTACTCTTAATAACACTAGACAATTCCTATTAAAGTGAGTCCAAAACATAAGTGACTTTTCCTGCAGGTATCATTGCCAACTATTTCAGTCCCGAAACATAAGTGTTATCGTTCTCCTGTAAGTTGTCTGGAACAGGGTCCTAATTTGCACTGAGATTGTGCCCAATTTCCGGACACTAACATTTTGACCGCACTGAATTTAAGGTACTTGACATGATTTTCAAACTCTAAGCAAGTTTTATGAAATTGATAGTTCACACTAATACTCCACACTAATACTCCACGAAAGTCAGGGTAAAAATTGAAGTCGTCACGTTATGGGTCTCCATGTGTACGTGTATACAGTGAAAGAACAAAATAGACTGACTCCGAGCCTATAGCCCGGCTAAGCTGTTGACACACACCCCCAAAAAACAACCAAAACCAATGTGTGTAAGGCCTCCTTTTGTCTTGGAATTCTCAAGCTTACGAACATTAAACCAATTCCTCAAGGGACAACATCCTTGTAAACCTAATCATCTGTCCAGTGAAGATGATCCACCATGTTAGATTATTCTATAAACAACTACCATCGGTGTTTTTCTTGTCATCCATTAATGTTCTGGGCACCGTTATGACCGGGCCGTGCCGGGGGACGCCATCTTGAGCTTGGTTTAATACGCCAGGGACGCACTCTACTCTGGCTCAAATTGTACGGTTCAACAGTCCTGATCCTGCTAGCTGGTCCTGTCCTCATCAAAACATGAAGACAACCACAGCAGCTCTATGTTGCTCTCTGGTTCAATAATTTTATCTTCAGTTCGACACCAGACACGTTGTCAGTCATGACTGTGCGATACTTTGTGTGCACGCATAGTAATGCAACAGTCGTCTAGTTTATAGAGACGTATCGTGACGTCATAAAAATAGGCTTGTAGCAGATGCTCCCAACGGTTTTTGTTTTGGTTTTGTCCCAGGCGAAGGAGCTTTTCAACTTTTATGCCTAAAGTTGTCCTCATTTGGTTGTTTACATTATATATTATTTTGAATACATGTAAACTTCCAAATAAGTGAAAGTCTGCCTTATCAGAGGGATCTTTGACAGGTCATGGACAAAGTTAATTGTATTCCCTTGTTGCACATTTATTTTTGAGTCATCTTTAAAATCTTTGGTCATAGCAGTTCACTGCAATACATTTTTTGGTACACCAAGACAAAAAAAGAAGCATAAGTCAATATGAAATCTTCTCTGCCCAGCACAAAGACAAGTCATGAGCTTAAGTGTCTTACTATGAAGTTTAATCCTTCAGACTTTTTCCTGATGGATGATGTTCCAGAGACCCATCACTTCAACACATCCAGCGTTGTCTTCTTGCCGGAGAACCCCAAGCAGTTCTCACTCACTATGAGGAGAGAGGTAGCACTTAGATCTTTATTTTAGTCATAATTTAGGAATTGATTTTAGTTTCAAGAAAATTACAATGGATCAAATGCATGGTAATCGTCACAGCAATACATTACAAGTTATGATGAGTCATAAGGTCATTGTAATATGAGAAACAGCAGTTTTATGACATACAGTGAAATCGCGATAAGGCAAACTCTTTTAATTCGAAACTCCGTTAATCTCGAAGTGATACTTCATTCCCGTCAAGAGAATTGGATATTATGTACATGAATTCCCCCGTAACTCCAAATGCCAGCACCACTACCTCCGTTTAACTTGAACCTTTGTTTGGCCAGTCCATAAGAAATTGCAGCCTAAACAGTCACACTGAACCAAAAAGATCGAAACTTTTTTCAGGAGTCATTATTGCCGAATGCTTTTCGTCTATTCATGTGGGGCTGCAGTGTACACGATGCCATTGTGATTAGGCTCCAGCCCGTAACCGCAACAAATCCTGCTTTCCATTTAGCCTGATCGCTGGCCCAATTGCAGCCAGCACGCCGGCACTCCAATCGTTGGCTCCTTGCGGTGGCCTAGTGACTGCATTCAAAATGCGCGCCTGGCTTTTGAGTTAGCCTGATAGCTAATGCTGGCCCTAGCTACAGCTTGCATGATAGCCCGCCCTCTATTGATCAAATAGGAACGGTCATGTGACCGCCCATCGGAAAATCCAGAGGGTGGTGCGATCAACGCACGATCCCTTGACTAGACTAGACATTGACAAATAACACGAACTAAAGATTTACATGTACTACAGGAAGTTACACAGTTTGAGTGGTTGATTGTTATATGTATCCAGAGAGCAGACACTTTTTAGTAAGAAAAATATAAAATCTGAGCAAAATGATGATTTGTGATTTAAAAAATACATCATTAAAATCACTGAAAAGAAGGAAAGCGAGCCAGATAACGTGTCCATTGCATAGCCAGGCATAGCGTGTTATAGTGAAAGTCTTTCATGTACATGCATGTGTACGTGATCATAGAAAAATTGGAAACTTTGCTTAACTTGAACTTTTGATATGTCAATTTTTTTTTATCCATTCCTCTTGAGATTTGACTTATCAAGATTTCACTGTAATAAATAAAATGGTATTAAATCGTTCTTACGCTTGAAGTCATACTTGAAGAATTTAAGGATATAGTTTGTGGAACCCATCATACTTATGATTGATTATACACACCTGAATAAATCCCAGTCGTCCGATTGGTGGGTCGTTGATCACGTGTCATTGAATTATTCGTTCCAACACACGGCACAACTGCAATGCGAAAATAGAAGTTCCATTACACGGTAAATAGAACGTCCATTGCACGGCCACACGTTAGTTGCGCTTTCGCATAGCTTTGATAACTCTGATGCTGTACCTTCATTGTACCAGTTTACAAGTTACCAATCAGATTACAAGGATTTATTCAGGTGTTGTATAAAACAAATAATATATGTTTCACATTCTTGCAATGGAAAGAATAATTTCATTTAGTGACAGATGGAATGTTCTATTCAACTCGGCTTCGCCTCATGGAATGGAGCATTTCCATTTGTCACCTCATGAAATTATTCTTATCATAGCACTCATAAACCTTCATTATTTGTTTATTAGGCCCCCTATAGCACAGCTTTCAATCTTAAATCTGTCTGTTTGGATCTGATGGACATGGATATGAAGTTAGTATGTGTTTGATGAAATTTAAATCCTAAACAATTAGGCTGAAGTTGTGAGTGCTGGAAGCTTAATTGACTTGAGGAACTCTTGGGTCAGCATCTAGAGTCACTTTTCAACTAGAAATTGAAAATTGTGCCAGCATGAGAACATTCCAGCGAAGTGTTTCATAGACAGATTTTGATTTTTGATTGTGCTACAGATGCGTTTGCTGCAGACAGCTCTTCCACAAGGCATTAAAGTGAAGGGCTTTGCAGACAGAATGGTAAGTAAATGTTTTCCACCATCGGCATATGAGTTGTAATTATTGCATATCAATGTCTGTCTTTCTTTGAAAGCAGCCATGGAAAGAAGCTTGACAAGTCCAAGATAATTTCATGGTGATTCATTAACGGTATCTATTCTGTGGCTTGCCTGTGTTCCTGCTATTATCCAGGATCTGTTCTCTGTGCTGTTTGAGGGGCCCAGTAGCACACCCTATGAGGATGGTCTGTTCTTCTTTGATGCTCGCCTGCCTCAGGACTACCCAAAGTCTCCACCTGTCTTGCACTTCCATGCCTACTGCAGTGGTCGACTCAACCCTAACCTGTACAATGATGGTAAGGTCTGCGTCAGTCTACTGGGAACTTGGACAGGCAAGGTGAGCAATGTCAAGATCCCCAAGTTATCTGTGTAGTAAATAAGTGGTTTGCTCATTTTTAAGTATGAATTATCAAGAAGTATTTCAATTGGTTGGAAGCCACCTGTTAAAGATCAGCATGTTTAATTTGGTAAATCTTAACAAGTTCTACACTGAAGCCGGCCTCAGGTCCACCTTGCGACGACCAGGATCAAGCTGGGTCTGAGCTACGACCGTCGGGAATAACTCAGTCGCTGATTTTGTGCAACCTGAGTGTTACTGCGATAATATTAAAACGATCATATTAAAATGATCCAGGTGAGACTGGAATTCTGAGAGGACTGGTATAAATAAACTAAACATTGCCATTTGACCTCTGACCTGAAGGGCAGTGAGATGTGGACCAGCAAATCCAACCTGCTGCAGGTGCTAGTCTCCATTCAAGGCTTGATCTTGGTCAGTGAGCCATACTACAATGAGGCTGGTTATGAGAAGCAGCGTGGGACACAGTCTGGAAATGAGAACAGCAGACTGTACAATGAAACGGCTGCACTAAAGATGGTTCAAGTAAGTACAATTCATTATTATCGTCGCAGAGCTGACAAACTGGCGAATCGACCATTTTGGCGATTTTAAGATTTTTGTGGTTTTTAAAGGTTGCTCTTTCAAGTAATTATGCCAAAATTCTCAATTCTTGTCTGTATTTTGAGATTCGGAACCCTGCCTGTGGCGAATCAATCAGAATAACAAATACAGAATTTGACATAGTGACGAATACAGAATTTCGCTGGTAACCAGCTAATGTAAGGTGTGCATTCAAAGTACCAACAAATGATGTGCTACTGCGGTTGTCAAAAATGTCATGTAAAAGGTGTTATAAAAGCCGACTTAGAAATAACAAATTCAAAATTTGAAACAGTAAGGGTGAAATACGACGCCCAGAAAAATGTCCAACTTTAAACGCGAATTACTTGAAATAGGGTTTTCGTTTATTCGCTGGTATGTCAGCTGTGCAATGTTATGTTTGGTGATCATGTTTTTGGTTATAGATACTCAAATATTTTAATTTGTTTTAGCTATTATATTTAGATATTGCTTTTTGTTCACTTGTAGGTTTTACATTCTCTGAAAGTTGTATTATTTTTTTTCAATCTTACAACAGTCAATGACTCTCATGCTTACCAATCCCCCTGATGTGTTTCATGAAGAGACGCTCAACTTTTGTCGCCATCATGGTTTCAGGTATGTACAGCTCTTTACCAAGCAAAAGATTCTCCCATTGAACTGTGCTCGACTATTTTTTCTTCTAGTCTATGACTCTTGAAGAAATAATACTAGAAGAATTGCGCAGTTGGTAGAGTACTGAAGTTGCAAACCAGTGGTCTGAGATTGAAGTCCTGCCTTGGTAAAATTTGTATTCCTCTTTCTTTGGTTTGTTTGTTAACTATGGTGTACATGGGGAGTAAAAAAAAGCGAAACTCAAATGTCGGGACTATTGTTTTCAAGCACTTTCAAAATCTAGGATATGAAAGCCCAATTCATAAGCTTCAGTGTTCTCCAACATGTAGAACAAACCTGGCGCCCCGCCATGCTTTCTGAGGCGCCCGCCATGTTTAAGAAGTCCCCGCCAAGCTTTAAAATCCTGCCGCCAGGTTTAATTTTTTTGACTCTACAGTGTACATTTACAACTAAATAATTGATTTCAGTTGTTTTTTCACACATTAACAATGTATTTCGATGTCATCCCAGCCCGATCGGGGTTGTCTTAAAATCTCGCTGAATCAATCACACGCACGGCCGGCTGTGCAAACACCAGCGATTCCCCATGCACTGTACGTACTATTAGGTACGCGCGATGTACACACACTGACAACTGAATCCCAGTTCCGGAGTGTGCCGATACTTCAAGTAGCGACAACCCCACCGCAAAAATAGATATCTGTATTAGTACACACACACACCAGCAGGAGTACGTACGGCAGATCTTACGTGCAGCCAACCGACTTTCTTTTTCTCAGTGCAATTGCACGCGCGGTACACAATACGCATTGATGTTTTTGTACGAGGCAAACGAGCTCGAAGCCAAAACACGCGTGCACATGGTGTTCCGATCATGCCGATTGTCAAAAGTTATAAATGGCGATCGTGTATGGGCCCGGTTCCCTAAGAGAACAAAATCCACTTTTAATTTATTTGACTTACCAAACTAGTTGGCGACATTTAAGAACATACAGGTAGGTCATAAATAGAGGGAAATTTGGGGGGAAAATGACTCTGACAACGACAAAACGCAACATGAAAATAAAGATGACGATCGCACGGCACCGGCACCACCCATAAAATCGCGTTAAAAAAAACGTAATTTGTATCCCATTTTGTTTTTCAAAATTACAAAAAGGTGTCATTTGATCTGAGAGAAGTCTGCTTTAGGTTGAAAAGGAAATTTTTGAATGCTAAATAAATCGGGGGAACTGGCCTGGAGAATCGCCTCAGATTGCACCACAGAGCATCTAGAATCCAAAATTTTTCCGGGGCCCTTAAGCGGGCCCCGGACCCCACGCCGTAAGGGCTTCGCGCTTCGCGCTTCGCGCTCGCAGGAGTCCCCGCCGACCCCAGCGCCAACCTTTAATTTTCAAAGTTGGAGAACACTGAGCTTTCTTTTCAATAGTACCAGAATCATTCAAATCACTCATGTACTTTTGAAGTTACGGAATTTTAAACACAACAACCGTTTCAAAGTTCTGTCCACGAATCACAAAAAAAGGTGTGCATTGTTTTTAACGAAAACCACTCGCACACATCCTTATGTGGTTTGTTTTCGTTTTGCTGAAAGAACACTTACCTTCTTGTGATCCATGGACAGGACTTTAAAACGGTGGTTGTGTTTAAAATTCCGTAGCTTGAAAAGTACATGAGTGATTTGAATAATTCTTGTACTAAAAGAAAGCTTTTGAATTGGGCTTTTACATCGGAGATTTTGAAAGTGCTACATGCAGAACTTCACTAAAACAATCGTCCCGACATTTGGGTTTCTTTTTTTTTTTACTCACCCTGTATAGATTCACATTCACACATTCATTCAATTCATCTGCAGATTGATCAAGCGTATCGAGCACTGGCTTACTATGGCTGGCACGTCATCCTCACAGAGTGAGGAACCAGCCAAGGAGGTACCAGGCAAGATGGCATCAGGGATGAAGGAGCAGGGGTCATCTGATGCACCAGCCTTCATCCTCCTCCCACTGTCCAAAGGCTTCATTCTTAGCATGAGGCAAGCCCTCAGAGCCTACCGCGCAGCACTTGGTGTAGCTGGAATACCAGACAGCTGAGAGACGTGAACAGAAATATGCTACTAATGTTTTGCTAGAGCTCTGTGTTGTTTAAAGGGATAATGGGTTCAATCTCCCTACTGCTAGGAACAGGTTCCCTGATTTTCATTGCAGTTATGTTTTTGCAGAAAATTTAATGAGTTGATTGAATTTTCCAAAGGTGCTACTACACTGTATGTAAGAATGGAGTGGTTTCATCGTCCTAATTCCTGAACCCTTTGCCATCTTATTGAGGGATACTCAAAAGGAGAAACTGTAATAAGTCACTAAGAGTCATTTTAGCATCAGGAAGAAATTGTGTTCATTTATTAAATGTATCATCTTCTTGTTGATTAGTATTTTGCAAGTTTTCTCAACTTGCAGTTTAATGGTGCCAAGACATTATAATGTGGATTCAAATGCTAGCAGCATGGTTTATCTTGTATTCTTAAATACCTAAGACAGTTTACCTATTCCTATTGGTTGAGAGCCTGTCATGTGGCCGGTCTTAAACGGATGATAAAGACATGGCTGGCTGGTCTTAAACACTTTTCCAGTGTCATACAAAATTTGGACTCCTATGAAATCCAGTGCTTTTTTCCGTTTTATTGGTTGAACGTTCACAATCCTCATGTAGGCATGTACAATACTACCAGTGAGTCAGTATTTCATAGTCCTAAATTGACAACGTACCGCCACAGCTGCATTATGTGCAACATCGCGTACTCGTTCCAATCTCCATAAAAGGAGTTTTTTTGTACTTAATCGCGAGCTGGACACTCCATTATATAGCTAGAGGGGTGTTTAAAAAAAATGAAGAGAAATTGTTAAAGAAATCGTTGGCAATTTTTAATTTTTGACGTGTTTTGATTTTTGGACCGAAAAGTTCTGATTTTTTTAATCGAAAAGGATTTTTTGACTGAAAAGGTATTTATGAATGCAATTTATGAATATGTGCTTGGTCGGTATTAAACACTATGTTTAAGACCGGTTGGAGTCTGGAATGCTGATATTTACCATCGCCTTCATCTCGGGTAATCATCATCCAGACTCCAACCAGCCTGAAACAGAGTACTTAAAAACCTCCTCAGCGCACATTTATTCCCTTATTAACTTGACAAGGTGTTGCTTCATAGTGTAGATAAGCCTTTTGCCAGATTGCAGTTATGCAATTTTCATTATCAAGGGTAGATTGAACCCATTACCAACATATTAAGGGTTGTAGTGATTACTAATCTAAACATTTGACTGAAAAGCAAACTTAAAAGAGAATTATGTAGTTTAAGGGCATTGCAAAACAAAAAAAATATACCAATAAAAAAAAAAAATTCATTGCCAGATAATTTGGTCAGCTACAGTTTAACAAGTTTACGTTTGGCAAAACTGAGAACAGTGTAACAGAAGTGTGTAATACATTTGATGTTTGTTTAAAGAACAGGAAAAAATTACTTAAGTAAGGCTGTTACTTAGCATTTGTTCTTCTAAACCAAATAAGTGCACTTTAAGAATTTATCACTGACAAGTTATATTAAAACCTGCTTTGGTGTGTGAGTGTGTGTAGTTAGGATGTGAGTGCAGAAGAAATGCACTAATTGAAATTTGACACGTCAGTGCGACAAGGTCAGAACTAGGATTTCTCTCATCTCAAATAATTTTTTATTGATATGAAACATGCAGAAGTATCCTGCATGTTTCATATCAATGAAAACTTAACATGGTGCCACAAAAGTTTAAAATGGGACTTATTCAAGATAAGAGAAATTGGAGTTACAATTTTGTTGCACTGAGGCAACAAATTGTTGTCAGTAGTATTCATTGCCAAATACAATTTGGTGTTTTTGTTTTTTTTCATTGAAATATATAATAGAGATCTTCAAAACCAACTTATTTATTTATTTACTTAATTGCTGCATTTTCTCTTTTGTTTATTAAAAATGAGAGGTTTTTGACAAAGAAAGTTACAGAATTAATGAAGGTGACGGCTGTAATGTAAATGTGTTAATGTAATGTATATGTTCATGTGGATATTGTAGATGGTCTGTACAGTCATTGGTGTGAATAATGAAGATGTATTTGTGTACTTGTATGTCATATATCACACACAGGTTTATGCACTTAATCATTAATACCAATCACGGACATATCTTTATTTATTTAACATAAGTGGCAGTTACTTTACATGTTGTTGAAATTCCTATCATTTCAAAGGGGTATACAGATTGGAATGCAAGTAATAGATCACAAACTGTACATTAAGAATTTATCGACTTTTCAATTAGATGATTATTTCAAAAGATGGACATGTCTGTACATGGAATTCAGAAACATTAATACTTTCCTATATTTCTTTGTTTTGGCTTGAGATGCACCTTTTGTTGATACCCAATTTCACCAGAATGCCATTAATGAATATCTGAGATATACTAACCATAGCAACTGATGCAGTGGTTATTTGATGAGATGTAGTTGTATTGTGTGTGGTAGGGATTGTCTTACAGAGGATCCCATATTCATTGTATCAGGCTTGTTTGTGACATTGGTGACCATTTGTGATTACTTTAGGATTACATCTCCATCTTTGAATTCATCTGACAGAAGGTTCATTGAGGTTTGGTTTCCATTGAAATAATAAATGCTGAATTGCATTGTGCAGAGTAGAAACACTCTAACAGTTGCTGAATCAAAAAGTAAGAATTTTCCAAAACGTAAGTAAATATGGTTTGTTGGTTGGTCAGACTTTTATCAATATATTTGCTGGTCTGTTGGTCGGTCTATTCATAGGTCCATTATGGCTATGCTGTCTACTCTGTACCATGGGTAATGATAAATTGTCTAGTTGTTGGTGGAACAGTTTCTTGCATAACTGAACAATTGTCTAGGTATCCATAAGAGTCCTCTGGTTGTCCTTGCTAATCAAATCGGTGTAATAAGCTATCAATGTGACTTGTCTTGTACTCTTCAAAAAAGTCAAAATAAACCAGCATGACAAACGTTGACGTTATTGAGGGAAACGCCTTTGTGTGAAAATGATTGCTTGGAACAAATATTTGTATTATACTCGAGACTGTTGGCATTTACCACCACTTAACAGCTCTGCAAATCCCTATTAGTCTGAGTATCTTCTGGTCGTCCGTTCGTTGTACATGTAGTTCAACCATGGGGCACAGGCCCGCAAGCTGCAACTCGCCAATCCCCCCCCCCCCTCCGGCTCCCACCAATAACAAAAAAGGATACGAATAGTTTTGTCAAGGGTACCTGGACCCCTGCAGATTTATAGAACTGCAGCTGCAGGTGAGCAATGATTATGCAATCGTATCTTGTCCCTGTGTCTTTTGGTCGTTTCCCCCTCCTATAGTAGTGGAATCGCCCGGCTCCCCGTCAAATCATAGGTCAAGATGGAAAGTGGTGAAAATGCAGGTGCACACGTCCGTGGCCGGCTCCGTGCACGCTTAATACGATACAAAACGTTATTATGAACTGACAATGTGGCTAATCATGGTGTACAAAATGATGGTGCTGATGTGAAGTTGTTGATGCTGTTCTGTCTTCTTACTACATTGTTCATGGTGAGTTACTTCCTCCTATTGGGAAAGATTTCCAGAAAAAAATATTGCAACATGACGCCACTTTTTTCTTCATATATTGTCTCAATGAAGCATTTTAAAGGCCATTCGGAATGATTCCCAATCCCATATCTGGACATCACTTGTCACCCTGTGCACAAACCCTATGAGCAGGATGAGACTGGTCTGAACAAATTCTGTTTTCTCAGTAAATGCTTCAATATTTTCTCCGCTAAATGTTTTAGGACATTAATTAATATCACTTTCTGATGGCTGATAGGTCACTGTAGGGTAAAATTTGTGATGGCCAGAGAATCTTTCCGGTCATTCATTGCAAAAATGATACGCAGTGGCTATTGTTACGGCAGCCGTAATGCACCTCCCATTTTCTATCGTTACGGTAGACTGCAACTTTTATAAAAACATGACAAGAAAATATAAAATAAGAAGGACAAAAGTGAATTTGAACGTTATAAAATTCGGACTTTATTTCCCTTTTAAAAAAAATCCTCCAAAGCCTCAGGTTAGAAAAGGAAAAAAATTCGAGTGCAAAACTGAGATCCGAACCCGCAACCTCGCGGTGCAAAATCCTACTGTCTATCGACTGAGCTGTCGCACTGCTCACCTGCACGTGGGGAAACAAATAATTATATACCTGCGTGCGTATCAAAAAAGTATCGTAGAGGGCGCTAAACAACGAATGCCGTAACGATAGCCACTTCGAAAATGATAAGATAATCATTAAATCTTAATTAAATCAATTTACTGGACTACCTCCGTAAACATAGGCCACACATCCACAAACATAGGCCACACATCCACATGTACAAAAACGTGTCGCACTTTGCCAAATTTTGATTTTCACATTTAGGCTTAGTTTGTAGGGTTGTTTTGCTTTAGAAGCATACAGGGTGAGTGTTACTATATACCAGAAAACACCGGAAAATACCGGAAAACTACCGGAAAACACACCAAAGTTGGCGCAGCCAAAACAAAAAACAAAAGTGAGCTGCAAAAAAATGCGACGCCCCCCCCCCCAAAAAAACCGGACCGGCCTGATGTGTCCTGAATGGAACATCACCCCACAAGGGTGGTATGGTCAGAACGCCCGGACAGACGGACGGACGCCCGGTCTAGCCAGACGGACTTGTGGGGTGATAGCATTGTGTTCCCATTATCCCTTTTTCTAAAGATTCCCTTCTGGGGTGATGTTTTTCTATTGTGAAAAAAGTGGGGTGATGTGTCCTGAAAGGACGTCATAGTTTATGACGTTTGTCGGGCGCGCGGCGCGGCTGGCCATACAAACACGAGGTCATGAACTAAATAATGCATATTCATTATCTTACCCAAGCACGCTCGCATAATGCATACATTACAACGCGGCCGCCATTTTGAAATCGCATGGAGGACATTTTCTGGACGATATTTGTGGAAGATGATGACTAAAAGTAGTCTTTTGGCCAGATGGATGAAAATATTGAGACCAAAGAACGTTTTTTCGAAAAGGTATGAGTTGCTTTATGACTAAGAACCTTAACTTTGGAAATTTGTGTCCTGGATGAAAAGATAATCTCGATCAAAATCTGTAGCAAAATCGCTACATCAACGGGGAAAAAAATTCAGTCTTTTTGGAAGCATTGAGCGTCTGGCCGTACTACAGAGCTTGCGATAGTACTGTACGGCCAGACGCAGTCGGGCTAGGGGAATATGTACTCTGTTTTATTCTGAAGCAAATAGCACTTCAACGACTAGATGCAAGTTTTTTTTTTAGCAACGCACACCAGCATTTTAAAACGGAAACGAAGAATAAAATGGACCAAACTTCGAAATGAACATGCAGCTTGGTAACCTATTTTGAATTTTGTTGGGGAAATATTAAATAGGTAAAAAAAAACACGTTACACTGGCGCAAAAATAATTGACGTTGTCAACATTTGCAACTACCCAAAAAAGTTCAAAAATTAGGTGTTTTCCGGTATTTAGTGGGATTTGTGTATGTTTTCCGGTAATTAGTGTGTTTTCCAGTGTTTTCCGGTATCTAGTGTGTTTTCCGGTATTTAGTGTGTTTTCAGGTGTTTTCCGGTATTTAGTGGTTTTTCGGTGTTTTCCGGTATTTAGCGTGTTTTCCGGTATTAAGTGTATTTTCCGGAAGTTTTCCGGTAATTTTCCGGTGTTTTCCGGTAGTATTCCGGTATTTTTCGGTAGTTTGTTGATATTTTCCGGTATTTTCCGGTATTTTCCGGTGTTTTCCGGTAAATAGTAACACCGCACCCTCTTTATAGGCTAATCAGAAAGTGCTGCCTTTTTTCAGATGTCTAATTTTTGTGAAATTTCATGTTGAAATTTTGATACGCAAACGTGTGCAAATGAATCTGGAAATTTCACAAAAAATAGACATCTGAAAAAGGCAGCACTTTCTGATTAGCCTATAAAGAGGGTGAGTATGCTTCTAAAGCAAAAAACCCTAAAAACTAAGCCTAAATGTGAAAATCAAAATTTGGCAAAGTGCGACACGTTTTTGTACATGTGGATTTGTGGCCTATGTTTACGGAGGTAGTCCAGTAAATAGGCCACATTTATGGGGCTAGGACTGACAATGACTGAGAAACATTTCCGATCTTCTTGTTAGGACATAGAAAATGTTCGTACTCTTTATACACAATCTTGGAAGTGGCGTCAGGTTGCAACATTTTTTTCCATTTCTGATTGGCGACAGCAGGGACAAATTATTTGTCTATTGTGTGGTTGCTAAGCTGATATGTCATTCCCCGAGTCCAAGTGGCGGCCTTTTAAAAAAAAAAGCTGGCGGCCAACTTATAAAATAGCCCTGTCGGGATTCACCTCACCTTGTGATTTCACCTAATAATGGACCAGCCAAAGTGGAATATTACACTTTGGACGAAGTCCGAGTAACTAGGACTCTACGGATCGCTTTTATAACATTTGGACATGGTCGCCCGACAGTAGAGTCCGAGATCGATGGCCCTATTGCGGTTACTACTAATTTGTTTGGACCATTTTCACTCGTACCCCCAATCAAAGTCTTCAGATTTTACCCCCAAAACGGTCTTCAAACTACCTTATGCGCCCCTGTAGGCTTCAGTGGGAATTGGAAATACAAATGGTGGTGGTTAGGTTCACATACCTTAGAGAAGAAAAGAGAAATTTCACCTTCAATTCGGAAACCGAGCCTCGCCGAGCTGTCGTGCCGGTAACCTCCATCTTGAATGTTGTTGCGTACGATTCATTCAAATTGTGAGGTCAAACTGATGACGTCCGCGCGCCGGCCAAGCGCACGCCCGCATTCACAGTCGGGCATATCGTGTGTGCATGCGTACACCGACGACTGTTTCCTGAACAGTGCAGCCTGCACATATCGCATAGCCGTGTATGCGATATGTGCGGTAATTCAGTTTACTTTTGTTGTCCCTGGCCCGTATGTTTTGTCATTCATTCATTCATTCATTCAGCCAGTCAGAGTCTGCCCCTGGTTGCTCGATCGCTACTATTGGTTTTTTTTTTGCTATTTAATATGTTATTTAATGTTTTCTTTTGTTTTTTATTTTATTGTCTACATATTCCCTACATTTCGACTAAAAAAAACTGAAGTTAAATCCCCATTCAATCCTTTATAGATTCAATAAGTACCATCATAATTAATTCCTTTTATACTTTGTTCTCTTTGAAGGTGCTTCATGAGTCTCATGAGTCAAGTATAAAGGCATCCGCTATGATTCATTCCAAGTTCTTGCTCCTCTGCCTTGTGGTGTCCCTGGTATTCTCCTTCCTGGTAACCGCTATGCTCATCAAGAGGGAGCTATGGAGCTGCAACACATCACGGGAGGTACCAGGACCTGCTCACATACCTGCTCACATACCTGCTGCCATACATGCAGAGCTTCCTAGTGCACTGCCCAAATACACACCCAAGAAGTTTGACAAATTCACACAGAAAATGAAGGAAGTTACTCTTCAGTGCAAGAATGTCTGCAGCGAGTAAGTCTGGGCTCAGAGGCTTTTCATACAATTTTGTTATATGACTATACGTGTAATGGTACCATTAAGGAGACACGTTATCGTAATTTCTTCGCACGGTGGGAGACATCGGTCATTAGGGAGACATTTTCATGTCTCCCTAATGTCACAGCCCCCCTTTAGAGGCAAAATTTCACTGTCGCAATTAGATTATATTTGTTGCTCGTGGTCTAATTAGTAACTAATGGTCTAATTAGTAAACACACCAAATTTCGTGGAAAAAGGACAAGGGAATATTGGGTTAGGGCACATTTAAGTTTGAACAGTTTTGTGCAGAAGTCTATGGGGATGTCTCCCAAATGTCCAATCCAGGGTAATTATTATTATTCTAATCACTTTAACTGTGAAATTTGTGTGTAACTTAAATACTCCCCCTTCATTTGAGCAAAGAAAGCGAAATACCTTTTCAATATTTTCAATGCCTTTTTTTGTTAATAGGTGACAAGCAAATCAGGTCAGTTGAACACAAACATATGGGGCAGTTCATCGTTTTAAACTTTAATTTGATTCCTTTTTTACTTACATCTCCAAAAATCCGTTATCATCTCTTTTCTCATTGTTACAGTAGTCATTTGAAGTATAATTTCTTAAAAATAATTTTCTAAATGTTTTTTGGAAGAAAGTTGTCATAATGGTTCTTCCTTTTTTTGAACTAAATACTAAAAGGGGAAGAACCATTATTGGCCCCCAAACAGATTCAGGATTTCAAGCTGTTTCATCCAACACTGACTAATCACATTTGTTTCTCATTGCCTGGTGACTGGAACCTTAACATATGGATAATTTCTGATTTTTAAAGCTCTTCAAACTGATACTTATTTTCAATTTTGTTTCTTATCAGCCCATATACATGTAGGTCTTTCCATGAAGTTGGGGAATGTTTCGTGTCATTCAGACAAATTAAGTGTAAGGAGTTGCTCAGAGTAGCTAACTGTTATTAATAGTGTTTGTTTGGACTCCTCTAGTTGTAAAAAAAAAAAAGCTCTGCGCATTTGAAAAGCATCCAAATGCTCTGAAATTTTTTTAAACCACTTGAAGAGTCACTAAGAAAATTAACAACAACAATAATTTAGCTACCCTGAGTGGCCCTGTATACCTAATCTCAAAATGTGTTCAATTCTTGCAAGCATATCCTAACTTTATGGAAAGACTCATCATTTGAAATGGTGACCAATCAATTGTTAAAAAAAATACTGAATAGTACAATAATAACAATTATTACTGGTTCCCTGGTCACTGCCCCAATAGGTTTGTGTGGAGATTGCATTGCTTGTTTGTCATCCATGCTCAGAATGCAATGTCAATGTCCGAGGGGTTATTATATTTCAGTTTTGGTAAATTACATTTATAGTAATTCTCCCACAGAGTAAGAGGAAAGCTTTCTCTGATTATTAAGAACAACTAGCATCTTGAGAAACAATGATCATCTGAGCACATTCGGATGTGAGACAAAACAGTACATGTGTATAAATACAGCCCAAATGTTAGATGTTGTCTCCCATCGATCTTTGCTCACTGCATCACCAATGTGAGACCGTGTTTTACAGTGTTTTAATTATTTTTTTTAAATTACACTTGTACCAAATAACGTATGGATTCCAGTCAGCATGATCATCAATGTGCATGTATTGTCTTTTGGATTACAGGCGCGCAGATGATATCTGTGTTCCTTTAGATCTAGCCATTTTCATCTACCGTGGAGACCTGCCAGCAGAGCAACACACCTACGACAGACAGAAACCCATTGTCCGTCTTCCATTGATAGATGCTACCAAGCACCTTCCCAAGTCCATGATAGTCAATGAATGCCTGGTGGAGGATCACTTCCGTGATGTGCAGCTGCTTCCACACCAGGGCTCCTGTGCCATTGTGGGCAATAGTGGCATCTTGCTGGGCAGTGGCTGTGGTACAGCCATAGATGCCCATGACTTTGTCATCCGAGCCAACTTGGCCCCCATTAGCGGTTTTGAGAAGGATGTGGGCCACAAGGCAAACCTCTCTGCCTTCAACACAGAGACTCTCGTCTGGTTCAGCAGTTCTTTACTAGAGAATCCAAAGCCAGAATATGTGCAATACAAAGACCGATACCTGAATCATGTACACAGTCTGAATGATTCTATCGTGTGGTATCTTAAACACCTTCGCCCTCCACATGACGATATGTTCCGAAATGTCACAAATGCAATCCGACACTTCAAGAACTCCAAAGCTCGCTTTGCCTACAGTTGGAAACCAATCAGTATAGAAAAGTAAGTATCAGTCGCATTATCAAACTTTAGTGAAATTTTACCAAGGTACATTTTGTTCTGTCATGAAGTCTTGACAGGGCAACTCAGTTATGTTGTTTAATCAGTTCTTTTCAAGTTTTCACTATTCACCCTTCCTGCTGAATCACACAAAACAACATTTAAGTGTAAATGATCAATATAATGGTCACCATCACCCCTACTACATGTACAGCTGTTTGGTGAAGCCTTGGACCCAACTGATTTCTGCAATATCTGTAAACTTGTAGCAAAAAAAAAAATAGTGAATCCTGCTGGAAAAAAAATAGTTGTTTTTTCATCTCCAAGATCCAATATTTAATAGAAATTTTCAATTTGTTTGTAAAGTTGGATTTGGCAAGGTGTTTGTTTGTAAGTGGAAAAGAATAATTGCTTTATTTTCAGACTGATTGTTCCTGATTTTCTTGTATCATTTTCTGTGTAAGGAAATGGAATTTATCCAAGAGAGGTACTCTGGGCTTTGACATGTTTGTGGTTGCCCAGACCTTCTGCACCAGCATCAGTCTGTATGGCTTCTATCCCTTCCATAAGGATTCCAAAGGAAAATCCATCCCACACCACTACTACGAGGAAATGCCTGAATTCAGCTACCAGGAAAGCTCACATGACTTCAGCTTGGAGTACAAAAAGCTTCAGGAGCTGGATGCCAAGGGGGATCTTAAGCATGTTGTAGGGGTCTGTAAACCTCATGCAGAGGACCATGGTCATAGTTCCTAAGGGATTTATCCAAATCTGGCCTCCATCTCCAGCTTGGGTTGGAGGCTACAGCTTCATGAGTTAGTAACCCTGACACACGATAGGCATCAGTGCTGGGTCCATTGTCTGCTTCTTGGACTCATAGTTTGAGGCCCGTAATTTGAGGCTAAAATGTTCACTTGATGTGAGAATAAAAGGCTTCAAAATGATTCTGGAGCTTGAAATGAAGCAAAGCCTCAGGTGAAGCTGAGATTTGAAAAAAAACCTATGAATTTGACAGAGTAAAGGATTAGTTTCCAACTCTGTTCATTGACATTTTTGAAAAATCAGGGATAAGTTCAGGAGAAATATTGTGCCCATCTTGAGCAAATTCCATGCCTGAAAACCAGTAAGTGCTTACACATGTGTTGCGAGGGATGAAGGCTTGATTGTACTTAACTGCTTGATGTCTCTATGAAAGGGAAAAAACATGTGAGGCTTTCTGGCAAAAATGAGACAAAACTGGGCACAGGCCGTAGTGGAAAAAAAATGTAAAAAACTAAATGGGGGTATTTTTTTTTCTTCAATTTTTCAGATCTATTGATACATTGTCTTTGTAATCTTTGATATGTCTACTACACATATTTTAAGAAATAGTATAAAAAATCTTGGAATGAAAGTGTTTTTAAGGAAAAAAGTTGGCATTTTTCTTTTTTACAACTTTAAAGGTCTTTTTCTCGGTGTTTTGACATTTGACATAAATCTTAAATTAATCACAGATCATTTTCAAATGTTTGATCATACCACTTTTACAACAAATTCTATGGTACATGTATGTATTCATTTGTATTTTCTTACTTGATGTTACACTGAAGTATTATAGAACATTTTAATCAGTATTTTGATTGCAACTTGCCATTAATCAAAGCTTGGAAATTCAACTGTTAATTATGCAGCAAATATCCTATAATATTTATTGGTATTGTATCTTTAAGTGTTTTGGCTGAATATTTATTCCTCTGAAAAATCACTCTTTTTTAACTTATTGTAAAATTTGCTAAGTGGATTCAACACATTTAATTCAAAGAATCAAATGGGGAAAATAAACAAATACAATAAACAAAACAAAGCCACCAAGTAGAGTGTAGGTAATAATAATTATAGGTAGAGTTGCTAAAAGTTACCGGTTTAGAATTATGCATGCATAATTTAAAATATATTTTGACTAGGATTTTGTATAATCTATGGGCAATTCCACGCAAAAGTGGACGCACCTGAAAAGTAGAACATTGAAATCTTCAAAACTACAAACATTACAACCTCAAATGTGGTATCAAATGAAAGGGGCAACAAGACCTTCATTTGAGTGATGTGCCAGTGAGATAAAGTGTCATAATTTTTAAGTGTGTTTAAAAAGTTTTAAGTGTTTTTTGTCTTAACTGGGTTATTTTTAAGTATGGATTTTTAGTAGTCATTTTGGCACCTTGTTTTTACATGTAAAATGCAAGGGTTATTATGAGTTTTTGTTTTAAAGGAGAGAAATATTTTCTTTTTTATGCCAAAAGACTTTTTTTATTTATTAGTTTCTGATATGTTTTAACTTGTACCAAAGAAGGGCAGACAAACTGTAACCGTAATGCGAGTAACCCGCCTTTTTCTTTCTATCTGTACCTGAATTTGGTCTACATTATTTATTATCCATATTTATACTTTTGTATGTTAGATATCTTGTAAAAATACTCATTTGGTTACTGCAGTTTCACTCGAAGGGAAACTACTGAATTAAAAGTTAGGCAATTTGTGATGGGCCCTTTTTGTGTAATGCAGGTAGCCACATTTCCAAAGATTTCCATGGTTAAACGAGTGTACATGTTTGTGATGTCATCAGCGACGATCAGGGAAAAGCCTTGAATACGCGGTATTGTTGATGCAAAAAAGTAAAAAGATAGTACAACTACATGTAGTAAGAAGCCCACAAATCTCTGCATGTAATATGATGCCAAAAAGTGTAACGCCAGGTACCATGGAATTGCCCAGATGGATCAAGTTTTTTTCGTTGTTAATTGTGAAGTACATACATGTACCAAGGTCATGTATTAAGAGGAATGAACTCAATTAGTTTCACAACATACATTAAACTGTAAAGACTTGATAGGTAATCCTTGTTATTACATAAAGCTATAATATTGAACTCATAAGAATGAGTTTATATTGCAATGAAGAATGTTGATGGGTCAATATCCAGCCTATCCCATTGTGTTATGTGTCCTTCCATAATTTCTCTTACCAAAAACTAACCAAAAGGGACTGAATATTTCCCCTCGTAATCAGACGTATAAATCCGTCAGCTCTCCCAGATAATTGGAGTTCAAGAGTTTATGTGTACAGCTACCTACATGTGCTTCCAAATGTGACATTTCCAGACTCATGATTGGACAGTAATTTTGTTGTGTGATTTTCTGTTGACTACAGTATTATCAATATGGATTATGTCGAATGTAAAAGTGTACTTTAATTAAGTATCAATTATGGAATGAGTATTACCTGTAATGTGCCTTTTTAATTATTTATTCATTAGGTGGTTTAACCTATGTAATCAATGATTGTGATACAAACCAAATTGTTTAGGGTAGATTTGTTTTTCGAGAACAACTGTAACAGAAACTGTAGCATTTGTGTACGTGGACGCAGTAAATAATGAAGCAAACAAGGCAAGTTGTTTTTGTGACTTTCTTTATCCAGTGTTGCAGGTTTCTTTACACAAGAAATTAGCAGCTACATGTAGGTTTGGTTACACAGTTCCCCACTGGAAGGAAATATTTTCAAAAACAGCAAAAAGAGCAATTCAGTAATTCTGTACACATTTATGATAAGATGTACATATTCATGATAACATTTCCGACAAGTCTGTCGGGGAAATTACAATATTCAATGACTGATACTAAACACCGATATTCTCATTTTTTTCTTAAGCCACTAATTGTAATGCTACAATGTATTTCTTTATCCCTGCAGAGGACTGTTATATCACACACATTTAATAAGATTCAAGTAATCAAAGTAGCATAATTGCATCCGTGTACATGAGTGAAACCAAGACAAGACCATTGACATGATAATGCACTTTCCCAGAACTGCCTGTCCTTTTTTCCCTACTTTCACGACTTTCTTCAGCATATTTGCTAGGGATCTTCCAGAATCCTCATAAATCATCCACCCATGTAGGGAACCAATGTGCATTTCAACTTTCAAGAGAGCATCTTGAAGTCGTATGCAAAGTGGCTGGACTCTACAGGTTCAGATGAAGTCCAGGCATCCCCTCTACCCAGGGGAGACACAAGTCAGGGATGAGTGGTTAATTAATAGTCTGCGCAACCTCGGTCTCTTTTGAAGACTTGTCATGGTTATTTGGGGGAGGGGGGTTAACTTGGTCAAGTGGGAGTTTGTAAAACTAAAGTTATTTCAAGTTTATGAAATATGTGTACCCCTTGAATGAAATTAGCCATAATTGTCCAAGTCAATCACAATAAGCTTCTGTACTAATGTTGTCACACTTTGTTTACATGTGCACTTTCCTATGGTGCTCAGTGGACCGTGGGCCCCCACTGGCTCCATAGGAAAGTGCACATGTAAACAAAATGTGACGTCATTAGTACAGAGATTCATTCATCAAGTAACATGTAAGTTATTCAAATCAAGACGAAGGCTTTGTCATTGTTCATCTCCTGGTACTCGCAGCCTAACTTGTGACTTGACTTGTTACAACTCGGAAATTAGTGTTCTGAAATTAGGCCTGGGAAGTGGTAGGATCAAAGTCCCCCGAGTCCTAAAAAGCTCCTGGTTTGACATAACTGATTTGACTGAAAACTTTCATAAATGCCTAAGACAGTTTACCCAATCTTATTGGATGAGAGTGTGTCACGGTGGTGGTTTTAAATACTTTATTCCTGCACCGCTGCATTCTGAGCCATATCGCGCAATACGCGCACCAACCTCCATAAAAGGAGATTTATAGCACCACGCGCACGAGGCACATACCATAGACATGAGTCCATGATCAAGTCTGGGCTAAAGAGAAGCCCTGAGATTAACTTGAGGCAGTTGTAGACTCACAATGCATGTTTAGTCTACTATTTGACTCGTATTGCTGAAACTAATTCATGGAGTTTCTTAACTTAAACCATTGCTATGACATCACACTATTGTTAAAAGTGTGAATACGGAACGACGGATCTTTAGTAAGTGTGGACTCGGCATTACGAATCCACACTTTGAACACGCCGGACAATTGTTCTCCATAATGAGCATGAATAGGACCGTCTGCGTGAAAATTTGCTTTCCGAAAATTACCAATGCTTCTTCACTGTCTGATTCTCCACCGTCACTGCAAAACCTACTTTTAGTCAGAGAGAAATTGTCTTCTGAACTATCCATTTTGACGTAAGGAGCCTATACACACAAAATGGCTTGGTTGTATGGGTGTGGCGATACACATGCTAAACACGCCAGGAAAAAATGTTGCAACCTGATGCCACTTCCGCACTTGTGTACAAAGTCTATGGAGAGTCATTTCAAGTATTTCCAAACAAAATTGGAAACATTTCTCAGTCCTAGATTCATGTCTTATCATCATTTTTGCAACGAATGACCTTCATTGAGATGATATATGAAGAAAAAAGTGGCGTCAGGTTGCAACATTCTTTCCAATACTATTGTTGACGCAATGGTTCAAGTCAAAGATTACACTCGCAAGTGTGGATTCTTAATTGATGAATTCACACGGCGCTTCGTGCCTCGTGAATTCTTAAATTACGAATCCACACTTTCTCGTGTATTTTCCTTAACAGAACATATGACTAAGCCAATTGATGAGCTAAGCAGACCTCGACTGAAAACTTGGCAAATAGTTTGTGCGTAGCAGAATGTTGTTATTTGCCCCAAGGCTCAACTACAACACAGATTTGCAGGTATCATAAGTGATGTGAAATATTAACCTTGTCAGCACCATAACATCTTAATCTATGCAGGGCACCCCCCCCCCACCTCCAAGCAACGACGACAAAATGTGAATGTTTTCTAAAGCATAAAATGGGCACTGGACCTCAGAGTACAGTTAAGATCTGCATCATAATTGTGCATTCCAGAATATTTGACAAGAGCCAAATTGCACATATTTTGACAACTTCATTATAACTTTTACCTATTTTATCACAGAAAATAAATTAATACTTTTTAAGTTTTCTCTGCACAGCAGAGTAATTTATACGGATTCAAAAACCAGCCAATATAAGTAAGGCGACAGGTCAAATTATTTAGACTTGCAAATCCTGAAAAGTGTCATACTGAGAAAAACATTTGCTTGGGTCATGGATAAAACATGTTATCAAAGAGCCAAATCTCTATGAAATTGGTACAAAAATTACTGAAAATAATCTGTTCCAGGTATTTTAAGATCAGTGGCAAACATTGACTAATTAAATCAGGGGAGTTTTAGCTGTAAAAAAATAACACTTTACAAGCTGCTCCGCCCCCTCTGTTAAAAGCCAGCGTGCTCAGAATGGAAAATTGCGTCACTGAGGGCAGCCAACAGAAAAGGCCTGTTTGCTTAAGTCACATGGGCATCGGGCTTGCCCCCCCCCCCCCCCCGGAAAAGTGCCAAAAAAAAAAAAAGGACACAAAATTAAAACAGAAAAAAGAAAGAAAAAGAGGTGCTAAGTAATATTACTGTTAATTTAATGGGTGGGGTGGGCAAATGTCCCCAAAGTACAGGGATTTGGGAAAAAAAAAGAAAAGTTTTTTGCCCCCTCCCCCCAAGAAAAATCCTGGCGACGCCCATTTTAAGTCTCGGTACGGCTCTAGCAGTCTGACTGAAACTCCCCTTATTTAATTTTCGATGTTGTAGCTTGTTTCAAATATATATAGTCTTCACAATTAGTCAATGTTTACCAAATTGAAGAGACTGATCTTTAAGAACATAAAACATGCTTAAAAACACAATGGTAAGATGTCTCTGAATAATATTGTAGTATTTTCATTATATGCAGCTAAATGGTAAAAAGTATTCACTTTATGGTAAATTATAATTTGAAGACTTTTTTTTTTACTGTCAAGAAAAGAACCTGACTCAAGTAACAGAGGGATGTTAAAAAACAACTTCAAATGCATATTCTTAAGTACTGTAACTGGATTAGTGTGCACAAACTAAAGTCCATGCTCCATCTAGACTGAGTATGGTACCTTTGGGTGGTAAATATGGGAGTAGGCATAGATATGGCTTGGGAACCACACTTCTATTAGACATCATCCAGTCCCTTAGTGTCCTGTCATTAATGATGGCAAAGAATTTCAGTTGCACTGACTCACTGATACTTCGGACTCTGCTGGTTGAATGACTCGTGAAGGAGGATGTCATTCATACTCTAGGATGCGTTTGTGGTAAAATAGTAGATATCTGAAATGAGAGAGAGCAAATAACAGTCTGAGAAGAGATGATTTCTGACTGCTTATATGATAAAATTAGTTTAAAAACCAAGTGGTTTTGCATGTCAACAGATGGCGATCGTGTAGTGTAGGGCCCCTGTTTAGTTTCGATGTAATTAGTGTCAAGGGTGTTTTTTTATTACTCAAAATGACCTTTTCAACCTAGAGCAGACTTCTCTCAACATAATGACACCTTTTTTGGTAATTTTGAACAGTTTCTTGGGGTAAAAATTACGATTTTCCTACACAGTTTACGGTTGGTGCCATGCGATTCAGCGCCCTGCGCCTTCACAGTACATCGCACGGTGATTGCCATCTTTATTTTAGTGTTGCGTTTTGTCGTTGTCATCATCATTTTGCCCCCAAATTTCCCTCAAAAATTCAAAACCCTGCCCTTTATCTATGACATACCTGCATGTTCTTAATTTGCCAACTAGTTTGGTAGGTCAAATAATTTAAAGTTGGATTTTGTTTCCTTATAGGAACCAGGCCCTTAGATACACGATCGCCCAACAGATAAGGTTAGCATGACGGAAAGGTTTGTTTGCTATTGTGACATAATGCAGACTTGCTATTTGCTACATGTGTACATAGAAACGACATACATGTATTGCTAGCTACACAATAGGGGTGTATTGATTCATTACCATAGAGCTATATTAAATTACTAGAGCGCTGACTCATGTACAAAGTGATGCCTGCTGGGCCTATCCATATTTGTGCACAAACATATGGAAAACTTGAAATTTTGTACGGCCTTTGCATGGCTATTTGCATATCTGCGTTTGTATTCAATACAGGCATGTTACCGATGTTGATACGCCCAAAACCGAAACACATGATCAGCAAATGAGGATTTCATTTTGCTCTGCACAAACCACAGAACGTGCTACGCCTATGCTATTCGCCGTAACGTTTTTTTAAACCGATATGACTAGCTTAAGTTGTTTGCTATGTTCTGCTTGTGCGTTGCATGTAGAGTACACTTTCAAAATTCAATCCATCTAATGTCATTATGTTCTACAAACACGCACATGAATTCAAAATGTCTGCGCCCAGGACGGCTTCAAAGCGTCTCCGTGCGCAAGAATGAGGAGTTAGTGCTCTAGTAATTTAATATAGCTGTATGTTCATTACATATCACAATGGCGATATGAAAATGCCACTACACGATATCCCGATGCAAAATAATCTATATACTGATACTTATTAACAACATAATCCCACAATTCCTTACAAAATGCAGTTTTTATTACATTCAAACTCTCTTCCTGTGATCAACACACAGACAATCATCAAGAAATCCTGTTAGTTTTGTGAGATTCTCTGTTGCATTACGGACCTTTTTGTTAAAACATCACAGGTTGGTTTTCATTTATTACATTTGGAATCAAATATTATTATTGGGTCAGTTCAAGCAAACGTTTCAGGTCGATACATTGTGGGTTCAAAGGTAGACAGATTAGGAAGTTTTTCAGTGGTCAAATGGAATATGAGAGGTTTGGCCTGTGAATCTCAAGAGACTTGCCACTCACCCTTCACTATGGAGTACATCTTGCACGCTAGACTTTGTGATCAGGGCATCATCACATTTAAACCATTGGTCCTTATGCTGGCGCACATAGCATGTGTAATGACCCGTCTCAATCGTGCCATGGTGGTTGACAACAGCAAACAGGGAGTATCTAGTGACAAACACAATACAAAAGAAAAGTGCACTATTAAACAAATGGTCCAACACATTCCACGATGCACCGAGTATCAGCTCTGTTACAGAGCTATCAAACCTGCAGATCGAGTATTAGGAATGAATCTATGATTAATGTGATCTGAGTGTGTTTTTCAAAGGTTGCGCAAGTACGATAATTATGCATGTGTATTACCTACATGCCCAACTAATTAAACATCGGGCTTTATCCAGCTAGCTGTTTAGGTATGACTTCCCATTACAGACCGTACGAGTACCGGGCGGGAATGGCCCCCTCAGTGAGTCCCTGATTGGTACAAACACTATATCCACTCGGTCACTCAAGCATGACATCCGGTTGGCTGCTGGGCTGGCTCTGTGGGCTACAACAATAACCCCTAAATAGCGGCCACGCTCACTGATACCGAGGGGTACGGTGTACCGTATGGACTGTCGTGACCTTAAATTCCCATTTTTAAAGTATCGTATGTGGCCTTAAATTTAAAAAAAAAATTCCCTTTCAGAACATCATTTTGTTTTCATTTTGGGGGCTATTTTTTTATAGCTTTCGTGGTGCAAAAAGACATCATTTTGACGGAGAAAGTTGATGTTCAAAACCAATGTTCGAAACCTGTGTTCGAAACCACAAGAACTGAGACTAGATTTGCACTTGCATCGTCACGTAAACAAGTTGCATCAAAGCACAAAGTCAACCGGTATGCACAAGCCTGAACATCGTGCAAGTCACGTGCAAATACACATGATACTAACATATGTTTTCCTGGTATTACATGATATTAGAGTTTTATGATAACTACTCTCCAGTTAGCGGTTGTTGCATTGCTATCTGCATGTTTGTAAATCGCGTGTGCGAGCACAATGAGAAACACTCGCCGGCCATGTGGTAAGAGGAATTGCGGAGATTGGACTTGGAATTGGATTTTTTCATGAATGGCTGATGGGAGGAGAATTAGGAGATTCACGGGTGCTTTGTGCCCACTTTCTAGCCATGCAGTACGTTGTTTAATACAAAAGCGTGCCAATAAAAGGCGTTACGTAACTCTGGGTCAACTGCACTGGTTCAAACAGGAAGCATTTTAGCCCAAACCGTTTAGACACCATACTAGAAGATAAAACCATTCTGATTTAGGCCGAAAAAAAAAAAATTTCTGCTTCTGATTACATGCCTTTCAAAAATAGGGTCGGTCGGTCGGAATTTTTTTTTGTTTCCCCAATTTTTTTAATGCAGATTGAATGGGGTATTCAATTATATGTGTTATAAGTTTTAGCCTGAACTATTTCCATTGCACTACGAAAGCTATACACAAAATGTCCACAAAAAGTGAATAAAACCTACCTTAATTATTGTCAATATATATTTGCGTTCGATAATTCTTAAAAAATAATGGAAAATTCAGGCCGTTCGCATCATATGCACAACGCTAGTCAAGACGGGAAGCTGGCCAAAACTCTGAAGTGTGTGATGCACTGTGCATGTGTGGCCTGCGGCCGACTGCAGACCTCGTTTTACGGTCGAAAATTTCGGGAAACACGCTGCATGTATCACTCCAAATACGAGTAGTGCGATCTCAAAATGAACTCTTGAACACGGAAAATACATACACAGACAACATAGATCAATTCTGTGAATTAACTTGCAAAAATGTTCTTTCTCCATCGGTGTTTCTCAGTACATATATTTTCTTCACAGTATTGGCCAACGTGTTGGAAATGATAGACATGGGATAGTTTTGTTGTAATCAAAACAAATAGAGCACAGTTATCTGTGGCAACTTACTTATTGTCTGAGGTAGATAACAAGGTACTGGAGTGTGATTGGTTCTTGATACCATTAGCCCGCCGATGTGAAGAGACGTAGGGTGTCATGTCTAGCTCATGGGGAAATGCAATGAAAGTAGATATCTTCTTTCTGAATCGATTGGAGTGTTCAAATCTCTGCAATAAGAGCACATACATGAACAACGATGACGGTTTAACTGTGCAATAACATGCCTGACATGTCAGGCGTCCTTGTTAGCCTGTCTTCAGGTGTGATTAGGATGCACTCTGTATAAATTTAAAAAAATTGAGAAAATGGCCTTTGAGTCTTTTTAGATCTAGTGTTTCTAGATAACAGCCATTTAAACAAAAATGCAAACCAATTCTGGAGCTTTATATTGGCCTTCATGCGGCATCAAAACTGTAGCCTTAACAACTCCATCAAAATCCATCCCCCCGTTTTGGAGGATTTTGGCAGGTAAGCCATGTGCACCAAGTCCATAAAAATCGACCAGCATCAGTAGTGGATTTCACTGGATTTGGTTCTGAATTATTATGTGAAGCAGAATGAGTGACGGATTTTGATGGACGTGGTATTCTACTTAGTAAACCTGAGTAGGGAGTTAGGGTTTACGTTTGAACATTTTTACCCTGTGATTTTCACAGATCACATAACACATGTCATTTGAAGTCTTAAAGTTACAGTCCATCATTTGTCATTTGTGCATTTTGTCCGTTAGAAGCAAGAAATGTGCTCAAAATCTGAAGAAGGGTGCTGAACAACTAACCTGATGAAGTTTCAGCTCAGCTTCAGCTGTATATTCCGAGAAAAACAACATTCTAAGATCTCGATTTCAAATCAAAAGTCGCTGAGTCATGTTTTAACTGGGCCCAAATTCAGCGTCCGGACACGTTCTCATTCAGCCGATTGCAGCTACGCGATGTCGCGCACTTAACCGACGAATTAAGGTAACCATAATTTTGATGGATTCAGGGGGGTTAGGGTTAATGTTTGCAAATGTTGTATATTACCTAAAGGGTTGTTATGATTAAATGGTTACGAGTCAACCTGGTAAACAGCATGAAGGCATCAATTGGATAAAGATAACAATTAAGGGAAGGTACCAAAAAGATAGGATCACTCTCCTTTGTGCATTACGCTGCAGGTGAGCCACTAGCAGCAACAAAGTTATGTTGACATTTTTTTGGGGGAAAGGGGAGGAAACAAGAGAAGGGGAGGATTATGAGCAATTGGTGCCATCCCTTATCATCCCTTAGATTGGATCTTTTCTTGGTCATTTCTTACCTTGAGATGGAAGCATGCTACAAGGGGAAGCTTTTTCATAGTGAGTTGTTTGGTAGACTCCTGGTAACTATGGCAACGGCTACATTTGATCTTTGAGTTGGTGCCTAGATGTTCCGGTCTTGTGAACCTGTCAGCGAAATGTATATGACCAAAAAACATTGAACTCAAAACAATCCATTAACAAATGTTGAAGAAAAAAAAAATTATTATGCAACTATCTTCACACAAGGCTTCACCTTGCCTGCTTCGTGGGCAAGTTGTGGGCAAGTGAAACGACTCTGATTATGATTCTCTTTACACTTGCTGATGACAACTTTACAATTGGCTTCATGATGATTTGGCCAGTTTAATGTTATTATGCCTAAAGTTAAATTACCTAAATTTACAACTGAATCAACAGTTGTTAGAACAATTAACCAAAAAATCCTCTGCATAAAAATCAATAAAATCCCAAAATTGTCAGCGGAAGTATCAACACAAGCTTACACAGGTGGGACTCGAACCCACGACCTCCTGCTTACTGGTGCAGACGTCTTACCACTAAACCTCTGAGCATGCTATTTATGGGATGGAATTTGTGTCAGGGAAATGTAAATTCAGGAAACCTGAACTGAAAAGCTTGAAACACATACAGTTATCGCAAAGCAAGCAGACACAGTGGTGATAAGACATGTATCTGATTGCCATGGTGCCACATAGTCATCAGTCAGTTAGGTGAATTACTCTCTGAACATGAAGTTAAAAGACTGACTTATATTCTGCCCCCGGAAAGGACCAAAATGTTCTCAGATAAGCCGTATATCGCTTGTGAGAGCCCTTCCGTTGTCCCCCCTCCCCTGCAGTAACCTCTCTGGATCCGCCCTTCTGCTTGGTACCTTCAACTTGGAAAATGCCTTATGTTCTTATTGGGAACATGTTACATTCCAAGTGGGAACCATCACAAACCAAATCACACATCAAGTAACAAGTACCAAGGGATGCTCAATGACAAAGGAATGCCTCCATCACAGCTCATTTCAATAGCTTGTGACTGACTTGAGATTGGATGCAAGTTAACAATTTCCAGCTGGGTACATGCTGGGAACATTACATGTTCCAACTAGGAATGTACTGTGTTCCAATAGGAACATTTCAGAAGATCCTGACTATTCCTAGTTTTGGTCTATGCCACCTGGAAAATTAAAACACTACCTTCTGAGACAGTCATCTAGCGAGGTGGGGACATCTTCAAAACCCGTCGGAGACAACAGTCCCGAGTCTCCATTATTGACACTACCACTACTAGTACTGGAACCTACCAAGGAAAGAAACAAATCAAATCTGGAAATATTGCTTGTTCAAATCATGTCAGAAACAGTGATGCGAGACTTAACCAGTTCGCACCAGGATTTTTTTGACAAGAACGCAACGAGGCGCGGGACTATTTTTCACTTGTCCTCAAGCCAGGCGGGTTGAAGCCATCACCCTCGGGCAGCACACTCATATTTCCGGCCTCGCTCGCTGCAAGCAGGTCGCTGACAGATATTTCCGGCCTCGCTCGTTGCGCGTTTATCTGTCATCCGTTCCGAAAACCACAAAACCTTTGCGTGTAAACACGTCATCCGGCACGAACTGGTGAAGGCCACTTACTGTGTATGAAAGCAATGGCCAACACCTATGGGAATGTGTGACAAGACAACAGGTAACTATTCACACTGTAAATTCACACAATTTGAATACATTTCAGAGGTTTCATGACATCAAATTCTCATTCAGATTCATCTTATAATAAGCGGCCTTTCTAAACCGGACTGAATATACATGTAATAGTAACTAATTTGGAATCAAGTCTGTCAATAAGAATGCCGCCTAATTTTATGGTATTGCTTATATAAGGTTTACCAGCAAGTTTCAACACGTTATATAACAGTGCCAACAATGCTAATGCACATCAAGACATCTACATTCTGCTTGTAACGTGAGAATGTTCTTTTGTCTGCTTACTGCTAACAGTCTCTGTGAAATTGTTGGAGAGTTCTGTAAGCAGAAACGTACAAGCATGCTTAGCACTGTCATGAAATTGGACTAATGCCTGCTGATGTTACTGCCGCATGGTAACCCATTCAGGCTAAACACCTAGGTTTAGCAGTTAGATTTTAATCAGTTCCGTTAAGAAGTGCCATGTTCAGCAAATGTTGGGTTAGTTTTGCAGCTTGCATGCAGCATTAACATTTACTGACCTGAGGAATTGCTGTCGACTGAGAGGTCAGCGTTAGGAATGGGGGCTGAGGAGGTTGAGGAGGAGGATAGAGTACTCTTGGAATGACTGCCAGATGGACCCAGATCTAAGGAGATATCCCAGAAAGGATCCACTGTAGTGGATATACCCCTGTAAGATATCACAATTGCCAACAACATCAGAAAAACAAGCATCACAATGTAGTTCAAACAATACCTGCAACACTTATGAGATGTAAATGTCATTCTTGTTTAGCCATGAGACAGTCTTCCCTTGAGAAAATATTCTTATCCTAAATGTTCCTTTTGTAAAAACTGTAATGAGTACATCATCAACCAAAAGTACCTTGATAGAATGTAGTCAAGAGTAAGTTGAATGATCACTTACAGACAGCCTTGAGGGGAAAAGTTGAATGGGGAGCTTTAGATAGGGCTATGCAATAATCCCCCCCCCCCCATGGAGAGAGAGATGTGAGAGTCTTGCATGTAATTGCTGCCATGGGTTAGATGCTCAACTGGAGAATGTGTCATTGTGCACATTCAGGTGAGTATCAGTTGTGTGTACTCCATGCCATAAAGGCAGGGGCGTCAATGGCTTCTCAAAAGTGGGGGGGGGGGGACATACCTTGATCAGAAATAATGCAAGCGCGAAGTGCGAAGCCCTTACAGCGTGGGCTTCGGGGCCCGCTTAAGGGCTAGATGCTCATGTGGTGTGATCTGAGGCAATTTCTGACCACTTTAACCAATATTTTCTTAGCAAAAAATACATTGTAGTACATAATAGGGCCCTGTAAATGTGTGTTAGTCTATGGGAGAGTGTTATATTACAGGGACAAAGGGAAACACAAAGCATTGTCCTCGAGAGTATAGTAAAACAAGAGTGTGTGCATCAATCAGTGCTTGAGTGTGACTGGGCCGACACACTGGAGCTCTTCTGAGTGCTTACAAGGTGCCATCTAGTGTTCCTGTACAGAGTCCACATATCCAACAGAAGTCTGTGCTACCCCCAAAACAGGCCATCAGTAAACCTTATCGTCATTTCCCTCCGTTAGCATCACCCCTTCAATTGGTCACATCTAGAATTTCACTTTATATGCTACGTTGATGAAATAGGCTGATAGGTTGGTATAATGGGGATGGCAAAGGGCAAGGGGACTTCTTTCTTCATGATGTGACTACTTTCTTCATGATAATGATCACAGGAGGGCAGGGAAAGGCAGCTCAGGAAGGTGGGATAAATAGGCGGTGGAGTAGATGCTTGACATACTGCTCATTATCTCACTCTAAGAATCAGCCAAAATATCTTTGACGTTTTCACCATAGGATCAACTTGAATATTTCCAAGTAGGCACTGTGTTCTTTGTGTCAGCATACTTGCATATGACTAGCCAATTAGGCTAGGAAGGTGGAATTGTCCTATTATGACAACAGACAATGTCAGAAACTTTGAGGCATTGTCGGTACTCATGTACATGTATAATGTGAGGTATGCACTTTAAGGAGAAATAAGGGTGATAGTGATGAGAGTACACATTGCCCCTGACTGACCTGCAGGACTGGCATGTTACATCTGACTGCAGCCCTCCTGTGAAGATTTGGTCAATAATACAATTGCAAAGATGAGGATTGTTGCCGGAGACACCATTGTGGCCTGTCAGACAAAACAAATGCAACAAATGAATCCAATTAGGAAGGACACAGAAAGAACACACACATATTGTTACATGTATGTGTGGACAAAGTCTAAAGTGCTAAATAGTTTGATTATTCCATACATAATAGGTGCCCAAAAAACACACCCCAATTCAGGCTACTTTTCTTACATACACGAGAGTCATTTGTGACAGCAATGTGTCAGATCTAACCCATATTGGTCAGTATGATGGTCTTTTATTTTATTTTATTTTTTCCAATTACAACAGACCCAAATCTCATCATGGCTCCATATATTTAACCATTTCTGGTACTGTAACTCAACCCATATCAGATCCTTGTTATGTGAATGTTTAGGATTAGATTTTAAAAAAAGAAAACATATCTCAAATGTCATGAATGCAAATTCCATTAAACTTTGTGATCGTCTAAATGCAAATCTACCTCAGAAATGGAAATATTCTATTTACATTAAAAGGTACATAACAATAAAATTATCATATAAATGTTATTCCAAGCCAAACATTTGTTACCTTTGCAATGTCTGTGAAGTACATCTAGTGCAGCAATGAAGAACTCATGAGCATCTTGCTGCTCATAACCTGCTAAGTGTCTTGCATGAGTCCAGACAAGATGCAGAAGACGGTATGGAATGTGCACTGAACGTAGCCCTGAGTAGAACTAGAAGCACCAACAAACAAAGGCAATCCACAATCAATCAAGTCATGCTCAATTAAGGCTCCAAACTCTGACATTTTTCCTGTCCCTATTACATTTAACAATTGTTGACCGCTGTGATGTGGGATATGACGTTTTGAACACCCAAGGGGCGAGGGTGCTATGCGCCCCGAGGGTGTTCAAAACGTCATATATCCCAGATCACAGCGGTCAACAATTGTTTTGTTATACCTCTGTCTTGGATTCTTTGGATTTTGATGTAAAAATCACGAAAACAAACAGCAGTAAACACATCAATCATGACAATCAAGCGCCAACTCACATGCATTTCGCGTGCTTGAAACAGCTGATCGTCTGCTAGTTCGCTGGTCCCAATCATGTGTGAAAACATGGTGAAAATAGCGTGGGTACCAACGATATAAGTGTTTCATACATACAAAGTCATAGCACACTCCCTGTGGGATATCACGTACGTGATATCCCACAGGGAGTGTGCCATGACTTTTTATAAACTTAACATGTGATCGTTCTTGGCCAATGAAAGTACAGTATTCAAGACAGAGGTATAACAATGGTATTTTGTACATTGCCATTCAAGTATCGTTAAGAATGACTTCAAACTAACCTTTATTTACTAGGTAGGTTCTATGCTATTTATATCGCTCTTCTATGACTGCATTAAGGAATGCATCAGAATTATAAAATCATTGGTGTCTGATGTAACATGGACAGGAAAAAAATGGACCCCAAATTTATAGAATGACTCATATACATGTATGGGTGTATGTGTACCTGATTGGATTGATGCTGAGTGTAAGCATGTTTTTGTTCACATGTGCTATGTACATTCCTTAATGCAACACCTTGCTGATTTTTTTAAACTAAGCTGGCGAACTCATTATCCGGTTTGTAAGTGACTGCGTCATACACGCACACGCACACGCACCACTGAGTACTAGCACCCATTGGCTGAACACACTTCTTCCGGTTCCAATGGTTCCAATGCTGCTCAGTGTGCAGTGGGCATGGTTTAGATTGAAATGACGTCAGTCAGACTTACGAACCGGATAATGATGACGTGATTTGCAATGCATAACCGCATGTCCACCGACACCTCCCATTAGTCTAAAACTGGACGTAAATAAAGAAACACGTGAAATGCAGATATTACAAACACTGCAAGGTAATGTGCCAGTCTGGCTCCTGTGGGCTGCCCGCTTAAGGGCCCTGAAAATTTTTTGATTTTAGATGCTCTGTGGTGCAATCTGAGGCAATTACTGGGCACTTTCCTCTGAAATTCTGAAGCAGAATTTGTTTTCATTTTATGAAGAATTTTCCTTTATTTGTTTAAATGTACTCTTGTCCTAATAAAGTTTTTTCTGTACTCAAACTTGAGAACCATGCTGTTCTCCCCAGAATTTTTTCAACCCTGTAGGGGAATTTTTGTTGTGATACAACAACCTGCGAAGCCACGGCGTGGGTTCGGGGCCCGCTTAAGGGCCCCGAAAAATTTTGAACTTTAGAAGCTTTCTCAGTTTCTGGTGCATTTTAGAGCATTTCAGAGGAGATCTTGTAATATTTTTGTAAAAAAAAAAATCAAAATTGTAAACTTAAATCACTTCTGCTTCCGATAACATGCCTTTCAAAATAGCGTCGGTAGTATTGTTGGAAAAAAATATTTCACCATTTCTATATTTGTAGTAAAGCAAGGAATCGTTTATATTTCATGTATTTTGTGCCTGGATTATTCTCATTTGCGCCACAAAAATTATCAAGACTAGCCATCAAAAGTGATTAAAACTTGCCTCACCTAATTAAAAATCTATATATTTGAGGTGGGTCATTCCACAATTATGCTTAACGTACATGTACATCACGGCCGCTAGCGCCGCAAACATTCAGTCTGGCCGGCCGAACATCGCGCCGTACACACGGCCGGACCGGCGCAGTATAGTGTGCATTGCTGCACTGTGTACGGCCGGCGGCCCGTCCCAAGTGGCCGAAAATTCTGCAGGACTGCAGAAACACGTTACGATGTTTCTCCACAGGTTCGAGTTTTGCAATCTCGTCATTTCAATGGAAAATACATACACAGAAAATGAAGATCACGTTCTGTGAATTAATTTGCAGAAATCCTCTTTTTCCATCGATGGTTGTTTGGTATTTTTACTATTTTTACGATCCAACTTCGGCCGATTATACGCACGGAAAACGAACCTGTGAGTACTTGCAGTAGTCACTGGTTCCGGTCCTTCATCATAGCATTGATTCTGTTAGCACGCGAAGGGTACCAGTGTACTATGCTGCACTCGTCTGCACACCTGACAAGCGCAACATGTGCATCTCGAGTACCGACACAGGAACTAGACCTACATAACCACAACACAATCATAATCGCACTAATGGCAACGCATGGTCTTCAACTTCGTTCTCACATTGGGTGTCCAATATGTGCGTGCGGCATACATATCGATCAACGACGTTTATGTCCGTAAGTAAATTTCGGATATTTCGGCAAGCAAAACTCATTATGAATAATTAATTAGCACATTCTACCCCCCTATTTTCTCAACGGATTCACACGATTCACGTTGGTGGACTTTTGAGGCCAAAAAAAAACGGATTTCCAGATAAAACCGGAGAAATCACATCCCTGTATTTGTTTTCTTACTTACATTCGCTTTTTTTCAAAAGAAACCTCCGTTATTTTTACAAATTTGCTTCGCGATATAACTACTTCGCAATTCGATGTCAAGGTGACTATAATCACGTGGCGACGACTGGTTCCCGCCGCGCCGCGCAGGGGCCAATTTAGAAGACATGATGAAAATGCGGTAACCAGTCCACAGCTATGCGACCGATAGCCCGCTAGCAGTGCAGGCCACCGTCAACTGGTCGGATTCAACATCGTAAAAATGCCAAGAAAACACCGATGGGGAAAGAACATTTTTGCAAGTTAATTTACAGAATTGATCTAGCTTGTCTGTGTATGTATTTTCTGTGTTCAAGAGTTCATTTTGGGATCGCACTACTCGTATTTGGAGTGATACATGCCGCGTGTTTCCCGAAATTTTTGACCATAAAAACAGGTCTGTCGGCCCATGGTGGGCCGCTCGCCACACATGCACACATCACACACCTCAGAGTTTTGGCCAGCTCCCCACGTCTTGACTAGCGTTGTGCATATGGTGCGAACGACCTGAATTTTCCATTATTTTTTGAAATTATTAAACGTAAATATATTGACAATAATTAAAGGTAGGTTTTATTCACTTTTTGTTGCCATTTCGTGTATAGCGTTCGGAAATAGTTCAGGCTAAAATTTCGCATATAATTGAATACCCCATTCAATTTGCATAAAAAAAATTGGCAAAAAAAATTACAATTCCGACCGACCGACCCTATTTGAAAGGCATGTAATCGGAAGCAGAACTATTTTTTTTGTTGGCCTAATCAAAATATTGGCTTGTAGCCACATCTTCTACTCCTTTTTCAGTTTACATTTTCAAAGGTGGAGGGATTGGGAGACGGTGTTCAAAATCCCAAAACCCTCTGCATTGCTTCCTTAATACAAAAATCACAAGGAAATATTAGCCAAATCCGACAAAATGGCTTGAACAGGGAAAAACTGTCCAGGCCCTACCTCTTGAAACACCCGGGACATCTCACAGACCAGACACTGGTCACTGGATGCCATCTGACAGTGGTGCTTATCAGCCAGGAAGAAGTCTCGTAGTAGTGGTGTGTGCGTCAAAGCCTGCACGATACAGTTCATGAAACAAGTGTTGCCTAAGTTGATGAGCCCACGTAGACCTGTGAATGAAAGCAACACATATCTGACTTGGTGGAACTTAAGCTTAAAATATAAGTACAAGGCAGAATATATTTAAATATTGAGTTATTGAGCACTCACGGCTCTCTGGGTTCTTGTGAAGAAAACTGCACAAGTTTACTTGGGGCTTAAACCAACACTTCTGCTTACTAGTGCAGACATCTTAACGACTTAACCAAAGAGTTTGGTTGGCTTGTTCAAATCTGGTGTAGCGGGGGAAGGGACTACAATCAATATTTTGTACAACGTAATTTAGTGTCCATCCGACATTGGTGGACACAAAAACTTGTTGGTACATATAAGTTGAATCTGTGGATGTGAACCTCTCCAGGCCGGCCCCTATCCTTCCAACACAGTGAATGCTCAGAAAATCAAGAACTTTTGAAGTATGATTAAACCCACTGAGTACCTCCTCCAAGAAATGAGGGTCTCCCAGCAAATTGGACTCTAGTTACGCATGCCACTGATGACCCTGATAATCTCACATGGCCCGGATGAAAACTCTGAAAGCTAAAACCGCACCTATTGTGGAATTGGACGTGATCTTCCTACGCTTAGGATTCTGTCGTAGAAGCTGAGCCTCTGATGCTGTGACTTCCCAAGATAGAAATGCATGCACGCTACATGGTGTACCTGCAAATAATAACAATTATTATTTATATCAGGCTTCTATGTAGGAAAACACAACAGTGCATAATTATTTAGGGTGACATCCTACAAATATTAAGTCTTAAAATTTACTTAACTTTTTAGCATTACAAAAAAATGATCAGTTCCATATGAGACATCTGGACCAGATAAATAATCTAGACAGGGTTCCAAGAGAAATCTTAAGGTGAATTTCAATGACTTGGGCATGACTTTTCAAGGACACAATTTAGGCTTTCTATGACCAATTTCAGTAACTATCAGTTACATTGGTTGCCTATACAATCTCGCATACACTTTAATATCCTTCTGCTGACCTTCAAGGCTCTTCATGATCTTGCTCCCAGATACATTATAGATATGTTGAAAGTTAAGGTCCATTCCAAGTATTCCCTGCGATCCAATGGGCGGTTGCTTTTAGATTATCCATCTGGGAGAATGCAAAAGACTATGGGGGATCGTGCATTTGCACAAGCCGCTCCTAGCTTATGGAACCAGCTATACCGCCTGAAATTCAGTCTGTTCAGTCTCTAACAGTTTTTAAGACTAAGCTTAAGACTTTTCTTTTTACAAAGGCATTCGTGTAAGGTTTTACTGTTATCTATTTTAAATGTAGGTCTTGTTTTTGTAATTTTAAGTTTCATTGTTTTGACAGTGTTTTCTAAAATATCTAGTGTTTTTTACATTTAAGACTAATGTTTAATTCGAATTCGTACTTTTAATATTTTAGCTACTGTTCAAATTTTGTAATGCGCATTTGAACATTTTATGGCATATGCGCATAATAAATGCAATTTTTATTAATATTATTATTATGCTGTTTTGGCATCTTAGGAGCCTACTTATAATACACTGGCCAGTCATTCACACTGAGGCAGGGGACACCACTCCCTTCCCACCTTCCAGTTGGACACAAGACCACTGAGCACCATAGAAGCATCACAATGGTGCACTGAACAAGCAACAGGTATAAAGCACACATGCGTAAAGAGGCAGCAAACTGGAATGACTGCCATGTAGCCAAATATTACGCATCATCATGTATGGGTTGTGCAGGATTCCATGACTTAAAAAAACCCAAAACATTTGAATCAAAAATTTATAATTAGACAAATTGATATCAAAGTTGTTTGATTGCCTTCTAGGGCTCCACATGGGTTTCCCCTGACTTCCTAAGGTCCTTACTGTACATTTGTTTCATCCCTTTTATAATGTGGACAGAAAGCAATCTAGAATCAATACTCAAATGCACTTGCTATTATCTGATTTGAAAGACAAATCCAGCTGCTAGAGCTTTGCTGTTTATTGTCAGTTGACGGCCTTCCAGATCTCTGCACAAGGTTCTGCAAATGATTTCAAATCACAAATCCAAACCCTGCAAAGCATTTCTACCAATTGTAGGCTTTGAATGTATAAACATAGTTCTTGTATCAAGAGGCATCTACAAGCTGAAAACCCCTTCCCATCTCTCTCCCCCCAACAAAAATTGTTTGTAAGACCTCGGTTTGACTTGCCTACAAATTTGGCAGCTTTGGTCTTTTCTTCTTTGGCAATGGCCTCAAACTCCTGGTCATATACATAATCACCACAGGAATAGCAGTACACAGCACCATAGGTAAGATCCACAGCTGTTGGGAAAAAAGAAAAGAAAAAACAATCGATGAAATTTGCAGTTGAATGATTGATTCAAAAGAATATTTGATGTTGCAGTTTTTATCATTTAAAAGTGGTACGAATTTGCTACTGCGTAACATTGTGATCCAGAAAAGTTTATAGCCAAAAACAAATTGCTTTTCCTTAATTGGTAACAAACAATAAGTTATTCATAAGATGGAATTTTGCGTCGGGGTGATGTAAATCAAATTAGGTTTTGCCCTGAGTATGCAGTGTTTGTACGTCGGTGAAGGGAAAAACCTACTTGCGCAGAAAGTAAGGGGAATGGTTAGGAAGTTAACGAGAGACAAAAATATTCTGCATTTTCCAATTCCCAACACCTTCCTCCAAAATTCTCTACAGTGCAAGAAACTAATGAAGTCTTCTATTATTCAACTTTCAAAGGGCACCAGATCCCAGCAGATTAGCAAAGCAATGAACACACACATAAGGAAAGGTTGCTTTAAAAAAAAACTCAGAGTAGATTTGGAAAGATCTAGGAGGGTTAGGGTTTACCCTTTTCAAGGAGTGAACTTCAAACATCAGATACTTTCCAACAATTACCATAATAGTCAAATGTTGTACAAACATTTGTTCATGAAGGAGTTTAGCCTTCTGCATGAGACAGTTTAACATTGATCTTGCAGTTTATGTGTTTCATTTCTAGCTTTTCAGTAATATGCCCAGGATATTAAATTCACACGCTCAGATCCTCAACAAGAATATCCCAGGCACTTTCCACTCAAAGGTTGTATACATTCAAGACTAAGGGGTCACCGATGATTAGTAGGAGTAAAACACTGAACAAATCAATGAATCATTTTTATACCTAGGTTATGTTTGGTTGCCTTTGCGTGGTCATGTATGTGTCCTGCAGTGTAGCACCCGAAGAATACACAGTAGAGACATGAGTGCAGCCGGAGGTCTAATTGTCCGCACACATGACATAGACATGACTGAGCCTGCAAAGTGGAGTGATAAAAGATAATCAACAGTTGAATGCATTAATTATGATTCAATGGTTAGTGTTTGGTAACATGTTTAAATACTTTTACATATACATGTATAAAATGTATCAGGATTGCCCTCTAGAAATGAAAAAAAAACACAATGTTGAAAAGTTGCCTTCCTGACCCGATTCAACATTTTGAGGATGAAATCTGATGTTTTTGTTGGGTTGTTTCTATTAGTTGTTTTTATTGGTGGCCAAGCAGCTTGGACCCTACTATCACCAGACCATGTCCCCATGTTAAAAATAGGCGATAAGTAGGGTCCAAACTACATGGAGTAATGTGATGTCAAACTTCACAAAATGTTTGTTTTATTTTTCAATTCTCTTTCCATTGGTACCAATTGCTGGGTTTCCTACTTCCTATATTACTTTTTAATAGCAGTTGGCGATATTACGCCCCCATGACCGAATAACAATGGTTGGGAGGATGGAAATAAAAGACAGAAAATGATCCCCCACACTGCCTGAAGTTAGAATGCAATGCATGTACTGAGATGATTTATGTACTTTGGGTTTTTCCTCCTTCAGTTCTTTTTCTAATTTGTCAGAGTTCAAACAAAACAAATTGAAAATGCTGGAATCCCTACAGAGAGAATTTCAATTAAAGATTAAAAGATTGAATTGAAAATGTAAATAATGGAAGAATAAAAGTTCAATTTAATTAAAGTACTGTTAATAATATTATGCTGAACTAATTGAGTTGAGTCATCATTCTGAAATGTTCACAAGGTCACTGACTCAACTGAAACAAATCTTTGTTCCACGTACACCTGACATAGAACCTTTGTGTGTCCCACCTGCACTGCAGTACATTTAGAACAATAACAAACATGACAAATGCGGAAACACGGGGCGTTTAAGTTTTACTAACTAATAAACTAGTTTAAAATTTGAAAGCAAGTACAAGAAATACTTTTCCTTTAAAGTTTAGGAGTAAACAAAATAAACCACAGAAAAGTCCTCAGTGTGCTGACAGTAAAATTTAAAACGTGGGACAAGTTTGCTGGGTTAGCAAAGCCGTAAGATCACACACACATACACGGGCCACTGCCAGCTGAGAGGCCTGCGACCTTCGCCTCGTGCTTACACCGCGCACCGGTCGGACAACAAACCCCGAATGACCCCTACCCCATACCTTTCTTTTCACTGCTGCTTGGGTGCTGCACGACACGAAATATGTAAGAATCAATCTGTAGGGTGACGATCCGTTCACGGCCTTGAAGTTAGCCACGTGTGGGCACCCAGACAGGCTCATGGTGGGCCGTGAAATGCAATTTTCAAGCTCAATTCTTCCGGCAATCCTCGGAAATTTTAGCGTAAGGAATGACATTCATGCGCGCACGCAGTGCAGTGTACAATGTACAATTTTGTGTGAGTAGTGATTGTCAACAAAATGCATTTGAAGCATGCCAAAAATAGTCCGGTGCCGCCTCGAGGCGGGGATAAGACAACCAGTAACCTTGAAGAGCGCCCTCCGACATTCTCGGAAACCGTTCGGAAATCCCTTTTAGACTGGTACTCAGGTTTATAATTGTCTTTCCCGTTCCATTAACAATTGTTGGAGTAAGGTATCGATTCGAAAACACATGCGGGGATTTCCCGTCCAGGTTCACGGTTTTATTTACAGTTTGATGTGCTGGGTGGATAAACTGCACGAGTGAGCACATGTAAGGTTATTAATATTAAACAATTATTTGGGGAAAAAATGTTGCAATCTGACGCCACTTCAGCGGTTGTTTACAAAGTCAATGGAGAGTCAAGAAAAATCTCTAAGTATTTCCTAACAAAGTTGGAAATGTTTCTCAGTTCCAGATTCATGTCTTTTTTGCAATTAAATGACTGACCTTCATTGAGATCATATTCATATGAAGAAAAAAGTGGCGCCAGGTTGCAACATTTTTTCCATTCTGTCTGTATCTGTATGGTTACGTTGCAGAAACCTACTCAGGCATTATCGTAACGGAGTATAGGTACTCAAGGCACTGGAAGTGGAAGTTATGTCTATATTATTAGATGAATGAAGTACATGAGAAATATGAGGCCCATTATGTAGCGCCTTATAAGGGTGTGCTGCGGCCACTGCCAGGACACCGGGGCGAACCCCTTCTCTTAGCGACAAGTGTTACTGGGTTCTTTAACGTGCATTATACAACACACGGGACCTACGGCTTTACGTCCCATCCGAATTAAGGACGAAGCAGGAATGGTTAAGTGCCTTGCTTAAGGGCACAAGTGTCTACCGGCGGGCTCGAACCCACGTCACTGTTGCCTCTGAAACACCAGAACATGAGTCCGGTGCTCTTAACCGCTAGGCCATGACACTCCACTATTCCATTATTTGCAACATTATGCTTAAACTTGGTCATGTTGGTACTGGTAGGCACACGCATATGATAGGATCGTTTGCTTTTTGTGCTTATTTTGTAGTCTGGGTAGACTAGGACTCTACGAATTGCCTTTTTTAACATTTGAACATGGTCGGGCGATAGTAGTGTCCTAGGATCATATCGTACCTCTATTGCGAGTACCATTAATCAATGGAAGTAGGAAACCCAGCAATAAACAGTCATTGCGCATGTACAGTGCCATACCGGTATAGTGAAAGACAACTTGAATATACATGTATTTTGCCAGGTGGGGCACTTGTGGGTCTAAACATTCCGTGGACCACTCACAGTGCATCATCAAAGAACTGATCGTGCTGTGGGCCTGCTTTTCAAACAAAATTGCTTGTAATGTGATGCCTGATGATGTCATCATGACGCATGTCAGACTACTATGCACACCTTTGGATCAGGGATGATGTTGGTATCAAGTTACAAGTTTATACCATAAACCGTTTTGAAGAAAACCCTCAGAGTCAGAGATTTATTGTCCAGGGAAAAAAAAGAGTTTTATTCCATTCCAATGATTTCAAAACAGTGATCGGCTTGTGCCTAAATCACTAAAACAGATTTTTTTTTTCATATAGACTTTGTGGATGGGTATCAACATAAGGCAAAATAAAAAAAAAAACATGTTTAGCGTCCTGCCTCTTTGACAAAAAGGAAGGAGGAGGCCCTTTTTTTTTTTTTTTTTTTTTTTCAAAATGGCCGCCCGACACATTTTTCAAGACAACGCGGCCGGGCTATTTTTCAAGATGGTTACCAGCTTTTTTCAAAATGGCCGCCACTTGGACTCATTGACTATTTCCACAGCTTTATACACAGTATAAAAGTCTAAAAATACGATTTCTTTCGTCAGAGATCGTTAAAACTTATCAATTTTTGTCTTTTTAAAAAAAAAAAAAAAAAAAAAAAAAGGAGGCGGCCTCTAAAAAGGAAGCGGGCGGGGACGCTAAACATGTTTTTTTTTTTACTTCGCCTAAAGTCATTCAAAAGTGAGAACCAGATACAGACAAGAAGTGAACAAATGTTTGGCTGAACTTGATCCTTAATCCTTGATTGTGATGAGACAGTGTTTGCATTTGCAAGACAGATACCTTAGATGCAATGGACAGACTGAACATCACTCAACTGCAGATTGCTGCTGGGCTAACATTTGGTAGTCTAGGACTGCTATGGCTGTGGCGTCAACTTACACTGAGACGAGGAAGAGCGCTTTTCAAAGATAAAGTGGTTCTCATTACAGGAGCAAGTTCAGGACTAGGAGAAGGTGATTTGATTTGAATGGTACTTTACAGTTCACCTAACTCTTACACTGAACTGTTACACTACAACTTTGCTTAGACATCCAAGTAGAAGTTATAGGCAAATTTGTAAGGCAGTTGCTGCAGTTTGTATTTGTCTGTGGATGTGGGATGTACACAGCCTGCAGCGTACGTGTACCTGCTAGTAACACCAGCCAGGCAGCCTCATCGCCAAGGGGAAAAATAAACAATACAGTTTACCAGTTTACCAACAATAAATTACCAACAAAAGACATTGACAGACATCATTAATTTTGAACAAGCTGACAGGGACCGTGTTTTGGGGGGGGAACACGCATGATTTAACTTTTAAGTTGGAATGTATTTTGTAAATTATGAATTACTTTAATTTTTTTTTCAATGTGATAGCACTCATAAACAATGACAGACAGAGGATTAACTGTAGAATAATACATGTGCGTGTATATATGCAGTAAGTCGACCATGAAATAGAAAAGAGCCTTCAGGAAACAAACACTTGTCCCATACTGTATTGTGAATCTGTCCTATTAGCCATTCAGTGGAAGCTCTCATTCATATACTCGCTCTTCCTTCTTTCTATTGAACCCCTCATCAATCTATCACTCCACAAGCCAATAAGTTGACATAAGTAATAACTACTGTTTAATTCACAGCATGTGCACATGCATTCTACAGAGAAGGGTCCAAGGTTATATTGTGTGCCCGGCGAGTCAAGGAGTTGGAGCGAGTCAGGAATGACCTCAGTTCACTCAAACTGGTAAGATGGCATTGCTGTTATGCCCCAACCATAGCATTGCCCCAACTCTAGTTGGGATCATCCTAACAATATTGTTGGGACTGGCGGGGGCCACTGCTACAGTTGGGATGTAACATTGAAGTCGCTCGTTGAAGTTTGTCTTCCTTTACCTAATGGGCTCCGTACAACGGCAGAGGTTTTATTTTATTTATTTTTATTTTATTGAACGACCTTCCACAGCCACATTTGTTCATTCCGCTGTTTTTGCCGCATGCTGACTGGCCACATAACTGTAATTGATTGCCGCCTGTTGGGAACACATCGTAGCAGTTGACATTGTTCTATTCTAATGCAACTGTTGATGTGTTTTTAGCACCGACGGATGCCGATCATCTTAATATTGTTGCAGTTGCACTCAGGTCGCAAAAAATTGGCAACTTATTTGTTCCCGACGGACGTAGCTCAGGCGCAGCTTGACCCTGAAAAGTCAGTTGTCGACCGTTCTGTGCTGTTGCAAGGTCGACCTGAGGGCGGCTTTAGACCCATTATACCATCTTCCTTGTTTCCTTACTCCAGTATGTGCTTTAGATGTTCAGGAAATGATGTGTGCAGAACGAGCTAGGTGTAGTATAGAGCCTGCAAGTTCACCCTTTGTGGAAGGCTTCTGGGTCCCTTTTGTATAGGCAAATTAGCTTGTAAAAGTGCTAGCATTAGCATTGATTTATTGATTTCTTACGCAAATCACACTCCAAATAGGCCTTGGTGAAATTGTATCTGGCATATCAATTTATGGAAACTGATAAATCGCCTGACTTGAATGAGAAATATGCCAAAAAATGATCTCTCGCTTCGCATAATTTAGAACACAGTCATGCACACTAGTGCAATCTGTAGATGCACATTCTTAAATCAGAATCTTGACTTACATGACTTAAGGCATCGGCATGTGCGTTGTATCACTCTGCGCTTGCCATCTGTTCCATGATGCTGTGCCGTGCCTTTCTGTCCTTGGCCATCCTTCCTGCTTCTACCAGAGATGTCAGGTTTCTTTTTGTGCAGTCTGCTTTTATGCAGTCTGTCCACCTTTTAGCTGGTCTTCCCTTTAGGCGAGTTCCCTGGACATTAGCTTCCACCCAGAACAATTGTTGGGTATCTGTCATATGTCCAATTGGATATGTCCAAAGAAATGCAGCCTTTTGCCCGTAATCCGGTCTATTATGGTGTAGTTGCATCCTAGTGACTGTCTTATGTTGGAGTTGTGGATTTTATCGAGACATGATACTCCCAAGATTTTTCTCGGGCACATCATCTCGGAGACCAGCAGACAGTTTTTGTCATCTTTTTTCAAGGTCCAGGTTTCTGCCCCATAAATTAGAATAGAGAGCACAAGTACTCTAATCGGAAACAGTAAATAGGAATATTTCTAGAAATTCAAGTGAAAATTCATGGTTACATAGATAACCCAGATGCCTTTTCTTGTTTTCACTTTGTGTGAATATAATTATTGTGTTAAATCTAAATTGAAATCTAATTTTTGGCCATTATAATTGGCTCCGATGGCCATAATCTGCTTAGGTTTGTTCCAATAAATCTAAAAACTGGAATTCCTCAATTGTAGGTAGTTCAAACTGTGCAATTTCTACATTCACACATGCAAATGCACTAAAACCTATAGTGCACATCACAAAGAGACCAGGGGTGCCAACTTGAGATATGACTTCTTGCAATGTTACTTGAAGAATACTTAACTTAAATACAGAAATTTCAAACTTAAGTGTTTGTGTGGGTTTTTATGGTCAGAGATCATGTAGCCTAAAATGATGGAAATTCAAATGCCCATAAATATGCCACAAAATGGTCTCAGGAGCATGCTGCAAGACATTGACTTCAGGCTCAATTACCTGGTTGAATTTGACAAGGATAGGACTACTTTGATAACATGCATGCATACACCTGTCAATGTGCAGATGTGACCAATCAGCAGCTGTTTACATTTTAGTGTGCCTGTGGTAGGCCAAACGTTATCCAAGTCATCTGAGTTTGAGCTGGTATACAAGCATTGACTGCTTCGAGTGGTGTAGTAAAACTAGCCTCCCGAGATGATCCATTGAGCACTCTATTTTTTAATCTAAATACAATTAAAATGTACTTCTGTTTGAATACAAAATTAGTTGAAAATTTGCTAGTACTTTTCCAAACTACTCCGTCACAAAATGCTCTGTAGCGCTAGTACGCGTTCATCTTTTCAAACTGTGGACAAAAAGTACCAGAGAACAAAAGAGAACAATATCGTCCACGATTCCCAGCAAATGTCCGCTATTGGGGTCGTGTACAAAACCTATGGGAGTCTTCCTAAAAAGTTAGAGTACAAACAAAAGAGGGACAATAGGACGTCCACGATCGACGGTGAACACACGTTTGGGAACGCTTGGGAACAATGCGTACAATGCACAACGTGCATTTGTAAACAATACCGATTGCTATACGTATAGTACTTTGGTTGCTATGGGTATAGTACGTTGGTTGCTAAGGGTATAGTGCTTTTGGCCATGCAAAGCAATATAGAAATATTGCTCTCGGCCAATCAACGCACAAAATCTGTGGGCGATGTGTTATAATAACAAATACTTTTTCTAAGCCAGACGGTAGCTGAATAAATGTGTCGCACTTGGAATTTATAAATGGCATGCATATACACACAGACATTGGACAGTTCATGAACGATGCTCAGACTAACGTCAATCAAAGAAAGAAATGAGTAGAATATTTTCAAATTATAAAATTCTTGGTACTTTTTTTCATTTTTCTTCCAGCCAATACCCACCCATTCTCCTTGTATCCTGACTCTTGACCTGGAGGACTTACAAACTATTCCTAAGAAAGCTGAAGAGGCATTGGCTCTGCATGGCAGGGTTGATATTTTGGTCAACAATGGTGGAATGGGATACAGGGGGACTGTGGTGGGTACGGAGATGTCTGTTCACCAGAAGCTCATGAACGTCAATTATTTTGGCTCCGTTGCATTGACGAAAGGTAATTGTGTGATGTACATCTGTGTAACAAGGAATGAGGAATGACTTGACTTGGACATTTACATTAACCTCAACCTCCCAATGCATTGTTGAACCATTCACTCATCCACTCTGCAGGCACTCAACGGTACATTGCTTAGATTTTAACTTTCAAGTGGCATTAAGCCTCGTGTGAAGAAACATTGCTTCCTTCTCGATTTTGAATGATCTGTGAGGTTAGGGTTATTAACACGAGACACTTAAATAATAGACAAGATTTTTCCTGAAGCATAACATCTGTCAATCTGCTTTTTCATGCTGTCATTTGTAGAACTTCTCCCAAGTATGATTGCTGAAAGATCAGGCCACATCGTTGCAGTCAGCAGTGTACAAGGAAAGATTGCTATTCCGTATCGCTCAGCATGTAAGTACAGTGTATACAACCAGTTATCCCCAGATGAGATTAAATGAAAACACAAATTTTAACACTACAAAAGAAGTGCCCCAATCACCATCTTTTCATTGTGACAAAAAACTTCCTTGTCGTCTTCTATTTACATATTTCATCACAAATATTTAAATGCAGTATTACCAAAAGCGGTGCTGTATCTCAGTATGTCTCGGCATAAAACCTTGAAAGAGTTGCTGTTCTACTGACACACTTAATTTCTTTTCTCGAGAGTTAAAGTTGGCATATTCGTGCTTTTTTCAAAATTTCGATTTTCTTTTCCGCACAAAATTTCCAGGAATATAATGTCCTGTAACAAATAAAATGGTTGTTTGCATTTGCAGGCCTTTTTACAGGTTTTTTTTAAATTGGGTTTTAATAGCTGCTTCAGTTCAGAAAGTTTTGAGCGAAATTCTATAAATATTCATATCTAGTGACGTTGCAGCTATAAACATGTATGTTAATTTTTAATCACGTGTTTTGTATTTGCCTGGTCTGGCTACGCGATAATCGCGGCCGCTTCGTGACACTCCTGCGCGATCATGTACCGGTAGGCATACATGCAGCCAGACCAGCCTGGCTACACTACACTTCCTATGTTCTGTCATAATCTCCGCTATTTTGCGTCTTTCCTTTCACTTTATCGCAAAACCCGTGGTTTAACAAGTCTTGTTTCATGTCATTCATGATTGCGTTGGCCCAATGGTAGATGTATGGCATGTATACACATATCCCGTGTATACACGTGTCCGGTGCACATGCACATTTGTAAAGTCAATCTGAAAATTATTATTCATAAGCTGCACTGTCACAAAAGCTCATGCGCACACTAGGTCCCGCTGGTCGGAGATTCGAATTAGAGACGTCCCACTCCTAATTCAAAAGTTGAAATTAATTAATTGGTTACTTATCATCGGCCGATTTTGTGTGCAATATGTCATTGGAAAGCTCCAAACTAATGTAATGCTAGAAAATTATCAATTCAATTTAAAAATCTATTATTCGGGGTGCCACACCCAAAAAGCATGTATATGCCAACTTTAAGGTTTCAATAAAGAAAGCTCACAGAAACAATAACCTCCTCAATCTTATATACTGTGAAAATGAAATTTTTATATAACCAAAAAAATTGGAAAATACATTTTGAGTGCTAAATTGGTACTCAAAATAAAAATCGCCTTCTTTGGATAAACATTACACCAGAACCCCTAAAGCAGGGAAAGACATGCTGTCTGCATACTTTAGTCTTCACATATGTTAATTGCCAGTCTCGACTGTTTTTGGCCACACAATGGAGAAATGTTTATTTCCTCTTTTAAATATTTCTTGTTAAACATCAAAAAAAGTATTTTAAAGAAAACATTAGCTTTATAAAATAAACTGACTTGAAATGAGCCAAAAATATGACTTGAGTAGCATTTGGACATGCAACCACTGGTGCAGAATTGCTGAGGTCACAGGCTCATATCACGCATCAGTCATTTTGCTCAACCTAATATTAAGTTTTACTGATTTCTTTCCTAGATGCAGCATCCAAACATGCTATGAATGCATTCTTTGATTCACTGCGTGCTGAGGTAGCCCAGCATAATGTCTGTGTGACAGTCGTCAGTCCTAGCTATATCAAGACCAATATATCCTACAATGCAGTTACTGCAGACGGCATGCGTCACGGAGGTGAGCACAGGGCCAACGTTTGAAAGTAATATTTGGGATTTGTTCTTATCAGTTGTGAGCATGAGTCTTTCCAGAGAATGAACTACTTTATTTGAGTCACTTTGAAAATTGTGATTAAAAAAACCCCAACCTACATGTACTCACTCTTTGTAAGAAAAGCAGCTGGCACTATGATGCCTACAAATGAAAGCACCGGTTCATTCTAGAAAGCAGCAGCACATTCAATTATGGGACTCGACTCAACTACAACTCTGCCATTGCCAATGTGGGCACGTGTGGTCTAGCGGTAGAGCACAGGATTCATGATCGTGAGGTTGTGGGTTCGAGCCCCGCCATGGCCATGCATGCTGTGCCCTTGAGTAAGGCGCTTTACCTCAATTACTCCTCACAACCCAGGTGTTAAATGGGTACCGGCATTATTCAATGCTGGGAAGGTAACAGACTCGCTGTGGAGGAGGTGTGGCGATCCCCCCACAGCAGCATATGAGTCTGGCCCAATCGCTAATGAAAGAGAGATGGACACTCCGTTCCTGTGAACACATGTTCGTCCCCTTTACCTTATTGCCAATGTGCACTCATGCTCAGGTGCATTTGTGGTTTGGATTTGTACACGTTTCAATGAAATGTGGACATGTGTATTCTGTTTTATGTGCAAAAATGGTGCGCAACACACACTGGTTGCCATGATTAGGTAACACTGTTCCTGCTGTCTACTGTTCCTCCACAAAGTTCACAGTGTCTTCTTGTGAGATCGCACCTCACAGGCACTTCAAATAGCAGTCTAATGTGCATTAATTCATGAGCCAATTGTAGCATTGTTATGTTCTATTCTATCACAAGTCAGTGTTCCAACTCTAACCTCAAATAGATGAACCTACAATTTTATGTCTTACAGAGCTTGATCATGCCATAGCAACAGGGATGACCACTGATTATGTAGTGAAGGAAATCCTTGCGGCAATGATCAGGAAACAAAGTGATCTTGTCCTGGGTCCTGTCCACCACAGACTGGCCATCTACTTGAGGGTCTTTTCTCCGTGGCTGTATGCTTGGATCATGTCACGACGAGCCCTTGGGGGTGAGGATTAAACCCTCAGCTCTGAGGGACCATCAGCAACAGCCAAAAAAACCAATAAAAATGCCCTTGACTTTCCCTTTGGAAGCAAGTTTCAAAGGTGCACCATATTCATACTGCTATTTGAAATTGTTGTGTGACAAGGAAAAGGACATAAGCAGCCCAGGCACGCAAAAAACACTTTTGGAGATAATTGAGTTGAAAAGTTTTGTGCTGCCATTTCTAGATTAAAAATCACGTAAAGTTGAAATTTTGACTGATGACATTCGTTAAAAATTAGAATAATTTTGTGCATTTATATGTCAAAATATTACTTAATTGTAAAGTTATTTCAATTTTTACTCTTACAACCTTTTACCGGGAACTTCCCAAGCCTTAAACGTACGCTTAAGCGGCATGTTAAATCCTTACGTCCTTTTGCTGGGAACAAAATTTGCTTTGCGTACCCACTTGAGGGGGAGGTTAGGGCGCTTCAAACATTTTTTGTTACATTATAATTACACTCTTACGACCTTTTGCCGGGCACAAATATTGAAAAACCTCCTTCCGTCTTTTGTTTACTGTTAATTACGTCAGAATGACGTAGCCCTTCGAGACAATAAGTAAATCAAATGAAAGATATTTCCAAGCTCTATGGATTACCCACAAAATCCGAATTTGACCTTTTGACCCATTTTACGCCCTTGCGACCTTCTTCCAGGCACCTAACGAAATAATGTGGAAATTTAGTTTTTATGTGTGCTGGTAGAATACATTGAAATTAGATCATAGTGGAATGGAATTTGCATGATGTGTTCTAAATGCAACACACAAGTACACAAATGTGGCCAGCATGGGCGCATTTATGAACAAAAATAATGGGTGCAGGACATTTGCACAATGTGTGCCTTGTTGTTAGGTTAGGGCAAACAAAACACTCATCTTATGATTAATCATTTGGGTTTTGGGATCAGCTTGAATACCACACCTTTATTGAATACAAATACAGATACCTTAAATGGCTGTACAAAAGCCGTACATTTTGAGCTGTCTATAGGTTTGTGCACAAACAGGTTTGCATCAAGTAGGCTACTGGTACAGTGCATATGAGCGAATTGGCCCTGTAGTGATTTTAAATATCTCCAGTAATTTTAATTTTGTTTTACATGTCTGGCATCCTGAGTTTCAAAAATTACATGTGCAGTCCACTTCGTTTGCCCAGTCATAATAAACTGTTGCCATATCACATGCTTAGGGCAAAGCCTTAGTCCAGCAAGCCTCCAGCTTTGGAATTGTCTAGTGTCTGTTTTTTCCTCACCCAATTAAACAGACTTGAACAATTCAGTGACGCAGATACTCAAATTTAACTCACCAAAGGTGTGCATTTTAGATCACTTTCAAATAATTTGTTAAACTTTAATTTTCTAGTAGGTCTTTAAACAATAAGAAATCCTAAAGAATAAACACTTAACCGTTTTTTTCTTCTATATTCTAAGGAATTAATGCTTAAACTTTCTAAAAGCAATTAATTTCACTAGATTAACTTCACTGAGCAGTACTGCCAATAAATCATTTAGATTACAACCTTTTCAGATGACAAACTGTATTTTAAAAAGGAATGTCATTGTAAACGATTTGAATGCTTGATGGGAAAAATCAATAAATGACCAAGTACAGAGTAGATCATGATAAGTTATTTATTCAGTTAAATTATGTTTCAACAATGTATTTCAATATTGCAATGTGTATTAATAAACATACCTTAATTTAAACTTCTACTGAAGATACATTCAATTTATCATTCTGTAAAATAAAGGTCTATGGATTGTGTAAATGTCATTTGCAGTATGGAGAAGCAAATGTACACATATTAACATTGTGATGAAACCCCCCCCCCCCAAAAAAAACAACCAAAACAACAGAAACAAAACTAATTCAAGCAATTCAGAATACAACTGCGCATGCGCACAATGATATGGGTCACAGGTCATTCGAGATAATGAAACGCTCATCAAAGGCGCATGATCACGCACAAGATGACGGTCGCACGACGCTCGCGTAACAATGCGAATAGATACAAGACACTTTATCTCGAATGACCTTTGACCTAGACTACCTTATTGAGATACCCAACCGGCTTATTGGAGGTGAAATTCTTTCAACACCTATTTGTAGTCGCTGCCAAATAGTATTGGCGTTTGACTAGGCAACAATGACTTTACAGTTTGGGAGGTTTCAGAGATTGGTTTTTATGATTTTGTTTTTAAATGCACATGCTTTTAAATTGCATGACTAATTATGGTACGACTAATCATGGTTTTCATTTTAAATGGATTTGAGATTACTTTTTGTCTGCTTGGTTCAGCACATGGAAAATGAACAATGATGGATAGTGTTTGTGGAAAGTTGACGGTGTTTTTAAAACGTGGCCTGTTTGAGGCAAACTTTTGGTGAATTATATTCTGAATTGCTCTTTAAAAAAAATGCATTTAAGGCCAGAGTCATTGTGAGGCCACAAATGGCCTGCTTGACAAGCAGTTGGCTTAAACGATCAAGTAACAAACAGCAACATTAGAAATAAGGGCCATTGGGAAAAGCTGGCACGTTATCAAAGGGTGCTCTTTGTACTGATAGCCATAAACAAAAAATGACCCCACAACATATATTTAATATACATACACCCAAAGCTACAGCTAGTGAGCAAATTGACCAAATGGAGGAGTTGCTTTTTAGCACTGGCCAATTTAAAGCTAGTTGAAAAATGAACTGTGCTCTAAGAGCATGTTGGCATTATTCTAATCAACTAAACCTTAACTCTTCCTATTTTGGGTATCTACAACCCTCTGAAAAAGGCTTTTATTTTGATTGTTTTTGAATACAAATAGATCCACTATTTTAGTGGACTGGTTCCTGTTCACCCCATTGTTAGGAAGGCAGAACCAGTCTACCCTTCCAGAACAGAATTATTGACAAATGGCAAATAACTCAAATCTGTACAGTTATTATTCCATAACTAAACACGGAATGGTTTTTTCAACTACAACTCTGTTCATATTCATTCAGTATGTGGTGCATGCGCTTAGTGAAGTGTACTGGAACCTCATGACATGCTGTAGGAATGTTAGTATGCTTTATAGAGAATTAACATAAATTTAATAGTACTTCAAATCAAAACTGCATTGTAAAACTATTATCCAGCCAGGAAAAGTGTGTTCATCATTGCAGTGTACATTTGTACATTACTTGATCATTATTTTAAGTTACTATTTTTCATTTTTCTATGCATAAGCCCAGCTTCCTAAATCTGTCTAAAGTATTGACTAATATTAATTGCGTAAAAAATCAACACAAAAGGGCAGGCAGGCATGTAGGGAATATGCAGTGAACATCCAGTTCATTGCTGTAAGCATACCATATACAAATTATGCAGTCATTTATTTCATAATGTTTTTACTTAGATATGATTCTACTTAGACTCTTACATGTACATGGGTAAGTATACATACACTACATGCAATGCAGATGAATAGTCATGGTGTTATAATATGAACAACTTTTAAATGAAAGGTTTGCGGAAACACCATGTGGGAATAATTTCTCAAACTAAGAGAATGGTTCTGAAAAGAACAAGAGGTATCAACTCGACGTTCGGGTCAGTATGCTCTGACCGTCTTCAGGAGAGACGGTCAGAGCATACTGACCGGAACGTCGAGTTTATACCTCTGGTTCTTTTCAGAACCATTCTCTTAGTTTGAGAAATTATTCCCACATGGTGTTTCCGCAAACCTTTCATTTATTAGTATCTCCACCATGCAAAGCCTCGAATCTTACTTTATGAACAACTTTACCAAATATATTTTCTGCACGAGGATAAATAAATAACAGCGGCATCACATAGTTCATGTACAGTGAAAGATTGTCAAACTGTTGAATTCCTCTGGGTATTTTCTCTCCATGTAGCCACTACCAAAATGTGCTAGGCAAGTGTATTTGTCTTGTAAACTAAAAAACTTGTTTTTTTCTTTTAAAAAAATGAAATGTTCGTTTTTTCAATTAAAAATGACCTTAACCTCTTCATAAATGATTCACAAGGCTTGCTAGCAATTATGTCTTTTCTTTTTAAATTTGGCTGATTATTGATAGATATTTTGAGCAATTCTAATGATTTTTTTTATAGACATATATATACTATCAGATTCTAGGCAAGGCAGCTACAGTCAAGGCAATATTGAGAGAAATGAATGAATTATACATGCTTCATTATTTACATAATCAAGGCATTGTTCACGGATCTAGTCCAGGTAATGCAAGAGAAATTACCCAAAACAGTACTACGAGTAGCTTGTGAAGAAAGACAAGGTTGAAAGTCTCTTTGAAAAGTTAGATGGCCTAAATACATAATACAGAATAAAAGAGTTTGAGTGTTAGTGATTTAAATCAAGAAGTTACCTTCTTGATGCATATCAGCATTGTCAGTGACCGTATGCCGAGTCTTTTAATATATCTCTAGTTTCTTTGGCATATAAAAACTAAGAACATTTCTATTGCCTGTGATGGGATGCACATTTATTGAGAGAGGCCAGAATAGCCTACCCTCTGGTCATGACTCCACAAACTCTTATCCCATGAAAATTTGGCAACAACAAAAACTCCTTGATTTGTGTTTTCTAACACAAATCTATTACTTCACCATTGCTTTTCCATCCACAATTTTGAGCAAAATTGTAAGAATACAACATGTTCAATATGGGAAAGTGTATATTGTCATGCAGTTTTTGTGCAGTTATTTCATAATCTTTTCATGACTTGTATTGTGCCAAGATTTTGTCCATGCTTTATAATAAAGAACTGTGAACTTGATCTCTTTGTTTAAGCAGGAGATAACAGGCAATCAAGTTCTCAGAAAGTTTTAAATGTTTCACTATGTCTTGGTGCATTTGTGCATAACCCATGACTGTAAAATCAAGAAGCTTTAATCCAATTAAGTGACAAAACAAATGAATACAATGATTGCAGGTCAGTGAAATTTTTTATCTGAAAGTTTGCAAATCAAATTGCGGTGCCAATATATTGCGTACTAACCACTTGCCTTCAGCGGAGAAACATGAATGGAAATGTGCCTCCAGCTTCACAACTTCCAAAATGTGGCTAAAATTTGTTTTGCAAGGAACAACCAAAACCAAAATATCAACAAGGTAGTGCACTGCCATATGTCAAATGAAATACAAGAACCATCAATGGGTGTTACAATAAAAAGAAATGGGTAAATAAATTTTAAACAACAGAAACTCAGGTTTCCAGTGTATTTATGGAATGAAAATATAAGATCTTGTTACTTGTTTTTGACAAGGGCAAAATAGTATTGGTAGTGCATTCAACTGAGTGACAATTCTTGTTTCCTATTCAGTGAAGTCTCGAGGACCAAAATCCTTTTTTTTCCTGTGCCCAAACAAATGCCACAAATGAAAATGTCAAGACTATCACAGGACCAAGAATGAATGTTCCATGACTTATTCATGAACAATATAAAAAAACTCTATGATTTTTCCCCAGGAAAAAGATAGCATTTCCCTATTTTTTTTTATGACAACAGGCAAAAAAAATTCCATGAGTAATGATGTAATTTAAATGTAATTTAAAAAAAATATATATTTTAAAGTCATGGAAATTGAAACTATCTCTTAACTGTGTACATTTGTTTGAATTTTGGTTCTTATTCTTACTTCTCACAGGATCATTCTTGTCTTTGCAAACCTCTTTTCGCATTAATAAAGTTCAAAACACTACCATACTGGAGAACATGGTGGGTTAGCGTCAACAAATACACTTGGCAACCATAAGAAAACTAGAACAGAAAGTGCAACATAAATAACTCAACTTTGTGCAACTACATATACATGTAAATTTGGCACGTCTTTGTTTTTGTTTTCTATCTGGCCAAATGTTCAGCTGACCGTCACAATTTCTTGTGAAATATATTGCACTCACCGGACGCAAATTAGACATTGGAAAAACGTCACTGCAACTGTTGTGATTAGTGTTGGAAAAAAATAGGATCAATTCTTAAAATCTATACCCACATGATGAAAAACTCCCTCCAAGCTGCAAGTAAGAATATAATGGATAGGATGGAGAAAGGCAAAGAGAAAGGTTACAAACAAGAAATAATGTCAGAAGGAATTCTGCATCATTAGCATGATACTATTGGCAGCCTACATGTCTGGCAGTAATCAAACAAATATATTTTAGAGAATCTGGCCTTCTAATTCTAAAGTTTGGCAGTAATGAAACAAATGTATCTTAGAGAATCTGGCCTTCTAATTCTAATGTTGCAACTCTCATTGCTATAAGAAGCATTGAGTGTGTGCATATGATGCATGAGCATGGTCCCACCTCAGTACATGTAGTTTACTGAGTAAGTCTATACAACCTTTGCATACAGCATCAATCCTGGAGGTGTTTACATATTCACATTGAGTGACAATGAATGCACTCAAGAGATACTCATGTGTATCCCTGTGGAACAAGAGCACATACTGCACCTTCAAGACAGCTTCAAAGGGTTGACATTTATATGAGGCTAGGCAATATGCCCTTAAGCTGAAATGATGTTGCTTGCAATGCCTCTCAACAATTAAAACTTTCCTTTAATCTTTCAAGGAATCGCACTTTGCGAGACAGTAAACTGACTTAGAACTGGCAAAATACTGACATATACCGACATAATACTGACAAATGGGTCATTCTATAAATTAGGGTTCATAGTGTGACATTTTCTCCTGTCCCTGTTTTGGTTCTTTGTGATTTGCCATTCAGGTATCATTAAGAATGACTTCATATGATTTTTTTATTTGTTGGTAGGTAGTTTGCTATTCATAATCACTCTTGATGGACGACTGCATTAAGCAGTGCATCAGAATTATAAAATCATAGATGTCTGATGTACATTTGTAACAGGGACAGGAAAAAAATGGACCCCAAATTTATGGAATGACCCATATTAAAACTTGATAACATCAATAAATACTAGCAAAGGATTTTATAATCTTGCAATTTGTAAGAGAGTACAACGATGAATGTAAAGAAATGGTGAAGAAATTTGAGAAAGAACTGGCTCACGTCACATGAAGTTTCAAATAAGATACATGCTCAGCGGAAGTAGCTGCAAGGTTGTCTAAGAACCAGTCATAGGAAATACAGATCACATGGCATTTCGGACGTTAACCTTCTAATGCTAAGCGACTGTTTTGTTTGTGTTCAGTGAGTGTGTCCTTACAAGCTCCATTAAACTGGCCCTAATCCAAAGGAATGTAAGAAATGAAACCCAAAAATTACAAATGTTGGAAACTTTTGGACTGTTCTTTGTACTATGTAATTGTATCAGCACATCAGATCAGCCGATATTGAGTATATTGGTAAATTGCATCAGCCAAAAAATACCTACGATGCCGATACATGTTCTGATACCAATACATGTTCTGATGCATAATATTATCTCATCCAAAGTTCAATAAATAACAAATAATAACATACATACAATGTACAATCTCCAGCCCTTGCAGTTTGTTCATGTTTTGGAGCAATGGATGTCCCCAGCAGAAGTAAACTGGACGAAAACTTCGCTTTGATTAAAAAAACTCCTCCACCATTTTGGTCTTCCAAACATACTGTTTTCATTATGTGCTATATAGGAACAACTGATGGAGCGGGATGCTAAATTTAAAATTTGATTCTTAATCTGCTCTTCATTGATGTCACAGTTTTTATTGTGCAATGTCTCAATGGAAGGCAAAAAAATAGCTCATTTAATGTTAGAGAAAGTCACACATCCTATGTTTACTGCATGGACATGAACAACCACACACTCTAAAAAAACACACGACCACAGAATCACAAAGCACTCTGTCTGGAGAGGTATTGACATAGCTGGCTGACTGACAAAAATTACACCTAAAGAGCAATGGTGAGTTTTTGTTATTTCAGGTTGTTTGTGGGAGAGTTCTTTCACCTGATGTGAGGGCAAACATAATCCTGGCCATGAACCCCCAGTCCAACACATTCCACTTCAGGGGTGTGTCCACTGTCCCACATGCCTGGGGTGCAGGTCTCACAGAGTTTGTCCAGAGTACAGGGAATGCGCGGTAGCAGGCGAAACTGATGGAGCAGCCCACGAGCCTGGAGCACAAAAGAAAAGTTTACCTTTAAAATTTGATGAAAATGTTTCATTGGAAAAAGTGAATTTGAACACTAGGTGTGGCCTAGAGACCTGCACCGTTCATTTATGACAACTGTAAGAAGTAAGAACAGCACATAGCATGCTAACTTCAGAGGCAAGATTTGATTCAAATCTGCTTAGCAACCCAACAAAATTATGCTATCAACTTTTAAATGCATGTAAATTGCTTAGCACAAAAAAAAGTCTGGCTTATAAAAGCAGGTTACCAGCTAAAACTCCATGTGATTTTCATGCTAAGCAAACAACAGCTGAATACTAATCACGAGTAATATACATCACATGGAGTTTTGGCTGGTAAGCTGCTTTTATAAGCCAGACTTTTTTGTGCTAAGCAAATTTTTGTGCTTAGCAGCGCCTAGAAATCGGCCCCAGGTAGTACTCTCAAAGCTTCCGACATTGTATTGTTGCTATGTGTCATGACAACTCAACCTTACCTGAAGTCCCATTGGCTACTCAGGTACACTTTATGGTTCGCAGTGCTTATATGTGTGCATTTAAATCAGATGACCCCACGCCCGATGTTATATAATGCATGGTTCTCATACTGAATGAGAGATATGCCTATACCATGTCTTATTTGTCCTTCCCTAATGTCATGATATTAGCACTGCATGTTCAGTGCTTTCTGATAGCTTTTGATAAAAAATCACAGGATTAATTTGGCGAGACTCGAACCCCAGGCCCACTGCTTACAAACCTCAGTGAAGGGGAAAATCAACACAATCATATATTAAAATTATTCAATTTATTAGAATTTATTTTGAAAAATGAAGACTTCACCTTTTCTGAACTTCTTTTTATATATACCAAAAGTTTATTCCAAATAGTTCCATTATAAATCTGACCTTTTTAAGGACTAGATCTCCATTCATCTGCATAGCCAGGTTACTGAAGTGCAGCAGCATATCATCGGAAGGTAATTTCTACAAACAGAAATAACATTATTTGTCACTGATAGTGTTACAGGTGCCCTTTTACTCCTGTTCATGTGCAAAAGCTTCCCATTTCATGCATATATGCCACTGACACGAATCTCATCCACTACACTGGTAACAGACAAAACCCAATATGGAATAAATCAAGATTGAATGCACAGATTTGCATAGCTCCCTAGTGCCTTCAGCCAGTGATGGCCATGATTTACGCCATGTACAGTAAACTCCGGCTAAGTCGGCACTCTCGGGAACCGAGAATTTGTGAAGACTTACGCGAATGCCGACATCTGCTGTAAGGCGTCATTTTGCTGACTTTACATGAATGGCATTTTGCACACAAGATTCATTGTACTAATTGGCTTCGATTTACCCTGGTTTATCTCCTTAATGCTTGAGTTGAATCCAGCAAATTAATCCTCGAATCGTATCATCACGTTTGGGGCATTGATAGTGGAGACCACGTGTACACAAGGGCGGATCCAGAACACAATTTTGGGAGGGGCCAAAAAAAAATTTGGTCCCCCAAAAAAAGTGGGTCTCAAAAATTACGGCGTGGGGTTCGGGGCCCGTGAGGGCCCCGAAAAATTTTTGGATTCTAGATGCTCTGTGGTGCGATCTGAGGCAATTTCTGACCACTTTAACCAATTTTTTTTGAGGAAAAGATGGTGGTGTACTCATTGCCTGCCTTTATTGCGATGTCACATTAAAAAAAAAAAAAATTGGTTTCGTTTTGGGGGGGGGCCATGGCCCCCTTTGGCCCCCCCCTGGATCCGCGGTTGCGTGTACACATATGTACGTGCACAGTAACGAATTAAATGCGTGCGTGGTCCGGTATATACCATGTACACACGCATCGACTGCAGCAGTAGTCATTCAATAAGACGACCCCCAAAAAAGACAGTGCGCATAAGACAACCCCCAAAATAGACAGTGCGCATGCGTACGGACTAGAGGAGGAACTGGTATTGATAATGCTCACGATGCACATGCGATGTATGCAGTATTCCTTTTGTAGGCACCCTTTTGCGACACTGATGCATGCAGCAATCACCGGCCGTGCCAAAGTACCACTTTTCACTCGACACTTTGCCAACCGCAGTACAGGAAGTCGATGCCAATGCATGATATTTTGAATGCCGACTTACACAAAGGATTTTGTAATGCTTTTATGGAAAGGGGACCAAGAGTAACACGACGACTTGAGCGAAATGGCGACTTATAAAAGCCGACTTAGAAATAAAAAATTCAATGGAAATACATTACGAAAAATCAGGACTTTAGTCAGACGGCCGACTTGGGCGATTTGACAAGTTGTACGATGTCGGTTTAGCCGGAGTTTACTGTATTTAGTATGTAGAGATGAGTGCTCCTACCTGATACACAATATCTTCTCCATAAACAGCAATAATGGCCAGACATATGAAGAGATGGAAGTAGTCTGTCTGGTAATGAGCCCAGCAAGCTTCCCACATCCTCAATGCTTCTGGCTCACAAAATTCCCTCTTGAAGCACAGAAGGATCCACCTGTGGTGTGACAAGTGACAAGTGACTTATGGTTGGTCCTTGACCACTGGTTTATCTTATTAATCTTGCATGGCCAATTCAAGAGGCAACATTTAAATTCAATTTACAATCATTCAAGCATAAACACAAAGAAATCACAAGAAATATTCACTAAATATATGAATTAAATCCTGCCAACCATGGTGATGTTAAAGATACATGTATGTACATATATTGAAATAAGTTCATCATTTCTTCAAAGCGCATTATACTTTTATTATTTTTGAGACAAATTTTTTGATTTGGTTATTTTGCTATTTACCAGTCTTTCTTTTATTTATAGATGTATACTCTAAAGGAGTGTGGAATAAATGTCTTCTTGAATCTTGAATCTTGATATCCAACTGTTGATAAATATTAGAGAAGTTTGTTTGTCTGAGAAGTAACAAAAGGTGTTTTGCTCTAGCTGTCACCTTGTGTCAGATTGTGTCAGGTTCATCAGGAGTGGCTCTATACTGTCACTGAATCCACTAGACTTAATGCAGAGTGCCCAGTGAGAATCTCTAAAAGGACTGTTGTTAAAAATTGAATTAAAACTTGTTTGAAGATTGACTCAACCCCGTAAACAAAGCTCAACCGTAACCAAACCCTGATCCCTCTAAAACCTGGGGGGATTGAATTATTATCAAAATGTTTCCACTATTCTTTTCATTTTTCAAAAATACTGTTCGATAAGTCTGCATTCCGACATATGAACATACAGGTGGTTATGGAGCTTGGTTCAGTTGGCTGTGGCATTGCTCTGTAAACCTTTTACATGTATTATTTTGTATAAATTTCCAAAATACCATGAGGTTTTCTGCCCATGTATAAATGTTTACTAAAGTGCAACATGCTGCTTTTTTGTTTCCGCTTTCTGTTACGGCCCTTCTGTGTAAATCAGCCCAAAGATGCATTCATTTGCCTCTAACATAACTGTGGTATTCAAAACATATACACTGTTATTTAATATCATTTTACTAATTTCTAACAAGGCTTAGAATGTCTTGGAAAGCCTGCTAATCAATTTTGCATGTGGAAATTTGAACAATTTGTAAAAGTAAACCCTAACACACCTGTGACAAAACAGCAGGTCCATGGCATCGTTGAGGAAGAGAAGATGATTCCAGAAATCCGGTAACATCAGCTTGATAAGTGCTCGTAGGTAACCCTGTAACAAGCCCACACAATGTCCGGTGTAAAACAAAACATGCTCATGGGACTAATCATATTAGCAATGTTTATGCGATGGTTATATAAACAAATTCAAAACATGTATTCCAAAAACCTTTTCTACGTATACATTTATTAAATCCATTTTTAAATCCAACTTACAGTCCAAAATAGGCAGAACAAAATGTCTTAAAAGTGCAATGCATGCTAAAAAAAAAGGCTATCCCATAATTACACAACATCATTATCAATAAGCCAATCATGACATTGTCCAAATGCAAAACCCAGTGATGAATTCAAGGAGAGCTGAATGGAAGCTGACCAGTTGTTTCTCCATGTCCTCGTCCTTAGGTGAGCTGACAAAGATGATATCATCCATGAGGCCCACTAGACACCAGAAGGCATCAGCTTCATCTTGTAACTCGGCCAATACTGGTGCTAAGAGATCTGACATACCCTGGGTGTAGCCCAGGCTGGGCTTGTACACAGCAAAATGCAGCAGGATATTCCTGAACATTTCAAGATAAGGCACAAACAATAATAATACATGTATTAAACACAGATTTTGTCTTTGCTCTGGCAGAAGATTAAAACAAGCTTTTATTACAAGGAACAATGCACTGCATGTAACAAGGAATACGTGCTTGAAGGGTCTAAATGGTTTGCTAATCAAATTTGGTTGCAAGAAGTACAGACACGTACGTTCACAAAGTGGCACCATATTTCTTATTAAGGTTAAGAGACTAGGACACTTGCCATGTCAATGAACAGTCACAATGAACAGTCACAGTCACAGTGTTAGGGTTAATAGATTTGCTGAATATCGGCCATTTTACCCATCTAAGGACACCTTGTAAAAATGTTTTCTGGCTACGTTTTTATTCTGTGAGCATACAAGAGCAAACACGCAACTTCTGGTCCAAGCATTACCGAAAACCATGTCCCAATGTCAATCTAGCCAAACTAGGAAGACATCGCTGTTCCAGAGGCTCACAGCGTGAAATTAGGTTTATGCGCTGTGCCAGTTTTTCCGGGTTGTGCTGTAAAATTAATATTCATGAGCACGTTCGTAAAAACAAACCGCCTTCCAAAAACTGCTCATAATGCAAGAAATAGCTACTGAAGCCATAAGATTTGCCGAATGTAGGTTAAAAAATGAATAACTTGAGCATCTCCATCAAAGATTTTAAAAGCGATGTCGTTATTTTCGTGAAATAAGAAAAAAAAAAACCTCCGTTTGCTGAACAAAGGCCAGCAACCCGCAAAAAAAAGGGTCCAAAATAAAGCTTTTTTTCTCCAATCAATTAGTAAGTTAAGTTAAATTAAGACTACCACAAAAACAACAACGAGACTTTATATTTTTTATTAACGGTGATTTCAAAAGAGAAAACCCCCAAACTCGCCTGCAAATGAGGGGATTCCCTGGTGGGTTTACTGAACGGACTGTGGCTTTCGCGATTCAACTGCACAGTATGCAGGGTTCACGATTCAAACAAGTAGGCCTACCACGACGCGTGACGACGCGTGATTGGCCCGTGCCCCGCGTGTATACATTCCCAGCAACGGGGATATACGCGTAGTGCCTGCTACTGGATTTGTGCACAAATGGCGCCGTTTGTTTACATTCAGTGTATGTATTAAATAGCTACGTATGTGGCTCCATCAGGGTTTTCTCTCTAACCTCTTCAACAGTACTATTCTCCTTTAATTAGTCTTTCCAATGGTAATTTACTTGATTCGGAATTAACTTACCCAGATGACGAAAAATCCCACGAAACGTGAATGTTATTTTCCTTCCGATTGAGACATTTATAAACGTTGCAATCAAAGGTAATTTTTCGCAGGTGTTTTCTAATTAAATGTCTTGCCGAAAAAATTCACAGTCTATCTGATAAAAAATGATTGTCCTTTTTCTGTCGATTTGTTGTTATATCTCAAATATCAAAAATGTATTTGTAATATAAAAAAGCGATTGAAAAGACGTCCTCCGGTGAGCTGTTTTTACGCAAAACGAGACTGGAGTAATTTGGTCACAAGAGGGCGTTTTATACGAAACAAGCACGGACATATGCACACAAACCTAATGTCGCCCTGAAAACAGCGGTGAAGACTAGCCAAAATCTGAATTTACTATACAACATACGAATTAATGAAAGAGCAGAGATGAAACTAGCATGTGGCAAAAAAATCGGAAAAAAGGCCGAACAAAAATGCGTGTCCGAAATCTGGGCCGCGCTGCCATTACACACATATACATGCATGTACAATACACTTCATGCCCAATTTCCGGACACCAACTCCTGCTTTATTTTTGATTCAAACAAAATTTTACGATGAAAAAAAAAAAACGGTCAGTGTTTTCATTGCATAAAATGCCTGAATTACGGTTAGAATAATGGAGTCATCAATAAAGAAGTTCACTTCTTACTTGAGAAAGTCGAGGGAAAAGTCCGAAAGACAAGGGCACCGTTCATGGTGCTTCAATCATGTCCATGATTCAACCACTTGCATTCATACATGGGAAAAAATCAGGCATTACCGTCTTTCTCTTCCAACAAATGCCATTGAAATGTTTCGCTAATGCTCTCTTCGCTTTCCTCGAGATAATCATCATGATTTTTAAAGCATTGCATTTTGTACAACTGAATCTGAAACCTCCGAAAATCGCACAACATAATGATTTTATCCACAGGATCCTTCACAAGGCTACCCGTCCCGGCCGGCTGGCCATGTGCTAGCGGACGGTACGGTGGTGCGGTACGTACGCACGCTGGTACCATTGCATTTTCGCACACACGTGCGACACAGTGACTTTTCCATGTCGCCTGTCAATGTTTAACCTTTTGTCCAGCCGGAGAAGGCTCCGATCAGTGTTATGCCCTGTGTTTTTTACCGTTGAAACTCTCCAATAACGACTGGTGAAAGAGATTAAAACTACGTTCGCGATGATTTTAGCACACATTTGCATCGACTTTTCTTCGAAATTATGATTGAAATAAAATTACATTTTGTGAAAAAATCATCAGAAAATCAAATTTTGTGGGACACACTGTAAAACAATCGGAAATTTCGTTGGAAAATTCAAAAAGTCGGTTTTCCGATTAAAATCGGAAAAGTTTCATCTCTGAAAGAGAGCCGAATTTTGACATGCCAAGTAAACAAACTAGTTCCATGGGCTTTTCCTCGGGAAATACTTTATTTTCAGAGCATGATTTAAGAGCCAGAGCTCTTCTGTGACAGACCTCATGATGTCAACATTAGGGTTGTTGTCCCCCTTGAAGTATGGGTGACTTCTGTCTGTACGAATCACATCCTTATCCACGGTGCACTTGACATTACGAAAAAACTCCTCCTGTTCTTCCTCACCCATTGCCAACCTAAAAACACCGTAGGAAACAAAAACAGATTAAAATGATACATTCGGTCTTTTCAAAGCCTAACAAACAATCATATGTAACAACTGCTTTGGGCTTGTAAACATTATTTTGTGAGTAATCTGGGATAGTTGGGAAAACAATGGTAAAATACCTAGCTACAAAAATGTGATACCCCGGTCGGTACCTTATGAAAATATAGGGAAAACAACATACTTTATGGGAGGTTAGTGAAATGTTCAACAAAGCAAACTAGTCAGAAAAAAAAGTAAGAATTGCCTGACCCCCAAGTAAATAAGGACAATTTGATCCATGTATAATTGTAGATGTCCTCTCCGTGCTCTTCAACAAATTTTACATTTTTGTTTCTCTAAATTTTCAGCTTCTATGTTTCATAATGAAAAAAAAAACCTACTTGTTTTCCATTTCGGACATTTGCAACCCTTTGAAAAAGGTTTTTATATTGGGTTGTTTTGACTCACACAAGCAGACCCACCCTGCTAGTAGACCAGTCCATGGTCCCTACATTACTGAGTCTGATAGCAAGGCAGAAATACCCAGCCAGAACTGAATTATTGTTGCACTGTAAATAATTCACAAATTGTTATTATTCTATAACCAACCTTGGGCTGATTGTTTTTCATTTGATGCCTAATTCAAAGTGAATAACGGTTATGTTGCTGGAAATATACGATTTGAAAATAAAATTCATTTTTCAGGATGAGAGTAAACATAATAGCACAGATAGTACATTTTAACTTTAACTAAATGTTCTACTGAAAATTTTGAAATGCCATTCAAAGCTACAATGTGCACACAAAAACTGCAGGTATTAGTAAATGAAGTCACAAAATCTATGTACAAAGAGCAAATTTCTTTTGTCAGGTAAATTACAAGCTGGGCAATTCCACACCAAGGTGGACATGACACCAAAAAATTCAAATACATGTGACTTAAACAAATTTGGCATCAAATGAAAGCTAAAAGTCTATATTTTCAAGATTTGAAGTCGGAATTTTATTTTTTATACATTTCGGTACCAAAAAATAGGATTATGTAATAATCCTGTTTTAATCCTAAAAATGTGATTAATAGTGATATGAAAGTATTCTACCAATAGACACACAAAAATATGTACTAATGCCATCAGTTTCTGTCATGAGAAAGTATTGGTCTTGAAAAACCGACTAAAACTTTTTTTTAACATTTTGCGTAATTTGTTTCGCTTCAGTGACTTCTAATATTTCAGCCTTCGAAAATGTCCTTCCGTTACCGAAAAAATACATATTTTTAATTTATTTTTAAAACTTGCAGTATGAATGCATTGAAAGTTATTGTGCAAAGCAAGTTTAGGTAGGCCTTCAATATGACATTATAACTGACACTGCTGTACTTCTTGTTTTTTAATTACAATTAATTAAGTCACGTCCTTCCGTTACCAAATTGGTAACAGAAGGACGGTAACGGAAGGACAAGTCGTATTTTTATCAAATGTTACGACATTTGCGCTCATGTTTGAAAAATGAAAATCACTGCAAATACATGCATGTATAATGAGCATTGAAAGGACATTCATGTGACCCACCTTCACAAAAGCGGGATAAGCAGGGCAAGGTGTTTATTACAAAGGAAGGCACAGGCATGTACAACATGTACAATGTACATGTACATATATGCCGATGTACCAGTACTTGTACATGTATGGAGTTGTTGCAGAAAATCAAATCATAAAGTTGCTGCCATCAGCATTCATGGACAATAGATCAAGATACGAATTATGTGAAGCCATTCCAGAAGCAAATTAAGTCAAAAATGAGATGGCAGAAAGTACTGGTACTTTGGGGCACTTTCATTCAATTTACATGTGTAAGACATGTGAGGTGCAATCTTTGACAAATTATGCCCAAGTTAACAATTTCAGTTTGGATGTTTATAAATTAATTGTTACTACTCTAAATCATTATAATTTGATTTCAAACATTGATTTTAGAGTTCAATTAAAAGCAACACCTAACTGAAGCCATCAGTTCTACCGGTAGATGTTTTTACCTTAAATGTACATGTAGGCTGGTTGCCCCCCCCCCCCCCACCCTTTAGGTAAACCTTTGAACCTACCGGTATTATTATTAAAAGTTGTTGGTGAACATGTAACCAATATACTCAAGAGTTCAAATACTGTGTATTTAAACTTTTAAGGATTGAGGTGATGGGTTTGAAGTCTATTTCTGTAGTAGTCCTGTGTTCGTGAATTATGTGTTTTGGGTTGTTTTCGTTTTTCTTTTGTTATCATTAATTAGCAGGCTTCTATTTTTATCTCAATTGTTTCTTGGGTATAATTATTTATGCCAGGTCTGCATATTGTTGATTTCACATTCAGTTACACATTTCAGCAATTTGTTTCACTTGTATAATTAGTGTAAATTCACATTTTGTTCATGCTATAATTGAGTAAACCTTTTGTCCTTCCGTTACCGTCCTTCCGTTACCAAATTATAATCTGCTTAAAACGTTGTAATTATATTACCGAAACACTTAAAGTTAAATGAAAGGTGGTATAGTATAGATAAAGCTTCAGGGATTCCATTTCCTACCTTTAAAATATAATTGCCCCATAAAATTCACAGAGTTTACGCAAAACGCGAGTAAGTTGGAAAACCCTTGTCCGTTTTACCGTCCTTCCGTTACCGACCTCATTAATATTCATAATTCATAAACGGGAGGCATTCATGCCCCCCAAAAGTGTGGGAAATGAAAGTAGCATTATAGCAATACAATGGTGACATTTGTTTGCTGTAACTATAAACAGTGTTTGTGATACACACATTTGAAATTTTGTTTAATGAGTGAAAACGTCCTTCCGTTACCGTGGAATTGCCCAGCTGTATCCACATTGTGTATGTTCAGTTATGGCTTCAGGTGTTGTCATTAATGACACACCATTGACTATCCATTGCCACAGACCAACACTGCTTGACTTGCTATAAGCTTTCTGTTTGTGGGTCATTCTTCATTAAGTGCCTACTAGCATGTCCCGATACTTTGACGCCGTATCGACAGAAAGTGCGTAATTTTGTGATGTCTTTTTGTGGATTTATATTAATAAACATAATGCTGATAATAAATGATCATAAAAAGCCAGAGAAAAAAGTTTATATTGTTCTTTATTTTCTGATGTTTGATGTCGACCCCTGGAAAACCCATGTCCCGATTGTACTATGTAAAAATTCCGATCGTTATATTTATTTGGTGGAGTGACTTTTCTTCATGAAAACACTTTTAAACGATAGGTATTTATTACTTAAATCTATTCAATGCTTCAACATATGCCATTATAGACCAATGAAGTCCTAAGGTTTTGTCGGAAATTGTTCGTCCCGAGGATTTCAGTCAGATACCCTCACAAACCTATGCAGCGCCCTCAATAGTTGATAAAAACCGAATAGAAACACTGCTTTGGTCTTTGTACACGCGCAAGATACGACGGTGCATTGTGTTCGAATTTTCCCCAGGTATCGTGAATGAAAACCCATCAAACCAGTGCCTAAATTACGGATGCGTACCTTTATTCGGCGTCATCTCCGAAAGCTTTAACACATGCCTTATTTATATTTTTATTCTAAAAAAGTATTCATGAAAACGATCAGAATTGTGTAAACTTCCAAGCACATCTGGTATTCATGCTTCAAACAAACTGTAGATGGCGCTACATGAGTTTGATTGATTGCGCCGTGCGCTAATTCTAGTTCCTATGCAAAATAATGATCACATCCCATGCAAGAAATTCAACATTTGATAATGTTTTTTTTCACAATTTTCAAAAGGCCCAAAGTAGACACTTACTGAAAAATGACCCTTGTGTTTATGGGTACTGCTTCAATAGGTTTTGTTACTGATACCCATCAGTGACTATTTGTAGCCACAGACCAATAATGCCTGATTCAGTCATAGCAAAGTCTTCTTCCATATCTCTTCTGTTTGTATTTATTGGCTATGGTTCCAGTTTCCCCTCGACACCCAGCAGAGACTATCTACCAGGGGTGGGATTAGAAGAGGGGTTTGAGGGCCCCAGAGCAACGTAGGATATGTGGGATATGTTTATATTTGCCCCTTCTACCCATTTGTATTTGTTCTAAAAACTTTTATCGGTTAAACAAAATTATAAATGGTAAAACCTCAGGAATTCTAGTTGTCAAAAATGATTCTTTAAAAATACTGAAATCAGGAAATTTACTGACAAAAAAATTCATGACATCAGGAAAAATCCGACCATCCATATCCATACCAGACAAAAAATTACTCTATGTGGTCAAATCTAGGTCTAGTTCCCTACCTCTTCTGTTTGATGGCCTCATACTCCTGTCTCTTCTCCCCTCGTAGGGCATTGCGCTCCTCCAGGGTGGAGTCAAAGGCAAAGTAGTGCAGGAGAAAAGGCCAGATCTCACGCCTCAGGTACTCATCAATTCCTCCAAAGAAGATTGCCTGCCAAAGACAAGATTGTTCATCCCAAGTTGGCAGTCTAATACCGCTGTTTGCTGGCCCTAGCCCTGGCTAATGACAAGCTTTTCAAGGTTGTAAAGCCTTTTCATTCTCACGTGTTGGAATATAGGTTGCCTGCAGGTAAAACTCATGTAATCCTCATTATGACCTTACTTTATAGCCATCCCAACCATCGCTTGTATGACATCACATGCTTTACTTTTAAAGGTCAATAGAGTTAGAGGCACTTGCAGCCAAAAATTATGTCAGTCTGATCAGTCATGGGGATAAAATCCTACAAAAATCTCAACACAGACAGCATTGATGATGACATTGACAACAATGATGAGGACATTTATAACTGTAACAAGTGCAGGCTGGTTCAGACTCACTATGAAAGTAAACGCCAACATGAATATGTGATGTCAGGGCATATTTCAACTTTAGCAAGCACAGTGCTTAGTGAGGTATGAACTAGGGTGAACAGGTTGAATTCCCTTTACCTTTCGTAGTTCATAGTCATCGTCAACCTGCCCTCTCTCATTGAGGTATGACCACCACATCTCCTCATTGACTTCGTCATAGACCCCTTCCTCAGGGTGGCAATCAGCAGGCTTCACTCTGGACTGCAGTATGGTGAACTTGTGGTACAGATTGTCGCTGTCCTTGTCCAGAAGCTTGCTCTGCAATACATTTTTGAGGTTTAGAATTTTGATGTATAGTGTCATTTGCAAACAAACTCCCACAGTGCACTTTCAACAATGCACACCTAAAAATGACATTTATGGAGCATTCAACTGAGCTGGAATGATGATCATTTGTAGAACTTCTCTAGTCCACAAGATTTTAGACAGTCAGGGCATCTTCCAGACACCTTGTCAGTTATTTTGATGCCAGATTGTTATTCAATAGAAAAGGAAACCCCCAATTATTGATTTAACGACTGAAATCCTGCATACCCTCTAGAAGGGCCACAAAAAATCAAACAATTCTTGTGTAATTTCAAGAACATACTCATAAGAACTTATATTGTCTCGTTTTATTCCAAACTTTTTCTACCATGTGATTAGACTGCGAAATTTCATTATTAAAGAAATGTTTATAAGACGCATGTCAGAAGATCATTTACCACTTTTTAGACTCTGCTTTATGCCACTTACCAACTTGTGTGCACAAAATGCCATAGATAAATGTACATGTAAATCACAGTAGAAGACAATTGAGTAGTGTTTTTCAAAGAATACATTTTATGAATCAACTTAATGATCCTAACATTGAATCAAATCTAAACGCATGGCTCCCTTACCTTTGTCTTCTGTTTGACACAGTACTGCCAGTGATCAAACACTTTGGTCAATCGATCCAGACCACCATGGTGGAAGTGGAGAATTTTATACTGACTCTCTGGGCTCGCAATGACCAGCTGACCACTGGTGCTGTTCTCACTGCTGAAGAAGACCCGCAATGACCGCATATGGCTCAGGTCAACTGAGAAGACACCACAGAGCTGCTCCTTAGGAGTCATGTGTGGAGATTTGGATCCTGCCGAAGTATACTCAATGGAGTTCTCTGGGAAGGTGAGATTGTGGCTGACTAGGGGGCTGGCAGGAGACATTAGTGACGGTGGGGTGTTCTGGTTGTAGAGTGGGATGAACGGGTCGAATGGTTCACTCCCAGGGCTGGACGGCAAGGAGCCAGGATCTGGGTTGGAGGTGGTCGGGGTGGTGGAGGAGGAGACAGAAGATCTGAGGTCCTTCAAGTCCAGGTCTGAGGGGTCCTGCATATCCCTGATCATCTGATCCTGCATCAGGCTGCGAAGAGGTGAGGGCAAAGAGCTGGGGTTGGAGGAAGCTGAGCTCAGGCTCTCCTCTTTGGCTTTATTGTTGGAGTTGTTGGTCATGGCATCCGAGGGGCTGACCATCAAGTCCTTGGGCCTCTCCAAATTCATGTGAGTGTAGGACTTTTCCTTTGGGCTATGATTTTTGTCCCGAAGCAAGTGAGCCAGCTGAGCATCTGTTGAGAAGCTATCACTTTCAGAGGACGGGCTGGCATCACTGGGTCTTTCCATCACATCTTCCCTCTGAGGAGAGACGGGGCTTGAGTTCAGCCCACTGGCATCTTGCTCACTGGCATCTTGCTCATTGGCATCTTCCTCTCTTTCCTTTTCTTCCAATTCTTCAGGCACACAGCCATTTTGCTCTGCAGGGCAGAACCCAGTTTCTAGTGACCTGTTGCTTTCCATGCCTTCGTGCTGATAATTATTGGCCATCCCGGTTGGACTTTGTCTCCCAGTGTCACCACGACAGAGAGCCAGCTCAGAAGCATTACCTTCACCAGACATTCCTGTATCAACATCTTCTTGGGCAACTGAATCTGATGGAGCAGTGCATGGTTTTGAACTTCCATCCCCCTTATCTCTGACTGACAATATCTCTGGAGGGGTCTTGGGTGACATCCGCTGGTGCTTGTCCAGTGAGGAATTTGGTATCCATGTTAGGATCAAGGAGGATGTCACATGCCCATTTCCCTGGGACCTCAGGGTCAGGTATCCTGGGTAGTGTTCAGCCGTCCTGGCCAGGCTGGATGGCGGGTGAACACAGACGTTGTTCTTGCAGTAGATGATCTCACCATCTAGAGGGGGTGCTCTGATGTACTCGGGGTCTGATATACCCAGGAAGTCACTAAACTTCTTGATCAGGAAAGACATGATGTACGGTAGCAGGGGGGAGACCCTGTAGTTGAATTTTAAGTTGGAGTGACTTTCAAAACACAATCTCCAAGTTAGGAATCTTTAGAGCTTTTGGTTGTATTTTCCTCATTCTGGGTTTAGGGTAGTGGAACTTGCAATCTGCTGAAATGTATAAAAAAAATAATAATAATAAAGCTTACGGTAATTAGAAGTTACACTCTGAAAAAAAAATTATGTCGTTTCAAACAGAAAATTGGATTAACAAAATATCCATTTAGATGCACAGCAGATATATCATTCACATTAGAATGAATCAATGGTCTCAGTTTTTCAACAGCAATATCAACGAGTCTAAGATGCATACCACAGAATACATGGCTAATTTAAATGTCCATCACATGAAGTGAGTCATGATCCAATCAGTATATAGCACATGATTGTGCAACCTCTGTGGGGTTGAATGCCGAGTTCATAATGGACTATGATAATAATCACAACACAATAGAATAATGAACGTGTACAGTACATGCGCATTTGAACCATTAGATACAAATACAGCATCATGCATGAACAAAAACCTATACAGAGCAGACTTGCCATGCGTTGTCATGTCACCATCCATCATGATTACACGAAGCATGTGCACATTTCAACTACTGTAAAAAATTTAGTAATACAGGTAATATAACATCACATTGAGTATCACCTGAGAAAGACACGGTTACCGTTCAACAAGGCCAAAAGAATGATGTGAACTACGTACATGTACATGTATGTAACTGAGTAATGCTTGGGGCAGATGACTAATTCACAATATACTGTAGTGTTCTCTATATTTGAAATTATAAATGAGGTCATCCATCTGGTCTAGATCTCATTTCCTTCATAGCAGGGGTTTGATGGTTTGATGGATGTGGTATTGTAACAGGTGTTCTCTGTGGACCGTTGGGAAAACATGCTCTAGTTTTCAATTGGCCCAATCATATTGTTCCAACTAACTCCAGAGACCCATGTGACATCTATATGCATATTATACAAAACCGGGACTACAATATCATGTCTAATAACCTTATTTTGTAGCTTAGTAATAAAAGTACTCAGATACTAGTTACAAACGTCATTAATTGTTAAATATTGTGATAGTATGTATTTTCAAAATAGCGAAAAATTTACTTTATAAAAAAAAAACCCCTCTACTCTGACAGTGTTGTAGCACCAGTCCTGTAGGTAATGTGGTGGAATGCTGATCAATATCTACCACTAGGTAGGTGTCATTATTTCATATAATTATAGTTCCATTGTCAGATATAATTTCTCCATGTTGCAACATACCCAGGAGTCCAATTTATTATCCCACTCTCCCCTAGCTAGTAGATTTATGTGGTCATTGGGAGTGTTACATCTAGTTTTGCAATATATGTTCTTACAATTATAATGTCAAAAAAGGAAATATTTTCAACATACCAGTATATTCATTGGAATCCACCATATCATTGAAGATTTAATTTTGTGGATACCAGTATATATTCAGAAAATATATTCACATCTTCACAGGATATGCACAGGATTGCAAACCTAAATTCCTGTAGACTTGGTGCCAAGGTGGTAATTGTTCTACGTACGGTTATAATTGGCTCTACACACGCAAAATATCACTGAATTGCGCGTAGTCTTGTTCCCAGACCAAATGATGCTGACTATTTCTGATAAAATTACAGACTTGGAGAAAATGTTTTCAAGTTTGTACACAACATATGGGAGTATTTTGAATCACTAGCGAATTCTATGCGAGCATGCTGATTGGTTCAGATTCCGGAGTGTATTCTAGGCCGCCAGGGAAGGGTTTGTACTTTGTGTTACAGTGTAACATTACAACATTCTTTATAGGGCATACACCACTCAAATCACAATGACATTTTATTTCTATACACAATTGACCAAGCAGAGTGTACTGGTCGTTAAAACGTCGCCAGATCTGCAAACATGTCCCTGACATATTGAGAAGAACTCCCCATGTAACGGAATGAATGAGTCCTAATTTGCATAGCGGTGTGCGATTGGATCTCACCGCAAAAATGCACTGCATATATATGTACACAAGCTGATTTACCCGATCATAGATCGGGTAGGGCGTATTTGTGTTGGGGTTGAAAGTGTGGGGAGTTAAATGTAAATGGGGGATTTAGTTGAGAAGACATGTAGCTATAGAAAAGCAATTTACGGTGACGCGATCTGAGGCAATTTCTGACCACGTACGATAGTAAAACAAAAGATCATCTTTTAAAGTTTTTTTTCGAGTTTGGAGTCATTGAATCAGCTGTTCTGAGCAAAAGAATATTATAGTAGGCTACAATTTTTATTCGGGGAAGAAAAAGTGGGGGTAGGGAACCAAACGATATTGCCCACTTAAAATGTTGGGGTGGGGGTCCCCCGTCCCCCACCGATTGACGCCGCGCCCATGATAATTATGTACCATGGCATGTATAACTGTCTGTAAATTTTCCCGTTGGTCTGTTAAATTGCATTTTGTGAGGCAGTCGCGTTTGTTAATGTGGGAAAACTGAGTTGAAAGACTTACCGTATAGTACACAGGCGAAGGCTGATTGTACTGTTTGGACAATAAATCATAATGGAATAAAACGTGAAGGTGGCATTTGCAATAAAAATGTTGAGTGTGTTACCATAAAATTACATAGTCTGAATCATGGAGGAAGGTCATTATGAAGGTACAGTATTGGACTCTTCAACAAACGTAAACTTGAACTTCTTACAATTTGCGAGACCTGCGAGGAAAAAGTCGATTTAACTATTTTATTCAAGTTGGCATGGTTCAACCATAATATAAGCAAGGCCAAACAGCCAACAACCGCCAATATTATTATTTATGCACTCTTCGTAATTCCAACCCAACATAGTTCAAAGATCACAATATTTGAAGCAATGCATCGATCCCTCGTTGATTTACCCGATCATACATCGGGTAGGGCATAGAGTTGGGGATGAAAATGTGGGGAGATGAATGTAACTGGGGGATTTAGTTGAGAAGACATGCAGTTATAGAAAAGCAATTTCTGTGGTGCGATCTGAGGCAATTTCTGACCACTAACAATTATGTACCATGGCAACAGTCTGTAAATGTTCCCGTTCTGTTAAATTGGCATTTTGTGAGGCAGTGGCATTTGTGGGAAAACGTACTTGAAAGGCTTGCCGTAGTACACAGGCGAAGGCTGATTAAGAAGGTCATAATTAAGTTTCAGTATATTGGACTCTTCAACAAACGTAAACTTGAACGTCTTACAATTTGCGAGACTGTCTGCGAGGAACTTGTCGAGTCAACTGTTATTCAACTTGGGGCAACCATCTAAAAAAGAGCAGATTTTACTCGGCCTCCGAGAAATGTTTGCTCCTGAAACGATCTGAGACCGCGGTCTTTCGCGACGCCAAAATCGCTCCACGTCCGTGGAAAAACGTGGAGGGTGTCTTTCGCCGGATCGGACACATTTTCGTTGATTTTTTGTGTGACTGCGTTTAAGATCTCGATGTTTGAAGCAATGCATCGATCCTTCGTTGATCCCAGACAGGCCCCCGAAATTATAACGCAACACTGTGGCGGGCAGCGAACTCACAACGCTCAGCCTTGGTGGAAGCATGGAGCTGTATTAACACACGATGGAAGCAACAGAGCACTACCCGGTTCGTTAGTGTGACGTCACCTCCAGCACTTTCTGCACGATTGGAACCGGAAGTTAACGCAGCTCGAGCATTTGCAGCCAATGGGCGCTAGTAATCAGTGGTGTGCATGCGTGTATGACGTTTTTACTAACGAACCGGATACACGTCACTCACATGCTTGTGCTTCAAATCATGCAAATGGCGAGCACCGTAGACCCAACCTCGTTTCCAGGGTGTGGAGCAGGCTGCAGTACGCGTTGCCATTGACAGTTTTGCATAGCCCGGAAATACTACGCAGTGTAGACTTTCGATTGGTCAGACCGCGCAAGGCATACTTAATGAGTATTCGTTGCACACGGCGCAGGGGCGGCAAGCGAAGCATATGAAAGAATAGGGGCACTTGGTGGCCACGCACCATGGAGAAAAAATATTTTACCAAGGTCACCCCATAACACAATTTGGTGAACGCTTTTGCAGAACGGCTGAGTAGAACACGTAAACGGAACCCCTACGTTGACCTCGCTGACCTCGCACAGTCTAGACACGCAGAGAAGCCAGCACAGGGGGCGGCCAGGCAGTCAACGTGAAAGCGCACACGACGGCAAATTCCTGCGAAAAACGCAGTCACGAAAAATCGACGAAAAGGATCGCCGGTCAGTACGGGAAAATCAGGACGACCCGAAGTGTCCGACCCGGCGGAAGACACCCTCCGCATTTTTCCACGGACGTGGAGCGATTTTCGCGCAGCGGGAGCCCGCGGTCTCAGATCCTTTCAGGAGCAAACATCGTCTCGGGGGCGAGTAAACTTCTCTCTTATATATAGATGTATTGCACTGCTTGCATATATCAATAATGGTGCGAGAACATCATCGTCAAGTAGTTGGATTTGTCGCAACCCGGCACATTACGTACTAATCTTATATACCAGCCGTGCCGATGGAGTTCACAGACAAAAAATTATAATCTAACGACTTGTCATCAAGTCTAAAATTCCGGAAGATAATAATTCTGTTAGTTTTATTCTTTTCTGGACAATGACAAATAGTGCTTACAAATGGTTTTCTGTGACAACTGTCGAACACTGACAGAATGGCAGATTTTACACACAAGTGTGTACTGTAATGCAGTGTCAGGCCATGAAAAATCAATGAAAAATGAAGCACACACAATGAGAATCTGGAGGTTAAATCTGTCAACACGTCACAGCAGCTGTTACAGCACATAAAACTACTTGATGCAATGATCAAACACTCACAGCCTGCATCATGTACATTGCTGCCATTGGCTACATAAGTAGAAATGGAAAGGTTATACACCTGAGCATAACTGAGTTACTGAGAACAATAATGATTCACAAAAGTATCTGAAATCAGATTCTTTATGACATACATACCAGTATGTACAAGGCGACTATGTTACAATTCATCATTAGCTAGGGCAATTCCATTGTACAGCAACTCACATTACATGTTATGGGGACCTTCTGTCAACTGGGTGCTGTTGAAAAAGTCAGAGCATTCAGGGTGGATTTTGTTTTATTTTACAGAAGATCCCTTTAAGTTAATTGACTGTTTACACACACAAAACCTGGATATTCTTTGGAATTGTTGCTTGTGATATTGCACACTAAGGCCTACATAATATGTATGAGTCATAATGTCATCATCTTCATACAGGTCTACATGCAGCAATATGCCCCTTGCTGTGACGAAATTAAATACAGCAGGAATTCTCTCCTTTCACTCCAGGGTTTCACTTCCAAAAATTATTACATAATTGATTGTTGTTCTTATGGGATCAAAGTCCACACGCATTCGAATTATTTTCCATTTTGGTATAGATCTGTAGTCTGATGTTCCTACAAGTATTATTAATATTGGTGGCAATATCTTTTTTTGCAACCAAGTGTATGTATTGACCTTAATGTGTGTGCTTCAGCTGGTAACGGAATGGTTCTCGGACATTACTTCCCTTCAAAAAATTATCATCCAGAGCCATGAATCAGAAAAAGGTGATATTTATTTCATTATCACTCAGTAGGACCTAATTAAACAAGAAAATCCACTTTCATGGAAAAAAATTGTAAAAACTTCCAGGATGGAATCCACAACATCCAGTATGTCTATTCCTTCCTCCATGGTACATGTATGATAAAAGCATACAGCCAAAGTGGTAGAAATTTCATAATCACAAATTCACCCATGTGATATGTTTCATGCTTGCGCATTGAAGTAAATGACTTTACTAGACTGCAGAATAAAAATTTGCAGCTGCTGTCATACCGTACAATGGATCAGTATATTATGTCTGACAGTGTCATATATAATTTTGACAAATTTACATAGTTTATGTTCTTTATCTCAAACATGACAAAAGGGACCTAAATATTGGAACATGGTACAAAATTTGACTTTTTTTCCTTGTTGGAAAGTATAACTTGTTTTGTTAGAAAATAATTAAACATGTATAAAAAGTTTATAAATTTGCCTTGGTGACCAAAACAAAACCTTGATAATATTGGAACATGGTACCCAAGCAGCAAGCACATTTGCCCAGCTAATTTAATGTATTCTGAGAATACAACGAATACAGCGCACAGTGTGGCACGAGCGGCAGTCTTGGATTGAATTACTATTATTTTTTAATTGGACAAATATTTAATCATATTTTGTAAAGCCCCCCCCCCCCCCAAGGATGGACAGGCCTCATTTTCAACCATGTCCCGTCCCAAACAAATAACTTAACTCATTTTGGGTATTTTTATTTAAAACATTTTTAAAGAGAAAAAATGAGAGGTAAAATACTGGTTAGTGGTAGAACAACAAATATTATACAAATAACGAATGTTTATGAGAACAATGGTAAAAATAATTTCATGAGGTTCCCAGACCAAAAGATTCTGACTATTCCTGAGGAATCTTAGGTCAGGTAGCCGCTAGTACATTGTAATACAAAACCCAGTTATGTGACTAAAACAGGAGGAATGACCGAAGTTTGCTGGATGTATTTCAGTGACACTGTTTATTTATCCACCTTGCTTATCAAAATCTACAAACTGAGTTTATAACAAATATTAATTACTTGCGTTTAGAAAACTTGAAATTCAATGACGATTTTGTGTATCAAATGTGGATCACAAGAGGGGCAAGCTTTGCTGCATAATGTATTTTGAATCTGACGACCGTTACCGGGATTTTCCAAAATTTGGAAACAAAACAAAAGGAGGCGGCCTCCAAAAAGGAAGCAGGCAGGGATGCTAAACAGCTTCTTTTTATTTGGCATTAATTCCATTTTTCTCTGGTTTGTAGATTGCGACGGAATCCACACTTGTACTAAAATGGGTTATTTTTGTTTATTTTTCTACAAAACCACATCAAAGCCTGATGTAGTAAAAAAATGATTAGCCTCCCTACCATTATGACCAATGACACTAACAGTGGTGAATGTGACAACAGTCATGTCTGTGTGCTTGATGCTTGATATGTCCAATCCAAGGAGAAGTCGAGGTGACTCAAGTTGTGAACATGTGATACCAAATTTGTCAACTAGTGGTGCGGGAAAAAGGCGGACTCTCTAACCATGCTGACACATTGAAAATTACGGACAGAATGTTGCAACCTGATGCTACTTCAGCGGTTGTGTCTATGGAGAGTCAAATGGGCACTAGTAATGACTTTTTACTTGAACCTTTTCGATATTCGCAATGCATCTTGGGATTGGATGACAAACAAACCAGGCAATTTGTTCACAAACCCATGAGGCCGAGTACCAGTTACAACTTTCATTTGTTGATTCCTCCTCGTTTTATATCAAGAATTTATGATTATTTTTTTCACACATTTTTGCACTGGTAAAGTGGTAGGCCTATACATATCGACGGTGTTTTCACAAAGTGACAAAAACCTCAATATCCTGCAAAAGGGTCATCCCGAGATAATCGCATTTGTAGTTAATCCTTTTTTCAAAACACATTTTCAACTAGTTTGTAGCTGTAGATTTGGGAAATGTTTGCATTGTCAAGTAACGTACGGTATGCTTTGTTCTTTGCTAATTTAAAGTTGTTTGTTAAAAGTCTCTCTTAAGTCTCTCTTAATTAAACAGTAATTCTTTAATAAAGTTTTCTTCACTTTTTGAAAACAGCAAAATGCAGAGGCCTCACTATTTTGACCCATTACGTTGTACACACTCTTCGTCACTTCGTGAAAACAAAAAAACATTCTAAGAAATTGTTACATTGCGCGTCATACGTCACTGCACCGCGCGCGCGTCTTTTTTTTTATTGACATCGATCGTGGCGTGCGCGCCCACTCCCATCCTAGCGCGTGTGTAGAGAAATGAATTATCCCTCTGGCCCTGCTAACGAGGTAAGTTTTGGTCACTTCGTGAAAACAGAATAACAAGGAAAACAACATTTCACTTTGAAACTTGATCAAATTCTTCTTTTTGTCAAGTGCAATAAATTGGCCAGAAAAACTCACATTTGAAAAATTATCGATTTTCCAGGTTTTTGTCACTTCGTGAAAACATCGTCAATATAACCGATAAAAAAACATCATTTTTAACGCCTTTTAAATTACAATGAAGAACATTTCGAGAAATCCCTTTTTTAATTGAGCCTTCTCATAATGACCTATCAGAAACAAGATGTCAGGCTCACACCCCCAACACTGACCAATCACACAGGGCCTGCGAGCTCCCGCCCGAACACTGACCAATCACACAAGGCCTGATGACTGGTATCCTGAAATTAATTTTAAATTATATATTATTTTTATTTCTTAGGTTGAAAAACTTAATTTTATTAGGTGTTGGGCCTTGAGCCCAATACCTATTGCTTTTGTAAGATTTTACTGTTTTTATTCTTCTCAGCAAATTCTCAGGAAATCCTTCTCCAGAACTGTTTGGAGAAATGGAAACATATATGAACTTCATTTGTCAATACATGAATGCCCAATCCACTGCAGATGGTTTTTTTTGCAATTACGTCACCATGACGTCATCATGGGTCACGTGACGTCACTCGAAAGTTTAATAAATTTAATCTTTGAAATTTCATATAAAATCAACCGTGAGAGACCGGAATATGAAATTTGCGGGAATCGACATGGTAATACCGGTACATGATCTTCATTTTATCCTGTGCGCGTAAAATCACGTGGCCCTTCCTTCCGGTCGAAACCGGAAGTGCCTGATAATTTAAAAGTGGAAAAAGATATGAACTTGCTTTTAACGATTAAAGTGTCTGCCTGGATTGACCTTTCAAAAAAAATAATGGGTGACGCCATGAAGTGTTGGAGCGCCCTCTAGCGGCAGGTTAGAAAACGTCAAAAATGCATTTGCACTTGATGTCTGTGGCGAAGTTTGCGGTAATCGCTTGAAAATTAATGTACATGATCACCTTAATGCAGACAAGACCTGTGCGGAAAAAAAATTGATTACGTCATCGGATCCGAAGTTACAATAAAAAGACCTTTAAACCTTCAAAAATTGCTAAAAACTCAACTGTGATAGATCATCAAGATTTGGCTGTACACAGCACAGTAAATATAGCTCTGGAGGTTTCTGGTAATGACGTCATAATGGCGTCATCAAGTATCATATTACAAGCAATCAAAGATTTCTAGATTTAATCTTTGAAAATCAATGTAAAATCAACCGCTACAGATTTGATTTTGTTCTTTATGGCAATCGATACAATATTGCAGGGTCTTCATTTTTGGTATTAAGTGCAAAATCACGTGACCCTTCCTTCCGGTCGAAACCGGAAGTGCCTTATTATTGAAATTGGCAGAAGATGCGAACTTGCTTTCAATGATGTGAGTGTCTGCCTAGGCAGTACTGTACAAACATATTACAGGTGACGTCATCAAATGTTAGAGCGCCCTCTAGCGGCAGTTTAAAAAACGTCGAAAACGCATTATCACTTGATGTATGTGGCGAAATTTGCGGTAATCGCTTCAAACCTAACATACATGATGAACTTAATGCAGAAAAGACCTGTGCACGAAAAAAAATGGATGACGTCATCAGACCGGAAGTTATAAAGAAAAGACCTTTAAACCTTAAGGCAAAATAAAAAAAAAAACATGTTTAGCGTCCTGCCTCTTTGACAAAAAGGAAGGAGGAGGCCCTTTTTTTTTTTTTTTTCTTTTCAAAATGGCCGCCCGACACATTTTTCAAGACAACGCAGCCGGGCTATTTTTCAAGATGGTTACCAGCTTTTTTCAAAATGGCCGCCACTTGGACTCATTGACTATTTCCACAGCTTTATACACGGTATAAAAGTCTAAAAATACGATTTCTTTTTGTCTTTAAAAAAAAAAAAAAAAAAAAAAAAAAAAGAAGGCGGCCTCTAAAAAGGAAGCGGGCGGGGACGCTAAACATGTTTTTTTTTTTACTTCGCCTAAACAATTGCTAAAAAATCAACCGTGAGAGATATAATCAAGATGTGGCTATATATAGCAGAGTAAATATAGCTCTGGAGGTTTCTGGCGATGACGTCACAATGACGTCATCAAGTGTCATATTACAAGCAAATAAATATTTCCATATTTAATCTTTGAAAATCAATATAACATCAACTGCTACAGATTTGATTTTGTTTTTATGGCAATCGATAAAATATTGCAGGGTCTTCATTTTTGGTTTTAAGTGCAAAATCACGTGACCCTTCCTTCCGGTCAAAACCGGAAGTGCTTTATTAATTGAAATTGGCAGAAGATGCGAACTTGCTTTCAACGATGTGAGTGTTTGCCTAGGCAGTACTGTACAAACATATTACAGGTGACGTCATCAAATGTTAGAGCGCCCTCTAGCGGCAGTTTAAAAAACGTCGAAAACGCATTATCACTTGATGTATGTGGCGAAATTTGCGGTAATCGCTTCAAACCTAACATACATGATGAACTTGCAGGGTCTTCATTTTAGGTTTTAAGTGCAAAATCACGTGACCCTTCCTTTCGGTCAAAACCGGAAGTGCTTTATTAATTGAAATTGGCAGAAGATGCGAACTTGCTTTCAACGATTCGAGTGTCTGCCTAGGCAGTACTGTACAAACATTTTACAGGTGATGTCATCAAATGTTAGAGCGCCCTCTGGCGGCATGTTAAAAAGTCAAACATGGATTTAAACATGCATATTTTGAGTTGATGTGTGTGACAAACTTTGCGGTAATCCATGGCCCAACACCATGTGGTTGTTCCTACAACCTCTAGTTTACAAATTATATTTCTAAATCATATGCCTTTAAAGATTTATTGATGTCATCACTTAATCCTGGAAAAATAATGAAGAAAACATATTTTAAAGCTTGACTGGTCCCATGCCCCCATAGGTTTGTGCATAAGGATAAACTGCATTGATTAAAGGGAAAATACAACATTTGCAAACATCAAAAAATAAAACTACCAAATCATTTTGAAATACCTTGCTGGACTGTTACTGTTAGTGAATGACAGTGTAAAGCATCCTGTAAAATCATGGCACCTGGTATACTGTCATTTTCAAGAAAAGTGGTATTTTTGTATCAATTTCCAATGCTGATCAGTCCGATCAGCGTTGGAAAAAACTGGCTTTTTTTCAAATACTGGCCCCAGTTGACCATCGCGCTTGTTTGCAATCGATTACACACCTATGAACGGGTACAAGCCAGCTAGACTGGTTCCCTGACCTTACAATTCCCCAATATATGTAAACTGCTCTGTTTCTTCTTAAATGGAGTCATTCCCCAATATATGTAAACTGCTCTGTTTCTTCTTAAATGGAGTCAGGGAACCAGACTACAGGAAAATGATTGTTTTTATTTGTTTTTATAGCATTTTCGAACTCAAAAGTAAAACCTCACAAAAGTCAGTGTAACTACATTTGCTATATATTTCCAACCCCTCAATTCCATCCATTTCTGAAAATTACAGCAAAAGCAAATGATGTATATTCCCTTTAATATCCAACATAAACATTCAGTGCCAATGCAATGGCAATGTCAAAAGGTTGGAAATCATGAAATGGATGTTTCTCAGTCCCAGATTATCTTGAAGAAAAAAGCAGGGAGTGCGTCAGGTTGCAGCAGTCTTTCCAAAATTACAGCCAAATCACGCACACATTTATGATTTCGTATCGATCCAATTATTTTGCAAATAATCAAAATAATAGAGAATTTTACTCACCTGTTGTTCACAGTACGAACTGCATGCAGAATGTAGGCCTACACACATATTGTGAGGGCGCTTTTCAATCGACAGTTTTTGCGCTTTGCATTTGGAAAACAAAATCAAAACATGAAACAGTCGTACAGCAGTAGGCTGACTGCAGTCAGTGGTTACCCAACAGTTTTGCATTTATTTTATCGTGATGAGTACAGACTACCAGTGAGCCTCTATTTATTACGACTGTACAATGCTTAGCAACAACAAGCGAAAATGGCAGATACCGAAGAAAGGTAAACTCTGAATAATGTTGGATTTTTATTTTTTAATTCGGCGCACAACTGTTAATAATAGTGAATTGGTAGGCCCTATAATCACTAAAGTTTTGACGATTGTGTAGTTTAGAACACCTTTTTTTCTGTTCACCTTTAAAGTGTTTTAAATTTAATCTTTCAAAATCATGACTTTTTCATTTTGTGTCAACTGTCAAAGTGTCATTGCAACCTCAACTGCAAGTGCAATAGGTTAGGGAGTTCAGCACTTTTTGAATTTTTTCTTAATTTGGTATCACTCGAAAGAGAATCACACGACAAAATCAATAACGTTTTAAATTATTTTCATACGAGTTTGCATTTTGGAGAAATAGGCCTAGCCTAACAATTTAAAATGGGCCTAAAAAAAAGGCTAAAGGCCGAGGGAATGAAACTATTAGAAGGTAATCCTTATCTTTAGGACACCTCTATTTTTCACAAGTTCTGTTCAAAACTGACTTTGGCAATAGACTGTCCAGTACCAAAGTGGCCTTTGCAGGCTAAAGAAATCTTTTATCTTCTGATTAATGTTCTAAAGTTGTAATTTTGAAAGCACTTTCAAAGAAAATGTGACTTTCCTACCTTTTTTGCAGTTTGCCATCTTGGTTTTTGAGTCTGTTTACTGTTTGTCATTGCCGTGTTTTACCCCCTAATTTCCCTCATAAATCAAAGCCCTGCCAGCCTCTTTCCACAAAATTAAACCTGCTGATATTCAAGAAGGGTCATACTGTTCAGATATAAGACAAGAAATATCAGAATGTCACTTTTGAGTGTCATTTAGTCAGCTGTTTTGGTGAGTCTTGTAACCTTATATAGGAACGGGGTCCTAAAAGTAAGGATTACCCTATAGAATACTGTCCTGCTGATTTTGAAAAACAATGAGGCTTTTTTTCATTATTCATTATTCTGAAGCACTAACCAGAATCAGGTAAAATCATACTGATAGGTATAATGTCGTTTGTATCATGCAGCGCTAGTGCTGGTAACCGCGCGCTATACATTAATATGCACGTATTGTATATGTACCGCGTGTTCACAGTAGGTGGGCAGATTGGGTTTCGCGCCGATGTGGTACACAGAATACGACTATTCTGCGTTAGAAAAATTGTGTAGAGTGGATTCTGATAAAATTAAAAGTAAACTGTTGTGGCAGATAAATAATATTCTGGGTAAATAATGATTTTTTTTTAAATAATGAAATATTTCGGCGGCACCTTTCGCCACATGCGGGGGTGGACGGTATTCTATGACTTTCATTCCCTCGGCCAAATGGCGAAATTCAATGAAAACAGTCTGTAATTTGTAGTGTCAAAATATTGTTATTTTAACACCTCTAATTTCTAAATTTTCCCATAAAATTCCGAACTAATCAAAGTGTTAAATATAGCAATCCTTATAAAATAAACAATAGTTTATTTTTTAATTGATCAGCTTTTTATATCTCATTACAAAATAGTTATGATATTTTCCCCTTAACACCGCACGATTGTCCGACATGTCCGAGCCATGTCTGGGCCTAATAACAGTTACACCGCGATGTGATAACACAGCCCGCTGTAACACATGGGTGAAAATCTTTCCATTCACGCTACACACAACGCGGCTGGCTAGCATGCAGACAGGCCCATCGCAAGGCCCCTCAAAAAAGACGCCAATCGCAAGGCCCCTTGAAAAAGATGCACTGTGATTGGCCCGTTGAGGCGCTCAATCGAGGCGCCCAATTGAGGCGCCCTGTGATTGGCATGTGTGATGCAGCCATTTGCAGCTACACGATGTCATGCACTTAAATGATCAATCATTGCAATTGAGTGCATGTGTGCATCGTGTGACTCGTGTCAATGATTGCGCACACTCATTCACGGCTTTGCCGAGTTAAAAAGGAACAACTAACTGAAGTTTCCAAAAATGCATCTTTAGACGCATCATTGGGAAAGGCATTCTTTTGTTGTTTTCTTCAAAATGACAGCATGCCAGAAAGAATAATTTCACAGGGATTACCATCTTTAAACCACAACTGAAATGTAACCTCAAATCAATCAAAATCCTTTTATAGATGCATTACAAAATGTGTTTTGGAGTTGTTGACTGTGTGTTGACAGTAATAGTGTGTGTTGACGGTGTGTTGATGGTGATTAATATGACCCCATCAGGATACTGCATTCTACCTTCATATTCTATTTAAGCTATTCTAGAGTCCGGTACATGTTAGGATTGTTTCCACTCGATTTTTACCTACTATCGTTAATTTTGAAGTGTGCAAGATCAGTTGGCAGATGAACACCCTGAAACTGCAACAGCACAGGATGGTGAGCCAACAGAAGGAACACCCCAAGGTAAGATGTAACAAGGAAGGGGGACATTCACTATCAATTTAAAGGATCAAATAGCCATGATGTTATCTCCTAACTGCCTTGCTTGACTTCCCATTTGAATGAATTTCTGTATTTGTAAATGAAACAACTTTTAGGATATTATCACAAACATGTGAAATGACCTGATGTCATTTGGGAGCTTAGTCCAGAGGGTAGAATAAGACCGCCAAACCTGCCCAGATGATATGACCTTTTGTAGTTCAGTATGAGCTGTCACATGCACATAGAATTACAAACTTCCATTTATATTACAAACTTCAGGCCCTTTTCCCTTGGGGTTCAAAGTCAAACAAACCCCCATTCACTATTAAATGAGTTCTGCTTCTTTGCGCAATGTGCATGGGTGAAATGCCACTCAAAATGTGACATTTTGTAATTGGATCAGTAAGAATTTGTATTATTTTGTAATCACTTCTTTACTTAGATTTGTTCAGCTCAACGAAATTACCTTGACTTGTCTTTATGTAGATGCAGAGGAGACCAGTGATGCTGCAGACACCACAGGAATGGTGGATGTTGCCAAAGATGTCAATGTCCAGGCACTGAAGGAGGTAATCAGAATATTTATATGATGAGGCCTCGTCTTGCCTGCTTTCCGGGAAGGTGATTGGTTGGCTGGGATTGGTTGGCCGGTTCTTGTTTGATCTAGCAGAGGGAACCGCAACCAATCGTTTATATAATTATTATTATTATTGGGTTCTGATCCTGAGTCAGTCATTTTATATTAATACCAAATCAGTTTCCAGTCATCATCCCAGGCTTATTGTCTTTGATAATTGTCTAGTTTCCTCTTTCCAAAAATGATATTTGTTACTTCTTTTTTTTTTTTTTTTAATGAAGTACCGGGAGAAGGATACTTCCGAAGTGCTCCAAGGTGAAGACGGACAGGGGTCTGCGCAACAACCAGAGTCTGGAGAGCATCTTGACTCGGTGCAGAGACCTCCATCAGCATCAAGGTCTGCTTCTAGAGAGGGATCAGTCAAGGACCAGCTGCATATGGATGGAGAACCTGAGCGAGAGCCCTCTGTTGACCGCCCAGGGTCCGCAGCCCGGCCTGATTTGACCGCAAGGCCTGGTTCAGCAGCCTCTATGCAGGGATCTTTGGCGGGTGGTGGCGCAGGAACACCTGAGCGTCCTTTAACTGGTAGCCGGCCTGGATCAGCCCAGAGGCCTGGGTCAGCCCAGCGGCCTGGGTCAGCCCAGAGGTCTGGCTCAGCCCAGAGGTCTGGGTCAGGCCAGAGACCTGGGTCAGCCCAGAGGCCTGGATCAGCCCAGAGGCCTGGGTCAGCCCAGCGGCCTGGATCAGCCCAGAGGCCTGGGTCAGCCCAGAGGCCTGGGTCAGCCCAGAGGCCTGGGTCAGCCCAGAGGCCTGGGTCAGCCCAGCGGCCTGGATCAGCCCAGAGGCCTGGATCAGCCCAGAGGCCTGGGTCAGCTCAGCGGCCTGGATCAGCCCAGAGGCCTGGGTCAGCTCGGGGGCCCCCATCTAGAGAAAAACTGGCAAAAGAAAACCCTAGACCCGTCTCAGGGACTGCAGACAGGCCTGGCTCTGCTGAGAGGCAGGGATCTGGAGCCAGGCCAAGCTCTTTGACCAGAAGATCACCTCTGGCTGAACAGGATGGACGTGATGACAACCCAGCTCAAGATGACAGGGGCACAGGAGGATTCAGTCAATATGTCACAGGTGAGAAATTTAGAAACGTCAGATCAGTGACAAGAGGTCATGGCAGGTCAATTGAAGTCACGTTATAGGTATGCACCTTTTCCTCGGATCTGCTGATTTCCTCGTTTTTTACTTCTCATGAATTCCATTACAAATTGAAAAATACTGTACAAAGTCTTGTGCGGTTTTTTGTAAATTCCCAGTTGCATGCCTGACGTTAGGTTGACCTATTTTTTTTACGACTCCCTTATTTACCATTATTGTTGGGTTCCAATTGCTAATCTGATTGGCATCACAAATTTAGACTTTCCTCCAAACCTTTATTTGCTTGGTAGCAAACCCTGCTATTGATGCAGTATTATTGTGAAATGAGGCACACACAGAAATTAGTTAAAATTAAACTAGCAAAACCAGTTCACTCATAGCACAAAGTTTCAAAGAATAACAATTGTAAAGTGTCATGTCAAATGCTGGTACTAAAAATCTTTGTCGTAGAAGTGCAGTTCAGGCAAAATGTTGACTTGGTCCAAGGATTTCCCTGTGGACATCTACCAGCAGCCATCCAAAGTGGAATCAGCCAAAGCACTGCTGCAATTTAGCTGGGCTTTGTAACTAAGCTCCACTGGGACAATTTACAATACTTCAATCATGTGTCCAGAAAAATGTAAAAACTACCAAGTCTGTGTTGTTAAGAAAAAACTGTTTGGCCATGTCTGCAAATGGATGTTGACTTCTCCCCATGATGCACTGCAAAAAGTGGCATCTGTGTTGTTACCCCTGGGTCGCACTCTGGATTCTGTGGCAATCCTTTGCATATTGATGTGCTGTACTAACCCCATGTGCAGGAGGAAGTCAGAGTGGTGGTAGGGAGTTGGCCTTGGTGGACAGTGACCGAGAGGAAGATGAAGGAGAGATAGAAGATGAAGAAGAGGAGGATGTGGGCCAAGACTCGGATGTATCTGACGATGAGAGTGAGATGGTGGTGTTGGACCCCGATCACGTAAGTTAAACATTTCACAGAAACTCTATGAAAAGTGAATTTACAGGCCACTTTTTCTAGTTAATGACAGATATGGAACATCCATACTTCTCACATCATATTTTGAACAGTTTTTACTATAAGTCTGATTTTTAAATTAAAGGTGAACTCCATGAAAACAGCGCTGTCTATATTAAGAGCACTGTTGTAACCTCTTCTATCAGCTCTAACAGGAATACTATCCTGTTTGTGAAGATTGCGTTTTTGTAAATTGTTCAGATATCACCTTGATTTGCAAAAATCTATTGCAGCATGTTTGCTAGATAATCATTGTTATCCACAGATTGCATACATTGTCATAAACCTCAAGTTTGCTCCCTTTTTCTTGATTCCCAACAGCCCCTGATGAGACGCTTCCAAGTGGCCCTGAATGACCACCTGACAAAGCAGCAGACCAAGGTCACACTGGAGCTGAGAGAGCTGAGCGAAGCACTCAAGAACAAGCGGAGAGAGCGGGAGGAGCTAGGCGTCAACCTGTATGGCCTGCAGCAGGAACTTGCTCGCTTGCAGATGATGCTTGAGCGCCAGCATGACGATCTGAGTCAAGCAGCCCAGCAACGGAATCAGTGTGAGGAGCAGATGCAGGACACAAGGGGCATGTACCGAAGTACGCAGGACAACGTAACACAACAACGCAAGGATGGTGAGTCAATTTAAAATCAAAACTCATCCCATCTCAAGTCAGGTAACAAGCTGTGACTTCGTCACTGTTCATCCATAATACTTGTGATTTGGAATCATATGATTCACTTGATTACATGCCCTTTGCCATTAGAGAACGTCTCAAAAGTCAGAACGCTTGAAACGTTCCACCGGGGAACATCGCCTGTTCAAATAAGGAACGTTCCATACGGAATGGGAACGTTCCGACTTTTGAGACGTTCCCGTATCCCACAGTGTCCTGCCTGAGAACAGAGGTGGAAAACTTTGGCCTGATTTTTAGTTGCATGTATCTTGCATTACTAGTATGTATCTTTGGTTATATCTCTAATGCAGCTTCCAGCCTGCAGACAGAAGTGGAGAACCTAGCCCTGCATCTGTTCTACATGACTAATGCCAAGGAAGACATACGTGGGGACATTGCTGTCATGAGGCGGGCTGCAGAGAAAGCTGACAGTGAAGTCAACCTGGCAGAGACTGCCAAGCAAAAACAGGTACTGAAGTTCACTTCAGGGATGGAGACAGGTTGTGTTTTTTAGTAGAAGGCCAGAGGAGGGAAGGGGGAGGGGGTGGAGAGACACAAGCATCTAATTGGGGGCTTTTTACCAGTTGGCTGGTGACCACACATTTTCTTTGTTATTTCCTTTTGGAGCAATGAATTTATAAAGGGCCCTAGCCCTTACTCCAATCTTGTGGATATGCAATTAGTCAATCACATGTCATTTCTAGTAAAAATCAAATTGCTGAAGTAAAAACTTCTTGTTTATGAGACGAGCATGTTGTGCAGATAATATAATGTATTACATAATGTTTTATATTTCTACATAAGTAAAATCTTTTTTACTTGTACGTAATTGTAAGGAAATTTCTGTGTACCCTTAGAATCAGTTAATATATCCTGAAGGTAACTTTTTAAAGTTTGAACAAACGATTGTGGTCGACTTTTTGAACCCTTTCCATGGAGGAAAATCAGAAGATGCTTCTTGCAAACTTTACATTTGGATTATAATCAGTGACTGAATTTCACCTAGTGAACCACAAATCGCAGGCCAAGTGTAATGAATGTATTGAAAGTTGTGGTTTTGTGTGTCATTGCTAGGATCTATACGTGGACAGACTGACAGAGAACGTCGACAAGCTCCGTGAACAGATTGCTCTGTACGAGGCCCAGTGTTTCGCCCAGAATGAAGAGACTAAGGCAGCAAAGGAAGCCCTGGCTGAAGCCAGGCTGGAAATTGAGGTCAGTTATCAGCATCCTACCTCATCCTCAAACTCAGTATCTTCCAAATCCATTTGGAAATTCCTTCTCTTCTATTTGAGTAAATTTGTGGAGGTTTTTGTGACTTCAGTTGGTTTGATTTACCATGGGGTGAACCACCAAGCATTTGCCTGATGAATGCCACTGTTCAATTTCACAGTTAAGTTGCTGCATGTAATTTCCGGGGGTTAAAGGTCAGTCACATTAATGCGGCAATCCTTTGACTAATTTTGAAGATCATATATACTTGAAAAAAGCTACAATATCAAAAATTAAATAAGGGGAGTTTCAGTCATAAAGAAAATCAAGTACAAACCCTCTGCTAAAAACCAGAAGGAAAACAAAAGCCATTGGAAACATCAGCTACAAGCCCATTTGGATGATGTCAAGGTACAGCTTAAAGCTATAGTCCATCATTTGTAATTTGTGCATTTTGTTCGTTTGAAGCAACAAAAGTGTTCAAAATCTAATGAAGGATACTGAACAACTAACCCGATGGAGTTTCAGCTCAGCTTCAGTTTCATATTCCGAGAAAAACAGCATTCTAGGATCTCAATTTCAAATCAAAACTTGCTAAATCATGTTTTGAATTGTTTCGAATTGCAGCTTTACGCGTTATCGCGCACTGATCCGTCGAATTATAGCAACCGCGCGCGCCTGTGCGTCGTTCCAATGCTTGCGCACACTAATATATGACGGGGCGTCTAGTTTTGAAGACTTGACAAAGGAGGAGAGAGTCACAGTTTTTACAAAGGTCTTCTCCTTGGCAGAATTAATGAAATGTTGGAAGCTTGAGAATTCAACTACAAAAGAAGCATCCACATTATCCTGTATATTTAATGCTGTGGGAAACCAATAGAGGCCAAGCAGCTTTGATATTTGTGGGAGTGGTAGAGCCGTACCATGACTAAAGCAAATGGGCTTTTTCTGTTTGCTGTCCACATTGATGCAATTGTACACTCTGGCTTTAAGCAGAGGGGGCGGGGCAGCTTTTTAACTTTTATTTTTTACTGCTGAAACTCCACTTACTTAATTTTCAATGTTGTACATTGTTTCAAATATGCTCTTCAAAATTAGTTAATGTTTGCCTGATCGTAAGTCAATGTGACTGATCTTTAATCAATTACTCAGCATTGTTCACATTTTATACCATTCATAGCCTACAAATCCATTTGGAAATATCACAAATTAAACCACTGTTGTTTATAAAGGGAATCCACCTTTCATGGGTATCCAAAATTTGTAAAATCTGCAGAGTTTTTGTTGCATATTGAAAATGAATTTATGTTTCGCAGTGTCTACAAAGTAGTTTCTTATGAAGCATTGCAGGTTAAGCAGAATTTGTGCCTTCAACGGCAGCTTTTCTCCATTTATGGATCGGTCAATTCAGCTGGAAAATCAGTTTGCTTTGTCACTATTTGTTTTATGCAGTCGATAAATCTGGAGAGGAAACAGCTTTACCAGCAGTGGAACAGTAGCATTATTGGCATGGGACGACGTGATGAGGCCCACGCTGCAATGCAGGAAGCTCTAAGGTCAGTCAGTGGCTCATTTAAAAAAAGTTCAAGATAACAAATCTGAAAATAACTGGCAATAAATTTACCAATGATTTCTATTTATAGGTATCTTTAATTTAAACGTACAGCAATGTTTTTTTTAAAAAGAATTCTAACGCACAATCTCTTGCTTACTATTCTGCAAAACCAGACAGCCAGGCCACCAATCTGAGGCCCATTTCATGAGGTGCTAAGCCCATAAATTTGTTCAGCATAAAAAGCACTCTGCAGGTTCAACGTAGAATGTCATGTGACAGCTGATTTTTCTGAGCACATATTTCCAGAAGTCCAGAAGTATACTCAACAAGAATTTGTCTTCTTTGGTACACCTTCTGTGATGCAGAGGGAAGAGCATTTACATCAACAGGAAAACTGTCAAATCACTGAAAGCTGACTGGGCCCTACTCACTTTTCTTTACTCTGTAGCTTCTGTGGTGTACTTCGTGTTATCTTACTATCATTTTTCCAAACAATTTCTCTTGTTTCCACAGCCAACAGAACCAGCAGATCCTGTCATTGCAAACAGAGATCAATGGCTACCGCAAGTCCATTGCCAAGGAGCAAGAGAACAATGAGACTCTGACTATCCTAGTCAACAAGAATGAGGCTGACATGAACACTGTGCGCAAGCTGATTGCCTCCTGCATGTCCAAACAGGAGCAGATCAAGCAAGACTACAGCACCTATACAAGGATGCTGCATGAAACGGAGCAGGCCCTCACTAGGGCAACCACAGTAAGTTTGCTACAGTCTATTCTACTTTGATTTCCACAGAGCTGCTTGAATAGCACATCTAGGATCATTTGCATTTATCCCTAAAGTAACCTACTGAATTATTATCAAAATGCTTACTTGGACTAAAGATCATACTGGTACTAAACACCTCTTGACACTATTCCATATGGCTTGCTGTCATTTAGAAGAAGTCAAGAAATGTAGGTGATTTCCAACGCTCAGTCAATTGTCTGATTTTTGGAAATAAAAGAGTTGTACAGGGTGGCCCTCCAAAAAAGTAACCCACAAACAAAGGGATAATACAACCAAGCTATTTACGTAATGACCATTATTATGGTTTTGTCATAAACTAGTTTTTTTTCTGGTCATGCATCACAGAGTTTCATTGTTTTGAAAATGGTAGGTGAAAATCCCCTTGGGAAGTTTGGGGTAAAACATTATTGTGAACACAATCAGAGTGTTTTCTGCATCTGCACAGAACATTATAATTGAACCCTGGTCCCTAGACAGCATTCAAGATGGTGTGTGTGTATCAAAGGTGAAAGCAGATTTGGGGGTATAGTCCTCATTTGTAGACATACTTCAAATCCTTTGTGGTTTGTACTTTTGAGATCTTCAAGCTTATCCCCATTCCTTTAAGATCTTTTTCTTAAGATCCTTATATTACTTGTGCTTGGTTCCTGGCAGATGAGGCCTCCATTCTCATTGTCCATTGTATTGTTTGTACATCCTGGCTTTGTTCAATGACTTATTTATAATGTTTTATTTACGGTTCTCCTTTTTTCTCAATATCTTCAAGGACCGAACATTGCGGATGAATGAGGTCAACTCCCTGCGCAAGCAGATTGAGCGGGAATTCCTAGAAAAGATGAGGTTGGAGGAAGCCATCATGGAAACCATGCGACAGAAGATGACCATGGATAAAGTGTCACAGTATGTCAATAAGATGGCTAACAAAACGCGAAAGCTCATTGCGGAACAGGTAGGTGCATTGCATTGTCATTTTACTCCACTTATGTCATTTGTAGTTTTCCCCAAAAATTGGAAAGTTTAAAACAAAAGTCTCTGGTTGAAATGAGCAATAATATATAGGTTTGTATTTCAAAATAACTGATACATGCCATCTAGAGCAAGGAGTGATGTAAGTCAACCCTCAAGTTCAGGTTTGGGTTCAAATCATTAAGGTTCAGGTTTGGCAGCAAGTGGGAACATCAAGGGGATGTGTCAGGATATACAACATACAGCAATTAGGGTCTACAGGGCCTTTGCATGACCCAGTCACATTTCAGAATAAGACCCTGCCAGGCTAAATTGCAATAATTGCCAAAGTGCAAAATACAAAATGAAAGTTGAGTTGCGTACAATCAGTAGGAAAATTAATTTGAACGTGGAAGTATTGTTCACAAAATTTCTAATATAGTTTAGCAACAAGCAGACATAGTCTTGGATTATTAATGGTTATTCTCAGTCAGTTACATGTACATGATTGGGCTTCTTTGTCACAGTTTAGTCTTAAAGAGGTAGGGAGAATTTGTTAAGGTTTCTGAGATCCCTATGATGAACATCCTCCATCTTGGCAGCCGCTAACTGCTAAAGTCTTTGGATGCAATGAGCTATTCATGAAAGAAATTCATGCTCCTTCCTTTAATCCAGAATGGTGAGGTTGCAGGCAACAAGAGCATTTCATAGCTAGTGTATTATCTACCCATCATGAGCTTACAGGCTCTGCATTGAATTTTCTCCAGCATCTTGGCTTTTCCACAGCAGTTAGTCCAGGGTGCCAAGTAGGAGCAGAATATTCAGCTATGGGTCTAACATAACATGTGTAGATGTTGTCAGCTCATGTAATGGCATATATAAATACTGTCTTTATTACATGAAGTCTGCCATTCACTTTCTTTAACAACTTTTGAATTGAGTATCTCCGTTTAAGTTTTTAGGTATTTGCAGTCCCAGGATTTTTACTGCATCAACTGATTAAAGTTGTTATCTGTTTATGGCTTTTTTTTATCACTGACAACAGATCAACACAAGAGATCTGCAGTTTGTATTATAGATTGTTGGCATCATTTAATAGGAAACCATTTTTGACAACCGCCTTTAAGTAATGAGCACCATAATTAGTTAGGGAGTTAAACCTTCCATGGAATGGTGTTCCATTTAGAAAGAATACAAATATTGTTTGTCATTTCATTCCAAGGAAACCAAAGATAAACACCAGCCTGAGAAGCCGTATCAGATCAAGTCAGACTGGAATTTGGAAATTCTATTGATTGTATATTGATCCATCTATAAGTTGATCCAGAAAGAACTGAAATTTGAGATTCAAGTGACCATATTCCCATCTTGTATGTAATTGTAGGAAGCAGCCAGGGCTAAAGTAGAGAATGAGATATCTCGGGACACCCTGGACCTGTCCCACACATTGACCCGTGTGGAACACCTGGGCAAGAGCATGCAGGAACTGGACCAAGAGATCCATGAGAAGAACGAGATTATTTCCCGCAGTGAGAATGAGATCATCAAGCGTAATGCCGTCATTGAGCGAAAGCAGGGACTGATCGACCAGTACAACAAGAAGATTGAGGCCATCATCAGCTCTCAAGGGGTGAGTTTAATAATCCCATATATTTTGATATATATTTAAAATAGTGCCTGCTAGATGTGAAAAACTGATATATACACTTATAATCTCATACGGTGACCGGTTGTGCTTACTTCTGCGGCATTAGAGCGAACACCCTCTTTAGGGCGACACGCCATAACGCAAAAGTACTAGATAGCCAAAGAATTTTAATGTCGCAAATTGGCTTAATCGATTGCTCTTGGTCCAAAACGTAAAAATACCAAAATTTGTTTGAGTCGGATAAGGTAAAATTGGGTTAGGTCACATTAAAGTTTTGTACACATGTCTATGGAGCGGTTGCCCTAATATATATATATATGTAGTTATGCAATAAATTCAGAATATGATTTAAGCAAACTTTGGCATATTTAACTCATATTCTGAATTTATTGCATGGTTATAGCTCTACAGAGATGTATCGAGCACTGTGAATTGTGATAGAAGACGATTTCATTGGATATATATGTAGTTACATATATACATATATATAGGTTGAAATATCGCCGTGCATTGATAGTCCATTAAATTAGGGTCATTAACTCAACTCTGTGCTAATAGTTAGTGTATTACGGGGAATATTGGTTTGTTTGTATGTATTTATATAACAGTGCAGAGTGTCTTTGCTAGAAGGATGGTCATCAGGGCAGAAGTTTGTAGTTGACAGTGCCTTTTAAAGTAGTCCCAAATTTTGACTATGGCATTAAAAATAATCACCTTGAATTTGATTGGATTCTAGGGAGAGGAACTAGGTCCTTTAGAGCAGGAGGTCAACGGCCTCCAGAAGAACATCGATGCCAGAGTGCAGGAAATCGCCGACCTGCAACAGTTCTGGTTGCGGCAGCAAAGTGAACTGGTCAAACTGACCCAGGAGAATGACAGCCAACAGACAGAGGTCAACACCATGAAGAAAGCACTCACGATCCTCTTCCAGAAGAAGCTACGCATTGAGAGTGAGTGTTTGCTGATGAATCTAGCAATGACAATCAGATGCCATTACTGAGGTGGCTTCACCATGCAGTAAATGCTCCTTCAACCAGTTGGGTAGCTAAACTAAGTACAAATATTTGGTATTCGAAGAGCCCTTGTTTAAAACACAAGTAAAAAAAATGTTTTCAAAAGATTTTTCATTTGTTAATTCTTTTTGTACAAAAGTATAGAGACTTTTGCTTCAACACATAGCAAACTCCGTTGATATGTTGGATGACCAAATAACTAAAGAGGGAAACCGATGTGATTGAGTACTGTCTTTTCAGAGCTGTTTAGAAGTATGTGTTCATATTAAAATCTCTTCTTAGCAGAATAAACAGTTTAACCCTAACTCCTTTGCAGGAAGCTATGGCATATTATTACCTTTTTCAAACTGGCAGCGAAATCAGCCAAATCAAAATATGCCTAAAATTGAATACAGTAATTGAAAGGCTTGAAGTTTGAAACAGTTAGGAATGATTATGTCGAAAGTCGACTGTTGTAGTTGTCTGGAATGACTCACAAGCATCTTGAATTCAGATACTCAATGGAAAATTAATGCATAAAGCTTGCCTATCTGAATCCCAAGTCTGTTATGATCAACTTGAGTCGCTCCTAATACATTTTTGTTGTTGTCAAAGTCAGTCTCAGATACAAGGGGCATCAAGCCCCATGTAAAGTAATAGTGGCTGGGCTCATACCTTAATAGTCCTTAAAGGATCTTGATGGTTAGGTTTAAGGGGAAGTTGACTTGCAATCTGAGTGTTCCGGTGTAAATAATGATCCAATTTGCCTTGTCTTTGTAAAGTCTCTCATGATTTTGTCCTTGAGAAATTTTCTGCTGGCATCTGAACATCAGTCCCTCTCACTTTATACAATTTTAAGAGCTCCTTATGCATTAATTGTTGATTTTGTTTAAATTCTAAAATCAGATGACATCGGTACTCAGCAGAATGAGCATAAAGATGTAGAGCGCAGTATCAACAGTATGCAGAATGACATGCTTAAGCTGAACCTACTGTTGACCAAGGAAGGCAAGACTAGGGAACACCTCAAGCAAGACAACATCCTAATGGAGAATGACTTCATCCTGTCCCTCAAGGAGGCTGAGAAGGAGAGCATTGAGATGCAGAATACGCTTGAAGGGCTTGGGGAGGAGAAAGAACGACTGCTCAATAGTCTGGTGGAGGCTGAGTAAGTTCCAGTCATATGCTAAGTGCAAAATATATTGTCTTCTCAGTGCTTAAAGTCCATATTGGTAACATTCGCAAAGGGTCCATTGTTCAACAACATTAAAAAAGGAAGCAACAAAAAAAAAGGCAGAAACAAAAAAAGAGGCAGCAAGGACTCGAGTGTAGAAGTTTCAATATGAGTCTAGCTATTGAATGCGAGTCAAACTATTCGATACGAGTCTGGCTATTCAATATGAGTCTAGCTATTTGACATGAGTAGCTATTCACTACGGGCCTAGCTATTCGATATGAGTCTAGCTATTGAATATGAGTCTAGCTATGCAATCGGAGTCTAGCTAGCTATTCGAAATGAGCCTAGCTATTCAATATTAATCTATCTATTCAATGTGAGTCTCACTATCCGATACGAGTCCAGCACGTTTCCTTCCTCATCCAATATAAGACACTGATGGTGACTCTCATTTTTCCTGTTTCCTATCAGACGGCAGATCATGTTATGGGAGAAGAAAACCCAGCTGGCCCGTGAGGCCAAGGCCACTGTAGACTCGGAGGTTGGTCAGGGTGAGATACGAGCCATGACTGCTGAGATCCATCGCATGGAGGTGCGACACACCCAGCTCATGAAACTACAGGTCAGTTCGTATTTAAAGGCTTTAAAAACCTAAGCTTCATCTTCAGTTTCAGTTTAAGGAGATTTAAGGGGCCTTGGGGGAATCCAGCTAAATAGAGGTCCAGGTTTAGGGTTTTCCATTTGGTTGGACCATTAAAAGCTTCTCAATGATTCTGAAGCCATATATTAAGCAAACCATAAAGCCCATATTTCTAACCCTTAATAGTCCAAGACTTTTGTCAAGGGTACACTCACTACCGTACTCATGGATCTAAACTGAATGTTTAATAGATGGTTTACAGCATGTAGACTCAGCATGCACTGTGTGACGTAGTCATGAGAGCCAGTGACTTTGTATTATGGTGTACACATGCCGGTTGACATGCATATATGCTGCATGCAGTGTTTGTGACTTCTCATGTAACTCAATGTACACAAATCCTCAACAACAGTTACTTTGCATTTTTAACATTTAGGGCAAAGTCATCTGGAAAATCCTAATTTTCTTAACGTTGACAAAGATATGTCTTGTATAGACCAGTGCTCAGAGGCATGTACACTCATGGCGTTTGCAAGATTACCACAGGCGCATTGTGCCAGGTAGTTGTGTAATTGTTTTGGAGCATTGCTTTGTACAATAGCTGGCACACTCCTTTCACCATACTGTAGATCACAGCAATCCTGGGACAGATTAAACATGACTAGTGGAAGATTTTGACATTCATCGTTCCTTTTCTTTCCAGTACATCTAGTGTCTTTTTTCATTGGAAACAAAACTGTGACAATGTTATGAGATTATTCTTATTCAATAGTTAGTTATTTGTTTTTCTTGATTTACAGGAGAAGCTGATACAGGACATGGAAAAGGCGGTGTCTCGCCGCGACACCATTGTGACACGTGGTGACGCCCAGTCCAAGCTAAACAAGAAAGTGGAGACCAAGGGAACATTCCAGAAGAAACTGACGGAGATGAGGAAGAAGATCAAACAGACGCAACAGGTAGGACCAATTTCAGTCCAGCAGGACTCTAAATATCCGCAGGACTGCTGGACCTAGTCTTTTGAATGTACAGTAAACTCCGGCTAAACCGACATCGTATAAACCGTCATATCGCTTAAATCGGCCGTCTGACGAAAGTCCCGATTGTCTCTAATGCATTTCCATTGACATTTTCATTTCTAAGACGGCCTTTGTAAGCCGCCATTTCGCCTATGTCGGCGTGTTACTTTAAGTCCCATTTCCTCAAAACCACACAAATTCCTCTGTATAAGTCGGCATCGTGACATCTGTTTATCAATGGCACGGCCCTTGATATTGATGCATCGGTCAGCACGTGTACACTATTCGCACGTGTACACCGTTTCATGCACAGTCTGTACGTTGTGTGCACGAAGTACATGTCCATTCCGTACCATCAATACCAGTACCCCCTCTGGACTGCACGCATGCGCTGTGTTCATTTTGGGGGTCCCCTTATTGTACCAGTACCATGCACACATTTAATTTGTGACTGTACACGTACGTACGTGCACAATGTACACTTCATGTACATGGACGTACATGTACATGGACGTACAGTATGCAAGCGATCTGTATATCGTACCACTGTTAATGCTAGCCGGCCGCGCCATCCTTGCTTCGTACGTACATACATGTATGACTTTCTGTGATCAATACTACAGCCTGTTTGTGATGATAAACATTGAGGATATATTTGCTGGAATCAACCATGGATGTAGAAATAAACCAGGGTAAATCAAAGCCTTTGAATTTTAGCCATGAATCTTGTTTGCATGATCCAGATACAGATGCGCATAGGCCAATAATTTAATCTATTTTTTTTCACTCCGTGATTCAATTTGTGTATTTGTGTAAGTCGGCAAAATGCACTTGCAGCAGAAGCCGACATTCGCGTACCGTAAGTCATCACAAATTCTCTGGTCCCGAGAGTGCCGTCTTAGCCGGAGTTGACTGTACTTTAATATAATATGGTAGTGCACTGCTCAAATGCCATGGGATGAGGTAGGGTAAAGCTACTTTCTTTTAACTCAGTTTTCCAAAACGCGTCTTTGTCTCAGGCTTTTAATGCTTCATCCAAATGGATATATGCTCATCTTGGATCTCATTAAAGGATTTGTTCTTTCTGAAGAACATGGAACCCCCCCCCCCCAGGTCAGGGGCCAAAGGTCACACTTGAAGCCATGCTTAGAAAATATAAACCTTATCCATTGTACCCCTTCTTCCTCTTCCTCACAGGATGCAAATAACTGTGACCAAGACATCCAAGAGCTGCGCTCCCACCAGCAGATGCTAAGCCAGCAACTGGAGGAAAAGCAGACCAGTTTCCAGCAGTTACAGAGCACCGCCGACACACTGGATGGAGACCTGGACAGACTGGTGGAGATCAAGCAAAAGGTCCGTCTTGCAGGTCATGTCTGACTCATTCAGCTCATGGCATTGTTGTGCATAACTTCCTCTCTGTACAACAATAAGGTCCTCATTGGGAAATTTGGGCAAACCTTGGTTAAATTGTCAAATTAAGCAACACACAATAGCAAAACCTCAGTCAATTGCTGGGAAAAATTATTTCACAAATAGAGTCAGTGTGCGAGTTGTTTTCACCAGATGAACTCACTTTTCATTCTAAGAATTTGAGCTGAACTTATCACACAGCAAAGCTGTTCTTGTGAGCAACAGAAATGAAACTTTCCCGATATTAATCGGTAATCCGACTTTTTGACTTTTCCAATAGAAATTCCATTTTTTTTTACGATTCGTCCCACAAAAATTGATTTTTTTTTTTTACGATTTTCCCACAAAATTTAATTTTGTTTTTTTTATTATTTCCAAAAAATTTGGTGAAAGTCAGTGAAAACGGCACGTAAAATTATCACGAACGTAGTTCTAATCTCTTTCACCAGTCGTTAATGGAGTGTTTCTACAGTAAAAACACCTAGGCCAACACTGATCGGAGCCTTTTCCGGCTGGATAATAGTTTAAACATCAACCTGTGACATGGAAAAATCACTGCGTCACACGGTAATACTGTGTGTGTGAAGCGTGCATGTAGTACAGTACAGCTGCAAAGTATGGCGAAGAGAGCATTAGTGATTCGTTTCACTGGAAAAAGATGATAATGCCCAATTTTTTTCCCACGTATGTACAATACGAATACAAGTGAAGTAGTGGAGTTGGGTGATTGAATCGTGGACATGATTTAAGTGGTGTCATGAATGGTGCCCTTGTCTTTCAGACTTTTTCCTCGACTTTCTTAAGTAAGAAGTGAACTTCTTTGTTGATGAGTCCATTATGCTTACTGTAGTTCAGGCTTTTTGATTTTATGAAACACTGGCCATTTTGAGTATCGTAAAATTTCCTTTGGACCGAAATTAAAACAGGAGTCAGTGTCTGGAAATTGGGCATAAAATGCATTGTACATACATGTACAATTGTTGTACATACATGTACAATTGTATATGTTTAACTGCAGCGCTGCCCAGATTTCTACATTTATTTTTGTTTGGCGTATTTTGCATTTTTTTTTGCATAATGCTAGTTTCATCTCTGGAGCAAGAGCAAAATTTCAATTCTGACTGGATATTTGAAAAGTTGAAGTCCAGTTTGAACCAAACTTGGGTCATAGATGCAACATGGGAACCTTCACATGATAATGTCTAAGGTCACACACCAAGGTCAAAGGTCACTCTTTAAAGATAATCGTGAAATCAAGCGAGACGTGCTGTTCGAGAACCGCCTTGTTTTCTACTTGCCCACTTTGACAAAATGTAACCAACACCCCGAACTGACACTCGTGCGCAAGTGGGTGTCAGTTCCTGAAAACTGCGTTAATCAACAATTCAGGTTTCACGAACTGACAACCAGTAGTGCGCACTCACATCAAACACTGACGCGAATAGAATGATTTTTGATTTCACGAACTGATACCCAATCATGTTGCGGCAATACAGTACAGAAAAAAAAACGTTTTGAAAGGTTTGACATGAATTTAATCCTTCTGTATACTTGTGGCTTACACACAAATTTAATTAAAAACCATTTTAAGTGGTGAAATTAAGATCAGTGTCAGTTTGTGAAAACGCAAATGTACGGAGTGTGAGCTAGAAGTGCCGCACTGTGCTGGGTGTCAGTTCGTGAAAACGAAAATAACCTGGTTCAGTAAAAGTGTCAGTTCATGGTGTCGGTGACGAATTGTTATATCAGATCGGCTTCAAACTTTGTACATACAATGACCATCACATAAAAATGTGACCCCAATAATGTCATGATCCTAATCATGATATTTTTGCAAGTTTAGACTACATTTTGGTCACTTTATTGCACATATAGAATAAGGACTTTAATTTTAATAAAATGTGCTAAAAATCGAAAAAAAGTTAGTTCATACATTATTGTATTCCTCTTACAGAATATGGCAGATCTTCTGGCCAAGCAGCAGCGTGTTAAATACTACCAGGCTCTGAAGGATGGCAAGTACACACTGCTGTGTAAGACAGAGGCAGCACTGGAGTCTGAGATGCAGAAGCAGACTGATCGCATGCATACCATTGCCACCATTGTGGACCGCATCAATCAGGAGTACCCACATGTGCAGCCGGCCATGCGTAAAGTCATGGTCATGCTTAGCTCCAGGGGAGTGGGGGAGGAGGAGCAGTAAAGGGAATGGCAAAGTAGGGTTGGGAAAGGAGACATTGAAGGAATGGCAGGCTTGGATGAAGAGTTTAGGGAATAGTATCCAGGTTTCAAGAAGACTGCAAAGTTTAATTGTTACTGTTGCCTGGCAGAAGATAGGTATGAGAGGAGAAGCAGTTGCTAAATATTCTTGTTAGTCACTAAATATTATGTAAGCATTGTTTTGTAGGGGGAACAAGTTACAATGCATTTGTTTATTTTTTGAAATCCATCCTCCATTACATAAATAAGAAACAGAATAATACAGACTTACATGTACATTGCAAATACTTGTATGAAGTGTGTTTATTTGTACAAAACTTTCTTCTGTTAGTATGTCATAGATATCAAATTGATACGTGTAAAAAAAAGTAGCATTTACTATGAGTGTTAATAAAGATATTCGTTGGGTTCAGAAGAAAACTCTTAAATCACATTTCATGGAATTTTTGTGAGTTTTATGTAAGTCCTATACGTCATCCATGTTCATGATAACCTTTTTCCTGCATCATCAACTTTATTTGGTGTTCACCCTTTTACATCTAAGCTTCCAACAGTATTCAATGCACAAGTGAAGTAGTGATCACAAACAAATTAACTTCACAAACAGAAGTCATGACAGTTTGAGAGGACAGAAGCTTATGTAAATTAGTCTGGTGCAGAGAGAATGTGAACGTATGTATTCACACTGACATTGAGAAGACTCGGCAATCATTCTAACTGCCATCATACCCACTTCACTATGTAGTAATTCTTCTTCCCTGAAACAAAACAAAATTTGAAATTCATTGTTAAGTGTGATAATTAATGCGTAAATATTGAGAGAAAGAAAGACATGTGAATTGAAAACAAGCCATTATTCTACTTTAAATGAACAATCCGGATGGAGTAGACATTCTTTAACAGGGTCAGTTTTATGGTGCAGCTCACCTCAGTTGCAAAGTGGAAAATGTTGTTCAATGAGGAATACAAAATTTGAGAGAAAGTGGAGGAATCCAGGCCTGCGATTGCTGTCCACTCACAAGGCCCCCCTTCAATGGAGAAACCACTGTGTACGCTATTATACAAAGTAACAGCCCTGTGATGGATTTGCTGAACAACAGCTAGCACAATGCTTTTGCCATTGAAGGGGGCCTTCATGATAGAATTGATAGCGTGCCCGGATTGGTCTGTAAGCACTATGCACAGAGAAAAGTACACTTATTTCATAGACACAAATTGCATTAAGTAATGCAGCAGTACAATACTTTTGGGAACGAGCTGTTCTCAGAAACAAGCTGTGCTCTTCCCATGAAAAACATTCCATAAGGCAAAAAAAAAAAGTCCCTGGTTTCTGGTCTGCGCACGAGTCACCGTAGCCATGCGCCTTGGCAAAATGAAAAAGTTTTTTTTTCAATGTAAGATGATGTCTCAAAACCGCCAAACTCACTGGTTTGACTGGAATCCTGCTACTGCACAATTTTAACGTGTTTTTATATCATCATGCAGGGGTGTGAAATTTCAGCTTTAAAGCTGATTTCAGCTTTTTTGTTGTGGATTTCAGTTTTTTCCCCTCACTTGTTGTGAACAAAAGTATAGGAGATTTCCAAAGTTCAGCTTTTTTACACCTTTTTCAGCTGTTTTCAGCTATTTTTATCAGTGGTCACTCACCCCTGTAGATGGGATTACGATCGAGTGTAAACTTTATGTGGCCTCTCTGGGCTCCCATATAATTTGCACTAAATTCAGTCGGGCACCATTTGCAGACAGTGTTGTAATTTTGTAATTGTGTGTCTGGAAGCCAGACTGAGGGAGCGATTGTCGTGTATCTGGAACCTGTAAACGCTTTTTAATTAGCGCATTATGTAAGGGAGCAGACTAATAACCAGCCTGGCAGCACATGCACGATGTCGGTGTCGCTGTATGGTCTGACGTTACCGTTTTGTCTGATTTTTGTCTCGACTATCCAAATTTCCCGAAGAACGTTCGTGTTGGTTGAGACCTGAGTGGGTGCAGAATTCTCAAGCCTTATATGGCCTTACTGAGGTCACCTCAAGCTCCACTCTGCGTCACTGCAACATCAGCCGACATTTGAAGAAGAAAAAAAGAGGGGAAGAAAAAAAAACAACCGCGTCACCGCACCACTTTCGGGGCAAGCTCCATACCAGAAACCGGAGACTTGGTTTTTTGGGCCTAAGAAGTAAGAAAGAATAATGCTCTGAGACACTTGCCTCACAGAACACAAAAAGAAATTCACCAGCTCTGAAATGTGTTCAATATTGGTAACTCGGCAGTGCTAATACTTGGGGACATCATCCATTCATGTCCGTATTCACTTTTGCACAGCATATGAACCGGCCTTATTACAGCTGAAGTTAGTTCCCTATAATATCTGTGCTGTTATGAGTTTCACTCTGAAGTTTGCAGTCGGACAATATTTCACTTTTTTTTCCAGAATATGGCTCCCACCCCCTATAAGCAGGGACAAGTAAGCGGTCTACTCATAAGGCTGATGTTTGGGGCAAAATTGACCCAAAATAAAAGCTTTTTTTTCAGAGGGTTGCAAACGTCCATAATTAAAAAGGACTGATTTTTGTAAATTGAAACGAGTTAAAATTCACTAGGAGAAAAGAAAATCAGTTTGTTGAAGAGCACGTACAGTACATCTGAAAAGCACTCTAATGTCAAATAGCTTGAAACTTACCAACTCTTATCAGAGTGAGACCATTTGCAAGTATATGTTCATCTTTGATCAGAACCCTTGATGCATCTGTGACTCGTTGATTGTTGATGTAAACCCCACCAGCACTCAGAATTAAGTCACCCTTGTCTGTCAAGAAATTAAAAGAAACAGTTGCACATCATATTTTCAGGTAAAGCATTTCGTTTCCCTGTTGAAAAAAAAAAGCATTTCGTTTCCCTGTTGAAAAAAAAAATACAGAACCAGAAATAATCATTTTAAATTAAACCCTGGAATTAATTCTACAAATTGTTTGGTAATACATGTTTAAATAAATTTAAATGCCCCATGTTTTTCAATCATTGAGAAAACTGTAGAACCACATATAACTCATATAAAATCAGATAATTGCCTGACAGTTCAAGAAATTTATATTTGCTTCACTCTCTGTTAAAAAAAACCCCCAAAAGAGCCAGACATAAAGTGTATTAAATTAACTCGTGGAATATTTGGAAAAAGTATTTGACTGTTCCGTTTATCTAAACTGGCTTTAGTTGGTAATGTTGAAGCTTGTCAATCCAAAGCTGGTCAACAAAGAACTTTAGCTACATTCATTGAGCTACTCTGTGACACTGAGTAAAAAATATCAGTATTATCCTTTTCTTTAAATTACTTCTGAAATTTATCCTACATATCCCCCAGATTACATATCCCCCTAATCAGATATTGGCGCCAAACCCCTACAGCTGGAGCAGAGATTCTATAGCGGTGTTGTCGCAGTCCAAGACTCCAGTCGCAATTGTGGTGACTCTGACCCCGAGTCCCATCGTCAAAGGACTCGGACTCTGACTTGTCCATCATGACTCAGATTTGCCGGTAATGACTTGCCACTTCTTCTTTTTTACCAAAAAATAGCATCTAAAGAACATAATTGTGACCTTATATACCGCACGTAACATTAAAGCAACGCTAAAGTCCATTCAGTTTGTTGTCATCTATTGCCCTCCATCTCCTGCTAATGGCTTCAAGACCTCAGACTTTATGGTTGAGTGTGAGAAATTCCTTGATGAACTTTCCATCATTCCATGCCAGTTGGTGCTATTGGGAGACTTCAACTTAAAGGTAGAGTCCATCATTTGCAGCCATCCGAGAAGTAACTGGCGTAATTATTGTTGAAAAACTAACTTGGTTGAAAGATAGTAAGGGGACTAAACTCACTGTGAAATTATTCTTTCTGGGAAGCTGTCATTTTGAAGTAATCAACGAAAGAAGGCATTTCCAACGGTGATTCTTAAGAAGCACCGTAGGAAAATTTAAATTAGTAGTTGTTTTGTTATTCAGCGAAGCGCGCACAAGTATTCGAACGACGCACACGCGCGCGCGGTTGTTATAATTCGTCGGATCAGTGCGCGACGTCGCGTATAGTTGCAATTCAAAACAATTCAAAACATGATTCAGCAACTTTTGATTTGAAATTGAGATCTTAGAATGCTGTTTTTCTCGGAATGTACAGCTGAAGCTTAGCTGAAACTTCATCAGGTTAGTTGCTCAGTATCCTTCATTGTTGCTTCAAACGAACAAAATGCACAAATTACAAATGATGGACTATACCTTTAAATGTAGATACTCTGGATGTAAATACAGATACAGATACAAATGTAGATACAAATCGGATGTAAAGCAATTTCTCTCAACTCTCTGCCTCCGGTTTTCACCAACATATTACTGGTCCCACTCATAAACATGGCCACACGGTTGATTTATTGATCTCTCGCTTCGATGACGACATAGTTACAAAATGGCACACAAATCCAGTTCTGCACTCTGATTGTCACATTATCAAGTGCATCTTAAAGTATGAGAAGCTGCCTCCCATGAAGGTAACAAAAACGTCTCGTGGATATGGAAAGATCAGTTTAGAGTTGCTCCAGAATCTACTTGATGAGCGCCTTGGAGATACTGTGCGGACTGAAGATGATCCCAATCTTCTCTCTGATACATACACGTTCATCACTACATCCGTGCTTCATGAGGTCTGCCCTGTCACCACCAGAGTTTGCACAATCAAATCCAGGCTACCGTGGTATGACTACACCATCCACAAAGAAAGATGAATTCGTAGACGGCTTGAGTGCAAATGGCACAAAAGTCGTTTGGACACCGACTACGATGCATTTGTAATTCATAACAATTGTGTACTGAAGCTGATTGCTGATGCCAAGAAAGCATACTACTTCAATGAATTCTCCAATGCCAGTTCCAAGGACTTCTGAAGGGGGTCTTCTGAACACCTGTCCAAAGACATTGCAAGTTTGTGACTCTGATAATGAACTTGCTGATGGTTTTATGTCTTTCTCCGTTGATAAAGTTGAGCAAATTAGATCTAAGGTTGCATCTGAGACTTCATCATGCTCTGATACCATGATATGTCAGTCTCAGTTGGATCCTTGCATAAATCTGCCCAATTTCAAGATTCTCACCAAATCCAACGTTGAGAAATGCATTAGGCAGTTTCCAAACAAGTCTTGTTCACTAGACACGTTCTACGTCGTACCAGAGTGTCTATTAAGACTGTTCAATCTTTTGAGCAGATTTTCAGTACCCCAGGGCTCTGTAATAGGCCTGCAGTGCTTACTATGTACACTCATCCAATTGGTGATATCATGATCAGAGAACACAATCTCAATTTTCACCTTTATGCAGACGATACCCAGCTCTATACAGAATTTGATGCAAAGGTTGCCGGTGATTCTGAGTGTGTAATTACTAAACTTTCCACTTGTATTTCTAGGATCAAAACTTGGATGGTTCATAAAAGTTTGGTGGAGTCCGAGTCAGAGTCATTTTCCAATGTGACTTGAGTCGAGTCCGAGTCACAAAAAATGTGACTCGAGTCCTACAACACTGGTAGAGCGCCAAATAAAATGCTCTTTATTATTGTTATTTTGGCATCCATTCATGGATAGAAATGATTCCTACAACCAAAGCTTCAGTAATCAATAATTAACAAACACTTTTAAAACACTGGGCTCGACATGAAAATTGTTTAAGACTTTTTGGCTTGAAAATCTTTGGGTGCATGCTCGTTCACCTGATGACTCATGAAACATGAACTGAAAATGTAACCAGATCAGGATAATCATTGTGGACCTTCAAAATTCTGTTTCAGGACCAGACTTACGTCCCTGTGGCAGACATTTGACCCTATCAAGCATCTGTGCTATGCTGAACCCCGGTTCCAATAGAAGTCTGGTAACTGTCGCTCCTTGGAAGAGCTCTGTAATCTCAGCATCATTGAGCTGCTCTAGACTTGCTGGGCTGGTATGGTACAGAGCCTCAGTCTGTCTCAATGCTCTGTCAAGACCAATTTCTGCAAAAGATTCAAAGTCAAGAAACCAGTCAACTCCCAGGGCAAGGAGGTTCTGAAAGGACAAGGACAAGGACAAAGACAAAGGACAAGCCATCCTGCTAAGATTTCAAACTGCATCGCTAAAGTTTTGCTGCCCTGTTAAACTTTTAACCAGCCTAGTTTTTCTTAAATTACCCATTTTACATTTCAGCTAACAAAGAAGACTATGCCACTCCATTAATGCCTGATCTTTATAAAATAAATAGTGAACAAAATATTAAAGAGTAAGCCCTGTCAGAACCACAGTTTTCTGAACTAGTTGCTTGTACACAGCACAGCATGGAGGCATACTATGGTACTGAAAGGGTCAACAGAATCAGTTTTATTAACCATCAAATGGAGAGATTCACTTTACAGACAAGGTAACTGAGTTACAAAACTATTACAATTGTTCTTTTATGAGCTGATCACAGGCCATCAGGGTTTAAGTTGAATATTTAACCAGTTTACACCGGGATTATTTTGACAAGAACGGAACGAGGCGCAGGATTTATTTTCACTCAACCTCAAGCCAGGCGGGTTGAAGACATCACCCTCGGGCAGCACACTCATATTTCCGGCCTCGCTCACGCGCTGCGAGCGGGTCATTGACAGATATTTCAGGCCTCGCTCCCTGGGTGTTTATCTGTCATACCGCAAAACTTTTGCACGTATACACGGCCTCCGACGCGAACTGGTTAAATGAAATAGCTTACCTCCATGCACAAGTAGCAGAACTTGCTCTGCTAGTTTTTCTTGGGCCTTGCGATTCTTAGGCGTTTTCTATGGATAGAGAAAATTAAGTGATATTACCTGCATTAAATGTGTCTTGTGAAACAGGTGATAAAGACTAACCATCCAAGCTAAGTCTTTGGAACAGGCCAAAATATGCACAGCCCAACTTGAAGACATGATACACAGCAGATCTACTAGCAAATAGATAGCCCACCTGACATGCTGACAAAGAGATAGCAGGCACTGTTCTAGACAAACTTGGGGACTTTTTTAACAAACGGAATCTATTTTGGAAGCACTAATTTTGAAATATTTTCGAATAATTGTGTACAGTTTGAAACCCATTCTGGAGAAAATACAAGAATGTCAGTATTTTGAAGCAGTTGCAGAGGCCACAGCTCCCCTATCCCTCTTCCCTTCATAGACGTCCCTCTCCTCTCCCATACACCATGCCTGCTAGACAATAACCTTGTGAAGTCTCATGACGTCAGCAATCTCATTCAGTGGTAGGAGAGTGAACAGCTTGAGGTAATGCTCCATGTCAGCATCAGGTAGTCGCAAGAAGTGCTGCACGAAAAAAAAAATGGTTTAGTTTTAGGATACAAACATCGGGGAGACAACACTGTAGCACATTTTAGGGGAAGTTCCCCTCACCCCTTCCCACCATCGTCTTGTTTTGGAATTATTTTTTGAACAATTAAAAGAAACACCTTGTCATAAAGTTCAATGCTTCTCAGCCCTTCCATTCCCTCTACTGCATTACCCACATTTAAAAATAATTTGTAAACAAAACCAACATAATTTGAGAACAGAACCATTTTCGGGGGAATAATTAAAAGTTTTAAGGAGGGGCTGATCTCCATTTAAAGATGATATCTTTAATAGCCCTGAGGGTGTTGGGGAAACTGTGTACCACCTGGGCCCAATCTCATAACGCTGCTTAACAGCCGTTGTGCTTATCAAGCTCAAGGGCGGATCCAGGGGGGAGGGGGGGGGGGAGGGGGGCCAATGGGGGCCATGCAACCCCCCCCCCCCAAAAAAAAAACACCCTTTTTTTTTTTTTTTGGTAAGCGACATCGCAATAAAGGCAGGCACTGCCTACACCACCATCTTTTCCTCAAAAAGATTTGGTTAAAGGGAATATACAACATTTGCAAACATCGAAAAATAAAACTACCAAGTTTTTACAAAATACCTTACTAGGATGTTGGTAAATGACAGTCTCCAGCATCTTGTAAAATTATGGTACCTGGTGTGAAGTCATTTTCAAGAAAATGGTATTTTTGTAAACATTTCCAACGGTGGTCGGCCGACCAGCGTTGGAAAAACCTAACTATTTTTCAACTACTGCTCCAAATTTACCATTTTTTTCAGTCAAAATTTTGTTTGCTATTGGTTACATGTTCATGAATGGGTGCAGGCCAGCTAGACTGGTTCCCTTGCCTTACAATTTTCCATCATCTATAAATTGATCCATTTTATCTTTTGTGGAGTCGGGGAACCAGACTACTTGAAAATTTTTGTTTTTCTTGGTTTTTCCAACCTTTTCGAACACCAAACTTCAAAAATGTCAGTGTAACAATATTTGATCTATTATACTAACCTCTCAAATAGTTCATTTCTGAAAATTACAGCAAAAGCCAATGATGTACATTCCCTTTAAAGTGGTCAGAAATTGCCTCAGATCGCACCACAGAGCATCTAGAATCCAAAACAATTTTTACCAGATCCCACGCCGTAATTTTTGGGACCCACTTTTAGGGGACCACATTTTTTTGCCCCCCCCCCCCAACGTTTGCACATCCACGCCATGAAGTAGATTTTTCTGCTGGCAGGGCTATGAAATTGGGCCCCGGTTAGGGAAGCATATTTATACAAAGCATGAAGTCTAAGGGCTATTGTGCCACTTGAGACTAAATATGCAAAAGATAGCTCACTGAAAAAACTAAAACCAGATCAAATTTGTTTAAAGGAACACACTCAAATGCCACTTTAACAAACATCACTACATGTATAAACAGCACATTAAGCTAAAACCAATATTTCTTTAGGCTCCAAATTTCATGTAAAATTACACAGTACTTGCATCTTGGAAATGCCATGACAAACAACTCCAAAACCAAACAATCCTTTTTTTATGCTATTTCATTTGTGCATAGCGGCATTCTACTGTATGCTTGCTAGAGATTGTCCATGACAAACTCTAGGGGTTGCTCTGACCTGGTAGAGGTCCAAGGCTGAGGTCTTCTCCTCATTGATCCATACAGCATTCCCAGCAGTCTTGCCCAATTTGTCTCCAGTTGAACTTGTAACTAATGGGATAACAATACCTGGTGACATAGTCCAAAACAAAGATTTTGAGAAAAATAAATTAAAGGATTTGAAAATTCTTAATACTTATTTATTGGCCAATTAAATGGCAGTTCAAACAGTTACATCTACTCAAAACCCTCTCCAAAGAAGTCACTGATTGAGTTGGGTTTTTTTTTACCTTCTCTTATGAGAAAAAGTAATAATGCAATATATGAACAGAACAAACAAAATTATCACAATAATTTCAACAAATGTAAATATACAAAGAATTTACTTCTGAAACTTGCCCACAAGAACAATTCCAGATTTTAGAAAATCCAACATGTTTTGAAGGCCTTTACAAAATTCAGGAAAGGTAGAACCAAACCCATAACATGACAGTACAGGGTGAGTTAAAAAAAATGTCCATTTTGATAGTCCTTGTCTCCCATACAAACAAGAAAGATTACAAATTGTTTCTATTCACCCATCATTCGGTCTGGGTATTGACCACGGTAAAGTCAGTACAAGTTTCACTGATATTCAGTCATACATGATAAGAATCCATGCCTTTCTTTGTGACTACCCAACACAATGTTCAGAATAGGCCTTTTGCTATCAACACAATGGCAACAATGGGCCTCAGGACAATTAGAGAAATAAAAGGAATAACAAACACGTTATCAATTAAATTTAGTAACATTTATTAAACTGTAACTGAGTTACAGATAAGGTTTACATCTTCACTGTCCTGCTGCTCGGCCTTCCACCTGTCTGTCATTCGGATCAATGCATAGTTGCGCCCGTGTCCTCATGTCTGCAATAGCTCTGCGGACCGTCCGTGTTCTTAAGGGGACTTGGATTTCACCAGTGGCACAATACCGTACAACTGGTCCTTGAGGTACCCCCAAAGGAAAAAATAATCAAGGGGGGTAAGATCTGGCGATCTTGGCGTCCCTTGTTCAGGTTCTTGCTTGTGCCATTTTGTCCATATTTTACAGCGTTTCTGTACTTTCCTCCGGAAAGTGTTCTCCTAATTGACGTATCGTTTCTTGTACACTTTTACCTGTTTCATAAAACGTTCTGACCATGAAGGCCCTTTGGAAAGCAGTAAACCGTGGCCTTGCCATCACTAATTTGAAATGTTCTGAATAGCATTCAGTGTGCTTGCCCTTAAATAACTATCCCCTTAAAAAAAACAGGATGTACACATTGTGTTAGTAGTGTTTTTGAGTAGTCACAAAGAAAGGCCTGTATCCTTTTCATGCATGGCTGCATATCAGTAAAACTTGTACTAACTGTCGTCAGTACAATTTTTGTGGGAGACAAGGATTTATCCAATGAACATTTTTTTTTACTCACCCTGTACAACAAATGCACCCGTGGCTTTCTCACAGCGGAAGATTTTTTAAGGATTCCTGCAGCCGATTTCATGAAACCGTACGTAACTTACACCATGCAAAGGACTTACGCACCAAATTTGTTGCGTAGCTGAGCAATACATTTTCGATCGATTTTGCGAAATGTGGCTTAGCTGTGTAACGTTTTAAATAATCTAAACATCTTGGACGAGGATAATAACAGCATTTACAACGGCTGTTTGTGTATGATTTCGTTCGGTCACAAAACAGTCTTTGAATAAACTCCGCCCGCCATTTTGAAAATAATTGTGTCAACTTTCTTTGGAATCATGCGGAAACTCTCAAAATTCTGTCACAAGTAAAATAGCAACTCAGTACCTCAAACAAAGCGTTGAGTGTCTTGTATCAACGTTGATAAGTTGCACAATGACTGTCTCCAAGATGCTCACAATTTGCTAGTAAAATAGGTCATGTTTAGTCGCTATGCCCAGGATGATTGCGCAGGTTATGAGAAATGATTGTGCAGGTTACGCCATAATTTTTACACCAGAATGAAATGGTCATATTAAACTGAAATATTGCGCAGCACAACATGTTGCTTAAGTAATATGCAATAAATTGTGCCGCAAGCTATGGCATTGCGTAAAGATTTGTGATATTGGCTGCTGCAAGTAAGGGTTTATTGTAACCTTATCCGCTTAAGATGAATGACTACCCCCCCCCCCCTCAAACATGCATAAAACTTACTGAAGTCCCACAACTTCTCAAGTGTTGCTTACCATACACATCCTTGCCTGTGACCCTCTTGACCAGCTCATGGCCTGTCATTAGGTTTCCCAGTTGATCTGTCCCTCCTAGCTTGTAAACACACAAGAATAAGGAGCTTTTAACTGAGTTGTACTCAAGTCAATCTCAAGTCCATCACCAGTCAGTCACAAGTCAAATAGACCCATCCATAGACCGATCAACTCTCATTTGAAATTGTGCACTTCGAGCACTTAAAAAATACCATTTTTTTTATTCGCCTTGTAAAGCAGCGGCAATGTGACATGGATGGGTTTATTCCGGCACGAGACCCAGTCCTACAAAGGGCCTCTAAAACAGGCTTATTATGCACAAAGAAGATTGACAGGTATACTCCCGCAGTGACATTTTAATTTGCTGCCGAACCCGAACCATTGCAGAACCGAACCCGAACCGAACCTGAGAGTTCACTTACAGCACTACTCCAACGCCACACTGCATGTTCCAGCCGTGCATGTCATACTAGTGTACACACATGTCAGACTTCTGTGTACGCATGTCAGACGTAAATCACAGCTGTGATTGGTCAGAACAACATGGGGCGGGGCTTACTGGATGGGTCTATTAAAAGTCAGGTCATGGGGATGCACAGTGAAATGGAAGGACTTTGTCACAGTTGATTTGAGACTGAACTTGAGACTAACTCTGCAACATTTGGTTCACTCAACAAATCCTGTTTGATTGAACATATGTGGAAATCTTCTCTCTCTGGAGAGAAGCAACAGCATTTTATTGTCAAATGTCACCAGTTCCAATATTTAACCATACAGTGACCATACCACAACACAGACAGACTACCAGGCAAGTGACCCAGGTTACTATCAAAGAAGAAAACCAGAATAAACAAGAAGCAACTGCTCAATGAAATCAACCCATCTGGATGAGGTGTTTAAAAACTCACTTGGATGAGACAGCCATACTCATGGTGAAGATGCAAAAAGTCATAGGCCTGGAATAACTGATAGGAGAACTCAGCAAAACTCATCCCCTGAGAACTGGCTAGACGAGTCTGGACACTAGTCATGAGAATGACAGGTTAACGGTCAAACCAATACATAGTCATAAGTTTGAACATTTCAGGCTAGGTTGAGTAGGCCATAAGAAATTCAATTTCAGCCACAATCGCATGGATTTTTGACAAGTTTAAAGCCATGTAGGATCATTTGCAATTACCCAGAAATGTACCTACAGATTTCATGACAGAAACCTTGCTATACATGTAAGTGGAGATAGGATATATATCAAATACCGTGTGAATTATTTCTGCCTGAAGTGATACCATTCGGAAGAAAACAAACATTGAATGTGGTTTCGAAATAGGCTGCCTGTGGGCACACTTTTTTTTACATGCATTTGACCCAAACGATTTTGCAAGTGTTTTTTGTTTTCTCAAATATATGTAAAGTAGCCACTGAGCTAAAGCTTCAACATATGAACCCGACCTAAGATTTTGAGCAGTGGTGTTGTTTCAAACAGACAAAAATGTGCAAAAAAGCAGCTGATCCTATGTAGAAAAGTGGTTAGGATTAGGTACTAATCTAAGAGTAGAGTTAATGCCATCAGAAGTGGTGATTAATCATGTTAGAGATTATATTACCTTTGTCTGGAGAGCAACTTTCCCATTCTCAGCTGACGACCGACACCTGCCAGAAACCTTAGAACATTCATGTCTTTGTACCAGCTTTTGTTGTCCATAATTCTAAAAGGTCAAAACATATCAAAGACTTCTAACTTATCTGGGATTTAACTGGGAAACATCTTGTTGGTGATTCAAGTGTTCCACCAGCAGAGTTATCATATCACATCAAGGACATATTTGTTGTGTACTGTAGAACTAGATTCAGCTTCAACACTCGTTTGAAAGACATACATGTATGTAAAGATTTTTAACAGAATTTTGTGTTGTAAAGATGAAAATTTAAATTGTGTTTAGCACTTTACTGGAACAACAAAGAACTCCAATAAAGGGATAAGGAGGACAAAAATAACAGGTGACCACACTAGACACATGGGAGACAATGGTAAGATGGCCAAAATGACTGGTAGCAAAATGGACAGGACAAAGTGGCCACAATTAATGATCTTTAATCCACAATGGATAGGTGGCCACAATGAACAAGATGCCAACAATATCTCACCTGATTTTTGGAAGCTGCTTGTCCTCTTTCCAGAAGTACCTCTCATGATTTGTGAAGATTCTCTGCAGACTACTTTTGATGGAGGCTGCATTGGATTGTACCACTGATGATTCCAGGGGCGTTCTCTCTGTTGTCTTCCCACTTGGATCTCCTATCAGTGCTGTTGCACCACCAATCTGAACGTTACAATTAATATGTTATTAAAGCTACAGTCCATCATTTGCAGCTATCAAAAAAGTGACTGACGTAATTATATTGTTGAAAAACATACTTGGTTGAAAGATTGCAAGGGGACTAAACTCCCTGTGAAATTATTCTTTCGGGCATGCTGTCATTTTGAAGAAATCAACGAGAGAAGGCCTTTCCAATGGTGCGTCTTAAGACGCACCGTTGGAAATTTCCATTAGTAGTTCATTTTTTATACGGCAAAGTGCGCGCAAACGTTGACACGACGCACACGTGCACGCCCTCTTTAATTCATCGGATCAGTGCGCGACACCGCGTAGCTGCATTCAGCTCAGTAAGAACATGTCTCGGACGGTGAATTGAGGCCCAATTCAAAACATGATTCAGCACCTTTTGATTTGAAATCGAGATCCTAGAAGGTTGCTTTTCTCGAAAAATACAGCTGAAGCTGAACAGAAACTTCATCAGCTTGGTTGATCACCCTTCTTTAGATTTTGAGAATGTTTGTTGCTTCAAACGAACAAAATGCACAAATTACAAATGATGGACTATACCTTTAAACAAGTGTAATGTTCATGTTTTGTTGTATTCTCTTTCTCCACCAAACTCTAGTCATTCCCTTCCCATACTTACCAAAGCAATGGGGTTATGACCTGCCCTCTGGCAATGTAACAATGCAATGATGGCTAGGAGGTTACCGATATGAAGACTGTCTGCTGTGGGGTCAAAGCCGCAGTATATGCACTGTGGGCCAGAACTCAACACTTTGGGAAGGTCACTGCAAGGAAATATATTGAAAAGCTTGCTCACTGCACATCCTGTGTAATGTTAGTTATATAATTGTTGAGTTTCGACTACATGAAATAATCTTTTATACTATAAACATTTTACTTGGGTGGGTGGAAGAAGTTCAGGGAGCTGGCCCCATTTTTAACATCTAAGGCACTGCCCCTGAAGATGAAGGGTCAAGTATACACTGCTTGTATCCATAGAGAGCTATAGAGAGAAAGCAGGCCAACCCAGACTGGACAATGGCCTCAAAACTGACAATGATAATGATGATGATGACTTGGCCTAACTAGTAAAAATTATAAGCGGCTTTTCGCACCAATGGCAACCATATTGGATTCCAAGTATTCCTTGAAGTTGGTTATGTGATCATGTATTTTAGTCTTTATTGATACTTGATAGGATTGGGAAAAGAAAACTTGGTTTTGATTCACCTAAATGCATATTTCCAATTTTGATACAAAAAACACCAAATTTTATGACTACTAGTACATGGCAACCATGGCAGCCGAAAAGTGAAAATGATATTTGGCATTATTTTACAATGTACAATATAGGTATGGACGTCGGGCAGGGTCCCATCCGAATGGCGGGATGGGCTCATCATCTCCCTCTTCAAGGGAGAGGGACCCTGAAATCAATGCGGTAGCTATCAACCGATCACCTGGAACGTACCTGTCAGTACCTGGAAAGGTGTTTTGCCACATACGACAATCCTGTATACATGTACAACCATTGCTCAACCCCCAACGATCCGGTTTCACGAAGGGATGCTCAACCATGGACGCCGTGCTTGCTATATGGCTCCTCTCGGAACTCCACCATGGATTCATGAGACCTCTCAATGTGGCCTATATTGACATCAAGGCTGCATTTGACTCGGTAGACAGGAGCGCTTTGTGGAACGCTCTGGCAGCTTCTGGAACACCCCCTTACTACTCAACCTTATCAAGGATCTCCACAACGGCACTACATCAAGAGTTTGGCTTGGCAGTGACGTGTCTGAAGCCTTCTCAACATCTTCAGGTGTTCGTCTGGGATGTATCCTTGCTCCTACACTCTTCTGTCGTGCCATCGACTGGATCATTGATAGGTGTCAGGATGATCTAGGAACCACAGTTGGCAATGTGCTCTTCACTGACCTTGATTATGCAGATGACGCAGCTCTCATCACAGATAACCCCAACCAGTGGTCATCCAAGCTTCTCAGGTTTGAGGAAGAGGCTGCAACCATGGGTATGCATATCTCCTGGGCCAAGACCAAGATCCAAAACACTGGTTCAGGACCATCCCCCGATTCCATCACTGTGGCAGGGCAGGCAGTTGATGCAGTGGAGATATTCACATATCTTGGATGCGACATTCACTCCGATGGATACTCCTCACAAGAGGTGAAAGAAACACCTTATTCTTCGAGCCAAACCCTGATCTACACCATCTCATGGGCGTCGCCAGGATGGGCAAGGGGGGGGGGGGCACTTGAGGCAGACCATGCTCTGTCAGCCCCTGACCTGTGGCACACCTCAACTGAGCGGTTGGTGTGGGTGGCTCAATGTCCATAGCTGGATTTGGAGATCGATGAAAATGATGATGATGAATATTATTCAAATATTGAATACTTTGAGTGGTGTAGTAAAACTAGCCTCCCGAGATGATCCATGGGCATTCTATTCTTTTCCGAGGCGAAGCCGAGCGAAAATAGAATGCTCCGTGGATCACCGAGGGAGGCTAGTTTTACTTCACCACGAGATAAGGCATTCAATATTTGTTTTATAACACTTCACCCACAGATTCTGCTTGGTTTTAATATTTTAAATTATTTAAATCTGAATACAATTAAAATAAACTTCAATTTCAATACAAAATTGGTGGGAAATGTATTTCTCTCTTCCAAACCACCCTTTCACAAAATGTTTGAACCCAACTCTGTGGCGCGGTCTCTTGGAGAATATGCGCTATGCGCAACGCTCAATGTGCACACCAGCATGCACTTGCACACAAATACCGCGCCATGGTATAGTACTTTGGTTGCTAATGGTACATGTATAGTACTTTTAGCCATGCACTGAAAGATTGCAAAAATAGAAAGTACCATGTGACTTTCTCTCGGCCAATCAAGACACAGAATCAGTGGGTGAGGTGTTATAAAGGACTTGTAGGATGAACGTTTGAGGGCAGATGCAAATTCAATACTTGGTTTTGTGCGTCATCACCAGAGTATTTGTATAAACAATGTACACCCAGTGCTGTCCAAGTGGTGTGACTAGGATGGGACTTGATTCCACCACCTCTTTACTATGCTAGTGCAAACTAGGAACAAAAGATAGGCCTATGTCACTGGTTTTCTGCCCAATAAACTGAGTTGCTGGTTGTCTCCCAATGGATCAGTATGTATATTCTAGGGATGCTAGGCCTGTTTCCATTTTGCTTTAATTGATAATTATACAAAGTACAATGTGCAAATGTATGCTAAACAGTTGACTGAAATCATAACTTGTACTAGAGTAGAAGAGTTCATTTACCTTGTGTCTGGGAAGATGTCTTGGAAGATTCCTCTCTCTGTCAGGGTCAAGATGTTGCGTCGGCTGCTGTAGCATCTTCTTTTCAATAAATACTGGCTGGTCAATGATGCCACAACTTGCCTCCTGCCCCTGCACAAGAGCTTTCCATTGACAAACATGCTACAAGTAACATTAAAGCAGATAAAAAAAAGACATTTATACTCCTGTGTGGAGAGAGGCAAGTGTTGGTGAAGTGGGTTGCCCGGGGACACAACATGTGGCCACCAGCTGCATTTGAAGCCCTCACCTTTGATCATGAGTCTTAACCCTAACCAGTAACCACTAGGCCACACTCCACACCAGTGGTGCTGAGAAGTGGGAAGCAAAACAAAGCACAGATTGTGTACGTGCAGCAAGATGGTGGCTCCTTGTCATGCAACATGCAAGACTGCTCTGGCAGGAAAAAATTGATTACAACTGTACTTTGGGACTTCAACTTTCAGAATATGAACTTCAAATTCTTTCATATAGTAGGGGGGGGGAGATTTTGGGAACATGTATTATTTTAATCCATAAAAATGTAAATAATTATTAAATGAACTTGAATATTTGCTATATGACAATGCATGAGGACTGGTATGACAGTAGCCTTGAATTACGCTGAAGCTTTTGCAGAAAAACACACAATTAGGTCTTGTGAGGTATGCTTCCATAAATATTACCAACGAACACACTAATTGGGTTAATAATGCAAATGAGGCATTGTTCACGGCAACTGTCACTAATGAGCCCCCATGCCATATAAAAGAGCGAAATGATTCGCATGTCTCCAACTACTAAAATGGGGAATAATGCCTCATTTTCTTCCAAAGTACTGATCAAAATGATAAAAACCTATCTAAATGAAAGTGTTATTTGGCTGCAAAAGCGTGCACGTAAACTTAAACATGCGCAGTACACTCGACTGTGACATGATGTTGGTTGGTCCAATAGAGTAGGCTGTCTTTACCTGCTGTTGATTGACAGATCTTGCAAGCATTATTGTAACAGCTTTGAAAAATGTACCCAAGCCTATTTTTCCAATTTTAATGAAAAATACTCAACATATCGAAATGCTTTAAAATTAGCATATACATTGTAGCTGGATCACTATAAGGAAAACAAACTCCACAAGTGGCATGAAAATAAGGTCTTCAAAAAAGGAGAAATTGATGTTCAAAGATTTTGCCCGCAAACATCAAAAGGTCTGTGTAATGGTAACTTCAGCTTGTTTCATTCAGAATAAAGTATTACGTAAGTGGCCAAATCGGCCATAGCAACTGCAAGACTGCGAAGATGTAAAAATGTAATCAGGAGTGAGGACCATGTATTTTCTCCATAATACTGCAGTGAACATGAGTTGTTTTGCATGTGATCTGAATGTAATGCTAGGGTCACACATTCCAAAATTATTGCCACCAATACCCTGATGTATCCTGAATAAAAATTCTTGATGGCATCGGGAGAAATTAGCCCCGATTCGCTGTTTGTAAGAATAACTTAAGAATCAAACAAAAATAATCAAGAACTAGGAATGAATTGGAAGCCAAATTAAGACCGAACCAAGCAGAAGATTGCGATTTAGTGCAGAATAAAATGAAATTGTAGTGATTCTGTCAAGAATAACATACGAATAACTCAAGAATCATCCAGAATGACCCAAAATTATGCCGACTTCGTGTGTTTGTAAGTTATTCTTAAAATATTTGTACATTTCTTGATACATTCATAATGATTCAGCAGGATTCTGGACTGTTAACACCAAAAATAACTCTACGAAACTTGTAAGAATGCTGTAGGAATATCAAGAATGCTGTACGAATATCCAGAATTAGTTATGAATACAACAAGAATAAACCGAGAATTGAAATTTGTTCCCGAATCACCCCGACCATTTTGAACATGTCCAAAATTGTCGGGGCACTTCCCGATCTTTAACCATCTTTCACCGAACTAATAGAATCATCCCAAGGCAGCCAAGAACCATTCCCGATTTACTCAAGAATTGCCATTCGTGGCAATTTGGCTTAAAAATCAGGAATGTGTAAACCTAGCATAAGAGAGTCACTGCAGTACTTTCTGCATGTTGGTCTACATGTATTCATTCAGTTGGCATCATATTTAGCTATGCTGTCATGTTTTTTAGTATTAAGCCTAATTTTCCAAGCATCCAGAAAGTCCTGCTGTTTGTTAGTTCTAACATAACATTGTATTTAATTCGACTAAAATTAAAGTGGAATATTTTTCTTTTTGTATTATCAAGAGAAAGTAAGATTGGACCAGCACTAACTCAACAGGGAGTATTTTTAATTATTTAATTAAAGGGACAAGAGACTTCTAAAAGAAATTCAGAACACAATTAAGCAGAGGGAATATGCTTATTATGGGGCATGCCCAAAAGGGGCTAACGATTGCGAATGTCCGTCACCGATTGCAAAAGTCCATTACTGATTGCAAAAGTCCACACCAATCACAAAAATTCATCACTGATTGCAAAAAAGTTGTAGTTTATTTACACTCACCCTCTTTAAAGCAATAGAAAAAGAAGTCCCTCCTTTCTCAGATGTCTATTTTTCATGTAATTTCTAAGTTCGTTTGCACACGTTTGCGTATCTAAATTCTAACACGAAATTACACGTGCAGAGCCAGAAGTCACTTTGGAATGATAAAAATGATTTTTATAAAAATTTGACTTGAACAAAAGAGGGGCGATTGTGTATCTACTCGCCCGGTTCCCTAGTATAAGGGAACAAAATCCACTTTTAAATTATTTGACCTACCAAATAGCTGGTGACATTAAGAACATGCAGGTACGTCATACAGTGTAGATAGAGGGCAGGGTTTGAATTTTTGAGGGAAATTTGGGGGTAGAATGACGATGACAATGACAAAACGCAACACGACAATAAATATGGCGATCACCGCGCGATGTACCATGAATGACCAGGCAGAAAAATCGTAATTTTTACCCCAAAAAACTGTTAAAATTACAAAAAATGTGTCATTACAATTGAGAGAATTCTGCTTCATGTTGAGAAGGGTCGTTTTGGGGTAATAAAAAATACTCTTGACTCTAAACAGGGCGGGGGACAGTTCTTAATCTAGCGACGTCGCTAGATTGTTGTACAACAGACGCTTAAAGGGAAAATACAACATTTGCAAACATCGAAAAATAAAACTACCAAGTTGTTCCGAAATACCTTACTAGGATGTTGGTAAATGACATGCTAAAGCATCCTGTAAAATTATGGCACCTGGTGTGAAGCCATTTTCAAGAAAATGGTATATTTGTATACATTTCCAACGCTGGTCGGCTGACCACCGTTGGAAAAACCTAACCTTTTTTTCAATTACTACTCCAAATTTACCATTTTTTAAGTCAAAATTTTATTTTGCTAGCTATTGGTTCCATGTTCATGAACGGGTGCAGGCCAGCTAGACTGGTTCCCTTACCTTACAATTTTCCGGTATTTTTGATCCATTTCATCTTTAGTGGGGTCAGGGAACCAGACTACTTGAATTATTTTTGTTTTTCTTGGTTTTTCCAGCATTTTCGAACACAAAACGTCAAACATGTCAGTGCAACAATATTTGATCTATTATACTAACCCCCCAAATAGTTCATTCCTGAAAATTACAGCAAAAGCCAATGATGTACATTCCCTTTAATCAAGCGACGGTGACGTCATTCTTCAGTACGATGACGTCATTCTATTCGCGCTATCACTACGTTAGCAAGTTCAGCCAAAAAAAACCCCCGATTGCCGCAAAAAGGAAAAGTTTGCAGCAACCTATGTATATATGTATAAAAAATGTTGATGTTCAATGACTTCATGAGTTCATCGAACTCATGTCATGGATTAGATTATATGATTTGTGTCTCGATTTTCAAGAAATAGCCGCCTATTTTTTTAATACACACGTGTATGGACGATGTTGCGCCTGTTTGCAGGGCCAGGGCGGGGGGGGGGGGGGTACGAGATCACACGGTCGCATCAACCTTGAGTTGACTCCATACATTTTGCACGCTTCAGTATGGCACAACGTACGCGGGAACGAAGTTGCGAACTTGCGGTCGCTAAATTCCTCCATGCTAAATCTGGCGACGTCGCTAGATTTCTAGTTCTACTTCTAAGTTCTACTTCTACGATTTAGGGCTGGTGCCCGACCTGCTAAACAGGGGCCCGTATGTGGTACAACTATAGAATGCAGGGCCACTTTACTCTACATCCGCGCCTCCGTACGGCTGCGTGGAGGCGTGGAACCGCAGTCGACCTACCTCTGAAAATCGATCGTGGAGTCGTGGAGCCGCAGAGAATTGCGCCCTCTATCGGTGCGCGTCTCTGCGACTCCGCGACTCCGCGCCTCCACCACTGAGAGACAGTGCCCCGTCGCCCTCCCCCCCCTTCCTAATTGGCCCGCCCAATTAAAGTGACTCTGCGACTCCCCGACTCCGCGCCTCCGCGACTCCAGACAGTGCCCCGTCGCCCTCCCCCCTTCCTAATTGGCCCGCCCAATTAAAGTTACTCTGCGACTCCCCGACTCCGCGCCTCCGCGACTCCAGACAGTGCCCCGTCGCCCTCCCCCCCCCCTTCCTAATTGGCCCGCCCAATTAAAGTGACTCTGCGACTCCCCGACTCCGCGCCTCCGCGACTCCAGACAGTGCCCCGTCGCCCTCCCCCCCCCCATTCCTAATTGGCCCGCCCAATTAAAATGGATATGGATGCTTCGTTCTCAAAAAGATTCCGCCGAGAATTGCGCCCTCTATCGGTGCGCGTCTCTGCGACTCCGCGACTCCGCGCCTCCGCCACTGCGGCCACTCCAGTGCCCCGCGTCTCCGCGATTCTGCGACTCCAAGACTCCGCGCCTCCGCCGCTCCAGACAGTGCCCCCAACACATTTACAAGCACGTCCTCCCTTCCGATCCTTCATGAGAAGCTTTGAAGACAAGTGCAGTGCATTCCTTCGCTGTACTTAGCACTTTTTTGCAGGTTTGCATATTACTCCTATTCCATCCACGCCTCCAGGCAAAATAAAAAACCTTGCTTCGGCGTGGCCCTGCATTCTATAGTTGCTCCCCGTATGTTACTACACATTCGCCCTAAAAAAGGGGCCAACCTTCAGCTTCCAATAAAAGTCGAATTATGAATGATTAACTTACAGAAAGATATTCACACCTGTCGTTCTCATCATGGAGGCTGCCATGTTGATTTTCTTTGAAGGACGCCACCAATAGTTTATAGTGGGGTGCAACTTCCATGACTTCTCGCCGCGGGATAAGACGTCGAACTACAGAACTAGTCTTTCTTTCCTTGGCCCTCCTTTTTAAAAGCAACAATGCGACTAAATGAAGCCACCTTGATTGAAGGAAGCCGTACTGTTTTGGTGCCGTACAAAGAGCACCACGTTATTAGGTAGTGTACAAATAACATTAGTCTTTATTTTTAGGTCAGTAGGCTAGGTGTTGGGCCATGAGCCCAACACCTACTTAGGCCTAGGCTAACTGGAATCAGAAGGCTGCTTGTCAGCCTTCTGGCATGTCTGGCATGGCATGCTCTTTTTCCGGGGTCAGCACTGTATGGATTTTGGACATGCACCTTGATAGACGAAATTCCGGCGATCATGTAGTGAAGGGCCCCTGTGTTTTTTGAGTCAAAAATGTTTTTTATTGCTCAAAAATCACCTTTACAATCAAAAGCAGACTTTTCTCCATCTAAGTTTTTCTAACATGTCTAATGACACCCGTTTTGCAATTTTGAACAGTTTCTTGGGGTAGAAATCACGATTTTCGCGCGGTGATCCCTATCTTTATTTTCAGGTTACGTGTTGTCGCTGCGCTGTCATCTTCATTTTACCCCCAAATTTCCCTCACAAAATCAAAACCCTGCCCTTTATCTATGACGTACATGTTTATTGAGAATGTCGCCAACTAGTTTGATAGCTAGGTCTAATATAATTTGAAAGTGGATTTTGTTCCCTTATATAGGAACCGGGCCCTACACTACACGATCACCCAAAATTTTGACTGCTTGATCCATAACTCTGAAATGTTTTAGAACGATTGACATTTGGATCACGGGACAATTTTTTGAGTGGAAAATCTGAGTTTTTACTCACCAGCCTCGCGTCTCCGATCTGATGAATGCATGGTTATGTTCAAGTGTGTGTTAACGTACGATGCGCATGCGCTGATCTTCGCGTGACCTCAGCAGGTCAACTCTACATTCACTCGACCATTTGGGATGGAGGCAGGACTGGATGGAGGGGGGATTGTATGCTTTGCATCACGCAACAGTGCATTCATGTACGTCATTTTGGTGCGCTGAATACGCTGCGCAGTATCGTTACAAGTTGTCAGTTTTGGTGGACTTTTTTTACATTTGACAAAAAAAGGGATGAAAAAGATCCATCAGTAAATAGTCCGGCAAAACTGACAACTTGTAACGATACCGCGCAGCATATTCAGTGCGCCAAAATGACACCATGAAGTGTTCGAGCGCCCTCTAGCGGCAGGTTAAAAAATGTCAAAAATGCATTTTCAGTAGATCTGTGTGGCGAAGTTTGCAGTAATTGCTTCAAAATTATATACATGATGACCTTAATGCAAACAAGACCTGTGCGCGAAAAAAATTTGATTACGTCATCAGACCGGAAGTTACAATGAAAAGACATTTAAAGCTTCAAAAATTGCTCAAAAATCAACCGCTAGAGACATTAACCAGATTTTTGTTTCCAATAGCACAGTTAACAGAGCTCAAGCTTTCTGATAGTGACGTCATGATGAACTTGGAGGGGTTCAGGGTGATACCATTGCGACCACAGATGTCAAGCCATTCGATGGCCTGGAAGAATGCCTCCTCAATAGTGTCAAACACATCAGTGTATCATCGACACACTTGGTCTTGCGTGGAATGTCGGCAACGATCTCATTAAAGCGGCGGCTGTAACCGTCCCCCGAGGCAATGTACCCTTGCGGGGCAACGCGATACCGATAGCGACCCCATAGAGAGATGAATGTTGTAAGAGTATACTCTGGCGGAGGTTTCTGCGAGTATACTCCAGCGGAGGTTTCTGCACAGTATAGGAAGATGATGATGATCCTCGTCATCTAGAGCGATGCTGTGATGGCTGTTCCACGCATCAAAGATGGTCTCGTGTGTGTGGGTCAGGACCGCGCGTGCCTGGTGGAAGGGTGACTGGGTGTGGTGAGTCTCGCGAACGGCATGACAATTGAGTGGCTGGAGGTCGACTGTCCTTCCGGGCTTGCCTGACCTCTTTGCGCAAATCACCATCTTGTGGCACCAAGTAACAGGTGTGCCAATGGGTACTGGCTCGATGACACCAAGGCACATGTCTTGATCGAGGCCTGCCTTCACAATCGTCCCTCCAGTGCACAGGCACCGAAATTGGCGTGTGTTGAGCGACTGGTCGAGCGGCAGGGTCCACCATGAGTTGCATCAGCGGTCCAGACATCATGGGAAGTGGCTGATGCTCACATACGTTGAAAGTGCTAGATTTGTAGCACTCAAGCAGCCTCTGCTCGAGCCTCTCGCCGTTCTCCTCCGTTGCCAGGGATGGAAGGAATGTGGGGGGAGGTGGTGGTGCCTGGTGTCGAGGGCATTCGCAGATGTGGGTGACGCAGGATTCAGGCATGGGCATCAGTGTAGTTGCCGAGGAGGAGACTCTGGTACTGCTGGGCTTGCATGCCTCCCCAATTTTGGGGAACTTGTCAGATATCAGACTAAGGGCGACGCAAGCCTGCCTCGATAAAAAAGGTCTGTCAGAGGAGTCGGTGAAGTACACTATCTGAGGAGTCTCAAGTGTCTCTCCAGAGGTGGAGGTCCCAGAGATCCGTAGGACAAATGCACCTACGATGCTGATGCCGTGGTTATTGGCAGCAGTAATTTTCATGGTGACTGGGATTAGGTGGCGCCTCTCCAGACCTTACTTGGGTAGAAGTTTTTCCCAGCGAGGCATGACTGGCATCCAGTGTTTACCATGGTGGGATAGGAAACCGGAGGGGTGGGGCTGAGGAGGGACGTGGTGAAGCCAAGAGCACGGGTGTCCGATGGGATGGCCCGAATAGAGACATCAACGAAGGGCTGGGGGTCGGATGCCCGCTTCTCCCACACATCACAGAACTCGCAGTAGATGTGGTGCTCGAGTGCAATAGCGTGAGCACCAGTTGCCAAGGTGTCGTTAACGGAGCACAAGGCTTCAAAGATGGCAGTTGCATTGTCCTGTGGTGGTTGTGCAGTGGATGGGGTGGGCTGCTGCTTGCGCATGGACTGGCGACACACGTTCTCATGGTGGTGTAGGATGCCGCATTTGGCACACTTGTGGTTGAGCATTTGTCCCTTATCCTGGCGCTTGTATGAGCTGGCGGCAGCTGCAGTTGTAGTGGTGCCGCCGTGAAGGAGGCGACCAGCTGACTGTTTGCCGCTCTTCTTCGCTTAGACGTACTTGAGTACCTCCTCAAGTGACATGTCCTGTTTTGATTTGCCGAGGATGTCCAGTTGAATCTCCTCATCCTTGAGATCCCGGATGAGTGTGTCTCTGATCATAATGTCACTGTAATCGACCTGGGTTTTGCATTGACACTGAAGCTGCAAAACCCTGGCCTGGCAGCGGAGGCAGGCAGAGAAGGCACACACTGGCTCGTCACGGTCCTGGCGCATTTGCAGCAGTTGCATCCGTGCGACCATGATGTTCTCTTGACGCACGGCAAGTGTCTTGATGTTGCCGAGGATGGTCTGTTCATCACTGGAGGCGAGGGCGCCAAAGGTCCGTGTGAGGTCCTTCCTAAGTGCCTCGTTGCAAACCTCAAGTAGCTGAAAGACTATGTCTAAGCCTGTGAGATGTGTGGCAGCCTTGGAATCGGCTCATCTCTGCTTAAAGTATGCCCATTCATCACTCATGCCAGCTACCGATGTCACAGGGCGCTTCACCTTCTCCGCCTTTGCTGCGCCCGAGGAAGATGCTGGCATGTGGGCTGGGTCAGCTGGGTGAGCAGTCCGTTCGTGCAGATCGATCATGCGGAGCAGGACCTCAGGAGGTTACTCAGTCTTTACAGGTCTCATCTAGACGAATCAAGGAATGTACACAAGTCAACTGTGATCTACGCTGGGAAACTCAACTACAAGAACTACAGGTGCAGTCCAAACTATCTGACATCATTCAGCTTGAGAATCCAATGCTTGGAAACCAGTTTGTTTCACCCTTCCCAGTGGTCAGCTAGCATTCTTGATTAAAGCAAGATGCGATACATGTACTTTACCCACACCTGTAAACTGTAACAAGAGGGCAAATTCAGTTTAATTCCAAATGTCACATCGTTCACAAACCCAGGTGCACCCTAGCTCACACAATGAGCGCCTGCGAAAAGGCTCTCAGCCTTTGCATTATACATGGAGACAAGTGTCCTTAAGTGTTGTCCAAGTACCGGTACTTGCTCAACCGTGTTGATCAAGAGTCCATCCTGACAATTGATCTTCCAGCCATATGCAAGGAACCTAGCACCATTTCTGCCTCAATATGCACAACCAGTCTGCGCCCAGACACCTTCCTGCATATAATGGTCACACCTGTGCCATTGTAGAAGAGCTGACAATTGCAAATAACTCTACAGTTAAGTTTGGGTATGATAAAGTCCGCAAGACAACAAAATGAAAAGGCCTGGTAGCAGACCTTACAGAGAGATTGGCACGACGCACAGGCGCGCGCCGTTGCTATAATTCGTCGGATCAGTGCGCGACATCGCGTATAGCTGCAATTCAAAACAATTCAAAACATGATTCAGCAACTTTTGATTTGAAATCGAGATCCTAGAATGCTGTTTTTCTCGGAATTTACAGCTGAAGCTGAGCTGAAATTTCATCAGGTTAGTTGTTCAGTATCCTTCATTAGATTTTGAACACTTTTGTTGCTTCAAACCAACAAAATGCACAAATTACAAATGATGGACTATATTGTAGCGTTTTCGGGGGTTCAATTTTATTCAGTGGACAGACAGAATAAGACACAAATGACACCAATATTCTGGTTTCTTAACTTCTAATTCTTTCCTCCCAAACATCCAAACAATGAACACACGATATCAGTATTACTTGTGATTTACCTTTATCTGCACTATACTGGTAATCGCAACGTGGAGCCTGGGGTGTGTACACACGGAGCTGGCCTTTCAGAACAACCTTCACAACCAAGATCTGTACAGCAACTAACCGCGCGCGCGCGCGCACACACTTTTCGCGCCAATTTCATGCTGACGTGCGCTGACCCCAACCTCCACTAAAAGTAAACAGCGCCACCTATACTGGATTTTGCAAACTCTACATCATCCCCTCCCCGGGGAAAGAATGCGTCCCGCATTCACAAACAACAAATTTAACTAGAAAAACGCCATTAACAAGAA